CACTACGGCAAGGTCTCCTCGCACTCCCAGGACACCCCCGGTGCCGCCTTTGACCGGACCGTCGGCCCAAGACCCCTGGACACTGTTCCGCGCCTGCTCCCCGAGGACCGCTCCATTCCCCGATTGTCGTCGGACGAGGTGGCCGATGCCATCGTCAAGTCCCCCAAGCGCAAGTCTTCCGGCCCGGACAAGATCAAGGCCGAGATGCTGCACCCTGTCGCTCCCGTGGTCGCTCCCTGGCTCCGGGCCATCCTGCTGGCCGCCCTCAAGGCCTCCGTCGTCCCGACCGAGTGGAACACTGTCCTGATCCACCCGGTCTACAAGAACAAGGGTTCGATCCTCGATCCGGCCATGTACCGGCCCATCGGGTTGACCCAGGTCCTCCGCAAGATCGCCGAGCGAGTCCTGCTGCCGTTCCTCACCCGCGAGATCGGCATCATGGACATTGCCCAGGGAGGCTTCCGCCCGGACCGAGGCACCCTCGACCAGGTGTACTCGCTCGACGCTCTTGTCCGCATGAACAAGATCCGCGACGACGAGTACAGCCTGGTCTTCCTCGACATCAAGGCCGCCTACGACACTGTCTGGCGGGAGCGCCTCTGGGACAAGATCGCCACCCGAGGTGCTGGTCCGGTCGCCGTCGGGGTCCTCAGGGCCATGCTCGACCGCACTCTTGTCCGCGTCGCCAGCAAGGGCCGCACGTCGCAGCCTGTGTGGCTGCAGAAGGGTCTCATCCAAGGCTCGGTCCTGAGTCCCCTTCTGTTCAGTGCCCACATTGACGACCTGCCTGGACTGCTCCGAGCCGAGGACGGACTTGTGCTTGCCTCGAGTCGCCACCACCGTCTCCGGGTCAACTCGCTCTGGTTTGCCGATGACGGTGTCCTCATCTGTCCGGCTGGCCGCACCCAGGCCATGCTGGATATCTGCGAACGCCACAGCATCGACAACCGGTACCGCTTCTCGCCTCCCAAGTGCGAGGTGCTGTACTCGGCCTGCAACGTCGACCAGCTCCATCCCGCCAAGCTGTACGGCACCGAGCTGCCCAAGGTCCTCCAGTTCCGCTACCTCGGTGTCATGGTCGACATTGACGGATTCCGCCCGGACCTCCAGTTCGACAAGCTCCTCCGCAAGGTCCACATGGTCACCGACACCGTGGTTGGACTCGGCATCACCCTCGGCAAGGTCTCGGCCAAGACCATCACCCAGGTCTACAAGACCTTTGTGCGGCCGACCCTCGAATACGGGATGGCCATGGACATCCCCGACCCAGCTCTGCGCGACCGCCTCGACGACGCCCAGATGACGGCCCTCCGCACCATGTTCCGCGTCGGCCCCGGCACTCCCGTCGGTGCCATGCACCTCAACTGCGGCCTTCCCAAGATGTCGGTCCGTGTCAAGATGCTGGCCCTGCAGAACTGGGCCCGCTGGGACGACCAAGTCTCTGACGGCGACAAGATGCTGTCGATGATCCTGCGCAACAAGATCATTGCGCCCTACCACCCCGACCAGTTCCTCGGCCAAGGAGTCCGAGCCGATCCGCACTGGGCCATGGTGGTCCGCCGACAAGAGGCCGACCACTCCCTCACGGCCACGGAGATCTACCGAGGCAAGACCCGACACCAGCCGCCGCCGCCCGGACCGCCCCGACCCCAGCCCGTCCCGATCAAGACCCTCATCTTCGAGGACCACATGAAGAACGGCTTCGACCGCTCCAAGCAGCTCACCGCCGCCTGCACCCCGTCGACCAAGATGTCGGGACTCTGGGAGGCTCGCGGGTACCAAGGATCCATGATCATGCTCATGTTCATGGTCCGATGGCGACTCGGTGCTCTCCCAGGCCACTTCAGATTTGGCTACCGCAAGTGCAAGAACCTGGCTCGACACGGATCCGGGATCGACTTGACCAGGACCCACGCACAGCAGTGTGTGGATCCGCATCAAGTCCTGGTCCGCAAGGTCGCAGCCCTCAAGACGGCCCACCCGACTTGGGTGGAAAGTGGTATAGCCGGAGTGGGACCAGTGGACAAGCTGCTGGACCTGCTCAGTTTCGATCGCACTCCCCCTCGCAGTCGCACCCCTCCCGCACTTGGATCACTTGCTGCTCATGTACCCGCTCCCCGCACTGCCTTCCGAGCATTCGCACTTGGTGCACACCCAGCACCACCACCCACTCCCACACCCAGTGTAGTCCCACCCTTGCAGTCTCTCCCTGCACCCTCATCACAGCGTAGTATAGTGTCAGCACTTGTCATTCCTCCACCCCGACCCCCCCTCGATCCTGCTGTTCCCTTGTGGGAACTGCTCGAAAATGTGTTCACCCGCTTGGTCTCAGACCTTGTGGGCAGCTGAGGCAGCACTAGGCTGCAACAGGAGTAAATAGGCTTGCCTGTGTACTCAACGTGCCGGGGTACCAACCTGTTGGACCTGATGGCTTGTCTTCTTGAATAAAGTTGACTATAGTAACAAAAAAAAAAAAAAACGGCCGAAGAAACGGCAACGCTGTTCATGGACAGCATCTTCAGGATCCACGGGGCTCCCAAGTCCATCGTGACGGACAGGGGTCCGCAGTTCAAGTCCACCTTCTGGCGACGATTCCATGAGCTTCTGGGCACTTCGACTGACCTGTCCAGCGCCTACCACCCCGAGTCGGATGGGCAGTCGGAAAGAGTCAACAGCGTCCTCGAAACCTTCATCCGATGTTACTGCGATTACCAACAGGACGATTGGGTCTCGCTTTTGCCGTTAGCTGAGTTCGCATACAATAACTCGGCCCACTCGAGCACCAAGAGCACACCGTTCTATGCGAACTACGGATTCCACCCTGCCTGTGACTTCAAGCTGTCGACCCAGTCCGAGGTGCCTGCAGCCGAGGAGCGCATCGAAAAAATCAAGCAGCACCTCGAACAACTCAAGACTCACCTCGCGGACGCACAGTCCAGACAGAAGGCCAACGCCGACAGGCACCGTAAGTCTTTTGACATTGCCGTCGGATCCAAGGTCTGGTTGTCTCGTCGCAACATAAGGACGCAGCGCCCAAGCGACAAGCTGGATTGGAAGCGCCTTGGACCCTTCGAAGTCGTTAGGGCGATCAACGAGGTGGCCTTCGAACTCAAGCTGCCGAAGTCGATGGCCCGGATCCATCCGGTGTTCCATGCGTCTCTGCTGGAACCGGTCAAGCCCAATGAGCTCCCAGGACGACAGGCACCTCCTCCACCGCCGATCGAAATTGACGGCCACGAAGAATATGAGGTGCAGGAGATACTGGACTCAAGGGTAAGGGGTAATAAGTTGGAATACCTGATCCGATGGAGGGGCTACGGACCAGACGAAGACTCGTGGGAATCCGAAGAGAATTGCAGGAGCGCACCTCAAGTAGTCCAAGAATTCCATCAACGGTACCCCTTGAAGCCTCGAACGCCGACCAAGACCAAGTCCGCAAGACACCCCAGACATAGGAAGGGGGCTTAGGAAGAGGGTGATGTAATGGGCACGCGGACAGGGAGCTCCGGGACGACCCGGAAGGCATCCCGAGGGGGCTTAGCCCACGCCAAGGAGCGCAGGCAAGCCGGTCCGCTACCCCCCAGGGATGTAAATGCAAGGCGTCGCCCGCCGAAAATAAACCGGCGAGACGACAACACCGTCCTTCGCCTAGTAAACCAGTCGTTACCCGCTCACTCCAGTCCGTCCGCTCTCGTCCAGTCCCCAGTCCTGTTACACACGCGCCGTTGCCACCCGCGTCTACTGGTTTCCTGCCTCCCCCACCGCTCGGCACATGTCCCCGGGCTGTGCCAAGCCTCTCTCGCTTGCACACCAGCCACTCTCGCACCCCCTTCTCGCTTCTCTGTGATGCTCCACCCTTCTCGCCCACTTTTGCCCCTCGACCTTCTCCCGGTCTATAAATAGCCCTGCATGTCTGAGCCTATGTTGAACACCAGTTCGAACAAAACTTGTTCTTTGGTGTTCGGGGCTAAAAGCTAATAAAGCTCATACCAAGCACTTGGTCTTCGTCCTTGCGCTTGTTCACTCCTCACACCCACCACCCCGAACCGAGCTCAGACCTTGCCTCGGGGTCGAACTGGGGAGGAACCTCAGAGTCTGGCTCAGAGTCTGGCTCAGAGTACTCCCCTGATGGCAACCAAGACTCCCTCCCGAACCGAGACCGAAACCGGGCCAGGGAGACGAATAGACATCCGGTCCCCGGCCCTGAACCGAGAGTGGTTCCCACGCCCTCCCAAGGACGAAGTACTGACCCGATCCCAGAGTCCGACGATGACTTGGGACTAGGTCAGACCCCAGGATACGAGATAAATCCCGAGTACCCCTCCCACAGACAAACTCACACTCCTTTGAGGGCAAGTCAAGACCCAACACCGCACAGCAAACCCTGGAGTGGGTTCGAGTTGATACTAGAGAGGGACTTGGAGAAACCAGCCCCTGACATCCCGGAGCGGGACTTGGAGACATGCGACTCCCTCTGGGAGTTATTAGAGGGAGTGTTCACCCGCATGGCTCGCCGTGTGGGCTGGAGAGTCGGCGAGAGCCGCAACAGGGGCGTGTGAGCCTGCTTGTACGCCCACTGCCGGGTACCGCATGGTACTGATGGCTTGTTGAATTGAATATTCCTGAATATACAACTATTGTAAACAAAAAAAAAAAACCACCACTCACAGAGATTCACCAGCGACAATGCGGGAGAAGGCAGTGCCTCAGGATGTCCGCGACAACTAGTGTCTGCTCTCGATTGGGTCCATGACCAAGTGCGGTGTGGACTGTCATAGATTGTGAGGGATTTGGACTCGCTTCGGGTTCGGCAGCCGCAAAACAGGATCATCTCACACCGCAACACCAGAGCCGTCCTCCAGTACGAATATCACACACAATCTGATCGGACGAAGTGAGATGTCGGAAGTAGGAGATAGAAAGCTGGATTGGAAGAAAACTAACCGAAACGGAGTGGAATGGAGTGGAAAATATAGAGAATAAAACCTGGAGAAAGAACACATGACATTGAGCAGATCCATGCTCAGCTACCTCAAGAATCGGCCAAAAGTGTACTCGAACGAATCGCTGAACACAACTCGACATCCCTTCGGAAGCCCGGAAATCACCTTTCTAAGTCTGAAAGAGTCAGCATATCGGCCAAACATGCCATCCAACAGGGAATGATGTGATGACCTTATACTTGAATCCAAATGCAGTGACTTGAGAGAGGGAAGCTTGTCGACCAGTCCGCTGACTCTGCGAATCGATCGAGGGGCGTACAGGATCTCGAGCTTGGGATACGGGGGAATGTCATCCAGCGACTCCAATTCGCAGCAAGCTTGCAAATCGATGACTGTGAGGGAGCTTTGATTGACACGCAGATCGGCCAGGCTCACAAACTGACTTGGGAGGACGAGGTGACTGAGTTTTGGCATGCTTGGGAGTTGGCCCAAGATGGTGTGGGGTTTGGGCGAGGAGATCGTGAGCTTGGTGAGGGACGGGAGCTCCTCGGGAACATCCACGAAGGCATCAACGTCGGCTGGAATGTCGTGTTCGAGTAGTATTTGCGCGTTTGACAGTCCAGCGAGCGAGGTCAGTGGGATGGATGTACTGGGATTAATCAATGTGACCAAGGGAAGCACCTTTGGTATGCCCTCCAGGGACTCAACGGACTTGGGGAATTGAGGTTTCTCAAGCTTTGGCATCTCAGGCAATCCATTGAGCGACTTGAGTTGACTACATTCACTCAGATCGAGCCTTGTAAGCATGGGCAACTCCTTCGGCATGCCTTCCAGGGACTCAATGGATGGTGGGAGTCGAAGTATCACCAACTTTGGCATCTTGGGCATTCCCTTGAGTGATTGGAGTTTACTGCAACCACTCAAGTTGAGCCATGGAAGAGTGGGCAGCTCCTTTGGCATGCTTTCCAGGGACTCGATGGACGGTGGGAGTCGAAGTATCACCAACTTTGGCATCTTGGGCATTCCCTTGAGTGATTGGAGTTTACTGCAACCACTCAAGTTGAGACATGGAAGAGTGGGCAGCTCCTTTGGCATGCTTTCCAGGGACTCGATGGACGGTGGGAGAAGAAAAGTCTCCAGCTTTGGCATCTCAGGCAATCCATTGAGCGACTTGAGTTCACTGCATCCACTCAGATCGAGCCTTGTGAGCATAGGTAGCACTTTCGGCATGCCTTCCAGGGGCTCAATGGACGGTGGGGGCACAAGTGCTTCCAACTTTGGCATTTCAGGCATTCCCTTGAGTGATTTGAATCGACTAAACCCACTCAGGTCGAGCCTTGTAAGCATGGGCAGCACTTTCGGCATGCCTTCCAGGGACTCAATGGACGGTGGAGGCACAAGTGCTTCCAACTTTGGCATCTCAGGCATTCCCTTGAGTGATTTGAGTTTACTGCAACCACTCAAGTTGAGCCATGGAAGAGTGGGCAGCTCCTTTGGCATGCTTTCCAGGGACTCGATGGACGGTGGGAGAAGAAAAGTCTCCAGCTTTGGCATCTCAGGCAATCCATTGAGCGACTTGAGTTCACTGCATCCACTCAGATCGAGCCTTGTGAGCATGGGTAGCACTTTCGGCATGCCTTCCAGGGGCTCAATGGACGGTGGGGGCACAAATGCTTCCAACTTTGGCATTTCAGGCATTCCCTTGAGTGATTTGAATTGATTAAACCCACTCAGGTCGAGTGTTCGAAGCATGGGCAGCACTTTCGGCATGCCTTCCAGGGACCGGATGGACTTGGGTAGCTGGAGTGTCAACAATTTTGGCATCTCAGGCATTCCCTTGAGTGATTTGAGTTTACTGCAACCACTCAAGTTGAGCCATGGAAGAGTGGGCAGCTCCTTTGGCATGCTTTCCAGGGACTCGATGGACGGTGGGAGAAGAAAAGTCTCCAGCTTTGGCATCTCAGGCAATCCATTGAGCGACTTGAGTTCAGTGCATCCACTCAGATCGAGCCTTGTAAGCATGGGTAGCACTTTCGGCATGCCTTCCAGGGACTCAATGGACGGTGGGGGCACAAATGCTTCCAACTTGGGCATCTCAGGCATTCCATTGAGGGACTTCAATTGATTCCATTCACTCAAGTCGAGCTCGGTGAGCATGGGCAGCTCCTTCGGCATGCCTTCAAGGGACTTGATGGACTCGGGAAGCTGAAGTGACTTCAACTTGGGCATCTCGGGCATTCCCTTGAGGGACTTGAGTTCACTGCATTCACTCAGATCGAGCCTTGTTAGCATGGGCAGCACCTTCGGCATGCCTTCCAAGTTGATCAGTGGATCGGCCACTCGATCCCGGGTTCTATGCTTGATAGTCAGATCTTGAATATTGGAGAGCCATTTGGGCCATCCGGACACTTGCAGAAACGACACATTCTCGAGTGTCAGCCCCTTTTCCCTTGCTTGGTTGATCACAGGAATGAAGTATGGCAAAAGCCTGGAAACATAGAATCCGTCCGTGCCCAGGTTAGGTCGAATAGTGATCGTGCTTCGAGGGTCAACCACTATCGGCCACTCGAAGCGAAAGTTTTGCCTTTCAGCGATGGTTATCATCTCCTCGACGGATGGCTGCTTGTATCCATTTGGTCTTGCGTCCTCGGGGAAGTGAAACTCTGGATCGGTCACCTGGCAGTATCGTTGCACTCGGTCGAAAAACGGCCTGTCTCGATGGACTTCAGACCAGAGCTCATTCTCCTTCGCCAACATCGATGAGTTGGTTGGTCTGTGCTGATTTTGGCGAAGTGCATAACAGAGGAGCCCTTGGGCCACTTTCAACCGATCGATGGAGGGATCGACACCCTTGAACAGGAATTCGGGAGTGATCCCCAAAGTGGGGAATAGTAACCGTTCCCGTACCTCTTCGGTATCGAGGATGGCCCGAGTCTGCTTTGAGACCCTGACTAGTTTTGCGAGCAAAGGTACACTCGCAGCGTGAGTGAATGCTTCATTTGTGATCAGGATGGTGAGCAGGTCGAAGCGAGCGAGGTCCTCCTCGACCAGGGATGATTTTGCCATCGTTTCGGTTGACGCAGGCGGAGCGGGGCGATGGAGACAGGCCGAGGATGGGAGGCAGCCGAGGCAGAGTAGAGAGCAGGAACAACGACGAAGGACCAGAGGCGACAGCGGGGTATTTGAGGGGCGATGTGCTGCTTCCTCGCTGATACCGTCCACGGGGTGTGGCTTAGTGATACCGTCGTCACACAGACCTGCTGTTTCGGGACAGGTGTCACCCAGCCAGAACAATATTCCTGTGCAGCACGATTCCATCCGAATCGGCCTACAGCGACAGATGTGTGCTGGGCAGCACAAATCGACAGATGAATGGGATGTCATGGATGGCGTAGCGTTGATGGGCAGTACCAAGCCGGTGGACATGGGGAGTGCGGTCTGGGACAGTTGTCTGAATCCACTCCAATCCACTCCAATCCATGAATGGCATCAACGAGGTGTAGTGCCATGTGGGAGGTGGAGGGCTCGACAATGTCCAACTTGTCCTGAGACTTGTCAGTGCTTGCTGATCGACTCAGTTTGTTTGGAATGGAACTGGACAGAGTGTTCCTGGGTGTCTCTCACATCAATCCATGCCTGTTGGTTCCAGAGCACAGTCTCGACACACCCGGTCGACGGGATTGATGTTGCAATGTGAGAGTGTGGCTGTAAGCATCCGGCATTTGGACATCTTCGTGCAAACTATTCTCGATATCAATACACTCGACCTTCTCGAGTCGCTTGGCTTCCCGTCAATGTGAGCACACCTGGGATGTGTTGAACTCGTTCACCGAGCACACATGGATCTTGGAGACGGATCGGTCTGGTGGGCGTCTCTGGTGATGGTGGAATTGCTCAAAGTACTTGGCAAACCGGAGTCTCCGTGGGCTGGATGCATATCCCTTCCCCTGTTTCCACGATCCATTCCCAAAGGCAATCACCACTTCGGTCTCCTTTGGTGCCTGGTCGATGACTTGCTTGCACATCTCCGTGGACGGTGCGCTGTTGCTTGCTGTGGAGATCGAGTCGCTTGAATCGCCATCGCCGGGTCAGGCTGAAGTACAGCTGTTTCTCCAGCATGTCTCCATCGAACACATGGCGAATGTATTGCAGGAAGGAAGCCAACCCAGGGATCTTGGGACTTGGTGTGGTGCTCATCCAGCGCATCTTGAGCTGGAAGCGATTCCCACAATGGCGTCCTTGATTCAAATCACAGAATGGTCATGGCCAGCGCGCGATTGTATTGCGTAACAAAATATTTGATCAATGGTCAAAATCACGGGTGCCCCGTTTTTTATTGGATTGACTGTAAGACTTTGGGGACCACCACTTGGGTCACATCGTGCTGGCGCAATCAGAGCGACTTGAACGGGGAACGCAGGCGATCAAGTCCGTCGGCGCCGTAGTTCTGGGCCCACTCGGGGAACACGTTGGTGATGATCTTCTTGAAGATGTAGCCGTCGGGGCGGTCGTCGCCGCTCTTGGTGATATAGTCGAATCCCCAGTGGGTCAGGTCGTGCGGGTTGATGCCATCGACGATGAAGCGGTCGTTGCGGATGAGGTTGGTGGCGTCAGAGAGAATGCTGCGGGCAGCAGAGTAAGGCAGGCAGATGCCGCCGGTGGTCTGGCCCTCGATCAGGACACCAGGGTAGAACTCGACCCGCTCGATTCCGTTCTTGCCATAGTGCTTCTCGAGGGCGGCAATGATGCGCTTGTCGGGAACGGGGCGCGAAGGGCAAGTGATGAGCTCCTCGTAGGAGCTGTAGGGCTTGAGGTTGAACTTGCGTCTAAAGTCGTTGATGGTGCACATGCCCAAGAGACGGGCCGACTGGATACCCTGGACCTCGACGTCAATCAGCTCGCCCGGGATCTTGCGGGGTCCGAAGCGGCTGGCAACCTTGTCCATGGACTCGCGCAGGATCTGGATGAGCTGGGTATCGTCAAACTTGGCCGTCTGCGGGTTGCGGTGCAGACCGATGCAGATGGGGCCGAGGCTGAGCTCCTCACGGGTGTAGCCGTACTGGTGCATAAGGTCGGAGAAATAAGCCATGTGCTTCTGGGCAATGGTTTTCTTGTCCAGGGGCGTGCCATTGTCATCGGCGGTCTCGATCTCGATGAGCATCTTCTTGCGCAGGGTCATGTACTCGGCAATGTGGACGTGCTTGAGCCACTCAGCATCCTGCTGGCTGATGGCACCGTGCCAGCGGTAGATGTAGCCAAACTCGAGCGAAAGCACGTTGCCGCTGGTGGGGTTGGGTGCGGGGGGGTTGATGCCGGGGTTGAGGGTGTAGCCCGTGTTCATGTCGAGGTCGAGGATGCTCTTGATGTACTCGTGCAGGATGATGGTGGCGTAGCAGGCGCCGTTGATGAGGCGGGCAGTCTGGAAGACGAGCTCGTCGGTCTTCTTGGAGCTGAGACGGGGGCTGTCGGGGCCGGCAATGTGAGTGAAGCGGCAGTTTTCCTGCTGGACATTGACCTCGTCGCTGAGCAGCTTCTCGGCAATGTAGTTGTGGTTGCGGGCAAAGACCATGAGGAGGGCAGAGGTGGTCGGGATGTGGAACTGGAGGCGCATGTCGGTGAAGCTGTCGGGCTTCAGGAGACCGCGCTGGCCGAGACGGACCTTGGTCTGCTCCTCGATGTTGGCGCCGTAGAGACAGCTGAGATCGGCGTAGTGGGTGGACTCGTTGATGCCGGGGGAGTTGGCCTTGGTGCGGAAGAGATCGTGGGTGATGATGGTCGCAAAGGCAAAGAGGAGCGAGTTGATGTGGGTGGGATGGGGCTCAAAGGCCTCGTCCTCGGGGCGGCGGAGCAGGTCGTTGAAGAGCTCGACAGGGTCGGGGAGCGACGACTTGAGCGGATAGACCGAGGGGGTGACGGTGCGAGCATACGGGGTTCCCGAGGCGCCCATGTGCGGATAGATGTGCGAGTTGTTGGAGCCGTCGGCCTCGCGGAAGGGACTGGCAGGCCAGTTGCGCTGGGGATGCTCAAAGTCTTGCCAGAAGCCCGAGATCAGGGACGAGTTGACAGAGTTGGAGTACTTCAACGGCAGGGTCGAGTTGACCTTGATGAACTGCTCGAGGGGGAAGCGGCGATCGTCGAGGGCGGGGTTGACCCAGCCAAAGACGTTCTTCTTGATGAGCTCGCCAAAGATGTAGAGCTGGTCCGTGAAGCGGATCTGGGACAGGGCCGAGAGCGTGGTGGTGGCCTGGGCCGGCTTCTTGCTGGCAGCCGAGGCGGCAGGAGGAATGGTGACGGTGGTGGAGGCCGAGGCCGAGACAGCCTGGGGAGGCGAGACGAGGGGGGTGTGCTCGGAGGACATGGCGGAGAGCGACGGCGAGGGGAATGAGGTCGTCAGCAAAGGAAAGGACGGCGGCGGTGTCGATCCGGACCGGGGGAGGAAAACGCCGGCATTTATAGGCGAAAGGGGGGGGACGAAAACGGATCAGCAATCCAACGGCGCTGCGAGCGGGTGGCTGCGTTGGATGGACGGGGGAGGAGTGCGCTGGATGGACGATTGGCAACGCGACGGGGATGTCCGCAAGACGCCGCATCGGGCAAGCCGAAAGACACTTGTGCGATCGTGTGCGCTTGTGGTGGGGAGCGGATACAGACGAGGGCTGTGCGTTGGATTGAGTTTGGCGAGCAGAGCGACAGGCGGATCATCGTCGGTTGCTGGTCGCGATCGGTGTGGGTTGGATCTGGATTCATACAGACATGGAGATTCATGTGGTCCGTGCGCGATCTGGGGGGAGATGATCCACACAGCGTAGATCAGAGCACGAACGGGTTGGGCTTGGGCATCGTGACGAATGTCATGGCCATCGTCACCTTAACACTATCATCGTCAAGAACAACATTATCATCATCAATAGCGACATGGTCATCGTTATGCATATCATGGCCATCATCAATGACAACAACAACAACGAAGCCACACTGTGGCGGTGCATCAGACGCGTGGACAGCACGTGATTGCTGCGCACATCCATTCAGCCGAAGCCACACTGCCACAGTCCAAGCACACCAGCCCAAGCGAGATTGCACTGAGTGCCATGAGAGATCACCAGGTCAATTCATCAGGTCAACTCATCAGGTCAACTCACCAAGTCAATTCACCGGTGCGATTCACCAGGTCAATTCATCAGTGCGATCTGCCAGTCGAGCGTCCCCCAGCACCCCGGCCTGGCATGTGCTCTGTGGGCTGCCCTTGTCTGTGTGCGGCTTTTTTGGGGATGTGCATTACATTTCCTTCCTCGGCTGAATGCCCAGCGCAGGTTCCCAGCCGCCTCGTTGCTCGGCTGCTCTCCCGCGATCGCTCTGCACCGTGCTGCTGCCTGGCTGTGCATTCCTTCGTCTCCATCTCTCCTCCTGGTAAGCCTGCATCTGCCCAGGATTCTCGTCACAGTCTGGGCCCCCTCGACTCGCAACTTACAACCTGCTTCATCGGATCCCAATTCATTGTCCCAGACCCGACCCGACCCGACCCGACCATGTCTCCCACCAACAGCGATCCGCAGCATCTGGGCAACGGCACCTCCCATGCTGCCGACGCCAAGCCGGCCCTTTCAGAAGCCCAGAAAATCGAAAAGCTCTCGGGCGCCGTCCGGACCATCCTCGAGTGCATCGGCGAGGATCCCTCCCGCGAGGGTCTGCTCAAAACCCCCGAGCGCTACGCCAAGGCCCTGCTCTTCCTGACCAAGGGCTACCAAGAGTCGGTCGAGACGGTCCTGAACGAGGCTGTCTTTGACGAGAACCACGACGAGATGGTCATTGTCCGGGACATTCCCTTCTTCTCGCAGTGCGAGCACCATATGGTTCCCTTCCACGGCTCCGTCACCGTCGGCTACATCCCCAACGGCAAGGTTGTCGGCCTCAGCAAGATTGCCCGCATCGCCGAGATCTTTGCCCGCCGGCTGCAGGTCCAGGAGCGCCTGACAAAGCAGATTGCCGAGGCCATCAACGCCGCTCTGGAGCCCCAGGGCGTCGCTGTCGTCATCCGGGCCGAGCATATGTGCATGACCATGCGCGGTGTCCAGAAGCCTGGTGCCTCGACCGTCACTTCGTGCATGCTCGGCGAGTTCCGCGCAAATCCTAAAACCAGGGCCGAGTTCCTGGAGCTGATCAAGCAATGAAGCCCCCGTCGTCGAGCGACGAATCCTGGAGCATTGGCCCCATGTGCTCTGTGGTCTGCAAGTGGGCTGTGAATGAGATGCCCTTTTTCCATGTTTCCGCTCCGATGAAAGTGGGACTGGTCGATGAGGCTCGGCTGGAATATCACGCCAACGAGGTTCGGCTGGAACTTCATGCCGAGATCTGTTATCCCTCTCGATAGCCATACGACCCAAACATGTATTACACCGAGATGCGATGCTGCCAGGAACACAGACAATAAAATACACCCGCGAAACAGAGGCTCCTCAGTCGCTCTTCATGTATGCCTCGGCATCGATGTAGGATGCCAGCCCGCCAATGTCAAGACGTCCCTCGATCTCCGAGGCATAGACGTCGACCTGGTGGATGAGCCAGGCCAACAGCCGACCGGTGGCATCGATCTCTTCGAGCCACGGAACCGCTGCCGCCGCATCCGAGCCGTGCTCCTGGTCTCCGCCATGAAGCTGCTTCTTGTGCTCCAGGAAGAGATCCAGCTGTCGAAGGGCTGCAGGTGCCAGAAAGTAAAAGCACGGGCACGCCAGGCGGGAGGTCGTCTCGGTAGGCTCTGGCTTCTCGACAAAGCCCACGACCCGGCGATCGCCATCGATCTCGAGAATGCCGGTCTTGCGGGTATCTTCGGAGCCAATGTCGTAGCAGGTCACCAAACTGGCCTCGGAGTCTGGCCTCGTCAGGGCCGCTGTCAGGAAGGCCTCGAGCGAAAACGACTTGAGAAAGAGGGTGTCTCCGGCGACGACCAGCACGGGGCGCTCGTGCAGGCCAAAGGTCGAGATGGCCAGGGCCAGGTCGCGGATGGCTCCAAGCCGGGTCTCGTTCGAGGTCGAGCCGTCGTTGAGGATCTGGCCGGGAGGGAAACCCACTCCAGGCCGTTGTGCCCATGCCTGGAACTGCCCGTGGAAAAAGTCGTTGCAGATGATGAAGCAGTCGCGGGTAGCATCAAACTCGAGCGTTGCGCCGTTCGATGCCGTGATCGCCGTGGGCAGGGCCCGGAAGAGCTCGAGCCAGTGCTCGATCAGCGGCTTGCCTGCAAGCGGCAAAAGCGCCTTGGGGATGCCCAGCAGATGAGCGTATTGCTGCGAAGCGTCGGCTCGGATATCTCGCTGGAGGCGCGAGCCATATCCAGCGGCAAGAAACAAGACGGCGAGGCGGGAGGAGGACATGGGTTGGGAGGAGAAACCTGCGGCGGAGGCGGGCAAGGCAAGCTGGATGAATGTGCCGATTTGGATGGCGGGTCTTCTCGAGAGCGGGGAGGTCGTATCGAGATGTGGGCAAACATCTGGTTGTGACTCGAGCCACAGGCCACAGGCCACAGCAAGCCAGCAATCCCGGAGCAAGCCACATCGCTATCCACAGACCCCTTGGTGATTCCCGACTGCAAGCCTCGTCTGCGGCATGCATCTCTGGGTCAGATCTCTTTGGGAGAGGGGATAGTGGGCGATTCTTACTCAACAGATTGTGGCCAAAGCCACACGATAGCCGCCATGTGTTGGCTGCTTCGCGACTGCTCTAAACCAAAACATAGTACTCATCGATTGCGGGTGGGGGAAGGGGAGGGGGAGGAGAGAACGCAAGGGGATGTGGAGGAGAGTGATGAAAGTTGGGAAAGGGGGGAAGCGAGAAACATGGGGCGATGATGGCTGTTCATTCTTTGATACGCAAGGAACACAGAACGGATCCAAACAAGCAGAGATATAGGAAAGGCAAGGGGTAGGAAACGCAGAGCATCAAATTGCAAGGGTGAGAGGGGGAGATGGTGGCGCACATGTGAGAGCCGCGATGGGCTTGAGAGGTGGAATGGGAAAGTGCTGTCGGCAGTTGCGGGTTGCAGCGGCGATATCCTCTGGCTGCTGGATCGGACTCGGGGATAGAGGAGGCCCGGCGACTGCAAATGCAAATAAAGTCGTGACCGCCAGCGAGGCTGCCAGATAGAAGGGTTTCGGCAACAGCCACAGAGACAGTAGAGCGGGGTCTGCCCAGCCCGCCACGCCTCGGATGTAGTGTGAGGCTGTGTTGCTTCGAGGGTCTTGAGGATCGAGGCTATCGACACAACTGAAATGATTGCATGGCGAAGATATGGTCGACCACGGACAAGGGACGAAGCCATTCTTCAGACCACGCCGATTGATAGTTGACAATGCAGGGCTTGTCTATCGCCAGAAAACATCAACGCCTTCGACAGCCTCGTCGCTAGCGCTGTGATCCACAGTCAACGACCTTGCTTCGCGCACAGCGGTCTTCTGCGATTTGAAGTATGCCGACGAGGCCACGGTCGCCGAGGGAGAGACATCGTCCGGCAAGGGCATGCTGTTGTGCCGCGTGTAGCCCGGCGCCGTTGTCGAGAACGAATGTAAGCTTGGGCCGGTCGAAGATGGGCCGGCCACCACTTTGCAGGTATCGGAGGTGGCGACGGTGGCAGAGGTGTGGGACTTGGGCGATGGTCCTTGACGACCGTCCCGGATATAGTCGCTGGCTGAGTCATCGGCATCACGGACAAACTGCTGGACGACCGAGTCAAAGGACTCGAGGTCCTGCACAATGCCGTTGGTCAGGAACACGTTCCTGTTGATCAGACACTGGTGAGTATACAAGCTAAGGGACATGAACTCCTGGGCAATCATAGATGTCGCGTCACTATAGACTCATCGGCAGCCCCCAGCATCCAGCCATGCAGAACTGCGCCATTTGCTCAAATCATTGTGGCGGAAGGTCGCTCCTTACCTCGTTCGATCGACTAGCTCGTTGGGAATCTCACTTGCGTCGTGAGCACGGGTTTCCGACGGTGGCTCGGGCAGTGATGCGCGAGGACTCTGGGCCATCTCGGGCCCATCCTCGATATCCATAGAAGACGAACGTTTTTTCAAGAGCTTGGAGGGCGAGAAGGATTGCACGTACTGGTCCACGTACGAACGAAAATCGACAGCGTCACCCGAGGCGTCGGCGGCATCGGCACTGGCGGCGAGATGTAAAGTCTCCGCATGGGCGAGAGCGATGGTGTCGGCGTCGTTGTCGGCACGCGTCATAAACGTAGCTGATGGACTGGCCCGATGGGAATCGGGCGAGGGAAGGGCAAGGGGCGGACACGAAGCAAGATCCGACCCCATGAAGGGAGAGCGACAGCGCGCGGCGTTGACGGGGGTGGGTCGAGGTGTTGGGGAGAGGTCGCCCGATGGATGATCGGCACAGCAACAGTGACCGCGGGGCTTGGGGGTTGGCGAGGGAGGGAGCCACAGGTCCGAGTCGTTGCAGAGCTCCTCGAGGTTCAGGGCAGCAACGCCGGCGAGCGAATCGTCAGCCAGTTGCGAGGATCGAAGATGCATCTCGTCGCTCCGCGATCGCGGTCTGGTCTTTCGTATGGCCCTTGGAGAGTAGTCACAGCTACTGCCGTCGAGGACGCTTTTGACCGAGTTTGGCGTCTGGGTCTTGGAGTCAGGAGAACAGTCGGCGTCGCCCAAGCCACTAGAGACGAGCAGAGGACCGACGCCGTCGCTGGCAGGTGAGGCGATTGAGCAGGAGACATCGGCGAGGTCGCTGGGCTCGCCGGGCGAGGCATGGGACGGCGGATCGTACTCGTGCAGCTTCCGCCTCCACGAGCGGATCATGCCGTCCCAGCATCGCTTGCTGCAGTTCATGTGCTTATCGGGAGTCTGGGGCTCGCCCCGCTTGCGCTTTTCCCTGCGAGACCGGTCATGGGACGAGTGTCAAATGCATGGATGCGATTGCGGCGACCAAACCACCGACGGCGGTCAAGCGAGCGGTAATCCAAAGGCCCAGAGATCTTTTGGGCAGATATGAATCCGATTGGTGGCAGCAGCGAGGTCGGATGCACTTACTTTGGCACCTGGTCAAGGTAGCGCTTGTATCCGATCGTATTCTGCACAGGAACGGAGCGAGTGGCATGATGAGTTGCCATCGCCGAGCGTCTACGTGGATCAGCCTGCAACAAATGCTGTGCACGTCAGCGCCGGCTGCAGTACCTTGCCAAAGTCAATCTGCTTCTGGCGCTGCTCGAGGCGCCGGGCCAGATTGGACGGTTCGCTCGCGGCTGCAGACGAGTACGACGACTGGGTACGCAGACAGTCAAAGAGCGAGTTGGTGGTTGCGACCGAGCGGTCGGTGTGGGTGGTGGCGGTCTCGGCCAGCGATCCGGTCATCGAGAGAGTCTCCTCGATGATGTCGCTGTCGGTGTCGCCAATCAGGGAGGGGTTGGAGAGCGTTTCACGGCTTGAGACTGATGCTGCCACTGCAAAGAGCAAACGAGCAGATACAAGGTCAGGCGGCCGAGGTCATCCATTATCAAGGAATACGATGCATCAGGCAGATCAGAGAAAGGAACGGGTATCATGGGCAGGGCATCGTGGCGAAGGACATCCTCATGAGGAGAGCAGGGGTCTCGAAACGAATCAAGCAGCGGCTCCTCGTTGAATGGGCTGCCCCATCCACCATGCGACGCATCGACAGAGCATATCCGCGTGCCACCGCAATACCGATGGCGGACCCTCACAGTCAACGACAGCCAGGCCGGGCCAGACACCACGGGCGCACAGAGAGGGGGGACCAACCTTCGTTCTGGAGATGGCTGCTGTTGGAGGACGCCATACTTTCTTCTGAATTGGAGAGAAAGGCGTTCTTGGGATGAGGATGTTGTCGTCTCGGGTGGTGCTGCGGATTGCGGTTTCCAAAGTGTGAGGACTTTGTGGAGGCAACCCCACCGCCCCTCACTCGGAAGCCTTGCTTGGAACTACTGTGAAAGCCGTCTCGGTCGGAATGGAATGCGGCGCGGACAGGACCGGGGTGGCGATGGACAACGGACTGGATGGGTGGATAGGGATAGGGATTGCCGACGGGGAAGTGGATGCGCTGCATGGGCGGGCCATGGTGCAGGGCGCCGATGGGGTAAGGCTGGGGTGGGAAGACGGGATAGGGACTGGCCTGGGGAGGAAAGCAGGCCGGGTTGAGAGGAGGGGTATTGATGCCGTACAGCAGGCCGTCGGGGCTGATGGCAGGAGCCAGAGGGGGATAGGGCATAGGGGGGGCTGGCACAACTAGGACGTTGGGAGCGAGAGGGGGCGGCGCACGACGATGCTCATTAGGGTATGGATAGTAAGGATTCATCGAGAACCGAGCGATGAGGAAGGGAGGGGGTGGATGATCAGAAACCAAGGGCTGTGTCTTTGGCGGTTTCGAACATAAATTGGCGAGAGTGGAAGGCTGGCTTCACGACGAAGGGATGGGATGGGATGGGATGGAGGGGGTGATATTCTTGGGTGGACAGGAGATGGGATGGAGAGACGGCCAGAACCCGAAGAGATCAAGCCAACAGGGGACGGGAGGGGAGAAGAAGGAGTGAGGGAAGAGGGGGTGAGGGAGGAAAGGGGTGAAAGGGAAGAGGTGAGCAAGACTCAACCCGAGGGCAGCAGCACCTGGACAGCGCTGGGTGAAGACGAGAAAGAAGAATCGGAGGGCGGCGGGAGCAAGCGCAGAGCAAAAGCGGGTGGCGAATCGGCGAGGGCGTCCCGCGAGCAGGTCGGGGAGGGGAAGGGAATGGGCGCTCTCGGCGATGCACAATAACGGACGGGGATCGATCGCACTTGGAAGGTGTTGTGCCGACAAAAGGAATCGAAAGCACCGATGGATCTCGAGCAGGACGCGGACGGATCGAAGGGAGGAGGGAGGCAGCGGTCAGAGACGAACGAACAGATCGGCAAACGATCGATGCAGATGATCTCTGGAGACGATGGCAGAGCCCAGGCCCGAGAACGAAGGCGACAGAGTTGCGGGACTGGCTCGGTGGACTCTGCTTGGGGAGGGAGTGGCTCTCGCAGCGACAGAGGCGGTAACAGCGATGATAATAGCAGCAGAGATGTAACAACAGCAGAGGTGTAACAACAGAGATGCAGATGCAATAGGCCAGTGGAGGTGGGCGATGGGTCTTGGACCAACCAGCCGGGCAAGCGAGAGAGAGGGAAAAAGGGAAGCGATGGCGGTTTTTGTTGGCGATGCGAAGCACTCGAGAGCGCCGAAAGTGGACCGCCGACGAGGCCAAAGGCGAGACGAGAAGCAGTAGGGTTGTGGGTGGAATCCAGAGCAGGCAGCGCAGCAGGCATGCAGGGCACCAAAGGCATGCAAGGCGGGAGTGTCTGCGAGCGCCGTCTCTGCCAGGGAGAAGAAGCGCAGGTCGGCAATCTGCGTCTGCTCGCCGGTCGATGCAACTGTAGACAGGGGGTTTGCAGTGGTCAATGGCGAATTGGCACCGGGATGCACCGCAATTCGGTTTTTGCTCTTGCCCGAGATGAACGAGAGCGGCCAAGTGCAGGGACGGGCGGGCTGACAGGGTTAGGGCACTCTGCGATCCCCCCCCCTCGCTCCTCATGCCGTTCCCACGCACATCCACCGGCCTGTGGCATTCAGTCGTGCTGGTGCCGATGTCGCCTCAGCGGCGGCAACTTGCTTCTCCAGGATCAATGTCCATCGCTGCCCACGCGATGCTGGAAAGTACCCACAACAACACCCACCGCACTGCTGATATGGACGCAAGTATCCTGGCCAGCCACGCACCCACTCGACAATACACGTCCGCGGATGCTCGCAGCCGCATGCCATCGTGGGACACCAGGATCTGCGTCTAAACGACGTAACTCGTGGTCAGGCTGGGATGTGTCCACCGGAGCAGCCCATCGTCTCCGGCGTCAGGTTGGATGGCAGCCCCACTGCAGAGCACGGAACTGGATCGGCACTGCTCAGACAGGACATCTCCCCAATGAAATAGCATCATCGAGGGGCATCCATGGGGCCGCGCCCTCTGCTCCAAACACCTTGGATGCTTCCGGGAGGAAAGGCAGCCAGCAGCGACGACCATGTTCCCACTGTGCCACGCCAAGACTGCAAGGCAGATCGACACAATCGACGGGCCTGTGTTGGCGGCATCGCTCTTGACAAGCGCGCAAGCTGCTGCAACACATGGTCGCTTCATCGGCGTCTGTGAATATCCGTCATGGCCGAGACCAAAACACCGACTTGCCATGGATTGCCGGCGGTGGGAACTGGGTCGATCGCCGTGTGTGTGTGTGTGCTCGCTGTGGCACGGTGCCATGGACTGCCGTTGTTTGTGTGCGGCAGAGGAGCGGCACAGGCAGCTGTCTGGACACAGTCTGTGTGTGCGGCAGATTTGTCCAGGGGCCGGGGACCGGCGCGCTCCCACAAGCCGCGCGGCGCTGTCTGTGTGCCCGACTTCGCACGACACTGTCGCACAAGATCATATGCGCAGCACATTCAAACTCCGACATGCGCGTCGCGCGTCGCGCGTTGGCCGTTCTCGCTCGGGCGAGACGAATTTCGAGAACGCAGCGAGAGGGCCGCGCGGCTGCCGCGGTGGAGAGATGTGAGCGCGAGCGGCCAGAGACAGCCAGGGTGGTGGCGAGAGGCTGTCTCAAGGCGGCCACGGGTCGATGCGGTCCTGCATGTGTCTTTTGCTACGGGTCCGGGTGCAGTTGCAAGCGTAAGCGCATCGGATACGGCTCTGGTTGCGGTTTTCTCGCTCGGGTCTGCGCGTCGGCGCTGGGTCGTGACTTGACACACTTTGCACTCGCTAGATTGTGATGGCTTGCGACCAGCAAACCATGTGCAGCGGCGACCCCCCAACAACCTCTGAATGAAGAGGGTGGGTCGCTCTCCAGTCTCCACGATCGCCTTCTGTCGGGCCGCGCATTCATTCGATGCAATATCTGCGCTATCGTCACAACAGCATGTGTCTCAGCATGCACCATCCCTCGTCCAACTTATCCAGCACCAACAGCGATTCGAGTAGTTTCCCGGATGCCCAGATGCGCCGCTCACGCCCATCGGCGTCCTCCTGGCTTGACTCTCCTGCAAGCCGCTTCCAATCACGCACCCTCTTCGATTGTGTACTGCTGCCCCTACCATTCTTGCAAGTGAACCAACCCCGTCTCGATAGTGCGAATGCAGCGCTGGACCGAGTGGGGTTTCAGTGTTGATCCTTCATACTCCAACAGCATGCTTCCAGCATACGCATATCGTCTCGGCGCATCGCCGGCCCGACAGAAGAGTGCCCAGAATGACATCACCCCGCTCGGTACAGTCTCTTCACTCGCTCCACAGAGTCCTGCTGTCCCGCTGCCTGATTGCTGCGTCGAATCAAGGAAAAATGGCCGATAGCCTCCTCCCCTTGGCCAAAGTCTGCTCATTTGCCCTTCGCCTTTGCCCTTTGGTGCAATCCCCTCCCTTCCCTTCCACCAACTCTCGCCTGCATCGTTCCGTGCTCCAGCCCCTTGACCGTCCGCTGTTCATTGTTTCCAAGGACACTTTTCGACTGCAGCCTGGCGAAAGCCCACCGCCGACTCGACTGCACTTGACTCGACCGGTCAATCCATATTCTCGTCACTCGCTACGCCGCACCGACGCTTTCCCCCTGGACCGGTGCTTGCCCGGCTTCGCATCCGACATTTCCGCCGCCATGTCCTATCACGAAGTCATACCCTTTCTTCCGGGAAATACTTTCCGAGACGTGACGGTACGCACCTGGCGACCGCACACTCGCTCGCATATCGCATGTTCTCCTTCCCCACCTGCTTGAGTTCATTGCGCTTCCTATGCCCACTTGGACTATTGCTGTCAACAGAGTGACACGCACTTCACCGCCCGCCACTTATCCGATGTGCATCCCGCCCGCAAATCACCGCCATACCGTATGTGCAGAAATACGATTACCGCAAGCCCCATTCGCTCGACTATGTCAATGGATATGCAGTCCAAAGGGCTCCGCTCTTGGGCATCGGCCTGACTCCTCTGGAAGAACGGCAGCTCCCATCGCCAGAGGAGCTGATGAGCACGATGGGCACCGACCCCAAGATCACCTACGGCTCGAAGCAGTACCACACCAAGAAGCTCGAGCCCCGCTTCGTGCCCGCCCACGTTGCTTTCGACAAAGTGGTGAGTCCTTTTGTGTGCCAGCGGCCCTCTCCCGCTCCTTCCTCGATGCCAACGAGCGGTCCCTGGAGAAAGGATGGCACACACCCTTCCACCAGTCGAGATCGTCAGCATCCCTTTCAGGACGGGCACCCACTGGTCGACAGCACCTACTCAACCGCCACCCTTCCGCGACTCTGCCGCAACCATTTGCTGCCTTGATCCGCCTGCCCATACTGACCTCGCTCATCCATCGAATCGTGAACCCCGCAGGTCCTCCGTTTCGACGGATACTTCAAACAGACTGTGCACGAGTCCGTCGAGCAGTTCCATCTCCGCAAAGTGCGCATCCACTACTTTGTCGAGGACGACTCCATCTCTGTGGTGGAGCCTCCGGTCGAGAACTCGGGCATCCCCCAAGGCGTGCTCATCAAACGACAGCGCCTGCCCAAGAGCTCGACGGAGTACTACACCATTCGCGATTTCAATCTGGGCATCAACCTGACCTTCTATGGCAAGACCTTTCGCATCACGAACTGCGATCAGTTCACCGAGGTGCGTGCATGTGTGCGGATGTGTGAGACGGAGTTCATGAGGCGACCGTGTAGATACGATGATGTGGAGTACTGCGAATGAACAGATACGGAGTGTGCAGACCGTCCTATTTGGAGCGAATGGGAGAGAGGCGACCGATCAGAGCAGATGGGCGGCAATCTGTGGCCCTCTGCTGTCGGCCCACCATCCAGGCATATTCGTGACAAGAGATCGTTAGGGAAACTAGAACCAGCTCGTGCCGTGGTCTCCACGAGTGCAACTGCAGCTGATCTACTGACACGCCCTGCATTCCCCTCCAACAGAGATACATGCGTGAGACGGAGCATATCGAGCTCAACCCACCCGACAAGATGCCCGAGGACCCGCACCAGTTCACTCGCAACCGGCCAAGGGGCATGTCCCGTCACAAGGTCGAAAAGATCGACAAGCTGCAAAGGTTCCTGGAATACGACCGCATGGTCCTGCGGTTCTTTTGTGTCTGGGACGACCGCGAGTCCATGTTTGGCGAGCTAAGAGAGTTTGTATGTGTCCTGGATCCTCCAGTACTCCTGCATCTCTCTGCCACGGCGGCAATACCACAATCGACTTTGAGCGCCTTCCTGAGCCATCCCCACTGACTACAAGCACTGCCCACATACTCGCCATCATCGCATCGCATCTCCATGCCCCATGAACGCAGGTGCTTCACTACTACCTTGTCGACGACTGTGTCGAAGTTCGAGAGGTCCGCAAGCCCAACAACGGCAGAGACCCCTTCCCCATCCTGCTGAGGCGTCAGCAGCTGCCCAAATCTTTCGACGAGCTATCAAGTAGGGGTCTGCTTTACGGGGCTGGTCAACCTGCGAGTGGATTGCCGTTATGATCACATGCGCTGCGCTCGCAGACATTCCGCTGCTGTTGACTGGCGACACCTACCTGATTCGCCGTCGATGGCTTGATCACATCGTCACCTCATTATGACAGATGCAACTGACTGCGCAAAGTATACGTGGAAAGACTTTCGTATCGGCGGCACCATCAATGTTCTGGGCCGCCGATTCTTAATGTGAGTACCGATGCTGTGCCCTGTGCCCTGTACCCTGTGGCCCGACTCCCGTACGCCGACAATCCGGGCTCTCCGTTGACAACATCCTGATGCAATCCAAACGCTCAGACGCGACTGCGACGACTACACCAAAGAGTATTATGCAAAGAACCTCGGCATCCCCATGTACGAGATGCGGGCCATTCCCTTTGACGACGGCGAGCGCAGGCCCCAGGACGGAGAGATTCCGCCTTACAACGGCTTTGGATCGGTCGAGGACTCGCTGGGCTCGTGCAAGTACCTCGTGCTGAAGCCGCCAAAGAAGGACTTTATCAAAATGCTCGAGAACGAGCACAAGGTTCTCCGGTTCGTCGCTCGGCTGGTAAGCGGCACCGAATCGAATGATCACGTTCGAGCCGTCGATCGAGACCGCTCACGACATCATCATCATCGTCATCGCCATCATTGCAGGACACCCGGAACAAGGAGGACAAGGGCCGGCTGTTTGTCATAAGCTACCGCCTCGCCGACGACATGATGACCATTTACGAGCCGCCTCAACGGTATGCTTTGACATGGCCGCTGCAGTTTGGTGGACGTGATCTTTTTTTCAGATCCACCTGTGCACCGGTATTGCAGGCCGGCTGTGATCCAAGGGGCTCTATCGCTTGATCCACTTGTCCGGGTAGTTTGCTCAATGGATTCGTCTGACCCTTGTCTTTGCCACCGATTCATTCGCACCACCAAATGCAACCAACACACTTGTGGTTGGCATCCGTCCGCTGCTGCCCTACAGAAACGCCGGAATCATTGGCGGAAAGTTCATGGAGCGCACCAGGGTGCTCAAGCCCGGATCGTCGCTGTCGTCGCCCGAGGGGCCGAGCTACTACGAGGCATCGGATCTCTATGTCGGCGCCGCAATCGACGTCTTCCACCGCCGATTCATCTTGCTCGATGCGGATGAGTACGTCTTCAACTACATGGAGAACTTTCCGCACCAGTTCCCATTCTCGGACCCAAGGCATGTCCTCAGCAAGGCCAAGGCATTCATCCGCGGCCGCGAAGGCAGCATCCGCACGGCGCTGGAAGACCGCTGCCAGAAGATTGACCTCGGGCACTTCAAGGTCGAGCGCAAGGCCCTGGTCGATACCATGAAGTGCATCTGGGAGGGTGCCTTGACACAGCACGTATGTAGACGGGTTAACGAATTGGATCGGGAGAGAGTGAATGGCGATCCTGCGCTGGAATCGGGACATCTCTTTCGGGACATCTCTTTCGGGATGTCGTATTCGGGATGTCGTATTCGGGATATTTCATTCGGGATATTTCATTCGGGATATCGCTTTCGATGGATGCTGACCCCATGGTCCGTTCTGCAGGAGGCGATCACGCTGGCTCGCCAGGTCGAGGACGAGAATCGTCTGGTGGACTACCGCAAGCTCATCGCTCTGTTCTAACACCGGTGGCTCTGCCTTAACAACTCGCTGCTCTGATAAACTAGCCGCGGAGCACACTCTCTGTGCTGCATCCCACCGGGAGATTGAGACTCTATCCGTGCTATGCCTTCTGTTTCACGTCTCCGTTCCTAGGCTCTTGGGTGCAGCACCGTCGCTCGCCAAGGGCCGCACTGTCTCTGTTCCGTTCTTCCTCCTGTCCCGTCTCTGATGATATATTTGGGCTCGTTAATACAGCTGCGGATCGAGCCTTCGGTGCAGTTCCGTCCCTTGGTCTCCAGCTGCCCAGCTGCTCAGTCCAGACCAGGCGCATCGAATCGCCAGGCCCTCCCAAGCCCCCGCCCGTTTCTGCTCTGTCGCCGATCAAGCCGCTGCCCCCGCTTGCCAGCGACACTTGATCGCCTCCCCTCCTCCCAGCACATCTGGAACTGCAGCCAATAGCCATGCCTGCGCCAAAGCCCAGCCAGATCGATGCTGTGCCGGGATTCATCGTCGCCGAGATTGTCGCTGCTCAACCCAGCTGCTCTCCGTCCGCACTCCCGCCTGCTGTCGATGCCATCGACGATGCCGATCCGGATCCAAGCGCCGCACTGTCGTCCCAGAAGCTCACGGCAGAGACCATCCAATGCACCCTCGACCAGCTGAATCAGGCCATCTCGGATCTCAGTGTACGATATCGTGCCCTTACCTCTCTCGATTACGCCGCTCCCGGTCGTGATGCTGTTCGCTGACTCACTTTCTCCTCGACGCATTCTCTCTCCTTTCACCAGTTCGAACTGAGCCATCACATCGATACCCATCCAGAGCTCTCCACGTTTCTGGGCGATTCCCAGCGTATCGAAGGACAAGCTCAAGGCTACTTTGCCGAGCTGGATCGTCTCTCGACCGAGCTTCATGAGCCGCAGGTTTGACCCTGTTTGCTGCACAATCCTCCATTGCTGCTCAACCACAAATCCGCTTGAGCACTGTCCGCTGGAACAGCCACATCGAACTCAGTACCCCGGGGATTCATGCTGCCCTGGTTTTCTGACGTCCGCTTCCACATCCAGAATGGATTCCTGGCCAAGCTCAACGACGCCAATCATCGACAGCAAGAGGCCAGGAGCAAGCTCGATGCCCTCGAGACCTATCTGCACATCCTCATGAGTCTCTCCTCGGTTAGTTTTGCAACCTACGCTCCACCCGGTCTATCTCTCTGCCTTGCTCCGCCCGCTCTGTTTCCATCTTAACCCCATCAACCGGACATGGCCTCATTGCAGTTTCATCAAGGCTCAACCGTGTTTGACTCAGCCCTTGGCCAGAAGGAGTTCCAAAAGGCGTCAGTGATCCTGTCTTCGATGGTGGGTATCCAGTTCGTTGTCCACAGCTTCGCTTCGCTGCTCATGATCCATGCGCAAGTGCAGGGAGGCTCCTCATGGATCGTGGTGGAGGTGGGACATTACGGGTAACTCAATCCCTCGCCAACCACATGCTCATTCTCTCATACGATTCATCCCATTGCAGGAAGGCGCCTTGGACCAGCTTCCGAAATGGGACGACGTTCATATCTTTGCCCAAGTCCAGGTGGGATATCGACTCCCTTGCATGTCTGCTGTCTTCAGCGCAGTTTCAGGCGAACATCTTGAATGGCCGTGAATGCGGAATCGCACCAGGCCTCCTCGCTCAACGGCGGGCTCGGTGTTAGATCGATGAGGTCGACATAGTGCTGACCGACATTCCCGACACTCGCACTATCTACACCACCCTCATCCCCATCCTCATCTCGGCCATGGCCCGTGACCATCAACCAGGCTCGATACGACACCTGCAACCAGATGTTCTTGGCCAGACTGGAGCTGACGCTCTCGGATCTGCTCAGCGCCGACACTGACGACACCAGCGGCATCATTGCGGCCAAGGAGTACTACGACGGATGTAAGGCCAGCACATGTTGTGATATCCATCAGCGCCTGCAGTGGCTGAGGGTCTCGATCCGCTCGTCGCCAAGAACACACTATACCATCCCACGACAGCAACCAACCTGTTACTCACGCATGCCTTCTTGCACTTTCACGTCATCGCAACACCACTATCGCCGACACAGCCCGTATCCTCCACCCAGGATCAATCTTCTCTGCGGCCGCATCGGGGCATGGCGCAGAACTTATCGCTCCATGGCTGCGATTCTGTCTGCGTGCTCTTGAGGCTGTGCTTTCCAGCCCCGCGAGCTCTTGCTCTGTCACGACAGAACCAGATAGTTCCGACAGGGGCTGTCTTGTCCACCGCCTCAAGTACGAAAAGGCCGACGAAAGTTCGGAGGCCCCTTGGTCTCAAACCTCGCCAGGTTCGGTCATTCTCCACGCTGCTGAGCAGATTCCATCAGACCTGCCGTCAATCAGTTGATTCTTGATGGCCATCAGGCGCCTTGAGCGTCCTCAGACGCCATCTCCAAGAACCAAGTGACAATTCCATCACAGCCAGCGACTGACGCTGCCTGTATCTGTTGTGTGCGCTGTTCTTGACTGCTGGCAGATGTTGTCTTTTCGAGGCTGAAGGAAATCATGCGCTTCCTCGTCACGCATCTGTTCTGCTTCGACCTGACCGAGATCAAGGACAAGAGCGACACGACCGGATACACGCACATCTTCCGAGAGCGCTTCCGGCAGTTCTACGCAGGCGACATTGCGCCCCGCGTGATCGACAAGTATCTGGCCAAGTGCGTCCCTGAGTCTCTCGAGCAGCTCGACGGCTTCAAGATTGTGAGCCAAGCTTGCTCTGTATTCGAGAACGAGCTGCTTTCCGGTGGTGAGTAGCTCATCAATGCGAGGCTTTTGCAAATAGCGCGGCCTCGGTTATATGGGCTAGACTCGATGCAGAACCCGAGATGCCGACCGCCCGTTGCGGCTCTGACTGGACTCGGAAATCTCATGAACCATCTCCCCATCTCCATCTCCATCTCCATCTCCATCTCCATCTCCATCTCCATCTCCATCTCCATCTCCATCTCCATCTCCATCTCCATCTCCATCTCCATCTCCATCTCCATCTCCATCTCCATCTCCATCTCCATCTCCATCTCCATCTCATGGGCTGTGTAGGCTTGATTGAGGATCAAGACAGGAAGCTGTCAGAGTACTGCTCCAAGATTGACGAGCATTTCATCGCTCAGACAACACTGACGCTTCTGGAAAAGGTCCGTGCCGTGCTCGTCAAGTCCCAATACGATACCGTCGATGTCAAGGAAGGCAGCGACCAAGGTAGATCCTGCTGGCCCAAACGCCTGTGCTGCTGCTCTTTTCCATCGCACGACACATATCCAATCCTTGACGCGGCGTGGATGCAGCCTGTGGTGAAGCTGGCTGGCAGCACTAACACCAAGCTTTGCTCTTGTTGTCACGAAATGCGGATAACCAGTGCTGCTGCCAACATGGGTATCGAACTGCATCCCACCTTTGGCAAATACCACAATCGCAGTGCAAGCGACCGAGGCTGTTGCCTTTGACGGCTTGTTCCAGTTCCCGTCTTGCGCCATCAGCGCCCGGACGGTCAAGTTTCTCAAGCTGATTTCATCGACCCTGTCCGATGCCCTCAAAGTGAACAACGCCAGGTATCATGTTGGCCCGAGTCCCCCGCCCCGTGCTCGTCGTTGCTGCGATCAAGCAACTTGCTTCTCAGACACCGATGCGGCTCAGTGACACACTTCCCCGTGACAACACATCCGACCAGCACTCCCAAGCTCTTTGACAGCGTGCGGGAAGCTCTGGACTTGTACCGCATCGTGATGCCATCGGTGCACTCGACAAAGTTCGACAGCGTGCCCCAGCTGTGCATGGTCTTCCACAACGACTGCATGTATATTGCCCACCAGCTGCTGTATCTCGGCATTCCCTTCCAAACTTTTGCTCTCGGCTCGCACAAAGGCGTTCTGAGCTTCACCGACTCTGTTGTCGAGTTTCGCAGGCTGGGCGAGCGCTATTTCAACATGCAGCTGGTGAGTCTGGAGGAAAGGTCGTCGCGGCTCGACCAAAGCAAAGCTGCTCTTCGTTTGGCAACTCACAGATTCGGCCCTTGTCGCAATCGAGAATGTCTGTGACGACTAGCGCTGCCGATTTGAGCTCGGATACAGCGCAATATGTCCAAGATCTGAAATACGCCGCGGAAACCAAGTCTCTGACAGCGCGGCGGGTATGCTCTATCCTGCACAGACTCGCCAACGCGACAGCTTGATCCAGAGTATCGCCGAGGCAGACGGCTTTGGCATGCAGGACGACGCACGAGAGGCACAAGTATCCAAGACGATCAAGCTTGTGTCCCACCAGCTGAAGCATCTCGCCAAAGTGTGGAAGGTGAGCGATGCCGCTGTCCCATCCTTGTGAGAGCGCAGGAGGGATGCTCGTGCTGCGACGAGGCAGCGGCTTTACTCTCACGATCCATCGGCTAACCAGTCGTGCTCTGGACACACACGTGTTTCCAGTCGGTCTTGCCCGACTACTTATTCCTCAAGGCGATGGGTCTGCTCGTCGATGCCGTCATGGAGGAGATCCTGACGGAGGTCGAAGGGTTGATCGACATATCCAAGGACGAGTCGCTCAAGCTCAACAGCGCCCTGATCGAGTTTGAAGGCGAGTGCATCGAGCTGCTCCGGACACAAGACTACCAGCGCTACATACCGATTGTGAACAAGTTCCACCACCTTGCGCTGCTGATGGACTCGAGCTTTGCAGCGATCATGGAGAGGCTGCGAGCGGGCGAGCTCTTTGAGTTTTCGAATGGCGAACTGACTCGCCTCATCAAGGCACTGTTTTCTGACACACCGCTGCGGGCCAAGAACCTGGAGGAGATCCAGCGACGCAGGTGATCGCTGCGAGTGCAAGTGAAGAGATCACAGCCCGAATATATATAATACACTTGCAGTCCCATGTCGCCGCTGGATCCGCCGCTCGCTCTGGTCATGCTGGGTCCAAGAGAAACCAGGAGCAAAGCCAGCCAGCCAGCCAGCCAGCCAGCCATGCCGTGGCCGGCCGGCCCTGTGCGACGCCGCTCCGGTTCGCGCGGAGTTCGAAACGCCCGCGCCACGCAACGGAACCGCCGAGCCAACCTCCGACCTTCCCTCCGGATCTCGGTCGCCGCCCCGGCCTGTCTCTGTCGTTCTTGTCTGGCTGCTGTCTGGTTGCCGTTTGGCTCCTGTCTGGCTCCTGTCTGGCTCCTGTCTGGCTCCTGTCTGGCTCCTCTGTCGACCCCACATTTTCCACGCAGCCGCTGCCCCTCCCAGCAGTTCCCAATCTTTGCCACAATGTCCTTCGCTGTCGCTGCTGCCCGCTCGGCCCTTCGTCGTCCCGCTCCTCTTGTCTTCTCCCTTGCGAGAAGCCGGGCCTTCAGCTCCGTCATCGATGGTATGCGCCTCCTGCACAGTTGCGTCATCGCATCCCCTTTAACTTGCTGTGCCGTGGCAATCAAGGTCGATCTGCACAAGCCTGGGAGCTTTTCTGGCGATCCAGCCGATCGCTGCAGCATCCGGCATCCACAGCCTTGCCGTTCAAGATCCGGCAGGCCCCACAGCCACCAACCGCAGTGCCCAGCTCACCATATTTTCCCATCTGACTCATCGTCGCCCTCTCCAAAACCAAATTGATGCGATTCTGCCGGCCACTTTGCCCTGACATTACCGCCGATCTATACTGCGGAACAGCATCGAGTGGCCTGCCTGAGGAAGAGAAGGAGTTCCAGCTCCTCGCCCGGTCCTTTGCCGACAAGGAGTTTGCTCCCAAGATGCTGGAGTGGGATGAGAAGGAGCACTTTCCAGTCGATGCCCTCCGCAAGGCGGCCGAGCTTGGATTCGGAGGTAGGGCGTGACTGCCAGTGACGCTGTCGACCGCCGTCGTCCTGTCCTCAGTGTGCGTGGGCTCAACAAGCGTGGGCTCAGCAAGCATGGGCTCAGCACTCCCCCACCATCATTTACTCCTCTGTCTAACCCACTTTGCTCATGTCTCCGGCTGTTCTGGACCGGATCTGTGAAACTCCCGCTGGGCCGAAACAAACGCCTCAGCCATCTACTGCAATCCCGATTTCGGTGGAACGGGCGCCAGCCGCCTCCAGGCCAGCATCATCTTCGAGGCCCTGTCCACCGGCTGTGTCAGCACAACGGCATACCTCAGCATCCATAACATGTGCGCGTGGATGATCGACACCTTTGGCGCCGAGCAGCAGAAGGAAAAGTGGATTCCCCAGCTTGCGAGCTGCGAGGTATGCCGTGCAGCCCCGGACTGACGGGCTCGAGCTGCAGCAACGGATGCGGTATCTCGGCTGTGTGTTTGTGAGGGTCTGTGCTGGCCCAGAACTCACTGTCAAGCGTCATGACTGTCCAACAGAAACTCGGTTCGTACTGTCTCACCGAGCCTGGCGCTGGATCCGATGCGGCATCACTCTCCACGACCGCCAAGCGCCAGGGCGATCATTTTATCCTGAATGGATCCAAGGCCTTCATTTCCGGAGGAGGCGACACCGATGTGTATGTAGGCTGCAGTCCGTGTACTCGGCGGGCACCTCTGATACGAGCGTCCGTGGCTCACATCGTGAAGACTGGGTGCAATGTCGCCCTCGGCAATTCCTCTGCGGTCGCTCGGTTTGTTCCCTGACCTCTCGATATCCACCGCACACCTCTCCTGACACAGCTACCTGGTTATGGCCCGCACCGGCGGCCCTGGTCCCAAGGGCATCAGCTGCTTCTTGGTCGAGAAGGGCACTCCTGGCCTCAGCTTTGGCAAGAAGGAGCAAAAGGTCGGCTGGAACTCGCAGCCCACCCGCGGTAAGCATCTCCAGCAGGCTGTACATTCCTCCGCCAATGTCCCAGCTTCGTCTGCCTGAGTTGTGCGATAACCGGCCTTTGGACATCGGCCCTTGTCAACTCGCATCCCAACAGCAGCGACTCACTCAAGAGCGTTCTTCTCCCTCCAGCTGTCATTTTTGAGGACTGTGCCGTACCTGCCGAGAACATGATCGGAAAGGAAGGCCAAGGCTTCGCCATCGCCATGCAGGGCCTCAACGGTGGAAGGTACGTCTGCCTGCCGTCCGCTACGCTTTTGTAGATTGTGTTGCCTCCTGGTTCTCCAGCTATCGTCGTGGTACTTATGGTCTCTCATCTCTCACTTGCTGCCCTCCAGAGTCAACATTGGTGAGTGCTTCAAATCGTCGGCCAACGGTCGCAGAGTCAGTCGGCTCATTCCAGTCTCGTTTCTTCAGCTTCCTGCAGTCTGGGAGGTGCCCAGGGCGCCATCGAGGCTGCGCTGGAGCATGTCACCGTCCGCAAGCAGTTTGGCAGTGCCCTTTCGACTTTCCAAGTGCGTATAGAACCTGACGCCATACCATTCTGCCTGGCTGGCTCCGCTGCTCCGTCTCACACCCTTGCCTTCCGTACCAGAACGTACAATTCAAGCTCGCCGAGATGGCCATCGCACTCAACTCGTCACGCTTGATGGTCCGGAACGCCGCCTCGATGCTGGATGCCAAAGCCCCCGATGCCGCCGCCCACTGTGCGATGGTATGTTGGCGCCGATGCGCATGCTGCTCTCTGCATTCCAGCGAGTGAGAGGTGTGCTTGTTACTCGTGTGCTGTGCCTTACCCTCCTTCGTCTGCAGGCCAAAGTCCATGCGACGGACGAGTGCTTCAATGTCTGCAATACCGCTCTTCAGCTGCACGGCGGCTACGGCTATCTCAAGGATTACCGTGTCCAGCAGTACACTCGCGATCTGAGAGTCCACCAGATTCTCGAAGGTAAGCAGCACCGATTGCACCAAAATGTCCTGAGATCTGCATCACTCCCATCAGTGGACAGCATGCCCTTGCCACGGCCATATTCACAGCTGTGCCATTCGATATGACCACGTTTCGTTCCAGGCACCAACGAAGTGATGCGGATGATTGTCTCGCGAGAGCTCCTGAAGTGAGCCCGGCAATCGATGCGGCTGGCCAGATGTGTCTGGCGGGATGGATCCCAAGACTTGCGAATCTCGTACCGATGGAGTCTGGGGCCGCTCTGAGATTGCGTCTGCCAGTTCTGGCGATGCGTGCGCTATCCCTTTTGATTTGTGGTGCTGCCCTTGACTCAAAGCGAGAGGGCACAGGATCGCTGTTGACAAGCCGTTGTCACAGGCAGGGGACTGGGAGGGCTGGCTATGATGGAGCGAGTCTCTCCGCAGTCTGTAGCCATCCTGAGAAATGCCGGGGATGTCCCGACAATGATATATCCTTGTGCACAACAGCAGACTGGTGCAGGGCAACGATCTGGCAAGTCAAGGGCTCTGTCCTGCGAACGAACGCTTGCGAGCCATCGTGCCAGATCGAAGTCGGTCCGTTGGCCATTCCGAAAATGTCGGCTCCGTATCTGTCCACGAACGTCCGTTGCTATGAGCGTGTGGTCTCAGTGAGTGCCGCTGCTCCGCTATGCGGATGCATAAATGTGGTCTCCCCTTCGGGTGCTGGGGCTCTCGGCTGTTGAGCAAATGCAGCAGCAGGAGGGACCCAAGGCGGTCCGCAGAGAATCGAGGACAGCGATGGCCCGGAGAGGCACCTCTTGGTTCCTGATTCTCGATGCCTGATCGACCGAGGTTCCGATCCTGGTAGCAGCCGCTCAAAGCTTCAAGCGCCACGAACACCCCAGATCCAGCTCCAGAGTCCCAGCCAAGGCGGCTCCTCCAGGCATGATCCAGGGGAGATCTGGGGTGAGAAGCTGTTGATCTGGGATCGACGACAAAAAGCTGCCGCCGACCGAGAACACACCGAGAGCATACCGAGAACACACCGGGAGCTTCTCGTCCTGCCACACAGTCTGCCGCACCGATTGGCTGATTCGATCGCCCCGACAATCACAGGCGCCAGCCCGCATTGCACTTCGACGGCTGCATGGGCAGGTGCAGGCGGGTGCGATTTCGATTTCTGTTTGGTGCTTCTATCGGCGACGTTTGAGTCTGCAGCAAGATGCGCTCGAGCAACAAAACCAAATACACCGTAAGCCTCGACAACTATTGAGCCCACCCAAGCGACCTCTCGCTGACTGTTGTGTTCTATAGCTGCGCCGAGCTCTGTGCATCGTATTGGTCGCTCAATACACTATCCGGCAGCCAGTCTGGCCTTGCGTTGACAGTACGCCTCGTCCTACAGCTCACAGTTGGCTTCACCGCAAGTGTCTGGTCGCCATGGTACGAAGCCCAAAGGAGCGACGCTATGCGCCTGGGTGCCATGATGGCCGTCGATCGCATCAACAACAGCACGTCGCTCATGCGAGACGCGAGCATCCAGCTGGCTGTGGCAGAGGCAGACATGAACTGGGGCAAATCGGTAAGCCGCCGCCCTCGACACGCATCCCAGCACGCAAAACTCGGAGCTCCGTCGCGGTTCTTCGAAGCCGATGCTGTCCCAACAGAAACGGGATCGCCAGCTTGAAGCTGAGTTGCTGTTTCGTATCGCTCTCCCAGGCAGTCTCTGTCATTGATCTCAACAAAGCCGGAAACTTGGCTCTCATCATCGGAGACGTGACAAGCGCGATGAATATCCACTCTGCGGCAGTCAGCTCCTATTACGGCGTGAGTACCCTCGTTGCTGGAGTCGATGGAGCACAAGCAGACGTCAGCGAATGCAGCGCGAGTCGACCGGGGCCTGCCCAGGAAGGCTATCGTCGGCCCTGTCATCGACTCACCTTTAGTTCTTGGGAAGCCAGATACCTCATGTGTGCATTCTTTGCGCCGACGCATCTCTGTCGGATTCCGCCAACTACGGCACTTTCTTTCGAATGATGTCAATGTAAGCATCCGATCCTGTCTCGACTCTCCGCAACTGGCCATGGCACTTCGATAACCCTCATCGATCGACTGCAACAGGGGTGTTCCGAGGGAGCTTATAGCCGTGGCCTACCATATGGGATGGAGGCATATATCGATCCTGTACACGGTCGACGCAATGTCACTCTCGTCGCTGAACATGGCTCTCGAAGCGGCAGGCACCTACAACATGACCATTCTCACGACCCAAGGTGAGCCGGGGTGATACCGACCTATCGACAGCCACCGCCAAAGCCACTGCGATAGGCAGAGCATTGCATATTCTTGGGGGGGGGCGAGAGTGCCCTGGCCCATCTGCACTAACTTGATTACCGATCGCCCCAGCCATCCAGTTCTCCCCATCCGTCAATACATCGAACGGACCGGAGGTCATAGCCACACTCTCGCCCGTATACGAGATATTGAAGAATCTCCAAACCAGAATCATCGTGCTAATGTGGGTAGATCTCGATCTGTTGGGTGATGGATGATAGCGGTGGCTAGTAAGTGAAGGGGAGGAGACGTCGGTCGTCGTCATAGGCTTGGTGCCTTGGTGTCATCCGAAAGCAAGCTTTGATGGACAAAATCCACTAACATAATTACCATCACTCTCTATGTGCGCAGATCCTCCATATTAACCACGGACGACATTTACTTCAGCGCAGCGTGAGTGGCGCTTTGGTTGCCGGATAATCTATGCCAATGATTGCTGACAGTATCTCAACATTCTTCGCGGCTATTAGATATTGCGGTCTTGCCGGTCCTGGATATGTAAGTATGCCAAGGCAATTGAGGATTCCCATTTGACCCTCCCCACTTGGACCATGGACTCATGAATTCGCCGACTGTTTGGGACTCCAACGTGCTCTACTCGGCTGCCACAAGGTCTGGATCACCTTCAACACTATTGGAATGATACCCATTGATCAAATCATCGAAAAGTATGGCGCAGCAGCCTGGCAGACAGCTATGCATAACATTATTCTTCCCAACTACTCTCCGGTTAGCGTTCGCGTATGCTGAATGACCTCGCAGCGTATGTTGCAATCCCGGGTTTGATGGCTTGGACAGAGCTGAGCCAAGCCAGGCTAACCGAGCTGGCAACATCCGACAGAGTAACGATCAACAGTCGCAAGAGTACGACATCGTCCTCAGCCACTACGATTTCTATGTACAATACAAGACGGGGTACGGACTGCAAAGCATCCAAGCTCCTTGTGGAGGCGGCTCCATTCTCAATGATTGCGCTATTCATTTCTCAATGATCACATTGTCGTATCAAATCATGTCTTATCACATTATCTTATCCCTTAGATTCGGAACCACCGCATATGGTGACTACTATGCAAACAACAACACGAACGTCCCTTTCATGAATGTCTTGAGCGCATATGATGCGACCATGGCGATTCTGCTCACATGGGACAGGGTATATATTCTAGCTTTCCGGGACTGTGCGATGGCACTGGGCTCGTCTGGAGAGCCTCAAGCGCCGTCAGACCTACTGCGCGAACACTTCGATATGCACTCGGTCTTACGTCGCCTCCGTGATGACTCTGCAGATCCTGAACGAAACTGGATTCGAGGCCAATGCCATCTACAACGGCTCCTTAACTGGGAGCTGCTCGCCCCAAGCTGTCACGGACACCAAATACGTCGGCTGTCTGGATCTGATTGCGTACGTTTCAAATTAGGTCTCGTATCGCATTGGACAGGCTGGGTTTATCAACACATGCGCTGAGATTCACCCTGAAATGTCGGCCATTCATTCCAGCTTTGACGCCGACCACAATCTCGTCGCGTAAGTGGGTCGTGAACTGGTGCACGTCTCGTTACCGGTGGTAAGCTTATGGCTGCATCGGTGGCCCAGTCCCACGTATTTTTTCGCATACTCTCCCTCAGGGTACATACTGTGCGGAATAGACAATCAAAGCGGTATACAGTGGTACCAGAATGCCTCCGGCTACCAAATCATCAATTCAGTGTTCTCCAACGGGGTCATTCCAAGCGATTCGCCAAACTATACACTAGATCAGCTCCTCTACGGCGATCCCATGGCCACGTTTATCTTGGTGATATACACTGTGGCATTGGCTGCAGTTGCGGCATCCATGCTCGTGATTCTCAGAAACCCAGGGCATCCGTCGATCAAGCCGCGAAGCCCACTGTTCAACACCATTTTGATGGTAGATACTGCGCCGATCAATCGCCTGAGCACTATTTCTCCTGCCATCCGAGAAACACAGCCGCTTCCTATCACCAGCCCTGACGTGCTTGCTGTTCAATCACAGATCGGCGAGATTCAGTTCTTGGTTTCTGGCCTCCTAGAGATGCTGCATCCATCTCCGCTGACATGTATGTGTGCTGTCCGCTACTGCAAGGCCACTTATCTGCAACGGCTCCATATTTGTTGCGGGCGACAGCACATCTATCTCACTTAGTACGTGTCGCTCAACAGGCGTCGCTCAGCCATGGCTACTGAGTATCGGACTCTGCATGATGCTTGTGAGTTCCTTGTTCCTGTTACCCGGTCTATGCATCGCTTGAGAATCGATTTCCGCTTAGTATGCAGAGTGCACTGGCCCTGCTTTGCAGCGCACTGCTTGGATGCATGGAAATTGCTGACAGCCCTTCCATTCAAAGTCTGGTATCCTTGTCAAAACGTACCGGATATGGAGAATATTTGGTGAGTGCAACGCACCGAATCAACGCACCGAGTCAACGCACCATGCAGCATACACATTCGACAGCACTGCATTGGGACTCACTCCATATTGTCTCGTAGACAACAAAAAGTTCAAGGAGCGAGTCATTCCGGATTCCTTGCTGTTGAACGCCACGTTTGCCATCACATCTACAATGGTGGTATGTCCTGGCCTGTGGTGCGCGAGTTTCGGCGGAGGAGCAAGCCGACATCCTCTGGCGGGTAGGAGTTCATATTGGCCCGACTCACAGAACAACGACTAAACATGTCCCATCGCTGTGCCTGTGGCAGATCTTGCTTATCGGCTGGACCGTTGCCAATCCGGTTTCCGTCAGCGTTGTTCACACCTTGCAAACCGAGTACATCAGCTGCAGCTACCTCTCGTCCGACAACGTATTTTGGTGGAGCACGTCCCCCATAATTACCGCAAACGGACTGCTGCTTCTGGCCACGGCCATTCTGGCACACAAGACAAGAAGCGTTCCAACCCAGTAAGTGGATGCACAGATCGTCAGCGCCAGATGAGCAGCCATCGATCCGTGTTGACAGCCAACATTCAATGCGGCAGCAACTTCCTGGCCCCCACTCGAACGCTTTCCTCTGTGATGGACTGACTGGAATTCCCGCTCCTTGCATATACTCTGCCCATTGCAGATACGGAGAGTCCCTTCACATGGGAATCGCTGTCTACAATGCCTTGATCTGCACCATGCTCTGCATCGCCCAGATATACTCCAGTAACAACCTCGTGCGGACCAAAACGATTACCCGGCTGATTATCCAGCTTGTCGGTGTCGCTGTCTTTCATAGCGTGATGGTTGCACCCGTCATCAAGTCTTTTCTGGCGAGCAAGCTCGATAAGGCCGCGAGCAACGATTCGCGGTTCAAGGAGAGCGGCGTGAATCAAATCGAGCCCTCTGTACCGACATACGAGTCCGAAAAGGTACCGTGGTTATTTGCATTATTACGGTCAGATGGAGTTTACATGGGAAAGTGTTGCAGCGACATGCTCGCTCGTGGGATGAGCCGAACATGTGAGCGTGAGCGAGATTGAAGATCGAACCGTGACACCCAGGGACCGCGAAGGAAGCCGAGACAAACACTTGCGCACTATGGCTCGATCTCTGACGCTGCGTCCACAGGGAGGCAGCCTTATCCATACATTTTGCTGGAAGAAAGAGTCGCAGATATTCTCCCGCTGGTCTCCGATCAGGATCAGCTATATCCGAGGCAGAGACTCGTGTCTTGTCTTCACCGAGCCTGGCCCGCCGGTGAGTCCGTTGAAGCACAGACCCCACGAGGCGCAACATGGGGCCGAACTGGTGGCTCTGGCGCTATGCAGCACTCCAAACGGGCATGCTGTATCGGTTGCTCACCGCACTCTAAGGGGTCTCCATCGTCCGGAGCTTGCATTCTGTCATTGTGCCGTTGTACTGACTTGGTCGCCACTCTGCAGAAACTGGGGATATCTGTTCCAGTGTCGCTGGTGTTTTCGATCGAGCGGCTCGAGAAAGAGCCTTCGTGCTTCCGGATTGCCTGGCCGGATGAGTCGTATCTGATCGAGACGGGCGACGAGAAGCTGGCATCACAGTGGATTCTGTTGGTCAACAGTGACATTGTGCAGCTGGGTGGAACTGCAGCCTCTCCCGTCAGAATGAAGACAATTGGGGGAGCAGTGTAATCAAGACCGCGATGCTCAAGACCGAGCGACGCAACTAGGAGCAGCATCACAGCCATTCATCACGCTTTCGGTGGCGGTGTCCGAGGGCTATGAGCCGTAGATGGTGCAGATAGAATGAGGGATCCGTTCCTTTCAAATGACTGTATTCATCAGCAATATTCATTTTTTGACAGCGCATTAAAAACGGGGTACATAGAGGTCTGGAGGAGGTTTGGGCAGAGGTGGGCGGCGGAGAAGGCGTAGGAGAGACGACATCGATGCAAACAAGTCGACATCACGCTGACAGAGGAGGTTTAGTCGAAGGGGGGGGTACTTGGTCGACAGGCACCCGCAACAGGCAAAACATGGTGCGGCGCTCGATTCCGACATCGGCAGTCGCTCAGGCGGTGGTGAAGCCAAAGGTCTGGCTGGTGGAGCCAATGCCGCACTGGCCATATCCAATCCAGAAGAAGCCGTTGGTTCCCCAGGAAGTAGTCCAGGAGTTCTTGCAGAGCCAGGCCTTCTTGCTGTCGTTCCAGCCAACAATCGAGACGGCGTGGCCACCCTCCTGCTGGCTGGAGCGCTGCATGTACACCTGGTTGTTGGTGCAGCAGTTCATAAAGTCCTGGTCTGTAGACAGAGGCATCCAGGATGAGTACTCAGTCGTCAGGACAGGCCAAGCCAGGCCAGGCCAGGACAGCCCCTTCGCACACACAGCACAACCCATGCAAGCTTCGTTACTTACAGACGGTGAAGGCGGTGAGGACAGCGCCGTAGTTCATGATGTGGTTCTTGATCTGGTTGACGCTGCTGAACGAAGCCTGGGACAGACCGCCGGTTCTGGCACAGCCGCGCTTGCAGGTCTGGTCCTGGCCGCTTCCGGCTCGGTAAGGGAAGCAGCTCTCCTTGGCGACGCCGTTCTGGGAGATGGCGCTGGCAGCCGAGCTTGGGTACCAACCGGTGCTGCACTGGGCCTGGCCAGCAGCAAGGCAGAAGAAGATGTCGGCCTCGGAGACATCGATGCTGCTGCCCTTTTTGCTGAGGAAGGTGCTCTCGACGGTGGCAGCCGACGAGAAGGCAACGCAGCTGCCGCACTGGCCCTGGTCCTTGATCGACGAGACCCAGTTCTTGGAGCGCGAGTCCCAGGAGGTCGGGAGAGCAGCCGCGAGGAAGGCCTCGGTGTGGGCCTCGGTGGTGTCGCCGCCCTGGAAGTGATGGGAGCAGAACATGTCAGACGAATATCGGATGTACATGCAACGGCCAGTGGTGCCGTGGGCTTCAAGTCGCATCCGGTCGCAGAGTACTCACAAAGGCTTCGGTAACGAGCGAGTCGAGGGTCTCCTCATCGAGGGATTGCTCGGCAAAGCCCGAGTTGGCTGCGATGTAGTCCTTGGCCTTCTTGACGAGACCTTGGAAGGCAGGGTCGCTGTTTTGGGCCGTGTAGGCATCAAAGAGGCTCTTGGACTCGCCGGCCATGCTGGTGGTCGTCTCAGCGGAGCCAAGCACCTTGTCGAGCGAATGGCGGTACTTGTCCCATTTGCCACCCTTGGGAACCGAGGCAGCTTCGCAAGCCACAGAGAGCGCAAGGAAGGCCGTAACGGCGAGACCAGTGTTGAAGATCATAGAAGCGGTTGGTGTTGGAGGCAAGAGAGAGGGGTGGAGAGCTTGGGGCCGGCCTTTGCGATTTGCAGCGTTGGAAGCACCTGTGATGCCTCTCCAACCCTGGCGGGCGACGCTGGCTTTTTATGCTGGTCCGGCTGCGATGCGGGTATCGGGGGCTCCAAGTCGGCAACCGGAGTCGATGGAGGCGCCGAGTGCCCATGCTCCAAGCTAGGACTGCGGCTGGAGATGACCGGAAAGGCTCAGAAACAGCAGAACGACGCGTGATGGGCAAGTGCATCGACCCACTCGAAAGGCCATGACGTGGGTGAGACGGTGGGCGAGATGGGACAGACGCATGACCGACCAGGGGGCGCAATGGACGAGCCCACCATGCCCAGTTCGATTGCCGGGCTGGCCCGCAGAAGGTTTTCGGTGCCCCCCGGCGTGAGTGTGCGCCCCCCCCCCAGCAGCCCAGCCCAGGCGCATTCGGGTCTGGTGATCGAGGCGCCTGTTGCCCTCTGGACAAACCCGTGACAGGCTCGGTGGATCTTGCGGCGTGGGGCGCGAGGAAAACGCAAGAAACCTTACCATCCTGCGCATGACCCCGGCGATAGTCTCCTTGCCATCGGGGCCATGCCGACGCAAGGTTTTGCTGGCGCCTTTTCCGTTTCGACACTGCCCGGCCCATCCGACCTGCGGAACGAGCCAAAGGAAAGCGCCACCGCGATCATGGGCGGCTCCAAGGGGGCTCCATGCCACGGCTGCGGCTCGATGTGCTGAGCTGTCCTTTCGCAGACCGATGGCCGCTTGGTCTGCTGGCAGAGACGATCAATGCGTCCGTTCCAATCGGCGGACCCGGGCCGCGAGAGGGAGCAACAGTGGCTCCTTCCGGGTGTGCTTCGGGGAGACATGCTCTTTACCTTGGGTGGAGACGCTGGTGGCTGTGCAGCGTTGCCATGTACATCCGCTGATCGCAGTGGATCAGGTTGGGCTTGGTGGCCACGCCGCCCCAGACCACGGAAAAGAAAGGAGCCACCGAGTGCCCTTGCGCACAATCCGCTTGACCAGGCCAGCCCGGCTCGAGATGCTGGTAGACAACAGATACGACAGTGCGTATGGCCGCGGCAAAGGTATATTCAATACTTGATGTGGCCATAGTAGCGAGGCGCCAGGATGCAGTCGCGCACTGAGCTCATGCCAGTGATGTACTGGAGATAGCGCTCGAATCCCATGCCAAATCCGCCATGCGGCACAGTGCCGAACCGGCGCAGGTCCAGATACCACTCGAGCTCGCTGCGGTCTATCCCGGCCCGCTCGATGTTGGAGAGCAGCGCCTTGTAGTTGGACTCGCGAAGACTTCCTCCAACGAGCTCGCCAACCTTCGGAACCAGCAAGTCCGTACACGACACGACCTTGCCAAGCAGCTCGTTGGTCTTGGGATCGACGGCGGGGTTGCTGGCCTCCCTCATGTAGAAGGGCTTGAGATCTTTTGGATATTCGGTCACAAACACCGGGCATTGGAAGTGCCGTCCTGCCAGGAACCGCTCGTGCTCACCCTGGAGGGGGAGGCCCCACTTGACGGGATAGTCCCACTTTTTCTTGAGTCCCTGCAGGACGCTGACTGCTTCGGTGTAAGTGATTCGCTTCCACTCCTGGTTGACAAAGTTCTCGAGCCGGGTCCGCAAGTCATTGTCCACGAACTGAGTCAGGAAATCAATATCGTCCGGCTGCGTATCGAGAATGTGCTGCGTGGTTTGCTTCAGTCCCGCTTCGATAAAGTCCAGCAGCTCGTCGATCTTGGAGATAAACGACATCTCGGCCTCAAGCATCCAGAATTCTGCGAGATGGCGACTCGAGAGAGAGTGCTCTGCCCGGAAGGTCGGACCAAAAGTGTAGACACGGGAGAGTGCGCTTGAGGCAATTTCTGCATGCAGCTGGCCCGAGACAGTCAGATAGACGGGGCGTGAAAAGAATTCTTCCTGCGGGCTCGCCAATGGCTTGGACGAGGGCGGTGCCGCGATGGCAGACTGATCGGATGGTACGAGCGATGGGCTGGGTTTCGTCGCTGAGCGTGCTTGCTCGCCTGCGACAACACGAAACACCTCGCCAGCACCCTCGCAGTCGTTCGAGGTGATGATCGGCGTGTGGATTTGGATGAATTGCTGGGACTGTGTGCGGAGGGTGGGTCAGTCTCCGCACCCCAGACCTCTAGGCTGTTTCCACAACTGCATCTCGTTTTGACGTATCGGCATAGAGCTGGCCAGCGACTCCAAGCGCATCGGCTGTGTCTGTTTCGGCGTATATGCGGCGATAAGGCTGCCGGCCTACCTGAAAGAACTTTTGGAACCCAAGGACGGCGGCACTGCGCAGCCTCCAGACGGCCCCGAATGTGCGGGATCGTGATCGCAGATGGGCATGCTCTCGCAAATGATCGATGGGCAGCTTGGATTTGCTGAGCGGATACTCCTGGAATCAGCCAGTTGCGGGTCTCTGGGTCAGTCAAGCGCCCCCGAGCCACCGTCGATCGAGGAAGCGCATATCGGCCTCTCGATACGAGTTGACATCTTGGTCCTGCATCCGGTGTCGTCTGCGGAGCATTCCGGACCACAGACGCTGGCAACATGACATACACACATTTGGGGATATGTGCCCAAGAACTTGGACTTTGGCCGATTGGATCTCCACGGCCTGGTTCTTCCCAGGGCTCTGCACGAGCGCGCCGATGATCCTGACGCTGGTGCCGGTTTTGAGTCTTGACAACGTTCACGAGTTCGTGGAACGGACGGATAGAGCCAGTCCTGTTAGCTAGTACAAATCGCATCCAGGGGAAAGCAGAGCCAAGGCTCGGTGTCGTACGGCTTGGATCTCCATGAAGCTGCATCGGCGAGGTACATTGCTGATTGCCTCTCCAACGGATCGCTCTCCATGTTCCAGATGACAAGCTCGATTGTTCCGATGGGTTCAACAGAAGTTGAGAGCGGCGAAATGCCGAGCGCACTTACTCTCTCGCCTGGTTGGGCGTCAGCGTCACCTGTATGCCTCGCACCGTCGATCCATCTGCAATCTCGGCAAAGTTGATCTGCTTGTGTGTGCGGACTGTCTGGACCCAGCCGTGGACCTGCACCATGTTTTGCGACTCGTCCGCCTGGTCTTCAATCTTTTTCTGCAGAATATCTCGCACCGTGGCAACCGGGAAGCGGTAATCTCGATGCAAGCTCGAGGGCAGTGGCGGCGGCGGCGATGAAAACGGCCGGGCAAGTCGCTGGACAAAGCCAGGGAGCGCACGTCGAGTAAGCAGCAGCATGGCGCCGACGAGGGAGAGATATGGTCAGGACCTTGTGGGCTTGGTTCTCGACAGCGGGACGAGGTCGAGTCGGCAGAGAAGCAGTGCGCAAGCGGTGCGCCAGCGAGGCAGATCAGACAGACGGGTGGTGGTGGCCTTTGAGATCAGGTCCTGGCGATCGCGCCCAAGAACCACAGCCAAATGCGGACGGCAGCCAGCACGTGGCCAGCCGCACTTGCTGCGCAGCGCAGTGCTCTGCGTCCAGCCGGATCGAGCCACAAGTCGTCCCGGCTAATGGCCAATGGCACTCTCTGGTCTCGCCAACGAACGGCCGATCTGCATCTCGTCTGCACATCGAACACCATGAGCGCAAGCCGAGGCCACAGCGCCAAGATCCTGGATCCGCTGGATCCAGAGTACGACCCGGAGCAACTGTCCTCAAGCAGATCGAAGCGAGAGCAAGAGTCTCGGCCTCCCAAGCAACCGCAATCGCAACCGCAACAGCCGCGCTTCCGCCCTCCTCCAGCCGCGGTTACGCACCCAACACCCCAGATCTACCCGTCCCAGCCATTCTCGCCCCAATGTCCGTGGACAGAGCACAAAGGACCCAACGGCATATCGTACTATTACAACCACAAAACCCAGCAGAGCACCTGGGAGCGCCCCGCTGAGCTTGACCAGCCCCAGCAACCGAAGCAGCACCCTCTCCCGCCTCAGCCTCCCCTGCAGCCCCAGCAGCAACTCCCCATCAACCCACAGCAGCAGCTTCCCATCAATCCGCAGCACCAGATCCAAGCGCATGCTCCTCAACAGCTTCCCCAGCGTCCGTCCGCCCCCGCTGCTACTGCAGACGACGGCCCGCCCGGCTCGGCTCTCGTGGCCAAGGCCCCACCGATCGAGGAACAGCCCGCTGCCAAACCCGACCAAGTCGTTCCAAAGGAACGATGTCTTGCCCTGTGAGTCAACGTCTTTCGTCTCTTTGTATGGCACTGTATTTCCACGTCCCCTCCCATGCCGCAGCGTCCGCGGGCTAACACCAGGATTGGCGGTGGTTCGCACATTCCATCACTGCAGCAAAAAAATCCCAGGGACCTCATGGTCGATCGTCCTGACGAACCAAGACCATGAGTTTTATCACAACAGCGACACAAAAGAGTCCGTGTGGGAGATGCCGGATGAGCTGGGCGAGCTGCTTGGCGAGCTCATGGCCCAGGCAATGGGAGTGCCTGACGACGATGATCTGCTGGACGACGACGAGGCAAGCATCGACAGCGAAGTAGACGAGGATGAAGACGATGACGAAAACGACAGTGCCGAAGATGACGATGATAAGAACGACGATGGATATGGGCTCGACCGAAGCGACAGCGACAATGACGGCAGGGCCGTTGCAGAGAAATCGTCAGCCATGATCCAGGATCGCACTGCTTGTGTGGAAACCGCCAAAGCCTCAGAACCATCGCTCCGTGCAATGGAAGACACGGGCGCTGACGAAGACTTGGAAGTTGGCACAGAGCATGGCACCAAACGAAAGCTTGACACAGACGAGAGCCAGGATGCCACCTCCGATACACAGCGCGACGATAGCAAGCGAGCCAAACCGCAAGAGTCTCGTCCACCCGCAGCGAGTCTGAGCCAGGAGGACAAAATCAAGCTCTTTATGGTGAGTCTGTGGTCTCGCAGCACGGCTATACCTCGCAGCACGGCTATACCTCGCAGTATGGCTATGACTCGCAGTATAGCTATGACTCGCCACACCTGTGCGTACTCTTTGAGGGTATGCGGTCGTCACTGACCACGTTCTGCTCCGCCAGTCGCTCTTGCGCGACCTCGACATTTCTCCGTTTTCCACTTGGGAGAAGGAACTGCCAAAGATTATTCACGATGATCGCTACACAGGTGCGCCTGCTGCCTCAGCCAACCATGGCGTCTGTCCGCGGCATCTCTATCCGAGCGCCGCCGAAGCGAGATGTCCGAGCTACCAGACACTGACGTCGATTACTGCGAAACCCTTTCGTGATCTCGTGCAGTGCTCCCGACATTGAAGGAGCGACGACAGACGTTTGAAAACTACTGCAAGGTCCGTGTGGTCGAGATCCGCGAAGAGCGCAAGACGCAGGCCAAGGACTCCAAAGAGAGCTTCCTCAAGCTCCTCCAGGAGCACTGTAGCTACAGATCCACCTTTGACGAGTTCCAAAGGAAGCACAAGCGTGACCCGAGGTTCTCTGGCGTCGATGCCAAGGAAAGAGAGAGCCTTTTCAAAGACCACATCAAGGCATTGCGCGACTCAGAGCTTGATCGTGAGTGCCGTCTATGCCGAGCAGTTGTGTTCTACTCCAAGGGAGCTCTCGTTAATATGCATCCAATGGTCTGCATCTGCAGGAAAGCGACAGGAGACCAAGGAGGCAAAGGACCGGTTCATGGAGCTGCTCCGAGATACCGACGAGATCCGGCACGACTCGGAATGGTACAAGGTGAGAAGCAAAGATGCTGGCGGTGCAACCTGCCAAGATCTGCTCCTGCTACGACAGGCGAAGTTGATTATAGCGATCCATAGGCCATCTGCTCTCGTCGCACATCTGGCCCCAAGTACTTCACGACTTACCACAGCTCTGCTTCGACGCCCAATCGTGGCTCGCAGGTCAAGCGGCTCATTCAAGATGATCGCCGCTATCAGGGAGTTCTCGCGATGCACGAGCGCGAAGCATATTTCCAGGAATACATCAAGGAGCTGGTCGCTGCGGATGAGACCCTGCGTGTCAAGAAAGAGAAGGAGGCTAAAGAGCGGCAGCGCCGGGAGAGGTACGGCCCAAAGATGTGCATTGTAATGCGTTGGTGCAGCACACGGCAGGACCGATCTGCCCCCATCAGCAACCAGGAGCTTGCTCGCTTGGACGTCTGCCGCGACGATTTCGCCCGACACCAAGGGCGACATGGCAATGCCCCTGCCGGCTGACACCCAACTCCCAATCTGCCCCACAGAGAAGAGGCAAGTCTTCGCGAAAGAGAGGCCCAGGTCCGGCGCGAACGTGGTCGCTTCGAGCGAGAACGGCGGGAGCAGCTCTCGACCCTCCGACGGGATGAGGCAATCCAACTGTTCAAGGGCATCCTTACCGATTCCATAAGATCGCACAAGGTACGATGAATGGAGTCGTGCTGGTTGTGCATACTCAGCAATGCGGCCGAGACACAAACGTGAATGTGCACAAGTGCGCGGGCATGTCTGGAATTGGCGTGCTCGGGTACCGGGCATATTGGACGAGGCGCATCCGACTGGTTCGCTTGGCGTGCCCGGTGAGTCGGTGTTGCGTGGGTACTCACGAGTCCATGCCCCATGCTCGACCATGGCAACAATGCAGACCCATTGGAGCGACAAAGTCACTGCGCTCGAACGAGACCCGAGGTACCAGCAGATAAGCAGAGCCCTCCCTGAGCGCGATCAAAAGGAGATGTTCTACGACCATCTCGACGCCATCTTCCAGAAGCGTCTCCAGAGCTTCCACCGACTCCTAGAAGAAACCATCAAATACTCGACTCTGACCCTGCCATTCGCGGAGCTGTTGCCCATGATCCGGAACGGGAGCGAGACCGAGCGTCTGGAGCTCCAGGACCTCGAGAAAGAGCTGGAGCCGATTGTCGAGCGGTGGCGCGAGCAAAAGATCAAGTCCTGTCGAGCCGGCGTCCACGAAGCCCTGGAAAGCAACAACTTTATCCGGTTCCACATCAAGAATGTCGTCCAGTCTGTCGAGGCGACAGCAGTCGAGAAGGGCGAGGTTGAGTCGCCCGCCGACATCAAGAACGAGACCATAGTGGCTGCACTGGGACTGCAAGAGATCACCAAGGTCTTGGAGGTGAGTCCTGCGACAGATCGCGGCTGACATGAGTGAGGCGAGAAGGGCGCGGATGGCAGTGCTGTGCGAGAAGCCGACACTATAGACAGGCATCCGGTCATTTCGGGCCGATAAACCTTGATTTGCTGCACTCGATGTGGGCTAGTGGATCCTCAATCGACATCGAACTTACAATCCGAACCCAACACACAGGACGACCCGCGCTGGGTCATCTTCCATGTCTTCCCGGAAGAGCGCATGTCGATCCTCAAGAGTTTTATCGAGTCGGCGGTGCACAACACTCGTGCCGAGAAGGGCGGCACCCTCGACAAGACTCTGTCTCGCCATATGGGCGGCCGGGCTTAAAGAACGACCGATATCCGAAACGCCGACCTGAGCAAAGCGAGAAGCTACGCAGCGATACATAATAGCACCCACGCAATGGAACGGAGGCGCCCGTTCTGTTGCAGAATATCCACTTTATTTTGATGGGAATACCCATAATCAACTCTCATCTGTGGGGACAGGACAGGCTCAGAGCAATGGCCCAGTCGCTGATATAACACGACGCTGGATGACCCTATATAGCCAAATGTGGCCCGAGCATTGCTGAAGCACAGCGAGAACAGCAAGCTCGGACACCGACCGATCGGCCTCGCCTCGAGGATGTTGAGGCGACACGAGTTGTCGGCTGCTGCATCTCCGAGTCAGCGCCAAGTTCCCGCCCACATATGCTGCACACGAGCTTCGGGGTCGGCCAGACGCCCGCCTCCCATGTCACCAAAGGCAGTGGCAAGTACTTCACCCAGGCCGGGGCTGGTACGATGCAATTCCGAGCCGGTTGAATTGGAGATTGAGCGGCCCATGTCAGATACCGCTGGTCCAAAACGTTGCCGCCGGATATCGCCCATGCCACCGCTGATGTATCCGGGCAGCACACATCACTCGCGCACGCTGGCTATCATGGCTCGATGCCAATCAGTCTTACCTGAACGCAGTAATTGGAAACAAAAGCATGTCGCCCATTTGGCGAGCGGACGGGCCGTATTCCCGAAGGTCCCGCCAGTCGACACCGTGCCCAGCCATGTACCGGTTGATGACCTCCGTCCAGGGGCCAGGACCGGTGATCTTTGTGACGTCGGCGTGCTTGAGTTCGTTCTTGCTCATCGCTGCAATCTTGTGAAATGAGAGCGAGCTGACTGCGGCCGCAATAGGATGGCCTGAGACCATGGCCATCGTCCACTGGCACATTTGGTTGGGACTGGTTGGCCCCCCCCCCGGACAGATTAATTCCGAGAAGAAGCAACAGGTCGGACAGGTGGCCGATCGGCGGCATTAGCGGGACTGTGCCCAGGAGCCAGTAGGCATTTCACAATCGATCGGTCCAATGCATGTACCTCTGATAGAAGCCCTTCCACTCGTCACCAAACTTTTTGGGAACGTCCGTCTCGAGGCCGATGATGGCGGCCACCGGCTCAGTGAATGCCATGGTCTCGTTTTTGTACATCCATGGCGTAAGGTCCTTGGCATGGACCCAATCGTCGATCTTGCGCAGGACCTTGGTGTCAGCATCAGAGTACTGAGGAGTGGTCGCCGTTCCGAAGACGGCACCGTGGGGGAAGATAGTATCGCCGAAGCAGGACGACGAATCGAGATTGTTGTCAGATCGAGAGGAATACGGGGACCGGCCAAGCAGCGTGCCGCCGGATGCCGCCGGATGCCGCCGGATGCCGCCTCCCAGGCAAAATCAGAGGCAGTACGCACCACGCCCCCAAATTTGTGGAGCACCAAGTACCGCAGCAGATCAGCCTTCATGACCGGGACGGGGAGGTCCTTGTAGAGCTTGAACCATGACGGGTAAAACTGCCGCACCATCTGCTCGGCGTCGTGGTCGGACCACAGGATGTATACATAGCCCGGGTTCTCCTTCTTCCAGCTGCCGACGCTGACACGGACATGCTCGGGGGTCGCCTCGGTGTCTATATCCGAGGTTTTCCAGGTCTGGTGGATGATGCGGGGGATGCGGGTGTTTGGGATGAGGTGGTCGCGGGTGAGATGAGCCGCTGCAATGGCTGCTTCCAGCGCCGAGGAGGGATTGCGTGGATCAAAGTCGTAGGCAAAGTTCTCAAAGGCAGCTGGGTTGAAGGCGCCGTAGGGAATCATCCAGGCTGTGAGAGAATAGTCAGAGAGTCGGTGGATGAGCACGGCGTATTCGGGACGTCGATCGATCTTGGCCGGCCAAGCAAACAGCGGCGATGGTTCATACAAACTGCGGCAGCGGGAGATACAATCCTGGCCTGGCCATTGTCGTGAGCAGGATACTGCGACTGATCAGAAGCTGCTGGCTTGGTGGTCGGTCTGGATGATGCAGGCTCCCGCATTCGGCGGGCCATGCTTGATGGCAGCACCACGAGCGAGTGATAAAAGACAGCAACCATCAGGAGGGCCAGCAGCGACCAGAAGATTCTGCGACCCGTGGCCATGGTGGTTGGCGAGTTTGTTGGGCGGTAGTGATAATGAGAGATGAGCAGGACGAGGGAGCGGCTGGGCTCTTTGAAATTGCGGGGGAGGAATCGAAGAGGGAGTCAGGAGCAAGCGGATATGCAGAGATTCGACCCAATCGATGGGCTAGACGAAATAGATGGGCTCGACAAAGGCCCTCAATCGATACCGCCGATCATCGGAGGACTTTGTCTCTGGACTGCTGCAACCAGCGCCGACACTGCCCGCCAGCTGGGATGGAGGGAAACCCTGGTGGCTGGGGACGGCGGCTTCGGGGCAGCCATGAGACCCTGAAGAACGGCGGAGCGGCGGTCCGATGGCGAGCGGGATGTGCGATACGGGATTTGATATGGCTCGGTGGTGCGAACCGATATAGTGGCGAGCAGGATGTGATGAAAATGACAGTAATGACAGTAACGATAGAAACGATAGCAATGACAGCAATGACAGCAATGACAGCAACGACAGCAGCGACAGCAGTGACAGCAGTGACAGCAATAGCAACCATATAACCGCAGCGAGACCCTGGACTCCAAAGCACCCCCAAGCACGCCCACAGCACCATGTCTTCTGGCGCCGCCCCGCATGGCCCAGGGCCGTCCTTCGGCTCCATCGCCTCGCGCTCATCTGCGACATCCTGCTCGGAGCTGCCCCGTCTGCACCGATGCCGTCTTCTGCCTTTGAGAACCTGCTCGCTCTGCTCGACGCCCTCCGCGATGCCACTCTCTCGGCCGACGCCAACATCGATCCCAAGGCCGTCGCCACCGACATCGCCGTCGTCGTCAACAACGACCTGCATCCCGATGAGAGGGGTACCGCCGACTCGCATCCATTCATCCATCCATCCGCGCCAGACCACGATCTATGCTATGCTTGTTTGCTATGTCAGTTTGAATGCTTGTCTGTGGACCAGTGATCCGCCGCTTAACTCTGTACTGCTGGGCTCACAGACCTGGCTCACTCGGTCCTGTTCGATCCCGAGCGCGGCCTCCTGCGGTTCCTCCAGAAGACAAGAGGCCAGAAGATCTTTGATCCTGCGAAAATCCTGCTCTTGGAGTTCACGGCCGAGACCCTCGCCAAGCCCTGGAGCCTGAGTGCCTATCTGGCCGACATCAAGGTAAGCCCGAGTCGCATGTCGGGCGATTCGAGAGCCCCAGTGCGGCTTGGCTGCTTCCCAGAGTGAGCCATAGTCCTCTTCGGCCGCTGTTATCCTCACATCCTATCTCGATCGCAATAATCCCGTGATGTTGCCTCTCTTGTGCTTGTGCTGTGTTCGTTCAAGAGCGGCTGCCTCGCCGTACTCGTCTCGCCGCAAGAGTCGACCAAAGTAAAGCAGGCGGCGTTTGGCCCCTTGCTTGCTATCTTGACATCGAAGCATCTCTCGATCGATGGAGCCGATTTCGATGTCGCAGGGCTGTACGAGAGGTGGGTGTGTTCGCTGCTGCTGTGGACTGTCAGTCAGACTGTTTGTCGGATGTCTGTCGACTTGTGTAGCGGGTTGCCCATGGGATCGTCTGCTGGAATGCATCCCAGGCTCTGGACTGATCGTCACTGGGCCTCGCTGCATCCAGGCTCTGGCGAGAGTACGTCACTCTCAACAAGAAACTCTCGGCGTCAGGTATGCTTCCAATCCCAGCAACATGTCCCTTGCCCACAGCGAGCCGATGCTCACGCTGTCCGTCCTCCTGCAGTTCGGGCTGGTCTCTTCCAGGTGCTGGCTTGCATCGTCAAGCAACACAGTCAGCGACTCGACCAGAGGAATGTCTTGGCCTTCTATCGTTCGTTGGTCCAGACGACCGAGCGACAGCTCTTCGATGTGCACACCATTCCTGAAATGCCTCTCGTTGTCGGCTCCCTGCGTGCCCTCGACTCGATCCTCCACATCCGCCCCGTCCCCGGTATGTCGTTTCGCAAACAAACCCGCTGCCAGAGCCGTCCTGTGTATCGCTCCCACTCTATCCCGCAAGATGTATAGTGCTGGTGCCGTTCGCTCAAATGCAAGGGGGCTCTAAACAAAGTGCTGTCTGCCGCAGATCCGAATTACGTTGATGTCGTATACCGAGTAGTCCGACACGTCGTCGCCCCCATCGACGATCTCAACCGCTACGATATTCCCAAGGCCGGCCTCGAGATTCTCGTCAATCATGGCGACCTGTTTGCAGAGCGTCTCTTCAGCGACTATCCCAGTATCTACGCGAATCTGAAGCATCTGAGCATCCACAAGAACCGAGATGTATCTCGTCTCGCATTCCGTGCTCTCGACAAGTTCATCGAGCAGGTTTGTTGGGGGGGGGAGTCAGTCTTGTCGTCGAAACACATGCCGCATCTGCCGACACTGACGACCCTATTCTGCACACCAGATCGCAACGGTCTTGAGCATTCGCTCGGCTTCGAAGGATCCCACTGCCGAAGAATGCTTCTGGGTGAGTCGATGGTCTTGCTGGCATGTCTGGCGCAGTGGAAGCGGCTAGAGCTTGCTGTCGATCAGATAGGCCATTAGTCCCCCAATCTCTGGCTCGGCAAACCCTCTGACTGTCGCCGAACTGCAAGTTCTTTATTACCGAATTCACTGGTGTTTTGAGACGCGACCAAGTCGACTCTGACTCGGTCAAGCAGATATCCCTTGCTATCCGCGGATTCGGCATCTTCGCAGGCCCATCTCGCAACTTCCTGACCGAGGAGGACTGGCACGAGATTCCGGATCTGCTGATGCGAAAGAGCTCTCTGCTGTTCTGCGAGTATGTCCAACCTGCTGCGTCGACTCTGACCGAGAGTGCTCTGATCGGCACCAAGGAATCTCTGGTTGGAATTGGAGCCGCACTCGTGTTATCGTCCACTCGGGATCTCGAGTCTAACACGTTCCCGTCATCATGTCACATCCCAGGGCCAATACGTCTCTCAATGATACGCTGTTTCACTTGTCATCGCTTGTCCAAGCCTTTGCATCGATCGCAAAGCATAGCGACTCCATCAGCGAGGAACTGTCGTTCAAGTTGGGTATGTGGCAGCGCGTCCCCTCTCAGCAGGCCAGCTCATGACGAAGCCGCTAGTCAGCCTCACCTGGCAGCTGGCGGATGATTTCGATTGTTCGCATTCGGGCTCTGGTCAACATCTTCATTCGTTTCGATATCGGAAGCGCGGTATTGCAGAGGCACTTCGTCGCACCCGCTTGCCATCTTGCAGTTCTCGTCTCCAGCTCGTTACCTCCCCCACTCACGCTCTCTCGAACGACCAGATGGGATCTCGAATCTGCTCTTCCTTCACTTTCCCAAGCTCTCGAATGCTCTCAAGTTCGAGAACATGAAGAGCTTCATCGAGCTCACTCGTGTTCTCTGCACGAAGCACGCTCGCGTCAAATCGTTCTGGTCGACTGCATGTTAGTATATCCAGCTTGTGCTTGCCACGCACGCTCCCTGCTTCAGGCGAGAGACTCACAGGCTGGCGATTGCCCCCTCCCCTGCTTCCCCATGACCAGGCTACAAGGCCCTGGTCTACACCAGCACCGATGTCATGGTCGAGGAACCTGCTGGTATCGAGCAGGGCACGGACGGGCCCGTGCATGCGTATCAAGAGTACATGTACTTTTGGAAATGCCTGTTCAACCCTGCGTTTCACAGCACCGTTCCTGACGAGGAGAGCGACGCCTTTCTGGATCAAATCTACGACGAAATCATGTGGACTATCCTTCGACTCTTGCGTGGTCTCAATCTCGAGGCCTTTGAGCGCATTCCGGACGACGAAACCGGCACTCCGATTTCCATGCGGGTCAAGGATTTGCCTGGACTCACAGGCTCCTCCAGTGACCTGACGCACCTGCAACCAAGCCGTCCAAAAGACTTTTCCATCTTTGTCAACCTGGTGGAATTTGCGCGCCTGTTTATTGCCGATGTGGCCACGGAGCGCTTTCACAGGTGGGTGGATGTCTTTGGCGAGCAGCTCATGGCGCTCTCGGTCCAACACCCGCTCGTTAGTGGCTTCTACAAGCTCCTTGCAAGCTGCCTCCGGCATATCAAGCAGATGGGACCTCTCCAGCCCCAACACGCATCAACGGTGGGTCTGATCCGGAATGTGCCCACGCACAGGCTACTCGTGCGAATCATGAATTCCTATACATACAAACATACATATATATATCTATATGCGCATCTCACGCTGGCTGTCTTTGAGATCACCGCCGAGAGAGCACACAGGCCTTGCATGTGGGAGTGACTAACTGTGTCCATTCATGCCGTCGAAAACGATGCTTCAGGATGGCCATCGGGCACACTTTTCCCGGTACCTGTCCGAAGTCCCCCATCGATGCCTCCAGTACAAGGACGATCTCCTGGTGTCCTGTCTTGAACTACTGCTCTATGCTCCGTGGGGTTTGGTTGATGCCAAGAGTCTGTGCCAGCCGCTCCGAGTGGCTCTGAAGCTCGGCCTGACCTACAGTTCCATGGCTCTGGCCGCTATCGAATGTCTTGAAATGTGGTCCGCCAAGCTCGAGCCCGAGAACCGCGAGCATTGCTTCCGTTTGGTTCTCCCTGGACTGCTGGACTACTTGCGCCTCGACGCGGGCGAGTCACTTGTTGATCTGTCCCAGTCCAATGACTCTGGTCCAAAGAACGCAGCAGAGATTGATTTGTTGATGCCTGGGTCGAGGAAAGCTGGAGGCACGACTGCATCAAGCGGTAAACTTGCCAAGGTATGGGAGGCTTTCATTTGACAACAGCCACGCGCTTCGAACATTGTCTTTCTGGTTTGATCGGCTCGGTTTCATCGGCTTCCGTCGGGCGGACTGAGCTCTCATGGGTCGTTCTGTGCACACTCTGAACAACGGTCGTATCGTGCCGGAATCGAGCAGGGCACCATCAGCACGCATTCCCAGGCACTTCGACGGCGCATCTTGACCCTCCTGGGCAGCCTCGGCGAACACAGCGTGCTTGCGCTGTCCGAGAGCGTGGACCCAGAATCACTGAATCCGTGGGACTCGGAGAGCAGGATTCGGCTCCGATTCCCGTTTGAGGATGTGAATGTGGATGTGCATCTCGGTAAGTGCCACTCGATGATTGAGCATTCGCCGACCCATCGATTCGTTGCTGACCAGCAGTGCCTTTCTCGACTATGGCGGGTGTCGCTGTTTCACACAAACAATCCGAAAATCACTTTTGCAGATGACCTGCTGCCCCGCATCGCCGAACTCGCTGAAAAGTCCCCCGATCGCAAAACCAAAGTTGCTGCCTGTGAGCTCCTCCACGTCATTGTCATCTGGATGGTCGGCAAGACTGCGACGGCGCCTCACGACAACGGAACGGAGCCATCCAAGGTATGCTCCCTCGCCTCCTGGGCTGGCATCGCCTCCTTCACCGACCCAGAAGCGCGAAATTGGTGTGTGGCGTTCACTTTGATGACAGAGCAGTATCGAGACCAACTTGTTCTAACCATGTCGGGGCGCATGACTACATCCAGTCGCCGTTTTACCAGATTCAAGTCAAGATCTTCCCGATCCTCCTCCGCCTCGCAACCGACATTGACCACTTGGTTCGAAGCATGTTCCACGCTCTTGTCCACCAGCTCATTCACTGGCTCGCCCGCGGGCAGATGCGCGAAAACACCGAGGCCATGGCAATGCTGCAAACCTGCCTGGACGCCACTCTTTCGGATGATGGGGCGGTAAGACGGAGACCAACTGGACAGCTTGACTGACGCTATGGCATGCTTGACAGTCTGATGTCCAAGGAGCTCGCCAGGCGTTTGAATAGCTCATCGTGTGCCACTGATGCCTGACTGCCATTTCTGCTCCCAACGATATCCACCGACCGATAAGCTCCGCGACATGGGCGCGGATTGCACCCTTGAGTTCTTTGAGTGTTCGCTCAAAACCAGCGGAAACAAGGTTTGGCTTTGCGTGCCCATTTTACCAGCTGCAGCCCGCCTGCACCCCCTCTTACATCCGCTACCCATGGCCCGGACTTCCAGGTCGACCGCAATACCGACAGCGGTGTCCAATCGCTGTTCACGAGGCTCTACGAGTACTGCAAACACTCTAACGTCAACAAGAGGCGCGGCGCATCGCTCATCTTCAATCGGATCTATCGGGCCTTCCGTGCAAGCAACAGCTTGGTGGAGCAGTTCACCTTTGAGCTTCTCTACCACTACCTCTGTAATCTTCGGTTGTCTGCTGCCGAGACAGAAAGCATTGGTGAGTCATGATTCACCGGCTTGCAACTTCTTTCACTGCGGACCGTTGAGACTCAAAACCTCGCGCTCATGGCTCTTCCTTGACTTGGTGTTCATGACACGTTGGGTGAATAACCACTGCGTGCATCCGAAACTCACTCAAGGCACTTGGGAGCAAGCCGGGATGGCCATAGATCATCTCAAGAAGATCCTGATCAAGAAGCATGCAGTGTTCATGGTCCGCAGCAAAGTGCGTCGCCCGTTCCCTGGTTTGGAGAGCGACGATCTTCCCTCCTTGATCAACTGGCTCTTCCGCGAGACACGACATACAGAGTCGGTCTATGCCCAAAGATGTCTGGAACTTGTGCTGGATCTCGTTCCTGTGTTCTCGGGTATGTCTCTCGTCTCTGGCGCACGATTGGAACATTCGACACTCAATATGATCTCCCAATGTCGCGATATGTGCATCCAACCAGCCCATTCAACTAATTTGTCCAGCCAATTTATCCAACTAATGTATAACCACTTTCTGCCTTTAGATGCACGCAGGTGGTTCGCCGGCCTGGTCAAGAAGCACCCCAGGCTTCTCGTCGATATATATGAAAAGTCGCTCGCAGTCCCGCCGGCTCGGCTACCGTGGTGCTCGATCGCGTCCGAGCACCAAAATGGATATCTGATTGCGGCCCTGAATGCCTACACCTCACTTATCAAAACCGGAATGCTCGCTCCTCAAAACCTCATCGGTCAGGGCTACAGAGAACTTGTGGCTGCCTCCCAAGACTTCATGCTGCGATTCCAGACGGCAGACTTTGCGCCTGGAGAGGCTTTGAGCTCGGTTTCGCGAAACCGCGCCCGAGTCCTCAAGACTGAGACAGCGGCCAGGATCATCGCGCTGTCTGCTGCGATCCTGGAAAGGCTCGACGATGATCACGATCATAGCGAGCTTGCTCTGCTGTTGTTTGGCGACAGCTTCTTGTACATGCTCGCTCGCCTCGTTTTTGAATGGACAGGCGACCTGCTGTTTGCCGACGCTGAAGGCAAGCAGTCCTTCGAAGCGACCCTTGCCAGTCTCCTCAGAGCAATGCTCGTTCGTGCGCCTGTCAAGCAAAAGGCTCTCTTTGTCGATCATGTCACTGCCATTGGCCGCATCCCCAAGCTCGTCAGCGAAGCGGACGCAACTCTCGAGAGCGAGTCGTCCGAACTACACACGACCCTCCAAAGCGTTCAGGGATGGAAGACTCTGTGGTGCTGCGGCTGGCAGAACGAGATCATGGAGAAACACAAGATTTCCTCGCAGGCACTGTTCGACAATATCTGGAGCATCGTCAACAAACGCACTCACCAGAGTCTCAGTATTTCGCAGCGCCAGCTCCTCGAAGAACTGGTGGATTGGATGACCAAGAGCCTGGACGCTCGCACGGTGCTGTTTGAGAACGTTTTGGTGAGTCCCAGTCGCTTGCTGTCGGCATTATGGTGAGCAATTCACCCAGTGCGGGATGGACTTGGGCGCCTGGCTCACCTGTGGTTATTTGGATCGTGTGTACCTGCCGTTCAGGAGCCATCGCAAGACAAGCGTGATCTTTGCCAACAGTTCCCGAGACAGGTAAACTCGAGCGGCCGCTGCAACATGGCTCAGTCCGGTTGTATGAGGCTCTCCAGTCCAACGGCATCCGACACCGATGAAATTGGCTTAACTTGTGTGCCTCTACCGCCGTCAGATCCATATGGCAATGGCAACCCACTTTGACGAGTTTGTGCTGGCATCTCGCCGATCCTCGGCGGTTGATCGAGTCTTGGCGATACTGCAAGACCTCGGGACCTATCTTATCAACCATTGCACCCATATGGAGTCCGAGATCGCCGACTGGTTTGCTGAGGTATTTTCTAGCTACAGGGCAAGCACATGAACCAGGCCCCAGGCAGACCTGCACGGAATGGCTCTGCGTCTGGGAACCTCCACATGCAACGCCGTCTCATTGCCAACCGCATCCCGCAGGTGTCCCAGCGAAAGGACTACTTGGATTCAATCGCCGACAAAGTCGCCTCCTTCCGGCCCGATCTTGTCCACACCTTGGTGTACACTTGGAAGCGCTTCTTGTTTCTGTCGCACAAGCAAGCACACCGTATCGATGTCGAGGCCGTCCACTCCGTGCTGTTCGCCGGTATCGCTGTGGGCCTCCAGTCCAGCGTTCCACTCTCGATCAAAGTCGAGGCCTTTGAGGCACTGCCGTCATTTCTTCGGCCGTCACCGAACCAATCGGCCTATCTATCGGTGGGTACCCGATTCTGATGCGTTAGGGCGTGGGCTCCTTGCGGGATATGAGCTGGCGAGGCATTTGTTGCTTGAACGACTAAAATTGGCACTCTCGGACATTCACAGACGATCGAAAAGCTCCTGCACCAAACGGTTATGAGTCAGCTCCCGGTCAACGCCTCCGAGCTGGCGGAGGGGTCGGCTGGCCGTGAGGAATACGACAACGCTGCCCTGAATCTGCTCTCCGTGTTTGAGTCGTCCGGCGCCCTGTGCGTATTTAACCCCCTCAGCTTCCACATTTGTCGGCAGACGCAGTACCACCTTGCCGACAGCGTCAAACAGGCGGTCTCCAAGGCAGCTCACCTCGTCCCGTGCATGCAGTTCGCTGACATGTGCTTCAGGTGAGTCTTGCCAGCCGCTTCCCAGTGTTCGCCACAGGCCACTTGGCCCCGCACCGCCCAACTTTAAGCACTGCCATGACGCGCATCCCTTGATTCGGAGCTCGGTTGGGGCTCGGCATAGTCCCGCAGAGCGCACGATCATGACTGAGCACTGATATTCCATCGCCCACATCGTTTGCATCGTTGTCTTGAACGCGGATCGCCAGCTACTGCTTCGACGGCGACATTCCCTCGGCCAATCGGCGCACTATGGTCACTCTCATCCTTGTTCCGTTCCTGACCGCGATCAAATCGGAGGACTTGTCCCAGGTCTTCCAAAAGTACATTAGAGTGATATCCCGGAGCTTCAACAAATCGCTTCCCTCGCGCCTGACGGACATCAAGCCTTACCTGATTGAAAAATCCTCGGCCTTCGACTTAATGACCATATCCTTTTGCGTCCGATTACTGTCCCATGCTTCCCTGGAGAGATCGGTGCATTGGCGCCCCTGTCATTATCTTTAACTCTGTCTTTCACCCCATCACGTCTGCTATCGCCGGCTACCGTTCGAAGAGCTCCATACTTGCGACGGAGCGATCGTCCGCTCCTCCTGCGATCCAGAGAGCCTCTCGGCCCAAGTGCTAACCAAGGCGTTGATGGTGGCAGCTTACAATGCGCGCAAGGATCTCTTTCCTCCCGAAGTCTTCCAAGAGAGCCTTCACGGACTGTTTGTGGAGTTTCAGCAGTGTGCATACAATGCTCTGGCCGCATCAACGATCAAAACTCAAAAGAAGGTACCTGCCAAAACCGTAACTGCGATCGCCGAGAGCTTTGTCCTGGCATTTCGGTCGTGGGACCAGCTGCGAGCCTCAGTGCTGTCGTGACTGGGACAGAGTGATGCAGTCCTTGATCCACTCATGGCTGCACTTCAAGCCGGCATACTGCCTGCCTTTGTGCCGAGCTACGCGACTCTGCGCTGATATTTGATCTAAATGGGTGCCACTCACCAACCGCAACCCAGAAATCGTACTACGAGCTCTTTTTGTTCACCGACGACCACGCCAAGGGCGAGTTTGTCTGGAAGAACATTGTCGATACGAAGGTACGAGCCTATCGCTCCGCCTACCTCGTCCGTACTGTGCAGCTGTGCTGACGCTGGAGAGAACAGACCCCGTTATTCTTTCCCCATGCACTCCACAAACCCATGGAGCGGCAGCGACTACGAGAGTTCAAGGATCGCTCTCACGAACTGGTGACTCGGAAGACTGCGATCAAGGACATTGCCTATCTCTCGTCTCAGTTTCTGATGGACAGCAGCCTGGCGATGGTACGTGTGCGTGTGTAACTCGCTCTCTGCGTCTCACAATATCCAGATCACCAACAGTCCTGTCCATATTGAACCTAGTCGTTCGGCATGTTTATCGATCCAAATGTACCAGGTGTGGTCTTGTTCGACTCGGTGCAGGAAGCCATGTCGGAGCCTTCGATTCGCCGAGCTCGGTTGCGTGACTCACCACGGACTTTGATGCTCGTAGATGTCGGCGATGACATAGCACCCGCGCTGCACAACGACCCTACGGCAGCGCTGGCCAGGACCCAGGCTCCTATCGAGCTGTCGGCAGCGACCACTCCATCAAACGTCCACGCGCGAATGTAAGGAATGCCCTATCCGAATGCGCTTTCACGCGGGCACCTCATCGGCTGATCCTAACGCCAGCATATCACAACCCAGAAGCGACAGCTCTATCATTGAGATGGTAAATGATTATGCACGCTCTTCGGTGCGAGACGAGAACTCCCTCTGTGATATCCGAGGCCTCTCGATCGCAATCGCAGAGGACAGATCCACGGCAATCGCATCGCAAGGCGGCTTGGACCGGCAGGCCCGTCTGGACTCGACCTCTCGCACGTCTGGAGGCTTCACTCAAGCATTACCTGTGTCCCTGCGCTCTCGTTGCTTCACTTCAGGACGATCTCAACAAGCACCCGTGCATGCCTACGATGATGGCCGTACTCCAGAAACTTCACGAGGAAATCACCCCTCCGCCGCCCCCGTCGACAGAGCGCACTCTGAACGCGCCGTTGCCCAAATGGATGCAGAAGCTGCTCGAGAAGATACAGCCAGGCAAGTACTAACGAACACACCTCACGTTTTTCATGCTAGCTGCTGCGGACCTGACGCTAAGCCCCCACTGCAGAGAACCACATCAATGTCCGCCTGTTCATTGCAAAGCTCGTGGTCAACATGCCCGACGTATTCGCGCCGTACTGCCACAGCTGGTGGGGTCCTCTCGTTCAAGTCATTTTGTCCAGCAAAGAGTATGGAGAAGGCATCACATATTTTGTTCAGGTATGTTTGCATCCTGAGCAGAGCCGACTGGGCGCCAGTGGCGATGGTCACCACCCCGGGAAATCCATGTGTGCCTGCCAGATCAGTGGCTTGTGCACCGCTGACCCGATATACCAAATACTCGCCGCAATGACCCCACCCTCAGGATCTGCTGATACAACTGATCACTTGGATCGACGACAATGGCTTGACTCCTGAAGACAATGCACCCAACAGAAAGCTCGTGTCGCTGCTCCTGGTCAGTGGATGCGTTGCAGTCAGATCTGAATCTGGTTCGTTGTGTGTTGCACAGAGGTATGCAGCGGCTGGCCAACTCCTTCCAACTGCATGGTTCACAGGCACATCTGACAGCCCAAGCCGCCCACAAGTCCAAGCATGTTATCAATGGCAACCTGAAGCTCATGCGGCCGTTCGTCGAGAAATGGGGTAGCCTTCTGACTGCGCCCTCGGCCGAGATGAGGCAATTGATCACCAGCGACCAAAACAGCTCAGCCATGTGCGGGCTCTACATCCTGTCGATGCTGCTTTCGAATCGACGCGAGGCGGCGTGCTCCCGCGAAGAAACAACGCTTTTGCTGCGTGCCATCACGAGCCACTTCACCGCACGGAGCCAGGAGCTGCTGCTGGTGGCATCGCATGTGGCTGGCCAGTTCCTGGGCTTCTACAAGCAACACGATCCGACGTTGTTTGAAGAGTCGCGAAAATGGATATGCAAACAGGTAAAGTCGACGCCACGCTTGTTCTCACACTTGCTCACCAGGACGGTGTGAAGCTTGAGGCTCGTGGACGCTAACTCTGTATCTCTCTGCACTTCAAGATCGACGAAACCGGAACCAGCGAGACAGATCGATGGGTATCCATCATCGCATCGATAGCCAAAAACAGCCCTGAGATCGTGGGACATTACTACCGCGAGCTGTTGTTCAACTTGCCCAAGCTACAGGGGCGAGCGAAAGCCCACTGCCTCGAAGCCCTGGGCGCTGCAGCAGCCGATATCCCCCTGTTGTTCCAAGAACTGCAGGGCAAGAATCTCCTGGCCTTGATGACATACCGCGACGACGAGTGCCAGAAACTGACGCTGATGATCTTGTGGAAGCTAGCCTCAAATCTAGCCGACGATGACATTCTGTTCTTCTTGGAACCAGCCCTCCAGCTCTTCCAACGTCATCCAAACGAACCGACAAGACATGCATTCTACTATCTTGTGGTGGATCTGCACCGTGCCTTCTCGAGCGACGGTCCGCATGGCCCTAGACACAGTCAGAGCGGCAAAGGCGGGCAAATCTATGAGTTGCTTAAGAAGGCCATGCTGCAGGGGCTGGGCGACGACGACGAATCAGTTCGTACCGGACTGATCGAGTACATACACAGGGATCTGATGGGGTCGTCCACAGTCTTCAAGCATCTCGAGACGCTGTTCAGGTAGGGCAAGTCCGGCTTGCCCCGGGCCTGACATTGCATGCCACTCCTTGATGCCATGACTCTGACCCCGATTTACCGATAGCTCTCTCTATTTCACCGAGGCCGAGGATTCCTATCTGCACTATGCCGCCTATCTGCTTCTGGAAAAGACCAAAGCCTCTCCGCAGATCACCGAAGTGCTGTTTCCCGATGGATTTCCGAGCGCAACGTTCCGAGAACTTGCGCTGGATACCTCATGGACCAACAGCGCGACCATGAGGCCGCTGTTTACGACGCCCAGGACCCAAATCTCAACACAGCACGTAAGGCATCAGACAGACAGACAGACAAACAGACAGACAGACGGGCAGACGGACATGTCAACGGCGCTCTCGATACGACGTGCGAACGGCCTGATAGCTGAAAGAATTTCCCCATGCTGACCCAGGTCGTCGGAGGATCGTCCATGGACCGAACGGACACACAGCCGACTCTGGGATTTTCGCTCACGGCGGACGCCGCGGAGCTGCGAACGCACCTTGTCACCCCGCCAATCATCGACGACAAGACGCAGTGGGCCATTCAAAGGTAAGTGGCCGCTTAGGCCTCTGCCAATGCTTCGAACAAATCCCATGCGGGCTGCACGAATTGTAGCTGTCTCGTCCCTCCCTGTTCTCTCCAACCTCCGATTGATCGTTTCCTGCAAGTCGCTGACCCCGTTGGCCGGAATCCACCACCATAGCCCAAGTCGTCTCGGCGAGCTTCGAAAGAGAAACTATGTCCACGATGAACAACAAACCGTCACGTACTTTTCGAAGCAGGCAGAGCGCTTGCGCAAATCTCGCTGGCGCGCCAAAGCCTATCAGCGGGATCGCATCCTTAAATCCGTGGCGCTTGCACGCAAATACCGCATCGGAGATCTGCCGGATATCCAAATCACCTTCCTCGACATTATTCGTCCGCTGCAGAACCTCGTTCAGCGCGATGCAGAGATCAGCCAGATGCTCTTTGCCAACCTAGTGACGGCTCTCACCAAGCTCTGCCCAGTAAGTGCCGGCGTCTGCGGACTCGGATTCAGTACCCAGTGCCTGCCAATCAGGGCTGCAGTATTCTGCTTGTCTTTTGGAACGCCTCTCTCCAAGGGGATGGCGGGGCATTTGTCGATTGGATCACGCACACAGACAGCATGACGCTTCTGACTGATCTCTTCTGCTATCTAGCCTGAGGAGCGACTCGAGGAAGAACTTGGCGCACACCTGAACCGCATGATCCGGTCCTCCACGCTGTTCTCCCACTCGTTCGTGAGGGCGATGCTTCTCATTGCCCTCCGTTGTCACTTGAAGATCGATGAAAGCGCCGTGCGTGAGGTTGCCACCAACAGCTTCAATCACGAGCTTGGAATAATGGTGCTGTGAGTATTTGCTGATGATCTTGCCCCCACTCGATTTTGATGTGGTGCTGTGCTAACCATGTGCCGACCATGTGCCGACCATGTGCTTTGACAGAGAAAACCAAATTTCCAATGTTGCCGCAGCCCCAGGTAGGCTATGGGTGTCTCGCTCGATGATGTTTCAAATATAGCATTCTGCGCCTTGCCAGAGCAATCCGTTGCTCGCGATCGATACGTACTCCTCTGGAATACACCAAGGCACCTAATGTCCAACGCAATCACCGTGATCGATATAGCTCCGAAGCGGCAGAAGCGCCATGCCGATGCGCCACGACCGTTTTCGCAATGGAAACAGGTCGCCAGACTCTTCCGAAACCTGGGCTCAGTCGAGATCTACCAAGGCATACATGAAGAGTATCTGTGCTCGCACCCCGCAATCAAAGGTACGTGTAGCTTGCGGCTGCAGATGTCGGGTGCTCGGGACTTTAACTTGACTGCTGCGCGAGGCTCACACTCAATGTACACACGATCCTCAAGCCGCGATCTCGGCAGAGACCCTTGGGGACTTCACCCACGCGCTGCGGCTCTATCAAGAGATCACGGACCAACTTGGATCAGAAGATAGTTCCAAGCTGCCCGAGGATGAGTACAGCTATATGGCAAGTGTATTCAGATGCAGCTATTGGCGAATGGAGTACTGAACAGTCGGCACTGGAGGCAGTCTGACAGCCGTGGCTCGCTGGCACTGTTTTGGCTAACGGCAAAACCTCTGAACCTTGGCAGTGCGACATCCTCTCGCAGGGCCAAGTCGAATGCATGGCAAAGCTCGGCTCTTGGGATCATTTGGCCGCCACGGTCGAGAGAGATCTCCGAGAATACTGCGGCTCCTTCAACACACATGTGCTCTGGGATGATCCGATCCGCGAGCCATACCTGCGTCTCTTCATACGAACGTTTATCCGCCTCAAGACTGGGTACAGATCCTCGAGCTTGGATACTGGCCAGAATGCAGATGTTGAGAGTAAGATGCCATTGTCGCGCTCCACGATGATACGCCGCTGTGCGCGAATGAAGCTGAGCCGATCGAACATAATCCACACCGATGTCTCGGTGTTGATGCCCCCGGTGAGATCTGCGCTCGTGACACTCATACGGTCCATTTCAATGACTCAGTGTTTGTCGAATGGAGCAACGATCATCCCAATCCGCTCGTCGGGTTCTTGGAACGCGAGATAGCGGATCCAGCAAACCAGTAAGATCCTGCGTGTCCAAATTCGGGCACTTGTGCATTTCCACGATGAATCTGCTGGGCTCTCCTTAGTTGATCTTGATCCTGCACAGCGAAGCTATGCACATTCGAAGAAACTCACCGTCTCTACCGATCTGTGCCCCCAGACTGTATCTCGAAAAGTTCTTCTCGACCGGTAAGCCTGCGCATTAGCTTCATGTATATAGCTGCTCGGCACCACAATCTAAACGCTAACCTTCGTCAACAGAGCTGGCTGTAAATGCCCTGAACAGCAACAACCCGGCTGCAGCCCGGTACTTTGTTGCTTCGGCGTATGACCAATGGCTGAAGGACTTTTCGCATATTGGAGGCCACGCCCAGACCATCAAACGCCAGCTCATGAACCGTCTGCAGGTGGTGAGTATCGATTGCGGTCATCGCAGAGAGCCGTTTGGGTGCTGTTGTAGTGCGCCGAATTCTGATAGGTGATGTACCGCCCTTCAGATCGAGGAGATTCAGGAGGGTCTGGATCTGGTTCTCAACATCCCGCAAGCCCAGCCCATAGAGGCGCTTGAGAACCTGCTCCTTCAGTGGCAGAATCGGTAAGCCGCATGTGCCTGCTGGTGGACATGCGATACCCCGCGCACCATTGAGCTGACTTTCGATCGTTGGTCTCAACAAACAGCTATCCGTCAAGAATTACAGCTCCGCTGGATACCTGGGATGATCTGGCGACTTATCGCCAGCACATTATGCAGTGGATGACGACGAGCGTCAAGGGACAGGTGGGTTATCCGCGCTCACTACAGGCGATTGCGTGCACATAGGCATTGTACTCACCAACAAAATGCCGCCCAGATCGCGGACCCGCAGCAACTCGATGACATACTCAGGAAGCATGAGCGTCAGTTTGCCTTTGAGATGATCACTGTTGCCGCCCGCCGTAAAAACTTTAGCCTGGCCATGTCGTGGCTGGAGCACATACACTCCGGACAGGCAGCGGCGATCGACATCTTCGATGAGGACTACTACTATCAACTGTTCAACACGACACTGCTCGAGATTGAAGCCCGACCCGCCGGACAGGACATGCAACAAACCGCGACCAATCTGCTTCTGAACTTTCTGTTCTACCAGGTATACAGGGCTGCCTGCATGTATCGAGATGGCTTGTGCACAAGCATTCAGAGTCTGTAGATTGATCTCGCGCACACCTGAACACAGGAACACATTGAGCGTCTCGATGGACCCAGCAAGCGCCGGTTTCAGTTGCTGGAGGGCCGCTTCTTTTCTTCGCTCTCCAGCGCCATGACGACTGATGCAGCCTCGGCTGTTGACGCTAAGGCCTTGAAGCGGAAAATCGTCCGTCGGCACTTTGGAACGCTTGCGTCCGTGGACGACTTGACTCCGCTGGCGGTCCAGCGCGCCTTCGATCTCCTTTCGGCGGCGGGAAATGCCACGGACGTAAGTATCATATCAGTCGATACCAGCACGATGACCCAGCAATGTCCTGATCCTTACTGACACACTCGGTCCCGGCTCAACCCAGAACGCCGCCCGAGTCGAGCAAAAGATGCACTTGGCCTCGCATTGCGATGCCGTTCTGCGGTTCCATGAGCTCCAAGCCAATTCCGATGACCAGGTAAGCCACAACACCCGCCCTTCGTCAGAAGCTTGGCCCAAGCTGATCGTGCAACGGCGTTGCTACAGGAGATGGAAACGACCGTCATCGAGCAACACAAATGTGTTCTCGCTGCCAGTATACTGGACTCGATGGCCCTTGGCTCCGAAGAAGCCATATCGCAGTTTCCACGGCTCCTGGAGTTCCTCGGCTCAGCAATGTTTCAAGCAGACTTCAAGAAACGGGTATGTGCGGCGCTATCCAACGCGGCCTCCGTCAAACACCAGATCACAACAACATCCTGCGGCACTAACTCATTTCTACCGATCACAAATGCTCGTTTGGCCTGCGCTTGCTCGGGTCACCATGGCAGATCACGATAGTCCCGTCATGGATGTTCCTTCGTTGGCTTCCGAATCTCACAGCGATCTTTGACAAGCCCGCGGGACACACAATCACGCCGATTTTGATGGAGGTACTGTGCCAGAATTGCATTTCCCATCGGTAGACCGTGGGAGAAGCACGATTGTGGCATTTTTACTGATGGAAGTCCGTTCATGGTATCAGGTTGCGAAGGAGTATCCCGAAGCTCTCCGCTATCCCTTGAACATAAGCAGCGATCAATACGCATTTGACGAGAGCACCAAACTAGGCAGGGTCCAAAAGGCGGCTCATGCGCGTCTGAAGGAGATGATCCGATCAGAACTTGCCGACCAGCTGCTGAGGGAACTCAAGCGGCTGCAGGAGCCCATCCATGTGCTCAAGGAGTGGATGGAGCGGACCGAGGTAACTGTTGACGATGTCGCACTCAACTTGTCCGTGGAGCAGATCGCTTACGATCTTGCTCGATAGGATCTCTTGTCCCGGTCGGCCGGCCAAGCACCGAAAGAACAAATTGCAGCCCTCTTCAAGGACATGAGCGAATACTGCATCCAGGCGTCCACCCGCGGAGGAATGAGCGAATCTGATATCCTTTTCAGACCATCTGGCCGCACCAAGGCCGTTACTGACCCTCACATCAATCAACTTTGGCCATATTGTCCTTAACTATCTGTCTCTACGTCAGCTGTTTGCGCGAGATAATACCGAAAAGATCACACGCCTGTGTGGTAAGTTGGCTGTATGACATTGGTTCGGTCACGAATCGCAGATGCGAGCCTGATGCACTGTTTTCTCAAAAATAACGACCCACACTACAGGCAAGGACGGCTCGAAAATCGCCGAGATGACAGCAGACGACTTTAAAAAGAACGTTGTTCGCTTCAAAGGATTCGAGCAGCGCGATTTGCAAGGCAAGAGCGGCTCGGGGGTGCTCAAAAACTACTCGCGATGGCTGGAGGAGTTCCACTCGAATAACTACGATGAGGTGAGAATCACAATCTGCTCGAGTAGGCATGAGCTGGCAGCCGCTGCCATCCACCGCGATGCTAATTTGAACCAACCTATCCAGACTGTGGAAATTCCCGGGCAGTATCATGGCCGACAACGTCCGAACCCGTCGGAGCACGTTACGATAACAAGCTTTTCATCCAAGCTTCTGCTTTTGGCATCGATCCGCAAGCCCAAGCGCTTGATTATCAATGGAAGCGACGAAAAAGAGTACCCCTGGCTCGTCAAGGTATCTGGCAATGCGTTGCGTCGTGTGACTGTGGCTCGGCTTCCAGTGCGGTCGATTTTTGGAACATAAACAAGCGTGCCGCACGACTCACCTCCATGCCCGGCGCAACAGGCGGGTGAGGATCTGCGTCTCGACCAGCGAATCCAGCAAATCTTTGGAATCATGAACGGCATCCTCAGGAAAAACCAATACTGTCTGAGCCAAAATATGTCGATCCACACGTACAAGGTACAATCGATGCGCCGCCAGCCCGACTGCTCCGTCTTCCATCCTGCTTTGTGCTTCTGATCGTGGATGGGCCCAAAGGCTTGCCTATCGTGCAGCGATAGCCTGATGTCTCACACACTCGATTCATCGCCCACTCTCTTCATTGGAATCGCCGCCTGTGGTGGCCATCAATACTGCTGCATCGCCTCGGCTCTCTAGGTTGTGCCCATGAACACTGGCCTCGGCATCATCGAGTGGGTCAACAACACCAAGCCACTCAGACAATGCATGGCCGACATTCCTGGATTCAACGACGAGCTCAAGAGGGCCAAGGACATATTCTTTGATTCTCTCAAAAAAATGGGCGGCAGCTACGAAATCGCCGGTGCGAATCGCTCTGGAACAGAGATCCGATGGTGTCAATGCCACCGGCTTGCATGGCTTGGCTGCGGCTGCTCAATATTGGCCCGTTATCGCAGCATGGCATCTCACCAACCGCTCTCTCTGCACACGCAGCCTACACCACGGCATATAGACGGGTCAAGGCCGATGGATACACCAGAAACATGCAGCAGCTCTGGGGATGCTTCTCCAAGCCCTACCTCAAGGAGAGCCTTCTGCTCTTGTGCAAGTCGCCCGAGGCCTTTTTTGCGCTGCGCTCGCGCTTCAGCCAGACGCTGGCGGCCTTCAATATTTGCTCGTACTTGCTCGGTACGTCAGTGCAGACGATGCTCACCGATTCGAGTGGCAGTGCACTTTTCTGCGTCTCATGCTGCGTGTACAAGACTAACCGGAACGATTCGACACTTTGATCCACAGGCATCGGGGATCGCCACTTGGAAAACTTTTTGATCAGCCAAAAGAGGTGGGCAGCAACGCTCCTGTGTATCTGTCCTCGTTGTGGCTCTGTGACTCTGCGTGCTTGCAGTCCTCAAGCGCCTAACCCATGGTTGGTCCCACAGCGGCGAGGTGATCGGAATCGACTTTGGCTTGGCATTCGGGTAAGACCCTCAGCACTGGCGGACCAAATGAGATGGATTGCGCTGGCCCGGTGGCCCACGCAACCTGTGGATGTGGATGTGGATGTGGATGATGTTGTCAACTGATTCGATTCGATCCGTCACGGCTGGCTTGGGATTGCGGCAGATCCGGTGCAGAGAACCTGCCGATTCCCGAGATTGTCCCCTTCCGGGTTACCAAGCAGATGGAGCGAATGATGGAGCCCCTCGGTGTCAATGTCCTGCTCAAGATCCCGATGGTTCACGCAATGACCGGTTAGTGGCCCACGCAAGCCCCTGTTCCACTCTCGTTGCTTCGTCCCCATTGTTGTCTGGCGACGTTGACAGGCTATGGGTTCTTTTCGCAGCAGTGCAAGATGAAAAGCGAGCATTGGTGACGGCCCTGGATATCTTTGCCAAGGAGCCCATCGTCGAGTGGCGCAAATACGCCAAGGCTCAAATCGAAAAGCAAAAGCGAAGTATGGCCTGCCCTCGAGCTGCATTCTTCCAGAACTCGGCGACCCCCGAGGACTGGGAACTCGCCAAGACGCAATGCCGATACGAACTTTGGACGGCCTCGCTGTCGAGAGGCCATATCTGTCTGCGGCTGCCATCTAATGCCCTTGTCCCGTCCGTGATACTGCAATCAACCTACAGGAGGAAAATACTCCAGTGCGGAGCCAGATCTATCGTCGGAAGACTCCATCGCGGCAGTGCCGGCCTGGTATCCAAAGCAGAAGATCCAGACGGCCATCCGCAAACTGAACCGCGATCCCCCGCTCGGTAGGCCCAAGTCTCGGCCGCACTGTCCTGCACACGTTTCGAGCGTGTTCGATGCCGGCGAGACTAACTTTGTCCATTGACAGACATTTTGCTTGAAGAGCTGGCCCGCGGCCATCAAGAGAAGGACTGGTTCAAGGCCCTGTGTCAAGGACTGCTGGAAACACAGGAGCAGCCCGCCAGCAGCCGACCAGAGGCCCCCACGGTCGAAGCGCAGGTGTCCAAGCTCCTGTCGATGGCGACCGACCCCAACATTCTCGGCAGGGCTTACTTTGGCTGGACATCGTTCCTTTGATGTGGCTGGCACGGTTTCCGTTGATCCAACTCCACTCATGATCCCACCGAGACGGCTGGATGCGTTGAGGGAGGGGTCGCAAAAGCAGTGTGCCCGTGAGTATCTCGACAAGACAACATGTCCCTGGCTTGGCAGCCAGACCCAGATCCCAGTGCACGACCCTTGTTGCCTCGCTGATCCCACGGGACTCATCGGGGTCCAGCCCCTGGTTCCTGGGAGGCGGTGCAGTTCGTCACCGCGCAAAGCACACGCCACCAAGCCCCCAGAGCGGCTTTGCCTTCGTCGGTCATATATATCTGTGGTTGGACTTGTTCCTGGGTTCATCGCATTCACCGCACTTCCTGCCTCTTGCTTGGGCCTTCTTGCTACCCACCGCTCGTCGCCAAATGTCCTCGGCCAAGAGAAAGCTGCCCGCCGACGCCCTGAGCGACAACAATGTCGACCGAGAGCGCCTCCAGTCGCTGCTGACCATCCCGGACCCCGATGCCTCCGCCGACGAGGCGGCCGTTGAGCAGCACTTCCAGCAACACTTTGCCAGGATTGCCGACGCTCTGCTGAACCGAACCCTGCTTCGGATCAGCGACGAAAGCCGCGGCATCTTGCCGCAGTGGTTCCGGTTCCTGGAAGTCGAGTTCTATCTGAAGGACCAGGAGTGGCATCTGGACCCATACACCCACGGACAGGTGCGTCAACTCAGAGCTGCCAGGTCCTGGCGGACGGGCTCTGCTGTCACCGGCTCGATTGTCGGCCGGGTCGATGCCGCTTTCGACGAATCTCTATCGCTGCTGTCGTGGACATAGTGCTTGCCAGCATCGCCCGTGGCTGACATCTCGCCCCTCGCTCGGAACTGGCTTTTGAATGGCTCCAGCCCCAGCAAAAGACCCGAGGACAGTGGTATTTCGTAAGTAGCGACGGGCGGCTCGTGGGGCCAACGAGCAGCGTGGATCGGATCGGAATGATGAGCTGAGGAGCGAGGTCCAGTTTCATGCTAAGGCGACCGATTACCACCTGCCTCCAGCATAAAAAGGGCAACGCATACTCAGGAGGAACCTGGAAAGGCGTCGACCTCACCTTTGGCGAGACCAAGGACACGCACTGTGTCTTTGGAGGCATCCTGATCCGTGCGATCGAGTGCTGCGAGACGGGCGAGATTGTCGAGGGCCCCTCGCGCTGTGTCGACCGGCTCATCGAGGTGCTCAAGGCCAAGGGTGTCCCCGATCTTGCTGACGGGATCCTGCAGAAGCAGTTCGAGGCCACCGGCGACAAGGCCAAGCTGGCCCTCGTTTCGGATCGCACCCTCGCCCGGCTCTGGAAAGAGGATGGCGGACCGGACGGCTCGCCCAACGGCGCTGCAGTGGGGAAGAAGGCCAAGACCGAGCTCTCCGACACCGAGCCCGACAGCGATCCGGAGCCCGAAGCTGTCGCCCAGCCGCCCAAGCTCAAAGCGGCTGCTGGCGATCGGCCATCGCAGGTGCTGCCATGCAAAACGGCGCTCGGTCGACGGCTTGTGCTTGGGTCGCCCCGCATTGGGCTCTACCTCCGTGCCTCGTACTCGGATCTCGACCAGCGCATCGGCTACGTGCGGCGCCCTTATCGGTTCTTTAGTCGGCACCAGGAGCTGAAGAGATCCAAGCCGCTGACGGTCCTGGCATCCCTGCGACTCGTTCGCGAGCTCGTCAACCAGCCAAGCACCGTGCGCGACGGACAGGATGGCGACGATACCGAGGAGGACGAGCCTGCGGAACAACCAAGACCCGGCTCCCTGAAAGACGTCGGCATCAATATCCGGCTCAAGAAGGCCGACCTGGAATACGACCGCGAGCCACCACAGGCGCTGGTCAACAGCATCCATCGGCTGTCGAATGTGCCGACCGCCATGGTTGCTCGCTGTCTGGCTTCGTATCGACAGGGCCAGGGCCAGGCCGCCAAGTCGTTCCTGGACGATGCCTTGGGCAGCGCCGACTCGCTGTGTCGATTCTTTGGCTGCGTGGGATACCAGTGACGACCATCAGTCGAGCAGGCAATCGATGCAGCGCAGATGGGATAGCGCAATCGAGACCGCGGCGCCCGCAAGACATGCACGTCTGTCCATGACCGCCGATACCGGCGCCTGAGTCGTGCATTTCGACGCTCGACTCCATCAACATATCCAGAACCGAGATGGGACAGCGGCGTCTCTTGGCAATCCCGCACATCAGCGACCGCTTGTTGTTGGTCTGGGAGGCACAGTCTCGAATACATCCGACCGATCTGATGGCCACCATCATCTGGCATCGATGTCGCTTCCGTGTGTTCTGGGCCGTGGGCGTCTCTGGCGATCGATGCTGTCCATCCACATCCAGAATGGGTGATAATCCATTCTCAGAAGCCGGACAGTCACTTCGTTTTGGATGTGCCTTTCCTGTGTGCCACCGCAGTTGACAAATCGCATCGCTCCACCGGCCGTCCTCGGCGACAGCGTCGCTCTGTCTCGGCGAGAAGCGCCGCTCCCTCCCCGCCCTCGCTATCGGGTTCGCCGGACGCTGCTCTCCGTCTCGATCTCCATCCGCCCAGCATCCAGCACAGCAAGCCAGCACAGCATGTCCGAAGAAGAGCAGCTCAGCATGCTGCAGCGCATCTCGTCCTGGACCGATGAGGAGAGAGCAGGTTTGTCGGCAGGGCTGCGTGTGCGCCATGGCCCCGGCAACGCAGGCCATGTCCGGCTCCGTTCCGCCAGCCTGATTTACATGGCTTCTCGACGCCCAAGGACACATGAGGGTCACAGCCGATGCCAGGGCTCGAGCATCCTTTTGGCCATGAGCCGCCGCTGCTGCTGCGCCGTGCGATTGCATCGCATCGTGCTCACCATTCTCCCCCCTCCCTCGTCGCCCCTCCAGATTTCGCCGTGCGAATCCTGCTTGAGACGCCGTCGGTGATCCTACCTCGGATATCCAGCAAGCTGCAAGCAATCCTTCATCGGGACCACCTGTCGGGCCTTCCTCCTGAAATCATCACAAGGATCCTCTCGTGCACCGATCCGCGGACCCTGAGTCGAGTCGCCCGTCTCTCGCGGAAAATGAACGAGTATGCCACCGACAGCGGCCTGTGGCGGATCCTCTACAAGCAGCAGGGCTGGACCGTCAACGAGGAGTTTCTGGACGACTGGGTCAAGATGGGCAATCACAACACCGTCACAATCTCCTTCCATGCCTCGTCCAAGCGACGGCTCTCGCACCAGATCGACAACCCGAGCGATGCCATGTCCACGAGGCATTCGCTCACCGGGTCGTCGCGGGACAACCAGAGCGTGCTTGGCGATTATCCGACCTCGATTGCCACCAGCACCGGGTCTGTGCACGAGCCCTGGCATTACGAAGATCCCGTGGACGAGGACACCGACTCGGCATATCAGAACGATCCGTCGTCGGCAATCGCAGGAACCCCACCGCGCGATGCCGCTGCCCCATCGGTCCGGCCCCTCAACGTTGCATCGCTGCCCCGATCGATCCCCAGGCCCAGTTCTTCGTCTGCCCACGCAGATTCTCCGCTCGCGACGTCACCGTACACGCCTGCCCCGCGGCAGCTCTCATCGTCGCTTCACGAGTCGCCGCTGATGGCAGGCTCCCCGTCGGCCGGTGCACGCCCGTTCAATCTGTCGTTTTCGATCAAGGGCTCTGGCGGGGCGGGCTCCGGACCGTCGCCGAGCCACCTGGCCCGCCGGGGATCCGAGCGGTTCCACCACCTCGACTGGCGGTACATCTACCGACAGCGCATGCTGCTTGAGAAGAACTGGGCAAGCCTCAAGTTCAAGAAGCGGGAGATCAAAGGCCACCAGGAGGCAGTGTACTGTCTGCAGTTTGACGACGACAAGATTGTCTCTGGGAGCCGAGATGGTAAGACAAGCAGTGTGTTGTGCAGGGATGCCGTGGAGGAGCGTGCGGCCAACATGAGGAGGTGTATCAAGCCAGTGTGAGGGGGAGGTAGCAGTTTGCACCGGCAAAGATAGTACATGTATCCGTAGGCGGTAGGGCGGGCACTGTTTGGCTCTCTTCCCTGGCCGGCACACTGATTTGCATCCGATGGCTTTCTGACGCAGACACCATCAAGATATGGGATATGAAAACGGGTGCCCTACGGCACACCCTGATCGGCCACGGCGCCTCTGTGCTCTGTCTGCAGTACGACGCCCACTACATTGTCTCGGGCTCGTCCGATGCCACCATCATTGTCTGGAACCTTGCCTCGGCCACGCCGCTCAAGACCCTGGTCGGTCACACCGAGCACATCCTGGGGCTGCGATTCGATTCGCAGTACATTGTCAGCTGCTCCAAGGACAAGACGGCGCGGATATGGGATTTCGAGACCGGCAATCTGCTCAAAAGCCTGCGGGGCCATCGGGCCGCCGTCAACGCTATCCAGTTCAAGAACAGCATGGTCGTCACAGGCAGTGGCGGTACGTTGGTCGATAACTTGCTTGCCCTGAGATTGATGGCTCAGGATGTGTGAACAGCTCGTGTCTTGCCGCCACGCACGATAGCTTGGCCCGGCCAACCTGACTGTGCTAATCATCGTAGCATGTCTCATTCGCCACAGACCGGACAATCAAAGTGTGGTCCGTTCGAGACGGCCGGTTGATCCGAACGTTGATGGGACACGAGCGGGGGATAGCCAGCCTCCATTTTGACGGGCAAACCATCATATCGGGGTCGTCAGGTATGGGGTCTCCTTCGGATACGTTCGGAAATGCCCGAATCTCACTCTGATGTCGGGATACATGTGCGCACCCCGATTCCGCATGGCTGGACCATTCAGCATCCATCTGCATATCAATCCGAATCTCGCCATCCTGACGGACATGGATCCATGCAATGGATGGCCTTGCTTCTCTCCAGACTTTACGATCAAGGTTTGGAATATACGCCAGGATGACTGCCTCCAAACGCTGCAGGGCCACGAGGAACTTGTGCGGACAGTCCAGTTCAACCGCTTCCGCATCGTCTCGGGCGACTACAAGGGCGTCATCAAGATCTGGGACCGGCATACAAACACCGTCCTGAACATGAACGCACACACATCCAAGGTCTTCAAACTGCAGTTCAGCGACACCAAGATCATCAGCTGCAGCCAGGACCAGGTACGGGACATGTATCGAGGTGATCGATGATCTTGTGGCCGGCCAGACGACGACGCCGCATCCGTTGGGCCTGGGCTGATCCCCATTGCCCTTGTCTGGAACTGCCTCCTTGCGACAGACGATTTCCATCTGGGACTTTTCGCAGAACGTCGACACCCGCTTTTTCAGCTGAAGAGCTTGCGTTTGTCCCGCAGCATCGCTCCGATGCATAACAACAAAACAACAAAACAACAACAGCATCAACCAGCAATAACAACAACAACAACCCATCTTTCACGTGCCAGCGCGGGCGAGACCACGGCGAGAAGCGGGATGCGCGCTCGCTGTGCCAGACCCTGGCCACCAGCTTCGTCCTGCACACGGCTCCCACCACCACCGCCGTTTGCTCCCCCCATCTTGCAATCAACACTTCGCTGTGCCCAGCATCCGCTGTCCCTCTGCCTCGGCAGCGTCTCCTTTTATTGCAATAAACGCATCTATCTGTGCCTCATCTGCTTCGCCCGTCGACTGCACATTTCCCCAAGCTCGCCTCATTCAAGTCGCTGCCTCCGCAAGCCTCATACGATCGGCCATGCCCGCCTCCTTGGCCATCTCGCCCTACTGGGCTGCCGTCCACGGCTTCTCGTTCGTCATGGACATCTTCTTTCGAGATATCCAGCAGCGAAACGCCCACTCGATTCCGACCGATGGACCCGTCATCTTTGTGATTGCCCCGCATGCCAACCAGTTCATTGACCCGCTGGTTGTGCTGAAGCACTGCGGTCGTGAAACAGGCTTCCTGGCTGCCAAAAAGTCCATGGACAAGTTCTGGATCGGCCTGTTTGCTCGCACCGTGAGCTCAAGTAAGAGGTCGCTTGTCTCCCGTCGCCACCCTTCATCGCTTCCTCAACAATCGAATTGTCTCGTGTGGTTTGCGTATTTACCTCGTGGCCGTTGCATCCTTGCACCGCTCGCTTCCACCGCCAACTCCTTCCGCTGCGCCTTGCCTTCCGCTTCGCGTCTGGAACAATCCTGCAATTCGCTGGGGGCGCCTTCAACCCCAAAGTTCCTGTCGAGAGACCCCAAGACCTCGCCAAGGCTGGAAAGGGCAAGATCTTTATGCGTAACTCTGGCGAACAGCCACTCAAGCTCTACGGCATCGGCAGTAAGCTTCGGGTGCGGGTCTGCCTTACCCTCCCCTGTGGGGGAATGGTGGAGATTTTCGTTCCCATTGAACTGCAGTCGAAAGCAGCGATGCTAACCATCCGCGGTACTTGGGCCATGCTTTGGTTGTGCCATCGCTCGCCGCCCGCCATTCCAATGTTGTCATCAGCCGAGTTCACCAAGCAGGTCGGCCCTCGAGGTGCCATCCTCCTCAATAGCTCGCTCGGGTCGGATATGGTTGAGGTTGTTTCGATCGAAAGCGATACCGAGCTGACCCTCAAAAAGACCTTCGACATCAAGTCCGAGAGCCAAGCCGATGCCACCCTCTTCTCCGAAATCACTGGGGCCACCTACAAGGTGGTTCCCCACGTCGACCAGTCGGTCATGTTCAAGACCGTGACTGAGCGACTCAAGGCCGGGGGGTGCGTTGGCATTTTCCCGGAAGGCGGCAGCCACGATCGCAGCGAGTTCCTGCCCCTCAAGGCCGGCGTGACCATAATGGCGCTTGGTGCCATGGCCGAGCACCCCGGACTCGAGGTCAAGATCGTGCCCGTTGGCCTGAACTACTTCCATCCCGACCGGTAAGAGCAAATGGCGGCACAGTCGCGGGGATTATCTGTTGTCCTTGTCACTGCCAGCAGGATCCGTAGCAGCACCGAGCGACATTCCCACATCTTGACCATGGCACTTTGTGGTCGACCACAGCTTCCGCTCCCGCGCGGTCGTCGAGTTTGGCGATCCCATCACCGTCGACCACAAGCTTGTCGAAGACTATAAGAAAGGCGGGGCAGACAAGAGAAATGCCTGCTCGAAGCTCCTGGACGATATCTACAAGGCCCTCAAAGCCGTCACGGTCACGGCACCGGACTACGACACTCTGATGGTATGTCGCCCAAAGCTCTAGTTGGTGCACTGAATCTACTTCAGCGGCGAACAGCACTCAGGACCGAGCTGATGGCCAATCGCTCAACTATCATCATTCGCACCGGCGTCCACATTCACCTCCACAGGCGATTCAAGCAGCGAGACGTCTCTATATCCCGCATTCCAAGAAGATCACTTCTGCAGAGCGGCTGGACATCAGCCGCCGTTTTGCTGCAGTATGTATCAAGGCTGCCTTGGTCCAGCCTGTCATGCGGACGCAGTGACTCGGGTGTGCGGGGGAAAGCGCTCCAGACGAGTTTCCCGATTGAAATCACGCGCCGTGGTTGATATTGCGGAAGCTTGCTCTCGGCCTAGAGGGACAGGATAGAGGCCAGTTGGAATCGAGTCCGTGTCGCCTCGCGCCAGAGAACTGAAGTATCCATCGGTCGATTGTGCATCATGCAGGCCTACCAAGCGTTCCACGGCGAGCCGGAAGTCCAGAGTCTCTACCAGCGAATCAAGGAATACAACCAACGACTGGGATACTATGGTATTCGTGATCATCAGGTCAAAAACACTGGTCTGGGCTACAAGGCTGCCGTAGTCCTGGCTTCGAGACTCATCCAGGTTGTGAGCATGGCGCTCTTTGCCCTTCCAGGGTAAGTTGCGTACAATCGGTGTGCCGGCGGCACCCACGAGAATCGATGCAGCTTCTTCGCAGATAGAAGGATGTCGTACTCCTCTAGAAGACAATGGGCTCGTCCGCGACATCGGCTGCCGGCGGCGCGTTTCTCTTACATTGATCCGTTGCCTCGACAGCGCACTGCTCTGCCTCCCGATCGGCATTATTGCCCAGAAGATTTCTGCCGAAAAGGCCAAAGGTTCGTCACGACAGCTTGACGCTCATCCTGGATGTGGTTGCGTGCGACGCCTTTCTGCAAGGCAGTACTCAGTCTGCCGCTGTCGCGCTCCTCCACACATTGCTTCACAGCGCCGTACCAACAGTCGCTGACCATCTGTTTATGTTTCTCCACCTTTAGAGGCCAAAGCTGGCTCAAACGTCAAGATCTGGGGTCGCGACGTCATTGGCACATGGAAGGTGCTGGTGTCAGCCGTGCTGTTCCCGATCGCCTTTAGCTTCTACACCCTGGTCACCATCATCGTGATGTACTGGAAGCACGGCTTTGGTCTGGCCGGTCTCCTCCTCACTGCCATTTTTACTCCCATGATCTTGTTCCTGTTTACGGCTGTGGCGATCCGCACCGGCGAAGTTGGCCTCGACATTGTTATGTCTCTCAAACCGCTGGTGCTGGCTGTGATTGACCCCAAGAGCATGGAGCCTCTGCGAACGATGCGAACGGAGCTGCAGCAACAGCTCATCAGCGTTGCAGACAAGTTTGGCCCGTCGATCATCGAAGGCTATGCCACCGGCGAAGGCCGTATCATCAAGCCCGAGGATTTCGCAGCCAAAGCCACCGACGGTACCATCAAGGGAAAGCTCCTCTTTGGCGGCGCTCTGATCGATGGCACCACTCAGCTTATCGGCGGAACGACCCAGCTGATCGGCGATACCACTCAGTTGATCGGTAGCCTGCAGAGCGAGGTACAGAAGCGCTTCCAGAGAGTTGAAGTCCAGACATTCAGGTATGGCCGATGGATGGTACCGCCTGCAGCTGCCTCATTACGCTTCGCTGTATTGCTCGGATGGCTGATTGGAGCATGGATCCCTTCTCTCTCCATGACCGACACGACCCGGTTTCCGTCCTTGTTCATGGATCGCCTTCTGTCACCGAACGACATGCGGCATCGGGACGTTTGGCGCCGTCCAAACGTCCAAACATTGTAGATGGGAAGAAGTTTCCGAGGGCGAGGAGGACGAGGTGTTCTTCTTCCACAAGGACGACGTTCAAGCTCTCCGCGACGACAAGAAGAACGCATAAACCCTCGGTCTCAGTCTTCCACCTTCCCGTTCTTTCACTCACTTTCCTGTTTGTAGACCAGCTCTATCAATATAGATTCCACGATCCAATGTTCGCAGGCTACTGTCGTCCGCCGCGCTCCACTCCAACGACAGGCCGAAGTGTGTCGTAGCAGATCGAACAGGACTCAGATGGTCGTATCCTAGCACCTGGACTTCCTCCAGTCCTGACTCGTCGAGGAACTCTCGATATGATCACGGAGAAATCAAGCGAGCTCCTCGATTGCACCTGGAGAGCGACCAGCCAACCAAACACAGGGCGGATACACCTCATTTTGCGAATGCAGTCGCCTGCGTTGTATATTCAGACCTTGCGGCAAATGTAGACAAAACATGAGTCGATGCCGGAGCCAAACTGGAACGTGGCGGATTCTGCACCCTTGGCCGTGGTGACTTCGAAGCAGTCGTCAACCATCCAGCCGCCGATCTGGTTCTCGATCAAGTCGAGCCTTCCTTCGGGACGGCCGAGGGAAACCAGCACCAAGAGCCCGCCCGGGACGAGAATTTGGCCAAGTCTGGCCCAAATCTGCCGCAACATCTGCACTCCTTCGGGGTTGTAGAGGATGCCGTCAAGTGTGCCTTTGTCGAAGATCCAGTCGACAATGCCGCCCGATCGGAAAGGCATCTGGACGGCATCAAGGGTCACGAACTGCTCGATGCCCTTCAGGGCACTTTGCTGAGAAGCTGCCCGCGATGCCTTGGCTTCGTCCTCGAGAGCGATTCGCAGGATGCCGTCCATGGAGCTCCTCGCCACGTCGACGTTGAGGATGAAGCTGGCGGCCTCGTCGCCGATGATCTCGCGGGAGGAGCGAGAGTTGCCACAGCCGAGGTTGAGAGCGACAGAGCCCCGACCCCGGTTGGGCAGCGCATTCATGACCACTCCGCGGACCGCCTTCCAGGGGACAAACCAATCGTGGTGCTGGCTGCTGGAGGAGACATCGTAGTGACGCTTCCAGTAGTCGACATGGGCGTAGTTTGGCATCGGCGTCAGCTCTGAGCGCATCAGCAACGAGCCGCTGGGGACTTGATGATGAGGCCACAGCACCGTGAAAGCCCGGCTCAGCCCAACGTCGATAAAAACTGTGCACATGAGGCTGGGCGCATTCGAGAAGGGGACGAACGCCGGACCGTTGCGATCAAAGTTGACCCAGTAATGGGTTTGAGGGACGACCTTGCCTTGCTGATCGTAAGCGGCCACTTGGTACTGAGGGTTGAAGAAACAGGTCAGCCAACGAATGCGAGAGCAACGGCGCGGCAAGCAGAGCCAGATTGGGCTCAAGACGGCACTTGATGTCGACGGTGCGTATGCGCTGATGGACCCAGATCAAATCAACCGAGATCCAAAGTGCTGTCTACTCTGGCCGATCCATGTCCACCAAGCCGTGGGCATTAGGATCAGAAACGACGCCCATACCGGTCCCAAGTTGGCCAGTCCAAGAGCACTGGTTCAAGGACCGTGGCCACACCTGAATCTCACCAGAAGACACTGACCTGAAAAGCAAGCTTGTAGACCGAGTCGAGCAGAGCCCGAGGTGCGGCCGGGGCATCGCGCTGGGTCTGTGCGGATGCGTCCTTGGCCCCGTCCAAGGACTCGAGGGCCTTTGCGACGTTGGCGGCCAGGCCACTATCGGCTGAGAGGTGGTTCAGGGCTTGTTCCTGGGACACGAAGGTCCAGGTATGAGGGAAAACGAAGACCGACCGCCGATCGTCTGGAGAAAGCAGCTTGGTGGATCGAACGGCCACCACAGGCATCTCCTGTGGACCGGGACTTGCAGCCTCCACCGGCACCCATGCCGAGGAGCCATAGTCCGCGCTTTGGATCTTGGTGTAGAGCGTCTGGTGAGGATAGCGACGCAGGTCAGCGGCGCATGTCAGTAGTCCAAGTTCGGCGGTGTCGGCGCTGGCTGATCTGGGGCAACAGACACAGCTCTCGGGATATGTCCATTCCGGCGAATCGACTTTCCTCGTGCAGCGTCGCAGGGAGGACGTCGAGCTGGGAGGCGTGGGCCAGCGACCAGGATGTGAAATCCAGCTTGCTCATGGAGTTGGTGAGTATTGTTGCAGCGAGCTGGGGGGGGGGGAAGAGGAGCCGATTGATGCAGATCAGGGATCGGCGAGATCGATGAGATCGACAAACCGCGCCACGTCGAGCCAAATATCGAGTTGGCATTCTTGATCATCGGATGAATGTTCTGCCTTCACCTTGCTTCGCCGCCTTCTCCCTCATCAGCCCTGCCTGTCTGTCGCTCTGCCCGCTGAGCGCTCCCCACATATCATGGATCTCAATGCCACCACTCCCTCTGCCATCGATGCGGCGCTGCTGTCGCCTTCCAGCCACAGCCCTGACATCTTCACCATCGTGTGCTGCAACGACGGCTTCCAGCTCCAGCTCGATTATGCCACCATCCAGACCCTGCTCCAAGTCTGCAAACGGGCCAGACCCCTGCTGAGCGCCAAAGTGAATCGCTTCCGCAGATGGTGCCAGGATGCAGGACTGTGTCATCCAGACGGGTCGATGAGGATCGTCCTCACACCGAGCGACCAGATCGCCATCTCGCCTCATTGCGATGAGCAAGTTGCAGCAGACCGATCCTGGCTCATTGACCAAGCCGACCAAGGCAACGCTGCCGCCTCATTCTTCGTGGCCCGGATCCTCCAAGTCGAGCTCGCTGACCAGAAATCTACAGGCTGGCGAGAGCAGGGAGACAAGCAGCGGCAAATCTTCCAATATCTGGAAGCAGCAGCCAAAGCAAACCATCCGATGGCACAGTTCCACTTGGCTGAGTGTTATCTTCATGGCCATGGAATCAGCCAGGACCACACCAAGGCTGTCGAGTTGTATCGTGACCTCGCAGAGCGTGGACTTGCACAGGCTCAAGTTGGCCTCGGTCGATGTTTCGAGAACGGCGAAGGAGTTGACCAAGACTACGAAACTGCCATCAAGTGGTACACCAAGGCTGCGAACCAAGGCAGCGACAGCGGTCGACTCCATATCGTGTTCCTCCGTGGCTGGTTCTCGCTCGTTGGCCACGGTGTTGGACAGAGCGACGCCGATGCGCTCAAATGCTGGCAGGAGGTCAGCACACAGTCCACCGACATAGCCATCAAGTCGATTGCCACGCACATGGTTGGGTGGATGCACTACCTCGGCCGGGGCGTCGAGCGAGACCAGCAGAAGGGAGTCAAAATCATCCGTGAGAACGAGTCGGACGAGTTTCCGCTCGGGGAAGGCGATTGCCTGGCCGGGGGATTTGCCGAGCCTTGGATCTACTCGGACTCGCTCGCTGTACGCAAGTTCTTCAAGTTGTGCCAGTTTGGATCGGAGCGGGACTGGCTGTGCAAGCACCTTATGGCCATTTGCCTGATATATGGACTAGGAACCGAGTTGGAACCAGAAAACGCAGCGAACATTTTCGAGCAGCTCGCCAACGATGGCCACAGCGACAGCCAGTTCTCGATTGGAGAGTGCTACTACGATGGCAACGGGCGATCGAGGGACAAAGCGAAAGCAATCCGATGGCACGAAAGCTCCGCCAACCAGGGTAATTCATATGGCCAGTGGATGGTTGGGTGGTGCCGTTCCTTTGAACACCAAGTGCCCGAGGGCAGCACCATATCAGCCGAGTGGTATCGCAAGTCGGCCGAGCAAGGCAATCGATATGGACAGTTCTATTTTGGCGAGTGTCTCCAATTTGGTTACGGTATCGACCGAGACATCGACGCCGCCATCGTCTGGTATCGCAAGTCTGCAGAGCAGGAATTTCAACTTGCCATCGACATCCTTGAGAGCCTTGGAAATTAGAACTACACTCGGTTCAGAAAGAAACGGGACAGTCATTTTCTGGCTTCAGAGGTGGATGAACTGCTCGAAATACTTGGCGAACCGGAGTCTCCGTGGGCTGGATGCATATCCCTTCCCTTGCTTCCATGAGGCATTTCCAAAGACAATCACAAAGTCGGTCTCCCTTGGACATACTGTTAGGCCATGAGTGCAATGAGCGGGTGGGTGTACTCAGGTTCTAGAAAAAAAGTACTGTCCTGGTTAGAAGCGAGGTGTCCCGTTTCCAAAACGAAACGCTGTAAATGCCAAGCACAGGCACCCACGAACAGCCTCTGGCGGACCCGCCGAGCGTCACCGCAATTGCCAAACCGCCCTTTATTGTTGTCGATCTCTCGTTTCTCCCTTTCCTCTTTACTGCACGGCTGCCCTTTGGGCCATGTGTCGCCATCCGATGCCCGGAAACGCCACAACAATCACAGTTTCCCTCTCAGGACAGCGTGCTGTCTCCGTCAGCGGTGTTGCGCAAACGACTTGCGAGACCAGTATGTCGAGAGCTCCCAGTCCCTGGCAACGCCGTAGCCATTCCCATAGCAGAACCCGAGGTCATACTGGGCCTGCCGATGACCCTGCTCGGCCGCCTTGCGGTACCACTCGACCGCCTTGGCGAGATCTCTGGACACTCCACCATGATGATAGTAGCTGTGCCCAACCATCCACTGTCCGTACGGGTTGCCTTGATCGGCTGACTTGCTAAACCACTCGAACGCCTTCGAGTAGTTCCTTGGCTTTCCCCAGGAGCCGTAGTGGCACTGTCCCAGCCAGTACTGGCTGTCGCTATGGTTCTCGTTGGCAAGCTGCTCAAAGATTCTTGCGGCCTTGTCGTGGTTCTGCGTCACTCCAAAGCTGTGGATCAGGCAAACGGCCATGAGATGCCGGCACAGCCAGTCCTGCTTGGACCCCAGTCGACACAGCTTGAAGAACTTGCGTGCGGCAAGCGAGTCGCAATACTGGAAATCTTCTTCGGTCCGACAGTCGAGCTCCCCGAGCAGAAACTCGTCCGACTCGTTCTCACGGATGATTTTGACTCCCTTCTGCTGGTCTCGCTCGACGCCCCGGCCGAGGTAGTGCATCCACCCAACCATGTGCGTGGCAATCGACTTGATGGCTATGTCGGTGGACTGTGTGCTGACCTCCTGCCAGCATTTGAGCGCATCGGCGTCGCTCTGTCCAACACCGTGGCCAACGAGCGAGAACCAGCCACGGAGGAACACGATATGGAGTCGACCGCTGTCGCTGCCTTGGCTGACAGCCTTGGTATACCACTCGATCGCTGTGGTGTAGCCTTGGAAGCTCTTGACGTTCTCCAAGCATCGGCCGAGGCCGACCTGGGCTGGTGCATATCCGCGATCGGCGAGACTGCGATACAACTCGGCGGCCTTGGATGTGTCTCGCTTGGTTCCGTATCCGTTGTGGCAGCATTCGGCCATGTAGAATCGCGCCACCGGATGGCCGGCATCGGCTGCCTTCTTTACGTAGTAAAATGCGAGTCTGCGCCGCGAGTCGTGCCTGGTGTCGCTCGCGGATCCAGTGTCGTCGGACGCATCGTCGTCATCGGCATCATCATCATCATCGTCGTCGTCGTCTTCGTCTTCGTCATCGTCATCGTCCGAAGAATGATGTGTGTCGTCGTTGTCTTCTGCCCTCGTCTTGATTTCAGACTGGAGGATCCGACCCAGGAGATACGAAGCAGAACAGCGACCCTTGTCGGCCAGGGCGACGAGCCAGGATCGGTCGGCTCCGGCTGGGTCGTCGCAGTGCAGCGAGATGGCGATCCGGTCGCTGGGTGTGAGGCCGATTCGCAGCTGCCCGTCTGGACGACACAGCCCTGCTCCCTGGCACCAGTGGTCGAAGCGAGACAGCCTGGAGCTCAGGAGGAGCCGAGCCCGTTTGCACACGAGAAGCAGCGCCGGGATTGTGGCATCGTCGAGAGCAAGCTGGAAGTGGTCGTTGAAGGCCACAATGGTGAAGATGTCTGGAAACAGGAGGACTGGCTCTGCGGCATCGGGTGAGGCATGGGCGCTGACAAGGGTGGCTGGGGTGGCTGCCATGGCGTGCGATCGGATGCGGATGGTGTCGGATGCGGATGGTGTCGGATGCGGATGGTGTTGGATGCGGATGGTGTTGGATGCGGATGGTGTTGGATGCGGATGGTGTTGGATGCGGATGGTGTTGGATGGGTGAATGGGCAGGAGAAAGAGGGGAAGCAGGGTGGCCCAGCCAAAGTCACAAACATTCGACGGCCCAGACCCGCAATCGAATCCGCCATGCCGCCCAATCACGTGCTCGGCCATCCCGCCCGGGTCCGCCGCAGCCAGCCACAAGCCGGCCCTCCCGCGGCCGCTTTGCACTATCAATTTTTTCCACCCGACGACGCCGTCCACCGCCCGAGCGATAGCAGCCGGCAAGAGAAACCAGCCAGCAGACACCCTCTCCCGGAGAAGAGACTACACCGATGAACGCCGGATACCCCGAGTCCTTTGGCACCTGGTCGCTGTCGCCCCGCAGCGGGTCGGGCTCGATCTTCTTCGGCCACGGGTCGCCGCTCGTCCCACCGCAGCCGGGCTGTCCCGACCCAGGATGCATCTGTCGGTCGGCCGAAGCAAACCCCCAGCCGAGGACCAGCGAGTCGCTCGCCGCCGAGGCCATCAACGAGGCCATCGACAACGCAAAATCCAACGTCGATCTGAGGTAATGCAGCATCCCGGATTACCGTCGTCCCTGAGGGCCGGCCGATGCCGCTCCCTCCCCCACTCCAACTCCCTGAACGCAGATATCGCCCACAACGCAGCAACGCTCCCGGAACTCACGCCTTTCCTTGGCCGGCCACAGCGAGCTTGGACTGGTCGACATCCCAAAGGAAACCGAGTCGCTCGGGCGGCTGGTGTACATCAGCTCGTCGCAGTACTTTGACAACAAGATCCAGCTCTATCTCTCGAAAAACTCGCTGCGGCGTCTCTCCCCAAGCCTGTTTATGCTCCAGAACCTGTCTGTTCTGTCCCTCCGTATGTGGCCGTGGATGCGAATTGCTTTGGAAAGCAGTCGGTTTTCTCGCATCCGCCTTCCACTCCACTCCACTCCGTTCTGCTGTATGCGCTGACTCATTTCGCCTCAAATCCAGGCGACAACCGGCTGCAGTTCATTCCTCCGGAAATCGGGCTTTTGCAGAATCTGCGTGAGCTCTGTGTCGGCAACAACGAACTGGTGGGTCTTTGCGAATGCACTGACTCCAACGGCGCACCCATCCTGCCCCTCGCCGGACCAGCGTTCCTAACGATATCCCCATGCCCTTCCCTGTGCAGCAATTTCTCCCCGTCGAGCTCTATTACATCAAGAACCTCACACTGCGCCAAGACCCCAACCCCTTCCGTATCTGCCCCGAGATCCCACCAGCGTCTCTGTCTGATGCCATCATTCGCCCATGGCCCTCGGCCACCGCAGGCCCAGCCGCCCAGGCTCCCCATGTCCCGACTGGACCACCACCGCTCAGCGAGCTGGCTCGCCGCCAACTCATCCAACTGTTCAACACCATGTCGCCCAAACAAAAGTCCGACTTGCTCGATTTTCCTCCATACCGGCTCCATCTCGAGTTTCAGCACGGGCATCTGAGCAAAGACTATATCCGCTATGTGATGGAAACCCTTCCGCACATCTACCGCTGCAGCCGAGCCGCCTGTGGACGCACGTTCTTTACAGCCTCGGTCGAAATGATTCGCTGGAGCCGCTTTGGGTCACCGACCGAAAGCAATAGGCGTCTGCCTTTTGTCCATCGGTAAGTGTGAGTCGCTTGGCTGGTCAGAGACATAGAGCGACCCAGCGTATCCGGCGTTGGCTTACACCTTTCTCTGTCTCTCTTACATCTGTCTCGATCTTGCCCCTTAAAAGCTACTGCTGCGTTCACTGTGCTCAGAGTTGCTTGAAGATCGGACCAGTTGCGACTGACTTTGAAGCAGCAATCGAGGCTGCCTCTGGTCCAGCCGCCCGTCGCTGAGGTTGTTGTTTGAGCGAGCAAGTCGACGATGATAATAATGATGATGATGAAGGAACCGCCGCACCGCAATGCCGCCACGCTGCAACACCCCAATGCCACAACGGATGCGCTCTCAAGTCTGCCCTGCTTTCGGCGTTTGCGGCACAGAGCGTACTCGTCTCCTGCTGCAACAGGGCCCCCGCCGTGGCCGTCGAATGGCTCTTGTCGGCCATGCTGTCGTCGAATCGCCTGGCAGCGATGATACTGCCCAGGGTCGGCGCAGCGGCGTCCAAAGGCGAGGGCGATGGTGTGCCCAGGACGTAGTTTTGGATAATATATTTACTCTGCGAACGACTCCCCTCCCCGCAACCCACAGCATTAATCTCGGGCTGCTGCCGGTGGTGCGGGCATGCGCTGCGTGCCGATCGTCCAGGGCCCCGGCTCCAAACCGAGCAACCCGCGCTGCGTCCGCCGGCTTGATCAAAGCCGCCTCGCTTGCCTCGGCCCTGTCCTCTTTCTCGCCCTCACCAACCCGCCCCTCGTATCCGCTTCCGCCCCCTTCCCTGTGTCGTCGCAACCATGGAGGCTGCACCGACGAGAGAGCAAATCAGGCAAAAGATCCTGGAGAAAAAAGGACAATACACCATCCGCGATTTCGACGGCTATGCGGTCAAGGTCCACCGAGACACCAGCCAGGTTCGGCCCTTTCCCGATCTTGCCCTTGCCAGCAGCAGCAGCAGCAGCAGCAGCAGAGCCCGCACGGCCAGCCTTCGGCTCGGCTTCCTCAGCCAAAGAATCAGCGGCCGGCCGAGTGGATTTGTCTACCCTCGGCTAACCTTGTCGCCAAATGTCGGATTCGTCGCGGCCACTTTTGGCCGGCTCAGAAACTCTCGATTACCATCTGGGACCATCTCGAGCCCGAGGCCGTCTACGTCGGCACCTTTGAAGAGTCGCTGATCGCAGAAGCCTATGCCGAACTCACGTCCGAGGCCGGCATTTTGCGCATCGAGGAGGGCAAGGTATGTCCCAACCGCTTCTGGCCCTCTCACATTATCTATGGAGGCCGGGGTCGAGCCTGTGCGTCCGTGCTTTTGCCCATGACCGCTTGGGTTTTCCGCACTGTTCTGGCTTTGTGTCGACAACTGTTCCAAGTATCCTTGGTATCTGGAGCTGCGATTATCGGCATAGCTGGATGCATTGCGGACTACCGATGGGGCTTCGGCTCCCCTCCCCTTGCTGTTGGAAAGCAGACCAGGGTCCGATTCCTTTCCGTGCCGTTTCCTATACTGTCACTCCCATCGCTCCCGTCAACTTACAGAATTATACACCTGCCTCCCTTGGTCTGTGGTCTAGATCGACACCAACCTCGTGCCACACCAACTGGACATCCGTCGCCGATCTGCCCCGACCCTCTCGTACATTCTCAAGCGCGAGCTCATTCCGGCCTCGATCGTTCTGCGGAACGAAATCGACCGGCTGCGTTGGGTTGGGCCGCAAGGCGCGGGCGTGGCGAAATCCATGGACGAAGCTCTGAAGCGGCTTTCGGTCGATCCAGACAACCTGGAGCAAGGTGAGGGATAGCTGGTCAATCGAGCCTTGACCGGATAGCAGGACTCCATCGTACCAATGACGGTCGATGTGCGATGTGCGATGTGCGATGTGCGATGTCGGCGTGAGTGTGGTGCTGGTGGCGACAAGAAGGGTCTTGGTTGATACACGGCGTTGAATGCAGTTGGCATCCTAAACAGCCTGTCCATTGGATATCCCGGCACCACCACCCACACCATCCACACCATCCACACCATCCACACCATCCACACCATCTACATCATCCACACCATCTACACCATCCACACTTTGCCCGCCACGCTGACTATCCGCATCATCCGCCGTGTATATCATGAACGCCATGTCGCCGCTGCATTGCTCCAGTTTCCCCGGACTACATCCATGGCCGTCTCGAATTCATGAGCGAACACTACGCCAAGGCCGCCGACTATTTCCGCAAGGCTGCATACAAGGACCATGGTCTCTCGCAGAATGCTCTTGGTCTCTGCCATGAAATCGGAGGCGACCCTGTCGGCGCGGCACGCTGGTTCGAGAAGGCGACTGAATCCGGATGCTTCGAGGGCGCCACCAACCTGGGGCGCTGCTACCTGGAAGGCATCGGCGTCGAGCAGGACTACACCAAGGCCGTGGAGCAGTTCAGCCTCGGGGCCGAGCACGATGACATGGAGGCCCTCAACTATCTCGGGCTATGCTACCAGCGCGGCCACGGCGTCGAGGTCGACTGCGAAAAGGCCGTCGACTACTATGAGCGAGCGGCCGAGATGGGCCACGCCGATGCCCAGAACAACCTCGGCCAGTGCTTTGAACACGGCTCGGGCACAGACCAGGACGAGGTCATGGCCTTTGCCCTCTACCAGAAAGCCACCAAGCAGAAGCACAAGGGCGCCCGCAAGAATCTGGCCGTCTGCTATCACCGCGGCATCGGCGCCCAGGCCGACAAGAACGCAGCCATCTGTCTCTACCAGGAGATTGTGGACCACGGCGACGCCGACATCGAAGTGCACTACAATCTCGGAACGCTCTACTACGGCGCCCTCGAGTACGACGAGGCCGTGCGGTCGTTCCGACGGGCTGCCACCAACGGGCACATCATGGCGCAAAAGTACCTGGCCGACTGCTTCCGCTTCGCCCAGGGCGTCGTCGCCGACACGACGGCAGCGGTGCGTTGGTATCAGCGTGCTGCCGACCAGGGCTGTGTTGAGGCCCAGTGCTCGTTGGTGCAGTGCTACTTTGACGGAGTCGGCGTTCCGCAAAACTACGCCCTGGGTATGGAGTGGTATCGCCGCACGCGAGCAGTCGCCCCCGACTTGGTTGCCCTGCAGTCGCTGCAGTCTACATACGGCCCGAAACTCAAGGAGCTCGGCGATGGATACTGCGAAGGCACGTTTTCGTTCGGCAAGAACGAGCCCAAGGCGGTCGAGTACTACCAAATGGCATCGGAGCTTGGCTGTGCCGCGGCACAAAACAAGCTCGGGTACTGCTATGAGGTGGGGCTGGGCGGACTCGTTCCCAGTAACGAGCTGGCCTTGATCCACTACGAAAAGGCGGCTGCCCAGGGCCTGGCCCACGGCCAGTACAACCTCGGTGTCTGCTATGAGAAGGGCATCTTTGTGGACGTGGATCTGGACATTGCTCTGGCATGGTACCAAAAGGCTGCAATCCAGAGCCACAAGCAAGCCCAGAAAGCGGTCGACCGTTTGTCCAAGAAGCGAGCAGACCCAGCCCCTTAAGCAGGAGGCGACTTTGGTTGTCATGAAAGCCCTCGCTCTCCAAGCAAGCCTGACAGCTCGATTCTCTTCTGATGGGTTTACTTCCACCCTGTTTGTCCGGTTTTGTTGATTTGATTTGATTTGACTTGATTTGATTTGCCTTGCACTTGCCCTTGCTTCCCGTTTGTTTATCTTCCCTTTACTTTCTTGTTTGATATAGTTCACACCGCCTCTCGGAAATGGCTTCACTTCCCTCCCCCCATAGACGTTTTGAAGGCCCAGGTCTTGGTTTGGAACCAAACTCTGAATATAACACCGTTATATGACATGGTGGGGGGAGGAGCTCATGAAGCAGACGCGATTGCAGCAGGTCACTGTCGGTGTATTCTCAAGTCCGACGATTGCGAAAGGCAGGTGCGAGTCATCGCGGCCCCATCATCCAAACCCGATGCACCAGGCGGCAAAGGGCTTCTCTCACCGAGGCAAATCAAACGTCCAGAAGCGAGCGCGGGGAATGTTGATATAACCAACTGGGGTGGGGAGAAGGAAAAGCAAGAGAAAGACACAATCAAATGATCGACAATGAAAAGGAGAGAATAAAATAGAAAGGGAGGGAATGTGACAAAGGAAAAGAGTCATCTAACTTGGCCGACTGGCTGTCCGACTGACTGGCTCACTCGCTCTTAGAGGCTACTCCATGGATACGAAAATCTCCTTTGGCTGGTGATGCGTCCCGATCCGCTCAGCGTCTCGAATCGAGCACCCAGAACCTGCCGATCGGTGCGCTCCAAGATCGGGGTGTACCAGTACTCGCACGAAACCCGGTCGCGATCGGCGTGGAGCAGCATGTAACCGTGGCGACGCAGGTCGGTGTACTTGAGATGCGGGTTGCGCCATTCCATGTAGGACTCGACCGGAGCGTACCGAAGCGGAACCTTGGACGGGTGATCCAGCGGCGTATTCGAAGTCACGGAGGGCGAGACGAACTCGACGCCAATGGCTCCGGCACCGGTCTTTGGGTCATAGCTGGAGGAGTTGAAGGGATCCAACGCGATGTCGTAGACCCAAGAGGCATGGACACTGTTTTGGGATGCACACATAAGCATGGCGAGCGCGTCCGATTGCACCGGCACCGGACAGCAACAGCGCAGTATCAAGGCTCAAACAACATGGCCAATATGACTGCTTTGGATGCGCTCTGCACAGGGAGCGCATAAACGGTCTGTCTCGGTCGTGGTGATACTTACTCGCCAGTCAGAACGACCAGATTGTCGATACCCTCGTTCTGCACAAAGTTCAAGATGCGCTTGCGATTTGCAGGGTATCCGTCCCAGGCGTCGTAGTTGGCATAGTCATGCACCAGATATGTTGTCGAAAACACCACCTGCTGGCCAACGAACCGCCAGCGGGCACCACGGTCGCTCGACTGCTTCAACTGCGACAGGAACCAGTTCTCCTGGATCTCTCCGAGAATCTGGCGGAAGAAGGAAAGAGACGAAAGGCATCCAGACGAACGAGAGGAAGGACCCAGGAGTTTAGACTCGGATGCCGCGTCCAGAAAGCAACCGGACAGAGGTCTTGAGAACACCAAGGGGCGCAAGCGGATCGGGCAGCAGATTGGCGAATTGAGCAGACGATCGAAAGGCGACCAAAGAAGCCGCACCCAGGATATGGGTCCCGAAAGTACCGGACTATCTCGACATCTTACCGTGCGATTTTCGGCTTGTACGACTTCAGCCAACTTGAGATCCGTTTCCTCGCGACCGACGATTCTGCAGAGGTATCCATTGACATAGCAGCGTTACTAACCGCTATTCTATAGAACTAACCGCCACTCTACCGACATAAATGTATGCTTGCAAGCCTTTGCATAGGGCGATAGAAGAGGTACAGAAGCCGGCTCCAAATCACTCACCGCGTATCAAGCATGATGAGGTCTAGCAGCTTGCCGTACTGAAAGTTGCGGTAGATGCGGTTCTCTTCGGTCTGGACTTGTGGACGGATAGGGAGATACTCGAAATAGGCACGAACGGCCGCTCCGACTCGCTCATGCCAGTCGCCGGCCGTCTGGGGGTGGTTGTCGGCGCCGTGAAGCCATCTAGATTTGATTCAGCATTGCATTGATGTCGAAATGAGGGGGGTATTTAGTTGGGAATTGAATTATGCAAAAGACAAATGGTGAGCAGGGGAGCTTCAGAAATGCAACCCATCCAGTCACCATGGACTCGATTGCCGAACGCACAAGCCAGGAGATGAAAGATCCACGACCAAAGGAAACAGGATAAGGTCGATGCCCTTTCCATTCAGTAAACCTACGCATTGTCGGCAAACTCGTGATCATCCCAGACGACGATCCACGGCACGAGGCGGTGGGCGGCTTGCAGATCTGGGTCGAGCTTGTACTGGGCGTGGCGAGCACGATAGTCTTGGACTGTGACGAGATCGTGGTCCGGCAAAGGGATGCGACCGAGGGCAGTACCGTCGCCGTATTGACCTGGGTGGACACCGACGCACCGACCATATTCGAGAGCATCAGAAAGTCAGCAGGCCGGAACATTCACGACACTGATGGTGATGGATAGTCCGACGACACCCCTTCATCGGCAAAGGGCTCACCATTCATGTACTCGTAGATGTAGTCACCAAGATGCACCACAAGATCAATATCCTTCCGCGAGGCAATGTTGCGATAGGCATTGAAGAAACCCGCCGGCAGATTTGAGCAGCTAACAACGGCGAGCCTCAAACTCTCGAGGCTCTCGTCGTCCGGAAGCGGCAGAGTCGTAGTTCGGCCGATCCAGCTTGAGTGCCGGGCACCAAAGGCATCGTAGACGTGGAACTGGTAGTAGTACGCTTGGTTAGGCATGAGGTCCTTGACGTCGACTTTGACAATGTAGTCAACCTGGTGCGAGGTGTGGGTGAAGAGGTTGCGGATGGGCTCGGCCGGGGTGGGAAGCAACCGAGTCAGGTCGGCATTGGCATCGGCGGCGATCTGCAGATGAACTCTGATGGGCGACGCAGACGCAAGGCCGATTGTGATCTTTGTCCAAAGGCTTGGTGGTGTTAGTGGGCATAGGAAGACAGAAAAAGCACAGCCAGAACAGGGTTAGGATCGGATGAGAAGCCTGATATCGATACGAGCGGAGTATTCGACACAGGCAGAACGGGCCAGTAGCAACACTGACTCGAGAGTCGGGACCAGATCGAATACTCGAGTGCGGAAGGGAACGAGAACATCAAATAGACCAGGACCAGCACCGAACGAGAACCGACAACGGCTGGGGGGGGGGCAAAGCAAGCGACAGAATGCGACTGGCTCGTGGTCAACGAAACTTACATCACTGAAGTTTGCAAGGGATCGCCGCTAGCAATGCCATGGAGGAACTGGACAGGGCTCGGGCCCGTAAGCTCAGGGTTGTAGAGGCTCTTGTGAGGAGCATGGCCGATCCTGCCCGGACCCTGATCCTGGTCCTGGTCTTGCTGCTGGACGACCAGCGGAATGGCCGAGTCTCGAACCAGAGGACTGGAAAACACCAGATTGGGAATGAAGCGGTCCTCCGAGAAAAGCGTCAGATTCTGGATAGACGAACCGACGGGCGCAGATCCAGAGTTGAGCGAAATAGCGGCCAGGCAGTTGCCAAATCCGGGCGAGCAGGGCAGCTCGGATGAGGAGACCAGGCTGGCGGCCAGGATGAACAGCCAGATTCTTCTTGCCATGTGGACGACCGAGACGAATGGGTGGATGGATGGACGCTGAGCTTCTGCTTGGATGGGATACAAGGACGAGGACGGAATGAGGCGTTGGCAGGAACCAGGGGGGTTTCAGAGCAGAGCAATTCGGCGATGAAGCAAAAGTGGAGGGCCGTGGCTGTGGATGAACAGCGCCAAGAAAGACAAGATCGGGGCTGGACAGTGGCCAACGACGAATGCGGCTGTGGGTTCCAAAAGCGTCCGATGCCGACGCAGCAGCGGCAGCCAACCAAGGCGAGGCCAGGACAGAGCCAAGGAGGATTGCTGTGGAGGCTTGCGGGCTGGACTGGCGATGTGGATTGCGTCTGAAAGCCGTTGTGGCTGCGCTGGGCGAAACTCCGCTGGGCAAACATTCGACGGCGGAACTGGACTCTGCCCAAGCAATATTCCCAGCGACGACCCGGCAGCAGACGGGGTGGCGGAATCGTTGGGGCAGAGGACAGCGATACAGGCTGCGACGGCAGATGGACGCTCATACTGCATATGCGAATCGTCCGGACAGGCTGGGCCTGCAGCAGACCCCCAGACGCAGCTCGCTGCCAGCCCACAACACACGGAGACAATAGGCAGATTGAAGGTCCTGCGATGGATACATCAAAGTCTTGTTCATAGCGCTTGTCTTGCTGCACAGTGATGGTGTGGTCAACAACAAAAGCAGCGGCCTTTGAGCAGCGGCACTATCCACGAGGAGCTCAGCCGTTCTCGTGTGGGGAACCCTGATGCCGTCTAGGCAGCGGGCTTCTTGAGCTTCGTGGCGCTGAAGACGAGGAAGCTGGGCTTCAGCTCGCCAAAATAGCTGGCGTTGTCGGCACCAGGGATGTGTCTCAGGGACACCGTCACTCGGACCTGAGAGAAACCAATGCTATGCAGATACAGCAGCAGCGAGTCGGCGGTGTGGAGGAAGCGAGGGCGCTCCTCTCGACCGGGCAAGCCCTTGGTGGGAGTCATGACGTTCGTCGTGGATCCGGCAGAGTTCAGGGTGCCGACACACCAGCCGATGAGGTTGCCGCCCCACTTGAGACTCTGGAAACAGTTCACCAGGAACTGATCGGTCTGCTCCTTGGAGAGGCAGTGCAGAATGGCAAAGGCCGAGACGGCGTCAAACTTTTCGACCCATCCGTGGGCAGAGACGATGTGGGGCAGGTCCGACGAGGATTCGGCGGTGGTAAAGTCGCCAAAGACCCGTTCGACCGAGGGCTCATCGCCGGCAAAGAGGATATCACGGCCGAGGTTCCAGTAGACGTCGCTGAGGTCCGAGACTGAGAGCTTGGCGGGATCGACGCCATCGTGGATAAGCTTGCGGGTGTCGACGCCGAAGCAGCAGCCGAGCTCGAGGAAGCGAAAGTCGGGCGAGCGCGAGAGCTCGAGGAGCTGGCGGTAGAAAGGGTGGCGGTTGATCTTGGAGTTGCCAAAGGTGCCATGCTCGATGCACTTGTAGAGATGTTGGCCGTCGCGGCGCAGGGCGTCCTTGACCTGCTCGATGCGAGCAAGGGCCTCTTCCTTTGAGATGTTGGAGTATTTTGTGAGGAACTCGACCTCGGGGATTTCGGGCCAGGCGGAAGCAGAATCGGCCATTTGGAAGACGCTGATACTGTGGGGGATGGCGCAAGGGGAGGCGAGGATTGAGCCAGGGGGCCGGGATGTGGTATGGGACGATGGGCGACTGAAAGCACAGACCAATGTGCAGAGGCGACCTACGTGAAGAATCAAAGGCGATGGTTCGGGAGCAAGACAGGACCGCAGGACGATACGACTGGGCGAGGCGACAAGACGAGGCGACAAGACGAGGCGGCAAGAGGATATGAGCAGGTGTGATGGAGGAGCAAGGCCAAAGAAACAGACGACGTTCGAAAATGGAATCGCTGGGACGGCAAGGCGCTTTGTCAGCGCCGATGCCAGGCGATGACTGCGCAGCGTGACCGTCACACGCCGTGCGCAGCTGTGGCAGTGCATTGTGGCGGTAGGACAGAGAGCGGGCGAGAGCAGCGAGAGCAGCGAGAGCAGCGAGAGCAGGAGAGAGAGGCCGGGCGAGACGTGCGGCGAGGGCGACTGGCCGTGACGCGGTGTGAGCCAGGCCCGCACCAATCGCGGCCGCGCTGCCGCTATTTATAGAAGCCGCTGGCCACAGGCGCCCGGACTCGGCCTGCGCGCTGGGCGGACAGACAGGCGGACCTTGGTGCTGCGTGGCACCGCGCCCGCGCCGGACCCACACAGCACGCGGAGACGCTCTGTGCTACCTTCTGTCGCACAGCAGCACAACCGCACGCGGCCCCACAGCGACAGTGCTGGGGACCCGCGCCGTCCTCGCCGCCGCTCTCGGCTCTTCTCGCCCGCGTCTCGCCACCCGCCAGCGTCCCCCGTTCTCGACTCATCGGCTTTCGTGATCGTGGCCGTCGTCGGTTTGCTCTGCTCTGCATCTCCATTCCCCAGCGATGACCTCCCGCGATCAAATCCGCCAGCGCATCGTCTCCAAGAAGGGCGACTACAAGATCCGAGACTATGAGGGCTACTCCATCAAGGTCCACAGGGATGGCACTCCCGGCAGCTCCGTAAGCCGTCTCCGCCGCTAAATCGTCTCGGCCGCATCCCACGCAGCGACAACCATCGCACCATTACACCATTGCACATCGCCATGGACATGGCCGCGATGCATATTCGCATCGCTCGCGGCAAATCGATTGGGCCAATGACCCAAATGCTGGTCGCTTGTACCGGCTGAGTGGACGGCCCCTGCGTCGGCACCAGACTATCACTCGTGCGTTGTCGCTGACTGTCTCCCGTGCCCAACGCCGCTCCCATCCACAGAAACTCTCGCTGACTGCCTGGGACCAACTCGAGCCCGAAGCTGTCTTCACAGGCACCTTTGAAGAATCCAATCTGGACGAGAGCTTTGCCGAATTCCTCAAGGACACCGGTATTCTCAGTTTGGATGAAAGCGTGGTATGCACACAGCATGTGGAGCTATCGAGCTTGGGTCTCGACGGTCTCAATCCAGCACGAGCGATTTGGCGAGTGCATCCAGGGAGTGTGCCAGGTGCGAGGCATACCTGTACACCGTATCGCCATCTCGACAGCGTCGGTCACGGCCTCTCCAAGTTCCTGTGTCCATCTTACCAATGCCCGACATCCCCACCCAACATCAGATCGACAAGAGCCTCGTCGTTCACGAAATTACCCTCCTCCGCCGCTCAGCTCCGACCGTGGCCTACATCCTGAAGCGGGAGCTGATTCCTGCCTCGATCGTGCTCAGAAACGAGATGGACCGCCTTCGCTTCGTGGGCGCACCCAAGAGTAAGGCTCCCTCCTCTCCTTTGGTTCGGGCTTGGCCCGGCTTTTGCGCGACTCACCGCCACTTCACTCAACCGTACCGCCCGAGCTCGCCTCGATCTAATCCGCCACCGCCGCTACGACCGTCTCGTTGCTGCAATTCCCAGATCTGCCAAAGCCACAGCGTGAGTCGACCCTTGACGAGGCGTTCAAGAAGATTAATATCGATCCTGAGTCGACCGAGCAATGTAAGAGACACTCCACCAGCCGTCATCCTCCCCCCCCACCATTCGCCGTGAGTCGGTCGATTGTGTCAGAAGCATTCCTACCCATTCAGCCTCGCCGGTCATCGTCCCTCGTGGTCCCCGTCTTTGTCCCGTCCGCTCTAACCTCCCTGCCGCACCTGTCGTGCTCGCTGCCAGTCGTTCCCGAGTACATCTATGGTAAAATCGAGTTTATCTCGCAGAACTATGCCAAGGCTGCAGACTTTTTCCGGCGCGCTGCCTACAAGGGCCACGCCCTTTCTCAGAACTCGCTTGGTCTCTGCCATGAGATGGGCGGAGACTTTGAGGGCGCTGTTCGCTGGTTCCAAGAGTCGGCCGATCTCGGGTGCGCCGACGGCGAAAACAACCTCGGACGCTGCTATCTGCAGGGCATCGGTCTTGAGAAGGATTTCAAGAAGGCCTTCGAGCTGTTCCTGCACGCGGGCGAGCAAGATGATATGGAGGCCCTCAACAACCTGGGTCTGTGCTACCAATACGGCACCGGTGTCCAAGAAGACATCGAGAAGGCTGTCGACTACTACGAGCGTGCCGCCGAGAAGGGCCATCCCGGCGCTCAAAACAACCTTGGTCTTTGCTTCGAACACGGTTACGGCGTCGACCAGGACCCCGTCATGGCTGTTGCCCTGTACCAGAAGGCGGCTCGGCAGAACGACTTTGATGCGCAAAAGAACCTCGCCTCCTGCTACCACCGCGGCGTCGGCGTCACCATGAACCCGGCAGAAGCCATCCGTCTCTACAAGGGCCTCGTCGATGGCGGCAAGGCCGACACCACCGTCTTTTTCGAGCTCGGCACGCTGTACTATTCACAGATGGAGTACGACGACTCGGTCCGTGCTTTCCGCCAGGCCGCCCACCAGGGCCATCCTGGAGCCCAGAAGGCCCTCGGCGATTGCTATCACTATGGCCACGGCCTCCGACCGGATGTCACCGCCGCGGTGCGATGGTACCAGCGCGCTGCCGACCAGGGTCATGCCGACGCCCAGAACTCGCTGGCCTACTGCTACTTTGAGGGCCGCGGCGTGTCCCAAAACTACGAAATGGCTGTGCACTGGTACCAGGCTGCTGCCGATCAAGGCCACAGTGCCGCCATCAAGTCGCTGGGCTCAGCCATGAAGAGCCTCGGCGACGAGTTCTTTGACGGCACCGACACACTCTGTCGTGACGAAAAGGAGGCCGCAAAGTGGTACATTCGTGCCTCCGAGCTGGGCTCAGCCGCCGCCCAGAACAAGCTCGGATACTGCTACGAGATGGGCATCGGTGTCGGCGGCGAGGATCACCAGAAGGCCATCAAGTGGTACGAGAAAGCCGCGGAGCAAGGTCTGGCCCATGGCCAGTACAACCTCGGCGTCTGCTACGAGAAGGGCCGTGGCGTCGGCATCGATCCCTACATTGCCCTGGCCTGGTACCAGAAGGCTGCCGTCCAGAGCCACAAGCAGGCCCAATCCGCCGTTGAGCGGCTGACATCGAAGCGACGACAGAGCACCATTTGGGGATGAAAGGGTGGTCGTGACGGCCCTTCCCATGGCTACGCCAACTGTACATTCACAACTTCAACAGTAGTATATCTCTGATCTTGGCTATTCCTCTCTCTCCCATGCGCTCTTTTGTTTGTCATATCATCTGCAGCGTTTCCACGGCTGCCTCCTTGGCGATCCTCCTCCCAGCGCCTCTGGCTTGATATTTTTTTTCTTTCCTTTCCTTTCTTCGTATCTCCTTTCCCATTGTACTCTTTTTGATGTCGACCACCCAATCCCTTCCCACTCGGGACACCTTGCAGGCCTACCTTGGATCACAGCGTGCGTGGCTCCCCCCAGGAATACAACCTCTCTCGGGTGTCCAGTTGTTGTCTCGCCTTCCTCCACCCTCCCTTCGTGGCGTCCCAAGCAGTGCCAGCATCACGCCAATCGCTGGCTGCTGCATGTAGAATTACTCTTGTGGAATCCGGCACAGCCTCTTGCACATCGGCTGCGTCGTCCCGCTTCATTCCAGAATACATGCAATGTATCCGATTGCTCCAGAACCCCGGGAGTGGCTGGAGCTCGAGGATACTGAAGTGCTTCATTCTGCAGCGTCCACCATCACAACACCACCACCACCACCACCACAACACCGCCAACATCAACAACAACAACAACAACAACAACAATTACTACAACAACATCGCCGTTACTCGTTCAAATGTCACGACACGATCAGGGCTCCGACTGTCCCCAGAGATCGCGGGCCTGGTCTTCGTCTTTGAACCGACCACGCTGCTCCCAGTACGATCCGGGCAAGTACCGCCACACTCGATCGGTCGAGTTCGTCGGCGAGGCCGCACTCGCCGTACTTTCCCGGCCCTGCGTATCGGTAGCGCCAGCCCCAACACCAACACCAGCACCAACATCCACGCTACCCGTCGATGCTGCAGCTTCGGTGTGCACGGGCTCGAAGAATCGAGGCGTCCACTTTTGACCTTGCGCCTCGAGCTCCTTGATGTACTCTCGCTGCAGTGCCTCCAGCCGCAGTTTCTCCATCTCGGACTCGTCCGCCAGTCCGTTCTCGTACATGCGCTGATCGGTGCGGTATCGCGAGTCAGTCTTGGGAATCACACCTTCGAGGCTTGGGTGTAACTCTGCGGACAACACCGATGGAGAATGGGTTTACATGAGTGGGTTTGGCTCGTGCCGCCGCATCCGTCGCCACGAGCAGGAACAGCGAAAGTTGATATGTCGCGGCACCAGCGCGGCACCAGCGCGCATACCAAGCTCTTCATGACGAGCAACATCGATGCTCCAGTGCAGCGTGAGGGCGATGGCGCCAGGATGGCACCACGATCAAAGGCACAAGCGGCCCAAGTTCAGGGCTGGCTGAGGCCCTCAGGAGAGTGAATTCATTACCATTGAGCTGCACGGCGTAGTCCGTGAAGCCATACATTTCTTGCGAATGGTTCGGGTTGGGTCTGCGTCTCCAGAGCACCTCAAGCTGGTTGGGCGTGGATGAATGGAACTTGGCGATGCTGTCGTCCCATTTTCCGCTTTGTATCGCAACCAAGATACGAGCGATCGGGTCAGCAGTAAGCTTCAATCCCGTATTGTGGATAATCCATACACGGCCACTATGTCGGCTTTGCCCGCCATCCACAGGCACGCGCAGAGTCATATCTACAGCTACCGGGGGGACACTCAACGACCAAGATGTCTACTCACCCGATCGAGAGAATCTCCTGCCCATTAGGATCCAGGATCACACCAGTGACCTCATTCTTGGAGGAAGTAAAGTATCCCGACTCTTTAAACGTAACCTGGCATGTGTACCCTGCCAAAGGGAAAGAGCGTTCCGATCATGGCCGCGGAATCGTGGTGAGCCAATGCGAGTGCGGCTGCGTGAATCCGGACTTGATGGCACAGCACGTCTGGCCCAAGCAGCAGCAGTATTCGCAGGTCTCTGCATTGTCGATCAGGAAAACGGAGGAATGTGGCCGCACCTGTCTTCAAGCTCTTGATGTTCATGATGCCATAGTGCTCCAGATAGCGTGTGCCAGCCAGAATATTTCGCATACATGTCGTCACTGCCGTTGAGAGGAAGGTGTAGGTTTGATAGATGTCAGCTCTTGAACTGCCTGGACTTGATCCCAGCCTCTGTTTGGAAGGGGCGGTCCTGGCATCGTGGAGCCGCAATAGGAGCAGCAGTGGCAGCAGCAGCAAACAAATGAAAGCGTAAAACATGTTGCGTGGCGGCGCAGCGCAAAAATGAAAGGTAAGATCGCCCAGCAGAGGGATTTGCAGAGGAGCCGGCCGATGCGCTTGCGGGTTCAGTCGCTTCATCAAGTGGCTTACCCTTGTTCCATTGATAGTGCTCGCCCAACGCTGGAAATTCGACGTTGACTGATCACACCAACAACCATTCAGTGAGCCGTGTCAAGCACATGTGCAATATGCGCCTGTAAGCACATGTGCATACAGAACGACCCATTCGCTCGCATCTGCAGCCAGGACAAAACTCCGCACACAGGCGCGAACTCGGATAGCACCACGACACCGCAACGAACATACCCTGGCCCAACGGGATGAGCTCCATTGACTTTCCCCAGAACTTTGTTTTGACTTGATTTGACTGGTAAAACACATAGCGTCGCGACTCGGCGTGGCAGGCCATGATGTGCGGGTGGTGGCTGACCTTCTCGGAGATGAATCGGAAGCCCTTGTCCTCTCGCACGCACTCATACGTCTCTCCTAGCAGCGGATTGAACTAGAGTCGAGCAGGCAGAGCGACAAATGGTAAGTCAGCCTCCTGGATTGCACACAACGCCAAGTGTGGATGGTAGATAGAACCGATCCCGCACAGCCCACAGAGGTAAGATTCCAAGGTCGGCGCATCACTCACGGGTTTGCGTCCTGCACGGAGTATTGTCGAGCCGTAGGCCGAGATCGCAAATGCTGCAACGCAGTTTCAGATATTAGGTAAGGTCTGTGTGCTCAACTCAGCACACGGCCCCGACACAGGACAGATCGGTTACTTTTTGACCTGTTTCAACCAGAAAGCCTGAAAGGCCACCAGCAACCGACGCAGCTGCCTCTTACCAGATATCAGCGCAATGCGATGCACATCGTCCGATGTTTCCGCTGCTTGCTCGAGCAGCTCGGAGTATTCCAACTCCTCGCAGAGCTTTTGCAGCAAATTGAGCGGCTCGTTCAGAGCGATGGGCATCGCGACTGTCGACAAATCTTTGCCGATCTGTGGGTTTGCACCGTCCGCAGCCCATTCCGGCCATGCGTATTGAAATACCAAAGATACATCGGACATGGCGACGTTAGTATGCGAATCATCGTGCCTTGGCAGATTCATTCGACACAGGAGTAATACGGGGCATGATGGTATCGAGACCAAGGCCCAGCTCTCCGTGCATTGCAGCGAGTTCCATCACAGCGTCCTAGAGCTACGTGGTCGGGCCAAGCCACGGTGTACTTACATTTTTACGGAGGATAGACATCAGGCTAATATTCTCCATCGAGACCTGAGGTGCCGGCAGGGCAGCACGTCGCTTCATGGGGGGCTGCTTGAGCTCCGGGAGCGGATCGATAGGCTCAGGCGCCAGTGGCTTCTCCAGTTCGTTATTGGCTAGGTCCTGAGGTTTGATCTCTGGAATATTCGGCAGCTGCGCAGGGACCGCAAGAGGGCTTGCCACGAGCTGATCAGCAGGCATGACGATGGCATGGTTGATCATGGGTGAGTATCCGACCATCTTGGGTCCGAGTGAGCCGTGCGAGTGCGATCGCGCGGCTTTGGGCGACATCACAGGGGTGACGTTCAAGGAGCTATCTTCGGTTGCGTCAAGCTCCTCATATTCGTCGATCTCGTCAGACTCGTCAATGGACATCTCGCCTTCCTCGGCATCGTAAAAGACATCAGTGTGGCTGACGGATCCAGCGACGCTTTTACGATACGAGGGTGCCGATGTGGTATGCGCACGGAATGGCAGTACAGGCGTCACCGTTGCGGCCGGAGGAGTGACAATGGCGGCGTTCATGAAGAACTGGGCGATTGAGGCATGCTCGAGACCAAACTGCTGACGGATGCGGTTGTTGTCGGCCCAACAGGCCTGCAGAGCAGCATCTGTTTGCTTCAATGTTGCCGAGAGCTGGTTCATTTGAGTCTGTCGACTGGTTTCGCTGGCTCGTAAGTCGACTGTGCGCGATTTGATCTGGTTCACTTTGTTGAGGATCGAAGTTGAACGCTCGTCCAGAGTACGCAGAGCCGAGAGAAAGTCTGTCGGTTGTGAAGAGTAAGCTCGGGTGCTGCTGCGACTTGATGACTGCAGTCGCCCGCTGGATGTTGAGCATATACATGGCCCCCATATCATACACCACAATTCTGCGAAAGTGCGTGTGGGGAGGCGGAGGCGCCTCGGACAGCGCAACGTCAAGAGCCCTACCAGATGATTGCAAGCCATCTGCTTTCTGCAGAGACGTCTCAATGGTTTGCTTGACCTGGAAGATTTCGGCCAAAATCTGGGCCAAGTGAGACTCGACAAATTGTTGCAGTTCTTGAGAGGTCTCTTCCTCGGTCTGCATCACCGAGTTGCGAGGAACCTCGGCGTGGTGCTGGATGGCTGTGATCCACATGAGAAAATCGGGCTTGGAGAGAGCTTTGAAGTGCAGCAGGTTTTCGCCAGAGTCTACGGACGCATCCCTCGAGGTTAGGTGCAAGTACAGGATAGGGACAGCGATGCGTATCGCGGCGCCCCATGTGGCCGCCATCGGCACTCCTTTGGCATCACGCCCTGAGCCATTTCGGCACTCTTGGCACGGGCAGCGCCTCGTCTGTGAATGGAGCTCTTACCAATGTCAATCAACAGATGGTCTAGGGCCATGGAGTTGTAATCGCACGGGTTAGCCAACGATGGATAGCCCGCATCTATACTCCTGCCGATTCGCCCACTCGGCCATCAAGTCGCTTGTCGACGAGTAAGGTGCATCAGGCTGTGCCTCCCAAGCTGTATGGGGTCTGGAGACTCCCAAAACCTTATGGCTGGCTTACCATGGTCCAGGCGGATACTGGCATTGGTCAAGTCGACGGCTGCGCGCTCCTCGCTGTCAAGATCAGTAGCAGAGGATCAGCACCAACACGACCTCAGCTGCCGATTACTCCAAAGCAAACATATCCATGGTACCTGTCTCGCATGCACCGGTCATCCGAGTTCGGCTTCTTACCTGCCAGGCTGCTTGGCATATTTGAGCACGCCTCCGGTTTCAATTTGCATCCATCGCTTTGAGAATCCCTGGAGACGCCGGTTTCCCTTCTTCAGAATCCAGCCCTCGGCAGATCGACCCTGGTCTGCTCCGGTCGACACGAGTTTCTCGCCTTCCTTCAGGGCAACGAAGAATGTCAACTTCTTGGAGGTGTTACTGGGGAGATGAAGTTGTCGTCCGTCCAGGCGAGCCGACCACGAACGATAGAACGTCAACATTTCGAGCAGACGGGACATGATCGCAAATGCGACGGAGGCTGACGGGACGGCTCGCAACAACGATAAACCCAACGGCCGCTCTTGCGGCAGTCATGGTTTCGCATGTCCAAGGCCATACATATGTCTCCAGCCGTTGGGAATCCACGTACAGAGCCAGAGAAGCTACTTACACCGAGAAGGTATTGTCAAAGATGAGCACACTGTCGCGGACAGAGGTTTAGTTGGTGGTTGAATGGTCCATTTGTCAGAGATAGGAATGGATTGTGAGTGAAGACAGGCATCGGGCAAACAAGCCCGCGCTCGCTTGCGCAAAGGCAAACTTGTCGAAGAGGCCGATGCATGAGGATAAGCAGCTGGGACATGCCCACAAGGACGTACTAGACTCCGGGCTCGGTCACCATGTGGCCGCCCTTGACGGTGTACTTGGAAGAGTCATAGTGGGTGATGGGCAGAATCTCGATTAGGTCCGGATCGATGGCGGTGGTGCTCTTTCGGGTAGTCCGTCTAGGGTGGTCTGTGGCCTCGTTGAGGCTGTCGGTGCTGGAGGTCGTGCTGGAGGCTCCTGCGGCGTCTCGGGGACGGAGCATCGACGTAGAAGCCAGGGTGTCAGCCATCGAGCTGCCGCTTGGAGCGACGAGCGAAGCTCGCTTTGAAGGGGGCGGGTCAGTGAGGCCCGTAAGTGCCAAGCCAGGTTGAACATCGGATGCGGGCTTCTTGAAGAGCCCAAAAGAGATATTCTTGCCGGCGGTGTGGAAGTTCCAGACCAGCTCGGTGCCGGCTTGCTCGACAACGACCGAGTGCTTGAACGAGGCCCTGGCTTTGACAGTGACTTCGTGCATGGTCGCCTGGGGATGCTTTTGGTCGATGGCGCTGTTGGAGGGTGGCTGCAGGCCGAGGAATGGCGAACGACAGGGACGACGGATTCAGGCGGCGATGCTGTCAGGGCAATTTCTGGAGCAAGAAGCGATGGCAGCAGCACCAGCAGCAGGATATCGAGGGCTTTGTCAGATGCGATGACCCAGGAAGACAGGCGGGTCAATCCAGCAAGGCCACGGTCGACACAGCGAACAAGCCTCGATGGGACGATGATGGAAAGCCAGACAACAGGGGGCTTGGCGCAACGGAAACCCGAGGTCAAGTCCTGGTGGCTCTCGAATCGGGATACCGGAGCCATATCGGGCAGTCACTGCGCTGCTGCATGGCGGACAGACCTGCTGCTGGCCGGAACAACCAAAGGGTCAGCCGGCAGAGAGTGGCTTCGGGTGCCCCCAGGAACTGACGAGGCAGATCGATGCGGCAGCGAACAAGTACATCTGGGCGGCAAGCGAGCCCAAGGCAGACAAGGTCGGTGTGATTGGGACGGCCGCGATTGGGGCCAGTTGGGTTGCTGGCACGAAGGAGCAATAGTGCTGAGGGGGATGCAAGGCGCAGACGCAGGAAGGTCGATGACTGAGTGCCTGTGATGACTGTTGAATATCGACACCATCGTATGGACACCTGGGTCGAGGAGCATGGATCCGGCCGGGTTTCTGGGTGGTTGTGGGGGGGCTGGGCAGCTGGAGAGAATCGAGTGAACTCAATAGGTCATAGTGTGCGTGCGCGGAATTCCGATAACGAGCTCGGGTTACACGAGGGGAATTAGCTCAGATGGTAGAGCGCTCGCTTAGCATGCGAGAGGCACGGGGATCGATACCCCGATTCTCCACTCACCCGCCCGGCTAGCTCAATCGGTAGAGCGTGAGACTCTTAATCTCAAGGTTGTGGGTTCGACCCCCACGTTGGGCGATCAGCTCCTATGGCGCAATTGGCTAGCGCGTTCGGCTGTTAACCGGAAGGTTGGTGGTTCGAGCCCACCTAGGAGCGATTTTTTGCATACTTATGCAACCCGCTCGATATTCTGCGTAAGCTCCCTCGAACAGTCTCGGGCAGCCCCGGTCATGCGTCGCCATCCGATGCCCGGGAACGCCACCACAATCGCAGACCAGCATGTCGAGAGCTTCTGCTCCCTGGTGACGTCGGGCAGGGGTGGCGAGTCAGCATCGCCGCCGTGGGAATCGGATCGAATCACAAGCCAACTTGTTTTCATGACCCGTTTCGGCCTGCTTCGCCGCCTTCTCCCTCATCAGCCCTGCCTGTCTGTCGCTCTGCCCGCTGAGCGCTCCCCACATATCATGGATCTCAATGCCACCACTCCCTCTGCCATCGATGCGGCGCTGCTGTCGCCTTCCAGCCACAGCCCTGACATCTTCACCATCGTGTGCTGCAGCGACGGCTTCCAGCTCCAGCTCGATTATGCCACCATCCAGACCCTGCTCCAAGTCTGCAAACGGGCCAGACCCCTGCTGAGCGCCAAAGTGAATCGCTTCCGCAGATGGTGCCAGGATGCAGGACTGTGTCATCCAGACGGGTCGATGAGGATCGTCCTCACACCGAGCGACCAGATCGCCATCTCGCCTCATTGCGATGAGCAAGTTGCAGCAGACCGATCCTGGCTCATTGACCAAGCCGACCAAGGCAACGCTGCCGCCTCATTCTTCGTGGCCCGGATCCTCCAAGTCGATCTCGCTGACCGACAGTCCGTAACCGAGCCCCAAAGGTATGCCGCACGACAGCAGATTTTCCAATATCTGGAAGCATCAGCGAAAACGAACCATCACGGGGCAGGATGCCACTTGGCCGAACATTATCGAAATGACTATGGATTCCATCGAGACTACGACAAAGCACTTGAATTGTATCGTGACCTCGCAGAGCGTGGACTTGCACAGGCTCAAGTTGGCCTCGGTCGATGTTTCGAGAACGGCGAAGGAGTTGACCAAGACTACGAAACTGCCATCAAGTGGTACACCAAGGCTGCGAACCAAGGAAACACCGACGGCAAACTCCGAGTCGAGTTCCTCCGTGGCTGGTTCTCGCTCGTCGGCCACGGTGCCGAGCAAAGCGACGCCGATGCGCTCAAATGCTGGCAGGAGGTCAGCACACAGTCCTCTGATCCAGTCATCAAACCCATCGCCACGCACATGGTTGGGTGGATGCACTATCTCGGTCGTGGGACACCCCAAGACAAACAGAAAGGAGTCAAAATCATCCGTGAGAACGAGTCGGACGAGTTTCCGCTCGGTGAAGAGAGCACGTTCACAGGATATCCAGCCTCCTCCAAGTTACCCGCTGCCCGAAAGTTCCATCAGTTGTGCCAGTTTGGATCGGCACAGGACTGGCTGTGCAAGCATCTCAAAGCTCTGTGCTTGATCCAAGGATTTGGAACGACCCAAAACAAGGATATGGCAGTGGAAATCTTCGAACAGCTCGCCAACGACGGCCACAGCGACAGCCAGTATTGGATTGGGGAGCACTACAGCCGTAGCTGGGAAGCATGCCGTGACCAGACCAAGGCCTTCAAGTGGTTCAGCGCATCTGCAGACCAGGGCAACTCGTATGGGGAGTTTAAGGTTGCAGAGTGCTACTATTATGGAACCGCAGTCGCCAGCGACGAGGACAAGGCGGTTGAGTGGTATCGCAAATCGGCCGAGCAAGGCAATCGAAAGGCGCAATATGAACTTGGCGATCTCTATCTGATGGGTATGAGTATTCCCAAGGACCGCAACGCTGCCGCCGAATGGTTCCTCAAATCCGCCGCGCAAAATTACACACCTGCCTTCTCCAGGATCGAATCCCTAGGCCTGTAATGCCCACCACGAATATCCAGCGGGTGGCGCCTATGAGACCTCCTGCCCAATATCAGATACAAAATATAGTCAATCCAGAAAGAAACTGGACAGTGTTCGATTCCTCTGGCATCAAAGCCCCAGTGGCCAGGCGGTGCGATTGTTTCCCGTCCTGGGAGACAATCTCTTTGATTTAGTTGATTTCGGGAAACGTGGCCTTGAACATGCCAGTCGATCTCCCGTGGCGACGATCGACTAGTGGCGACGATCGACTAGCGTACCAAGATCATGTTCCTGGCTGGATTGATGTCTCGATGTGGGAACGCGGTGCACCCAGCTGATACTGCACTGACACACCCTTGCATCGACCTTCCCATTACCGCTTGTTGCTCATCAAGGTGCTCGCTCTTCCACATCAGCGATATTTACCACCTGCGCAACGTTCACCTCGTGGCCGTTGTGGATTGTGACTTGACCCGTTCTCTATTCATTGGTCTGGCCGTATTGGGCTCTGATCCATGCGTGCCCCGCCAGGTCGGCCTGAATAGTTTCAGAGGGGACGCCACAGCACCACAGTATGAAGTCGACAAAATGCTGTTGTATTCAGAATCAAATACAGCATGATTTTGCTACTTGCTCGTATGCTCAGCGCTTAGCCAAGGGATCAGGGGCACTCCTTGAGGAACCACAGACTGTCGATTGCACCTTCGTTGCCTTGGTCTGCCGCCTTCTGATACCAAAAAAGAGCCGACTCGAGGTCCTCGGCGACACCATAGCCCTTACTGTGGCAGAAACCGAGCCAATACTGCCCACGCCGATTGCCTTGCTCGGCAGATTTGCGATACCACTCAACCGCCCTGGCGTCGTCACCAACAACACCACATTCGTTATAGTAACATAGGCCAACCCCCAGCTGCCCGTACGAGTTGTTCAAGTTGGCCGATCTGCTGTACCACTCGAATGCCTTCGAGTTATCATCCAATACTCCCCAGCCATTATAGTAACATTCTGCGAGCCAGAACTGGCTGTCGCTGTGGCCGTCGTTGGCGAGTTGTTCGAAGATTTCCACTGCCATATCCTTGTTTTGGGTCGTTCCAAATCCTTGGATCAAGCACAGAGCTTTGAGATGCTTGCACAGCCAGTCCTGTGCCGATCCAAACTGACACAGTTCGAAGAATCGAAGGGCAGCGGATGGCTGTCTGAAGGTCGGCTGCGAAGGAACTCCACAGGCCAGGCATTCATCTTCACCAAAATTGAACTCATCCGACCTGTTGTCTCGTATAATTTTGACTCCTTTCTGTTTGTCTTGGGGTGTCCCACGACCGAGATAGTGCATCCACCCAACCATGTGCGTGGCGATGGGTTTGATGACTGGATCAGAGGACTGTGTGCTGACCTCCTGCCAGCATTTGAGCGCATCGGCGTCGCTTTGCTCGGCACCGTGGCCGACGAGCGAGAACCAGCCACGGAGGAACTCGACTCGGAGTTTGCCGTCGGTGTTTCCTTGGTTCGCAGCCTTGGTGTACCACTTGATGGCAGTTTCGTAGTCTTGGTCAACTCCTTCGCCGTTCTCGAAACATCGACCGAGGCCAACTTGAGCCTGTGCAAGTCCACGCTCTGCGAGGTCACGATACAATTGAAGTGCTTTTGAAATATCGGGGCGGACTATGAGGCCATTGCGGTAGGAGTCAGCCAGGTGCAACTGTGCCATCCAATGCCCAGTGTCGGCAGCCTTTTCAAAGTGGCCGAGAATTCGCTTATATTTGATGCTTCGCTCTTTCCAACTCGTGGACAGTGGGTTTTGGAGATCCATTTGAAGAATCCTGGCCAAGATGTACGAAGCGACTGCGCTCCCTCGGTCCGCCAAGGTGGACAACCACGAACGGTCCTCTGCGTCTTGGCCACTGTAGTGATGCAAGAGGGCGAGCAAATCGTTTGTCGAGATAAGGTCAGGAAGTGGCTTTTCTGGGGAATGCAGCCCGTTCTGCTTGCACCAGTGTCGAAGTCGGTTGACTCTGGAGTTCAGGAGCGGTCGGGCTCGCTTGCACACGAGAAGCAGGGTCTTGATGTCAGCTAGACAGAGTGCGAGCTGGAAGCTTTCGTTGAAGCACACGATGCTGAAGAGGTCTGGTCCGAGCTGGATGGCCGACGGCCGTATTGGATCCAAGATCGATAAACTGGTGTTGATCCCGACGATTTCGTCCGACACAATCAGTGGAGCATTGATGCGACTGGTGGAGCCCCCGTCCAAAGTGAATGGATGAACTCTATCCATGAGGACCAGTTTGGTTTTGTCGCTCTGGGCGGATGTGAGGAGTGCCGCTGACGTAGGATCCAAACCCGCCCTGCACTGGTCGAGAGCAGCAGCGATCTGTTCGAAAGTCGGTCGATCGGCAGGGGTTTGGGCCCAGCAGCGCTCGATGAGGGTCCAGATGTCATTGGGAATGCCGTCGATCTGCTGGGGTCTTTGGCCATGGTCGACTGTTTGCTCAATTGCTTGGTCTTGCAGCGCTTCTCCGTCGTCGGTGATCCACACGGGTTTGGCATCGTTGAGCACCTCGTACGTGGTAATGGCGAAGGCATATACATCGGTCTTCATGGTGGTGTCGCCGAGTTCATCGTCGTCAAGCGTCTCGGGGGCGCCGTAGCTGCTGTTTCGGCTGCGGTCCGTCAAGGTGGATGTATGTTTGATGCGGGACAGCCCAAAGTCGCTGACGACAGCATTGGCTCCACTGTCGAGCAGGACATTTGCAGCCTTGAGCCCGCCATGAACGACATTGTGATCATGGAGATATGCTATCCCCGCGGCCACTTGGTGGAGTAGACGGAGCTTCTCCTCCAGTGGGACATTGTTGTTGGCAACATGATCAAGGAGGGTGCCGTTGGGCATGAACGGCGAGACCATGAAGGGAGGAATCGGATTGCCGTCGTCGTCTTGGTCGCAGGCACCGAGCAGCGACAGGATGTTAGGGTGACTGAGCTGCTTCCAGAGATCGATCCGATGACGGTATTCATTGAGCTGGTCGATGTTGCAAGTGCCGAGGAGCTGCTTGATGGCGACCTTGGAGCCAAAGTATGTGCCGGTGAAGACCTCGCCAAGGCCACCGCGGCCGATGGGTTGGATGGAGCGGCCGGTGATATCGCTGGGCGAGATGAACCAGGACGGCCGCTCAGGCACGGATCGAGCGATGTCTTTGGTGGACGCCATGCGGCAGATTTGAGGCGAGAGATGGGCTGGACGGAAAGGACGGCCCGCCAGAAAAAGGCCAAAGCCTGGATGGGGGCAGTGCCGAGCGAGAGGCCAAGCCAAACATGCGATACAAACACAATAGGACGGGATCCGCAGGTGTGCGTGAGAGCCTGGGGTCCAAATGATAGGAGGGAGAGAGCTATCTGCGGACTTGACTTTTCGTCTCATTCAAAAGTGCAGCATCCAAGCGAGTTCTGGAGTGGAGCGGGAATACTCGAGTGGAGCGGGAATACTCGAGTGGAGCGGGAATACAACATGAAAAGCAAATTTATTTTTGTTGATGCACCTAGAAACGTTATTTTGCGGTAACAACCATACACAATCAAACAATTGAAAGCAGCATCGAAAACGGACAATGTTACTGAGGTACAAGCTGAGCGTGGCAAGAGGAGAATACAAGAAGAGAAGAGCGCTGCTACGACAGGAGATGAGTGCTACTGATACGGTGTCCGTCTGGCGGTTCAGGCAACTCAGTTGTCGGCGACGAGTTCGAGGAGGGTGTTGCGGGTGGCGCCCTGCAGGCCAGTTTCGCCAATGTGGCCGGCACTGGGCTCGGCGGGCATGAAGATGACCTTGGTACCAGCGGTCTTGGACATGGCCTGCAGAGTTTCGAGGTAGCGGATCTGCATAGCCGCGGGGGTGTTGAGGATGTCGGAGGCCTCGCGCTAAATACCAGGGCAGCCGCAAGATAGGTTCGTGTCAGCAACATGAATAAGGAGCATCCAAAGGAAGGCATGTAGAGAGCAACGGGGCATATGATGAATTGCAATAGTAGGCCAATTGACCGGCGAGCGCTTTGAATGGGCGGAGCGAGCAATGGGAGAGCGCGGAACAGATTCTTCTGCTCTTACCATGAGCTTGGCGGACTCGACCTCGGCCTGGGCTGCAATGACCTTGGATTCACCGATTCGCTTGGCCTTGGCGGCGGCCGACAGGTTCTCCTGGAGCTCCTTGGAGAACTGCAGATCCTTGATCAAGATCGACTGGGTGACGGCACGCAAACGACGTGGGGACAAAGGGCAGGCCAGGATGGAGGCGATGAGGCGAGAAGGTGAGTTGCTGTTGGGTTGCCCATCGGGAGAGGGCGTCTGTGGGGACAGAGACTGCTGATGCCGTCGCTGCTGGCAGGTGCGATGGTGTAGCGGGAGGCCATGGCGTCCATGCATCGCACAAGGCCATGTTATGTTGCCCCTGGCGTTTCCCAGCAAAGCAATCCACTTCGCGTGTCTGTGCTGCATTTCCCTCGCACTCCCGCCAGTCAAGCCAAGCCACGCCAAGCCAAGGGTCGCTGTTCTCACCTCAATCTTGACACCCCAGGAGGCGGCAGGCTCGCGGATGATGCCCTCGATCTGGTGGGCGAGAGCCTCGCGGTTCTCGATGGCATCCTGGAGGGTGCGGGTGCCCAGGATGTGGCGAAGGGTGGTCTGGGTGCGCTCGATGAGGGCAACACGAACGTTGTTGACCAGGAAGACCGAGGTATAAGGGTCGACGATGTGCCAGTCTTTTGGATAAAGCAGCGGCAGGGGCAAGCGAAAGAGGGCATGGTTCAGATAGGGCTCGCCGACGAAAATAGGACCGAGTGTGTGTGCCGCGGAAACAGAGCGCATTCGCCCCATGGACCAGCGCAGCCGCACCCGTCGAACAGACACAGCCAATACCGAGTCACACTTACAGAGAACAGAGTCGATGCTGATGTTGACGTTGTCCTTGGTCATGATGACCTGCGACGGAATCTGCTCGATCTGTGGAGGGTCGGACAACAGCGAGTGCATCAGCACAAGGGCCACCTTGCGGGACAGCAGGACCCACGCTGCCCGCCAGTCTCGGGCTGCGGATAATCCCCCGGCCGTCTCCATAAGCAGCCCAGAGCCGACGAGGGAAGGGCGGTGGCATCGGGGGAACTCACCTGGATTTTGATGTTGACTCGGTCGATGCGCTCGGTGCACACGTTGATGCCGTGCAGACCCGGGTCGATGGTCTTGTAGTACTTGCCGAAGCGGGTGACGAGACCAACCTCGCCCTGGCGGACGGTCTTGTATGGGTTGGGGAAGCAAACGCAGCAGGGGATGGCACCGAGGAAACCCAAGCAGCCACCCAACGAGTTCATCATGCCCTCGTCTAGAAAGGACGTGGCAGGGTAGCGGCATGAGAGGGGGCGCCGTTAGAAGGGAGACTCGGCTCAAAGATGCCAGAATCAGAGCACCGGCTGGCTCGTTGGGCAACTGGCTGTGCATGCAAGACAGGGGCTTACAGGCGGGATTGTGAGCGGGCGGGAGGGGAATCTCATTTGCAAAGGACGCCTGGTTGATCTGCGGGGGTGCGGCAAACTTGGGCTGCGAGGAGCTGCTGACGCCAAAGTCGATGGAGATGTCGGGGCGGGCTTGGTTGTCCATCGAAGCGAAGAGAGGGAGACGGTGCGAGACTGGGGGATTGGACTCGGGAGACAAGAAGGGAACGAGCTCTTCCTCCTGGGAGAACGAGGACATTTGAGGAGAAAGCGATCCTTTCCGCCCTCACGGGGATGGGCGTGCAATTGCCGGGTGCATTTGGCTTGATTGTCACAGGACCGACCGGGCTGTGCCTGCAACAAGCCGATTGCTCAGCGGACGCAATTTGGCCGGGGGCGAGCCGCCAGCGCCAGCGGGAGCGAATGGCCCACGGTCATGCCAATGCCAAGAAAGCACGGCAGCAATCCAAGATTCCATGATGATTTGACCAATGCGGCCGAATACCCGACAGCGGCATTCTTTGTGTGGGAGAAATGAGATCTCATGTTATGTCCACCACCCGCCCATTGGACATGCTGGTGCCCAGCGCACCTTACGCCACCTCACTGCCCACACATCACCTCGCACTGCTCACACCGGACACCAGACACCGCACGCTGTGCACGTTGGATTCAGAAGAGTCGTCCGCCTCTCTGTATTGGGGGGGGGTTTCGTGAAGAGGATGTATCAAATGAAATGGGGGTCGCACTTAAAATTGCTTGACTTCAAAGGGCGTGCATCCACGGACGGTGGGAACCTCGTAACCGGGGGCATAGATGTCGGTCCAGAGCTCCTCGGCGTTGGGCTCGGGCGAGGCCTTGGACTCCTCGACGGCCTTGTCGATCTCGGCACGGATCTCCTTCTCAATCTGCTTCAGGTCCTCCTCGGAAGCGATGCCGCGCTCGATGAGACGGGTGCGGTGGCCGGTGATGGGGTCGTTGGTGGAGCGCATGTTCTGGATCTCCTCACGGGTGCGGTAGGTGGTGCCGGGGTCGGACATGGAGTGGCCGCCGTAGCGGTAGGTAACCATCTCCATGACGAGCGGGCCGTTGCCGTTGAGGGTCCACTCGCGGGCATATCGGCAGGCCTCCTTGACGGCAAGGACATCCATAGCGTTGACTCGCAGACCGGGAATAAAGTCACCGCGGGTGTAGTACTTGGTCGAGGCCGAGGATCGGTGGGCCGAGGTGCCCATGCCGTACTTGTTGTTCTCGCAGACAAAGACGACCGGAAGCGACCACAGCTTGGCCATGTTGTAAGACTCAAAGACCTGGCCCTGGTTGGCGGCGCCGTCACCGTAGAGCGAGAAGGTCATGGTGTTCTTGTTGAGGTACCTCTGGGCCAGGGCAATACCGGCACCGAGAGGAACCTGGGCACCGACGATGCCGTTGCCGCCGTAGAACTCGTGGGCAAACATGTGCATCGATCCACCCTTGCCCTGGGAGCAGCCAGCGACGCGGCCCATCAGCTCAGCGATGATGCTGGTGGCCGAGGCACCGCGGAGGAGAGTGAATCCGTGGCAGCGGTAGGATGTGATGATGGCGTCGTCCTTGGAGGTGGCGGCGTGCATGCCGGCGGCGACGGCCTCCTGGCCGATCGACAAGTGGCAGAAGCCGCGAATCAGCTTGGCTTTGTAGAGCTGAGGACCGGATGAAGAGACAAAGTGTTAGATCCGTCCAGGATGACATTGGAATAGCGAGCGAGGGCCACTCCGGCTGCGACCGAGGCCGGATCGGAGTTGCACCAGACATGGCTGAGCGATGTAGCTTGACGATGAGGACCACGGTGCGTTATCGGTCGCGTCGCCCGATTACATTATCGAGACTCATCGCTTGGCTGTCTCATCCAGTGTTGGGTGGCCTCGGTCATCGCACGATATTGCAGCCAGCTCGGGACATCTGGCTGTCGCCGCTGACAAGCACTGCGATGACGACCGAAACTGCATGTAGCTGGCAGACAGGCCAAGCCGGGCTGTCACAGCGCACGGAGCGCAGATTGGAAGAGTCCGACCATCAAGTACGCCGCTGGATCCGGCACCCACCTGGTCAGAGGCAGTCTCGAGACGACGGATGGCAACCATGTTTCTGAAGATGTCGACCAGCTCTTTGCGAGTGGCCTTGACAGAAAAGTTGGGCGAGTCGCAGTTGTGGGTGGAGAAGCTCAGGTTGTTGAGCTCAAACTCGAACTCGTCATTGTCGGCGGGGGTGGCAGCAGCCTCGGAGCTCTGGACCTTGGGCGAGGTCGAGAACAGAGTCTTGAACAATGAGGAGGAGGAGGCCCAGGTCTGGTTGCTGCGGACGCCCAGGGTGTGGGTCGAGTTGAGCGATGCTCGGACGAGCTTGGCAATCATGGCTGCTTTTCTTGGATAGATTATGGGGAGATGGGAGGGTGACGAGGGAGAGGAGAGCCGACGAGAGCAAGTCTGGCCGAGACAGAGGACAGGATGAGGGCAGTCAGCAACGGCAGAGCAATGAAGCAGACCCGACAGGGTCAATATGCCCGTCAGTCACTGTCAGAACTGCGATTGCTTGTGGCTGTCGTTGTGGCTGTTGCTGTGGTTGTGCTGGGCCGATGGCGATGGGAAGCCGGAGCGGCGAACAGAGGCCGTCCAGCAACGATCTGCGCGACCAGCTGCCCCCTGGGCATACGGCAAGACAGCACCGCTATGGCCAGCCCGAGCAAGACGAAGCAAGACATGGCAGCACGGATACGGAATATATCCCTCAAGCAGCAGCCGTCGCGACAGCAGCAGCGCACTCACCTCCGAGCAGATGGATCCAAAGCGAGCAAGCGCAAGCGCAGGGCGAAAGATGAGGCAGGCCGCGAGGCGAAAATGCAGAAAAAAAAGCGATTCGGAAACAACGGCCAGCCTTGGCACACAGACAGCGGCTGCGTCGGGCGACAAGCTGTTCCGTGTCCGGGGTGCGTGCACAGGCAGCCGCTGCACTGCCCGAGTGCGGCGACACATGCTGTGTTCTGTGTCGAGGAGCGGTGGTGTGCTGCCGTCATCTGTATCCATTGTGTGTGCGGGGATTGTGTGTGTGTGTGGGAGTCCCTGGTTTGTGATTTGTCCGCTTGCTTGTCCGCTGTCTGTGTGCTGATACACACACAGAGCCAGGACGGCACACACACACAGAGGGCCACGCCATTGGCTGGGGGCGCGCGGCTTGGGCTTTTGGGGCTGTCGAGCGAGGACGCAGCGAGACGGCAGCGAGAGCAGCTGGGGCCCCGTCTCGTTGCACCCTCGCCGCGTCCTCGCCGCGTCCTCGCCAGCCCCAAAAACCAGCCTCGCACAAGGGGCGACTGGGCAGTTCTGTGCGACTGGCGGCTCCAGCGCCCGCGCCCCAAATCGAGTCTGGATCGAGCCGGATCCGGCGGATGTTGCCTCTGGTGGCGTTTGGCGTGGGAAACGATCAAGCGGGAAGCAAGTACAGGCGATGCTGTACACTTTATTCAGAAAAAAACGGGACAATATCGCCGTTTCCATGAACATGTAGTATGTGCTGTGCTTGCGTCAAGCAAAGCCACAAGAAATAAAACAGATCACTTTGGCAGCCTCCGAGTGAAGACCACCGGTCGCCCTCCGGTCTCCACAATCGACCTGCACACTGGTCTCGGAGTGCCAGCGATGGATGATACTCTTGGACACACTGAATATGGAGGCAACCTTACGCAGGCTATGGATGAGGTCGTAGCATCGCAATGCGGCGGTGCGAAAGTCGGATGTGTGGCGAATGGTCATGGCCAGCGCGCGATAACATTGGGTAACAAAATATTCGATGAATGGTCAAAATCCCGGGTGTCCCGTTTTTTATTGGATTGCCTGTAAAATACGGGACACCCCTGTTCCCGCCAGGGCTGCCGCTGTTTTCTGGGTCCTGGACACACCAACCAATAGCCCATCATGACGCACAGATGCACTTTGACCGAGCCACGAGGATCATCGACAGGTGCGCATCCAACTGCAAGAGGCAACACACGATCCACGCCCTTGAGATGAGAGCAACCAGCTTCGCTTGGGAAGCGCACGTCATCGTTGGGAAGCGTCTGCGGCTCTGTCAGGGACGTGGACTTGCATACACCGCCCACGCTCCTCGATCCATAGCATCTCTTGGCGATAGCGGTTGCTCTTGGACATGATTGCTGGGCAAATATGTATATTCATGATCCCGAAAAAATGGCGGCAAAACTATGAATCTTAATTACAAAGAACAGGGTGTAGGGGTGATGGCGGCATGCATCCGTGCATGCATCCGTGCATGCAGGCAAGGCATGTGAACAGCATTACGCCAAGCTCGGTGGCGTCCGATATTGCAGCGCAGGAAGAAAGGAGAGGGGAGGTTGATACAAGTCGCGTTGCGATGAAAGACATGGCCGCGACCCCCCTCATTTGCCTGGATGGTGGGAATGTGTTTAGGCAACAGCAGCCTGGATGGCCTGCAAGAAGTCGTCTTTGATGTCCTCGATGTGCTCGAGACCGACGCTGACGCGGATCAGGTCGCGGGTAACACCGCTCGAGACCTGCTCCTGCTCGGTCAGCTGCTGGTGAGTGGTGGACGAGGGGTGGATGACGAGGGTGCGCGAGTCACCAACGTTGGCCAGGTGCGAGGCAAGCTTGACCGAGTTGATGAACTTCTTGCCGGACTCGTAGCCGCCCTTGAGACCAAAGGTCAGGACGGCGCCAAAGCCGTTGGTGAGGTACTGCTTGGCCAGGTGGTGCGAGGGGTGGCTGGGCAGACCGGCGTACGAGACCCAGGCGACCTCGTTGAGGGACTCGAGCCACTGGGCGAGGGCCAGGGCGTTCGACAGGTGGCGATCGGCACGGAGCGACAGGGTCTCGAGACCCTGCAGCAGCAGGAAGGAGCCGAAGGGGTTCTGGGAGGCGCCAAAGTCACGCAGGTTCTCGACACGCAGGCGGATCGAGAAGGCAATGTTGGTCTTGAAGGGACCCTCGGGGCCAAAGACGTCCCAGAACTTGAGGCCGTGGTAGCCGGGCGAGGGCTCGGTAAAGGCCGGGAAGCGGCCGTTGTTCCAGGGGAAGGTGCCGGCATCAATGACAACACCGCCGATGGTGTTGCCGTGGCCGCCGATCCACTTGGTGGCCGAGGCAACGACAATGTCGGCACCGTGGGCAATGGGCTTGCTGACGTAGCCAGCGATACCAAAGGTGTTGTCGACAATGAGGGGAATGCCGTGCTTCTTGGCGATCTTGGAGATGGCGCGGAAGTCGGGGACGTTGTGCTTGGGGTTGCCGATCGACTCGATGTAGATGGCCTTGGTGCGGTCATCGATCAGGGGCTCAAAGTCCTCGGGGCGGTCGCCGTCGACGAAGCGGACCTGGATGCCAAGGCGGGGCAGGGCGACTTTGAACTGGTTGTAGGTGCCGCCGTACAGGAACGAGGTAGCAACAATGTTATCACCGGCCTCGGCGATGGTGGCAATGGCCAGGAACTGGGCGGCCTGGCCAGAGGAGACGGCAACAGCGGCAACACCACCCTCGAGAGCAGCGATTCTCTTCTCAAAGACATCGGTGGTGGGGTTCATGATGCGGGTGTAGATGTTGCCGAACTCCTGGAGACCAAAGAGACGGGCGCCGTGGTCGGCGTCCTTGAAGACATAGGACGTGGTAGCGTAGATCGGGGTGGCGCGAGCACCGGTGACGGGGTCGGGAGAGGCACCAGCGTGGAGCTGCAGGGTCTCGAAGCGGTAGTTCTTGTTCTCGGGATCAAGAGACATGACAGGCGACAACAAGAAAAGAGAGAGTGTGTGGAAGTAGAAGCGGAGGCTGAGGCAGGGCGGGTCAGAGCTGAGGACCAAGACCAGTTCGGCGCCGGGAGTCCCTTTATATATCGGGCCGAGGACGGTTGCGGAGCCAGATGCGATGGCGGACGCGATTGGCGGCGCGATGGCGCGAGATCAGACGAGGGCAGACGAGGAGGAGCGAGGGCACAGCGAGGCCGGGGCGAGCACAGCGAGGGCCGGCCACACCGCCGCTGCTGATGTTTGACATTGCTGCGACCGCCCAGGCATCGCAGCCGGCATGCCTGCTGCTGCCCAACGCCACCAGCGAGCCCCACAGGGGCTTTCGCGGCCCAGGGGAGGCATGTCTCTGGGCTCGCCATCGGCACGCGGGTCTCTCGCCGTCCCACCGAGGCCGCCGCCGATTGGTCCACCAGATAGGCCTAATCTTCGCAATCGTCGCCATCGGGGCTGTCGATGGCGACAGCGGGTCCGCCGCAGCCTTGTTGACATGTCGCACGGGGAGCGCGCCGACATGTTGCCGGGGGCGGGCCTGGGCGGTGATCGCCAGGGTGGTGCTGTCCCCGACATCCATGGGGATGCGTGGGCATGCTCGGTTGCATGCTTGCTTTCATGCTTGCTTGGAGACGTGCAGACGGCATCGACAGCCTCTCCCTGGTTGCGTTTGCGGCGATGGTTGTGTTGGCCGTGGTGGAAGGACGCCTCGTGGCTTCGGGCATGCCGATGCTCGAGTCCCTTCCCCTGTCCAGGCCCTTCGCACATGCCCATGTCCATGTCCATGTTCACCTTGGTGTATTCGCAGCCAGACACCGTCGCCATGTCTGCCCATCGGCAGCAACCGCCCTCGCTCATGTTGTGCATTGCAGCGCCGCCAGCAGCCGGCGCTTGTATGCCGGCGACTCGCACTGCACAATGTGGCACCGCTTGTTGAAGGTGATCTCGAAGCAGTCCGATCCTCCGGCCTGGGCATCCACCACCAAATCCTCGACACGCAATGCCTTGCTTGCCAACGCAATCCCCGGCTGCCGTTCACGCCCCATGTCGATCCGAGACACGCAAATGACGCCGTTTCGACCACCCACGCGGTTCATGCATCCCGCCACACCCCGGTCATGAGATCCACACCCGCCCCCAACAGGAGAGACATGGTGGCGTCAGCGTCGGTCCTTTCAAACGCTCGTTGCAGCCCTTGTCTCGATGACTACCGAAATGCACCCGGGGATTGCCATGTCCGTCTGCTTATCAGGTCGCCGCCACCTCCCGTTCGGGCCACAATAGCGGTGGTTTCGTCCCTCCCCCCTGATATGCCAGGTAAGCCAGCCCCGCAGCATCTGGCTCTCCAGCAAGCCAGAGACTGGGGACCGGGGCTGGTCAAGGAGACATTTACGCCTCGGCCAAAGAAAAGCGTCCCTCCGACGTCTTACCTGCTGATGGTCCTTCTTGAAGATGCACAGCACAAGCGACGGCCCTTCGTAGACCACAAACTCGTGCGCCACCCATGTCGAAAAGAGCGAGCCTGTGCTCTTCATCACCACCGAGAAGCTCTTGCGGACAAAGGGTTCCTCGTCGTCGTCCTGCACGCTGTTTCGGGGCTTGCACCACAGCTCGCCGAGCCCCTGGACCAGGTCCTGGCTGCCCTTGCGTTCACCGGCCCTAAGCTGTCCCATGGCTTCCCAGACGACCCTGCCGACAAGGCAGTCTGACCCCGAGTTGCCAGCACTGTGAGCACGGGGCTGCCGTATCGGCGACTGCTACTTCCCGCACACATATCAGCGTCTCCTCCCCCAAATGCTGTGGCTCAAGCACCTCAGTCTAAACACCGCTTACATAACATCACAATGTAGGCCATCAAAGAAGTTATCGTCTTGGTGTAGAACTGCAAGCAGTCAAGTCGTGAGTGCGGCTGCATTCAGCTACACTGACATCTCTCCCGCTGCCGTCTGATATCCCCACTGCAACGGCTGAATTAACGTCCAGCGCGAAAGCAAGACAGGCTGAAGGAGAGTTCAGCTTTTGCACACCTACATTCGAGATGGGTGAGCTTTGTCCCTGGTTGACCACGAGCACAAGCGACGCCATGATAAAGGTCATGAGCGAGAAACTGGTCGAGTACATGATCCATGTGCTCTCTTGATAGGGAATACGTGCGTTCCGCGACTTGAAGGAAAGAATTGTGATCGAAATGAGGACAAGCCTGAGGATCGGCGGGAAGAGATGAGCACCCACACCGATCGCCATCTGGTGTATCTCTAATTGCGCTTCACTCGGCTCGCAGCAATCCACACGTCCGCGATCCGTGCTTCGCAAGAGCGACGGCTACATTCCTCCTACCCGTTAAGTCCGAGTTGAACCCGCGACATGTATCCAGCAGCTGTAGCCAGGTCCAGGACGCAGTCATAGAACACGTAGTTGCTGCCGTCGATAGCAACAGGGACCCGTGGGGAAAGCAGTGACCCGACCCCAATAAGTATGCCATTGACGACGACAACAGTCAAGGAGATGCTCAGGAGAAAGAGGTAGCTCATGGGGCGCAGCTGCATCTTTTCGTTATCTGGGACGGTAGCCCGGCAATGTGGATCCGGCAGTCGAATTCATGTCAGATGCATGGATTAGGCGTTACTCTCTGGCACGCACGAGGCGCAACTGAGCCGGGTTGAACCAAAATGGACCAAACTGGATCAAATTGGATCAAACTGAATCAAACTGAGGCGATCTGCATCGACTTTAAGCCCTGTGCAGCGGCGACATAGCCTACCAAAGATACGCCATATTCGCCACGCTCTGGCGAGCATAGTTCCCTCGACCTTGATGATCCACCCGTTGAATGAGCAATGAATTATTCCAGCATCGACAAGCTCATGCTCCGCTCCCCACCAGCCAGTTGATATTGCGAGCATCCCCTGTTTGTCTTGCACCACCAGCTCCCCGACTTGAGCCGCATCTCCATCCACATTCAAATGCTGCTTATCTTACCGTTCCGAATCCAAACCAAAATATCCAGTCTCGCGTTGCGCATGTGAGGTTTGTCGTCTTTCCAACTAGTGTAAAGATTGACAGCCACGACATCGTCAAGCCAACCTGTTGGAGGAATGGGATGTTATACTGTGAGTTGATTTTGATCCCCAGTGACCGAAGAATAGCGTCTATCGGCAAGCACAGAGAGTTGATGGTTTTGTTGGAGTCGTGTGTGTGGATAATTTGATCGAATCACAGCATGCAGTTGGTCGAATCTCGGTCCCGTACTATTGTCATCATGATGCACGGAAACGACAGATTCTGGATGATCTTGACGCGGCGGTTTCGAAGCACAAATACGCCCGACATCAATGTCAAGATCAATCCTAGCACGTGATGGATGGTACCATGGCGGTGAGTGTAAAATGCAGCGACATGGTCAGGTTCTTGTTGAGCTCAGCAACTGAGCCTATGGCTTGAATATGGGATATCATCCCGTTTGCTACTCTGCCGCCTCGAGACTTACCAATTACGTATATGCTGACGATGACTAAGGGCAGGGGATCCGTGTAGTTGATGACCAACACCTGTAGAACTGGGTTATGGTGCCAATGCCACATTCAGCAAACTTGTCTCCTTCTTCCGCGATTTGGTTGGCTACCCACTCGCAGCTGTCAAATCCGCGCCATCGTTCTTGCCAGCAGACCCCGACTTCCCGCCGACACAACTTCTGCCTTGCTGAACGGCCCGTGTGCTGCAAGCTCGCCCCTGTGGATCAAGACCATGAGACTGCATCAAGCCGGAGTGGACTCTCACCCTGCATATCGCTCGGCACGATGGTTTGTCCGTTTCGGAACACAATCTGCGATGATCCCATGATCACTGTCCCGTTGATCAGGACTTGTGCCACCATGTTGAGCGCTCCGGATGTATTTGGGAGGTTCGCCACCAGGAATGGTGCCAATCGGTTTCCGAGGGCATCGAATGTAACATTTCCCGTGGCTCCGATGAATCCAGGAAGGGATGCCGCCGAAGGGACATTTGCCCGATGGTAGTGGATGTCGGAGACGCTCGCGCCTTGGTTCATCATCTGCGCGACTCGACAGGTCGAGAAGTAAGACACAGAAAATGAAGAGCACATCGAATAGCCTCAAAAAAAGGTTTTCCAAGCGTCACGATGTCGATGCTGTCCCTCCAAGTCGTGCTCACCTGTCTCAAAAGATATGCGAGCACTACCACGCTGGCGGAACAACCGAATTCGTGTCAATGACGCTGAGAGAGCGAATGGGGGCCAGCGTTTGCCCTCGTGTGTTACTTGCCGATGAAACAATGGCATCATCTATCGCCTACCAGTCATAAGTGAAGTAACTGCCTGGTACCACAGGAGCGTTGTAGAGGCTCGCATATCTGTCCGTGCCCGTGCCCCGGTGACCACAGAATCCAAAGTCAGCATCAAAGCGTGGGCTACGAAGCCGAGCCAGAGGGGAACAAGCGGGTGTGTTGCTACAAAACCTCATTTGCTGGCAAGACCAAGTTATGGACCGTTCTGGATTCCTGGTGCGGTGCACATACCGCTGATCGATGGACTCGGCCACACTTGTGTTGCTCTGCTCCATGGCCGTTACGCTCAGAAGCCCGCGCATGCTCGAGCGGTCGTCATCAGTAATGTTCAAGTTCGATAACAAGCTGAAGAGTGCATATGTCCCATCCGATCCGACATATGTGTAGTCGGGGCCATCGACACCCAGCGCCCTGGAGTGCGCATTCGTCAGCGCACGATTGAAATATAGAGCAAGGGCGCATCGAAGAGATCAGCGGAGTGCGAGACGACCACAGGGCAGCCGCTCCATGGAGACTACGGATACCACCGACCCCCTCCGTTGCTCATGAGAGCGATGTCACCGAATTCCTGCGATGTTTCAGCAGCTCGGACTGAGCTCACCGGTCGCATATAACTCTACACACTCTCCTTGCCCCCTCCGTCGCTCAGCGATAGAGGGTGCTCAGCAAAATATGACTCAAAGAATTGCATTCACCTCGCTGCTCGCGTGTAGTACACAAACTCGACTGCTTCGCCTAGAAATAGGACCAAGCGATTTCGGAGACCAACAAGCTGCGCTGCAGTGTTGGTAAAGTCGCTTTGGCTTTGCCTGTCGCCAAAGCAGAAATATTCAGTGAAAGCCTCGACTGCAGTCGAATCAAAGGCACAGTCTTCTTGATGAGTTTCCGCCATGAGCAGCTGGAGAACACAATCGAACGCTTACACATCCGCCGGATACGAGGCCTGGAGGTCGATCTCGAGCTGTGCAGAGTCGATCGGGGTCAGATCTCACCTCGAGGCGCACATATGCAGCCCAGATCTTGCTGGATGCATGGTTGGGTGTGCGCGCACTTACTCCCTGAATGCTACTGCTGTACGCCACGCCCTTGGCCAATGCTGATCCGTAGCTGCCGCTCTGAAGGTACAGCAGATATAAGCATCAGTTCCGCTGGTGGAAGTCACGAACGTGCTGGAATATAGTGATTGCATGCTCTCAAATATCGAGCCATCATACCGAATACACCATAATGGCCCGCTTCCAGCCCACGCTCAGTACAAATGAGACGATTGCGGGTGCTTGGTAGTTGTCTGGTGGAATTGGGCTGGTGGGAAGAGAAGGATAAAGCCAGAGCATCAAGCCATCGATTCGAGTGGAAGGAGTGTCAAATCGGGGCGCAGCGGAGCCAAACTCAGCAGAAGCGTATGGATGCTCCCCTCCCCAAACGGCCGCCATTCAGTCCGACAAACCGGGTGGATTAAACCATCAAAAACACCGATACTCGGCCAAGACGACTGCAGACCTTACCGAAAAAACACCGGGAAGATGGTTCGGTTGCTCAGCGTGACCAACCTAGAGAAATGGTAGCATCCGTTGTACAGTTGAGTTTCTGTAGCGCACTCGCACCCGAACAACTCTTCGCACACACAGCGCCACCATAAGCAAAACAAAAAACAAAAAGCAAAAACGAAAACAAAAACAAAAAACAGTAGCCATATCCTAGTCCGAGTGCTTGGTCAGCGCCTTGCAGAATATCCAGAGTGCTAGTAAATGACATCATTACGTTGCGGTGGGCGAGCATTGGGGCACGTTGAATGCAGTTGCCACATAGGAGAGCGGAATCGAGTTGTCCGAAGTGATCTCGCCTGTCAGTATGGATTTCATTGACCAAGAGAGAAGCGTCACTGGAGGCTGCAGCCCAGTCGGCAACCACAACAGCAACGACGGCGACAACAGCAGCGACAACAAACCAATGATTCCGACAATGCTGGAGTTGGACCCAAAGGATATTGCATTTTTGACGGTGAGATCCTGGAGAGTTTGCGCAAGCGGTCGTGTGCGCGAGACACGGCGCCGTGATCGCCAGGATGGAATGAGACGATTCCGCAGGATCGGGAATGGCGACGAGTCAGAAACAAACGCCCAAGCGGAATCGAGGATCCGAGAGTGGTAATGATATACGTTGCGGGCGGCCGAATATCGGCGCGTTTGGAGAAACTGTACCGCGCGATTTGAGTCATCGAGGTTGGCCGTCTGGAGCATGATACCGGGCAGAATCTGGTCTGCGGCGTTGATATCGGCGACGGCCAAGCGGATTATGCGGTCCAGACTCTGTACGTATGAATCCGCTGGGTGATGAAAAGCGACGATGAGAGCGTCGGTGCGAGCACCATGGACAAAACCGACACAAACGGCAAGTTGAATGGCGGGGAATCGTGTTCGGCGAGCCGAATGGACCAGCAGCGAGGATTTTGTGAGTGGATGGGCTTCATTCACAAGCCAAGGCCACGAGCCCGAGGACAGTCAGCACAGAGGAATCATGACCACATACCTCCGTCCAGCGACAGCATTACGCCGAGAGTCCAGACATTCTCGCCTGAAGCTGTCACAGCGGCTCTTGCGAAGCCTGCCACCAGCAGTGCCAGGGCGTAGAGCCTAAGAAGCCCAATGCCCATCGGGAAGGCCCCAGGCACGGGACACATTCGGAACGAATATATGCTGATGCAAGCAACAAGGGGTGAGGTCGCCGGCCTTTCGGTAATCCCTGATTTGAGAGGACAGACGAGCTAGATTTTGTCCTGATTTCAGAACAGAAACATAGCAACACGGACAAGGACGGGAGTCCGAAGCATTCAGGGCTCAGTGCTGACAATCGATACTCGGGCCGATTGAGCCGACTTGTAGTGGGCCTAAATGCATGGGTGGAGCAATTGCGGGAGTGGCTCGGGGGCATAGGACGATGATTGCGCTGCTGAATGTTTGAAGAGCCTGATTGATGCCAATTCGGTCATCGAACGGCTGATATGGAGGCGGTGACGTCAGGGGCTGACGGAGGTGTGGTTTCGACACGACAGCCAAGACAAGTTCCTCAACGAGGCGACAGTGCCAATGCGATGCGGCGATGCACCCAGCAAGAACAGTCCGTCAAGGCTCAGCAGGCCATGTCGATCGGATTCCAATATCGCGGTGGCGGAGCACATGGATGTGTGCATGAATGGTTACTGTTTGAGATTGACTGGGGTCATATACCGGGTTTAGAGAGAGCGTGGCAACCGACGGTAGCTCAGTTGGTAGTAGCATCAGACTGTAGTGAATGAGCAATCTGAGGGTCCCCGGTTCGACTCCGGGTCGTCGGATGTATTTTTGCCCATGGTTCCCCTCGGTTTTTTTTTTTTTTTTTTTTTTTCTGTCGCCAAACGCACCTCTTTTCTCCACGCGCAGACTCTCGAAAGAAGCGGCAGTGATTCTGTTTGGGTCGCTATCGCGATCGCTCAATATGGGCTGCCCATCGGCAACCATGGCGTCTGCCTCCAGGAACATATTCTATGGTTCCGGGGTCTTGCTGGATGGCAAGCCAGGCTCGGCGGCATCTCCAAGCAGGAGCCCGCCAGCCGCTCACATTCCCCAATATGCTGGTCGAGATACACCGTATTCAGGGGGAAATGGGCACCTGCCCACAACCCATTTGTCAGCGTAGTATGCGATGGCATGCGTCTCGCTATGCCATAAGAAATAGAACAGATCACTTTGGCAGCCTCCGAGTGAAGACCACCCTCCGAGTGAAGACCACCGGTCGCAGTGCAGCGATGCGGAAATCGAGGGTGCTGTGTTTGGCCATGATTGCAATGAGTGGGTGGGTGTGTGTATTCAGGTTCCAGAAAAATACCCTGTCATGGCTCAAAACGGGGTGTCCCATTTCATTTTGGACCGACTGTATCTGGTTGATGCACGGCCGGCTCAGAGGCACCAGCACAGGGACACGCAGCGCCACCAGAGAGCAGCGCCACGGCAGCGGGGTGCGCGATTGGTGCGTGGGCTGTGGGGTCGTGTTGCGTCGCGTGACCGCCCTGCTGCGCGTCTCTGTGCCACCGTGTTCCCGTGTCCTGGTCCCAGCTGTGGCTCTTTGGTCTCCCTCCATCCCTCTCCTTCCATCGCTTTGCCTCCATCGCTTTGCCTCCATCGCTCTCCCTCCATCGCTTTGCCTCCATCGCTTGCATTCCCATCGCCAGCCGCATCCAGGATGGACTCTTCCTTCAGCCAGCCCGAGCACGTCGCCTCGCTCGCTCTGTCGCTCTTGCAGTGCGATTCGTTCCAGCCCCTGCTCGGCTTCTCCTCCCAGTTCCTCAAGGAGCGGTATTACGCTCTTGCTCCTCTGCGCAAGTCCGACCAGCACTTTTCCCTGTTCCAGTGGCAGCACGACCGCTCGAACGAACTGCTCCTGGACTGGTGTGCCGATTTCGCCGAGCCTCCCAAAGTCAATCACCACAGCGTCTACTACCGAGTCTGGGACTCCGAGACGCTCCAGTCCTGTGTCGTATTTTCTGCCAGCAACAGCACCGCCGTTCATATGCCCACCCCGGCATCGTCGTTTGGCTCGGACGACTCTCTCCCCCTCAGCCGCAAGTCCCCCCAGCGCGTCGGCGTCGTCATCTTGCTCCACTCGGGCGAGTTCCTGGGCTCTCCCAAGATCGAGCACAAGTGGCTATACCACAACCTCGTCGAAGTTCTGGACTGGGACGACTTCAGTCGCGGCTGGTACCCCTCCGTTGCAGAGGCGTTGGACGCATTTGAACATGCTGCCAAAGGCGAATCGCAGGTAAGGCTCGCCTGTCTCGGACCACTGCTGCCTCCCAGTCCCGCAGCCTGGCTCGACTTGTCCGGGCCGTACCCCTCCAAGCTCGTTCGTCCCCAATCGATGTCCATCCAAGTGCCCCTGCTAACCAGGATGATCTTGCGATCGTGTTCTGCTCTGCGTACTGCTCTCCGCGCGATCTAGTACCAAATCAAAGGCATTTCCAATGCCGAAGAGTCCGAGTACTGGGCGTCTTACGACATGAAGATCCTCAGTGACGATAACGGCAAGGTGCGCTGCTTGCTTCTGGCGACGGCACCGGGGCTGCTCGCCGTGCTGCTGCCCCTGCCCCTGCCCCTGCCCCTGCCCCAGAGCGCCCATACCCAACGATGTGCCGAATCTGGTTCCTTACTGTCCTGCTGTCCTCTCCCACCACTGCTCTACCATCCCGCCCTCCTGTTCGATAGGGTCCCGATGCTGGCCAACGTCCAGCCTCCGAGGAAGACGACATGACCGAGGACGATTACTGGAAAGCCTACGAAGCCACCTCGTCCGAGTGGTGATTGCTCCGGCGATCGGGCCTGTCTGGAAGCTGTTGCTGCATTCCTAAGGCCCGGATCCTAAACACCGAATCCTGAAGCTGCCTACGGCTGTATATCGGGGAGCCCGCATGTCTACTCTTGATCTGATGATGGTTCCTTCGACACCGATGTCTGCGGATCCTCTGTATATTCGCAATTTTGACTTTTGCTCCTGACCGTATCGACTGTATCGACTACAGCGTAATATATATGTATATGTCACCTCCGGAAATGCCTTCGTGTCCTGCGACAGGAGCGGCCCCAAATCATCGCGCGCTGGGCATGACCATTCAGCGATGCGTTTCTGGATCTGAATCAAGGACGTTTTCTCGCTCAGATGGCTCCCCGCAAGCGAAAACATCACCCAGGCAACGGCGATTCAAGCGACTCGATCTCCAGGTGTGCTCACAGTGCCGGGAAGCCAAGCGACTTGAGAAGGCCGAGTATATTGATATCGATACACCATGGAGTTGTCCAGAGAGTCGAGTGAATGCACCACACTCCCACATCGACACATCAATGCCAGTCGATCGACCAACCATGGCGGGAAACAATCGCATGGCTTGCCCACTAGAGCCTGTGGAAGTTCGGCATGTTTCAGACATCTGAGGCCAGAGAGTGACTGTCCCATTTCTTCTGGATTGGGCCTCCCCGCCAATCAGTCTGTTCAGCGACACAGCTCCGCCCAATCACTCCTGCATCGCCGAGCTGGCTATCGGCTCCGTTGTAGCGACCGCAATACTGTACTCGGGCTGCTTTTGTCACTCCAAGTGCTGCCGTCCTTCTGCCTCCAGAGGTAAAATCACCACCGCCAGAGGCGCTTCAGCCGGAGCAGCCCATCTATCTTTGACAAACAGTTGAGCAAGCCTCACATCGCTCCAACCAAGCAGCGCCGTTCGCATCTGTTTCCCCTCTGCCACTTTGCTTCGAGCCTTTCGTCCCGCCACGGATCATTTGCTCGGCAGCTTTCCAAAGCTCCATCACGCTGCCGCGCCAGCCGCCCTTCTGACTGCAGCCGGAGCTCCTTTCCGAAATGTCGGCCATAAGAAAGCAGCCCCACCAGCCCGTCGCGACGCCCGCTGCCGATGCCGACGCCCGGCCGAGTGCTCTTGCGATGCTGCACCCCAGCAACGAGCAGGACCACCCCAAGTCGCGCAAGCAGGGCCTCTTCAGCGAGTTCCTGACGCGTCCGCAAGACTTCCTGGACGGCGATCTCTTCGGTGCCCCTGTGCCTCCAGGCCAGAGCGACTTTGCCCTCCCAACCCTGCCCAAGGCCAAGAGCTTCAAGCGAGTCGGCTTCGTTAAAAGCAAGCCGGTCTTGGATCGCTCAGCTCTGGCCGCGTCCAAAATCACCACTGGCTCGGGTCTGACTCTCCGATCTGGAGTCCGTCCGCCGAGCGCTTCTCTGACGCGAACCAGCACCACCGAAGGCCCAGCAGCAGCCGCACCGACCGAGGAGCAGAAAAAGGCCGAGCCCGCACCGCTTGCCGAAGAGACCCCCACCCGTCCGACCTCGGCACGGCAGGCGCTTGCATCGTCGCTTCTCGCCACCGATGCCAAAGGGCTCTCCGCCCCGAGCCCATCGCTGGGGGCCATTCCGGCCCCTGCAGAGGCCGCTCAGCCAGCCTCCGATGCCGTCATGACCGAGCGAGAGAAACGCGTCGCACTCTACCAAAAGTCGCTCGAGCCCAAGGTCATGGTGCCGTTCGAGTCCAAGCCCGGACAGACGCCCCGCAAGATCGAAATTGAGCGCAAGAAGCGCATCTTTTCTGTCCAGCGCGTCGAGCGCCTGATTCTCCAAGAATTCAATGAGCAGTCCAAGCACGACCGTCTCCTCAAGACCCTCGACAATGCCTTTTTCCAGCCGGCACCGGATCCCGAGGTCGCGGAGGGGAGCACCACCGCGATCAGCGCCGTTCCTGAAAAGGCACCACAAGTCCCCGCGCGTAACGACTACGTGCGCATGCTGGATCTTCATTTTTTCGACGACAGCGAGTTCGATCCACGGATCAATGAAGAGTGGCTCGACATGACCAACAGCCCATTTGTCCACTCCGCTGAGCCTCCGGTCGGGGCGCCCGTTCAGTCCGGCGACGTCTATCGCAGCTGCGCCGTTCCGGTCCCAGCCAAAGCTCAAGATCAGCCTGGCGAATGGCGGGACTGCGTCGTACTTGGATTCCACCCCCGTGTCCAGATGTGGAAGATCAAATGGAAGCGTAGAGACGGCTGGGACATCCCCTCCGACGCCGATGTTGATGAGGACGATGATGACGACGATGACGACGACGAGGAGGAGGATCCCGGGCTCGGCGGTCCCGGAAGTACCAGCTCTATCGCTGACAGCGACCTCGTCATCAAGAAGAGCGAGGCGTGGGTCAAGAGGCAAGTTGATTCCAGGATCCAGAGACCATCCTATGTACATCCAGCAGCTGCCGTCTGGATAGGGCTGGTTCATGTGTCCAAGACGGGGCAGATGTCATGGGCGGGCCCTTTGAGAAACTGGGCGACAGAGCGATAGCGTCAGCCAATGTGTCATCACCTGGAACCAACCTTTTGTTTGGAGAGAGCGAGCAAGAGAGAGAGAGAGAGCTCACGCTGATGTCACTGTTCTCTTCAATCGCAGAGTGAACCTGATGTTCTTGGCCGAGGATCCGTTCAACTTCTCCAAGCGTGTCATTCAGGCCCACAGACTGCGTGCTGAAACGATTCTTCAGCTGGTAAGTAGGCCATTTGTAAATGTCCTCGATCAGGAACGACATACTCCACCCTGCAAAGCTGATCCTTGCCCAGCTAGTGCGATAATCTGTCACAGCGAGCCGCAGCTGACTCGCTGTGAACGCAGAGTCGTTTCTGGCGGGCTGTCTTTGACAAGGCAATAGCCTGCTCACCGAACGGATCAGCCAAGCCAAAATCGGCAGCCCAGTGTCCTGACGCGCTTCCTCTGCTTTGACCCCAGCAATACAACTTTTATGTTGACTGCATGCCGATCGAGAACTCTATCCAGCTTTCTCCGCCACAGCTTTCCAAAATAACCTCGGTCGCCACCAGTAATGGAGCAAAGTACAGGAGGGTCCTCGACCCGGGAAACCCCGCCGGCGCCAGGCTCTTGAACGAGATCCGTCTGGATTACTCGCGAGCGATGAACAAGGAACTGTTTGATCGGGTGGTATGTTCCTGGTTGACTCAGAAATGGGCGGCGAGGGCCTCGGATCGTGGAGCCAAGGTGCAATCGCTTTTATGGCATGGAGCGCGCCAGATATGTGCGATTTTAGAATCGGGGGTGGGCCTCTGTCGCACATATTCCTACCAAGTATGCGTACAAGTACTTGATCTGAACAACTTGCCCTCCCATTCAGGTGAGATCCAATCCAAACAGCGGCATTTATGCCAGTCTGACACTCCCTCCAACCCCAACTCCCAAACCGATACCAGAGTGAGTTTCAAGACTCTGTTGCTGACCTTTGTACTGGGCGACTGGAGCATGCTCATTGCGGTGATCACGACGGAGCGATTGCAATATCTCCAATCCCAAATCCCCGGGCACACTGCTTCTGCAACCCGATGCTGCTTCTACCTGTCCTAACTGTTGCTGATACTGACCCTTTACCGCCGAGCAGATATGCCACCGCCTGGGTTCCGCGATACGACTTTGACAAGTACCAGAAGCAATTCTCTTTTTCGTCTCTCCTGACCAAGCCCGAGGTCATCAAGACCATGACAAAGATCCGAATCGAGTCTGACAAGCTCTGGGTGACAGGGCTCTTCGTCACCAACATCACCAAGATCGTCAAGATCGACGAGTTTGAGCAGATGCAAAATCAGTCCTTGCAGAACATCAAATCTTTCCTGAAGGACAGGTATGTCTGCTGTCGTCGACATCGTTATGTGTCCGTACTGTGTGATTGCCGGTTATTGGCGACCGAGTGGAGGGTTTGAGAAATCACGGATGGAGAGATGTTGCTTGCGCGCTATTGCAGGCATCACTGACGCAGAGCTCTCAATCATTCGATTTTTGCTATCCTGCCACTGCGGTGCTATCTTGACGCCTTGGTGCTGCCAACCCGAACGCCTCCAGCTGGCTGACCACCCTGAAGACTATTATCAAAATCGGATTCAAGGACGTTGGAAAGGGATGGTACAACATGCAAGAGAGCAATATGGAGGTCTACAAAATCTCCAAGCTGCGCAAGTTCATGACCTCAGTCAAGTTCATCATGCAAGATTCGATCCGCTTCATGGTCCTCAACTCCATGGCTGACTTTATCAAGATGATCGCAACCGTCAGCACCCAGAAGGTGTTCATCAACGGCACAAACGAGGTCAAGATTGTGGACAACGAGAAGCCGACGAATATTGCTTCCTCCGCCGCTGCTGCTGCGCCTGGCGCTTCCGAAAACAACTCCAAGAAGCCTCTCTTCATGATCGACATGGTCTTCCGTCAGGGCAAAGTGACCTACGCCACGGATCTGTCCATGTACGAACACGCAATTCTCACCTGCTTTGACAAGGCCTTGTCGGTTGTTGAAGGTATCCCAGAGCTAGAGCCCATCGTCATGGATCAAATCTTCTGGGCAACCAAGCCCATGATTCAGACCCCGCATGCCACCGAGCCCTATATTCGGTCACAGCGCCAAATCCTTGTCCAAGCCATCCACCACGGCATGGTCCCGCTTGAGCAGTATATCCGGCAGTACGACAAGCATCTCAAGCTCCTCAACCTCGATATTGCCCAGTACAGCCAGGAGTACGAGGCCGAGGATCGCTCCGTCGAGCAGATGGAGCGCGACATTATCCGACATATGCAGGACTGGGAGATCCTCGACAAAAACATCCCCAGCCACATCAACTTGGGTCTATTCTGGGTCAGCTGCGAATCGATCCGCTCGGCGATGCGCAAGGACCTCGCCCGCGTTGTCCTCGACATCCTTTCGAAAAAGACGGCCAAGCAAGCGCAGAACATTGCCCAGGCGTTCTCACAGGTGCAGCAGCGACTCAAGGACAAGCCTCTCAAGATCGAGGAGCTCACAGAGCTGCGCGAGTACATGAAGACTGTGCCAGATGTCTGCCGAGCCCAGAATGGACAGATCCTCGAGATGCTGCACAACTTTGAGATCCTTGAGAAGTATCGGTACGAGCTGTCGAACGAAGACTTCAAGGCCAAATGGAGTGCATATGCTTGGCCGATGAAGATCGAGGATCTTGTTCGTGTCACCGAGGCATCCCTTGAGGTGGACGAGGCGGCCTTCCTGCGAAACCTAGTCACCGACCAGGAAGTCTTCAAGGAGCGTCTCAGCAACCTCGGCACCGTCATTGCCGAGTTCTCCAAGCACACGGACATTGCGCGCATCAACGAGATTGTTTCAGAGGTGCACAAAGTCTCGATCGAGCTGAAGGAGTGCCAGAATCTCATCACCTTGTTCAACTCACGCGAGCGACTCTTCAACATGGAGGTCACCAAGTACGACGAGTCGGCCAACTATTCCAAAGACTTTGAGCCATACAAAATCCTATGGACCACCGCGAGCGACTGGCTGAAATGGAAGCACCAGTGGCTCAACGGCTCGTTTCTGGAGCTCAATGCCGAAGAAGTCGAAAAGAACCTCACCAACGCCTGGCGCAACATGTTCAAGTCCGTCAAGACCTTCAAGAACGACACAGGCTGTCTGGCCGTCGCCACCCAAGTCAAGGACGAGATGGACCAGTTCAAGCCGTATCTCCCTCTGATCCAGGCCCTGCGCAACCCGGGCATGCGCGATCGTCACTGGGACAAGCTCTCCGAGGACCTGGGCATCAAGCTCCGTCCCGACGCCGACTTTACGCTGACAGATGTGCTGAACCTGAAGCTGCTCGAGCGAGTCGACACCATCACCAAGGTCTGCGACATTGCCGGCAAAGAGTACTCGATCGAGGCCGCCCTGGACAAGATGGATGCCGAGTGGCGAAGCATCCAGCTCGACATTCTTCCATACAAAGACACCGGAACGTTCATTATGCGCGCGTCTGAAGAGACGGTGCGCTTGCTCGACGACCACATTGTCATGACGCAGTCGATGAGCTTCTCGCCTTTCAAAAAGCCCTTTGCCGAGCGCATCACTCTTTGGGAGTCCAAGCTCAAGACCGTCCAGGAAGTGCTGGAGGCTTGGATGCAGTGCCAGCGCTCGTGGCTCTATCTCGAGCCAATCTTTGGCTCGGACGACATTGTCACACAGTTGCCTGTCGAGAGCAAGCGCTTCACTACCATGGATCGCAACTGGCGCCGTATAATGGCCCAGGCGAAGGGAAAGCCAGGCGTTGTCGAGTTTTGCTCGGATTACAAGCTTCTGGACTCGTTCCGCGAATGCAACAAGCTGCTTGAGCTCGTGTCCAAAGGCCTTTCGGCATATCTTGAGAGCAAGCGCATCGCGTTCCCGCGCTTCTTCTTCCTCTCCGACGACGAGCTCCTGCAGATTCTGTCGCAGACCAAGGACCCGACTGCTGTACAGCCGCACCTCCGAAAGTGCTTCGAGAACATTGCGTCGCTCGAGTTCCTTCCCGACAAACAAATCGTGGCCATGTTCTCAGCCGAAGGAGAGCGCATCAACCTGGCCGAGCCGTTCTATCCCAAGGGGCCGGTCGAGGAGTGGCTGCTCAGGGTCGAGGACCAAATGCGCAAGAGTGTCAAGAAAGTCATCATGGATGGTCTCGCAAGCTACCACCAAAAAGCTCGCACCGAATGGGTGCTTGAGTGGCCCGGACAGTGTGTGCTGTCAGCCAGCCAGACATACTGGACGAAAGAGGTCTCGGATGCGCTCAAGACGGGCAAAGCCGGTCTGCTTGACCTCTTGAAAGTCCTCTTGGATCAGTTGCAGGGTCTTGTAAATCTCGTGAGAGGCGACCTTTCGTTCCTGAACCGCTTGGTGCTTGGCGATTTGATTGTGATTGACGTGCACGCTCGCGATGTTGTCAAGAAGCTCATCGACTCCAACGTCGAAAACGAGAATGACTTTGAATGGATCAGCCAGCTGCGCTACTATTGGGAAGACAACGAGCTGCGCGTCAAGATTGTCAACGCCAACTTCAAATACGGTTATGAGTATCTCGGAAACACAGGCCGACTGGTTATAACGCCACTGACCGATCGCTGCTACCTGACCCTGACGGGAGCAATCCACCTTGGCATGGGTGGCGCGCCGGCTGGACCCGCCGGCACTGGCAAGACGGAGACAACCAAAGATCTGGCCAAGGCGCTGGCCAAACAGTGTGTTGTGTTCAACTGCTCGGATCAGCTGGATTATTTGGCCATGGCCAAGTTCTTCAAAGGGCTGGCGGCATCAGGAGCCTGGGCTTGCTTTGACGAGTTTAACCGCATCGACATCGAGGTGCTCTCGGTGATTGCTCAGCAGATCATGACCATCCAGAAGGCATGCGCAGCTGGAGTGACCAAGTTTGTCTTTGAGGGGGTTGAGCTCCCTCTGGATGCCACCAATGCAATCTTCATCACCATGAACCCTGGATACGCTGGCCGCACCGAGTTGCCGGATAACCTCAAGGCACTATTCCGACCGGTATGGAAGAGGGGGACAGGGAGGGGCGATCTGTGACAGTCGGCGATATCCCATAGAGGGTGGTGTAGCAGGCGCTGATTGATCTGCTGAAACGGTAGCTGGTTGGTTTGTCCGAATGGCAGCCACGAGTATGGCATCCATCACGCGTGTGGTCATGAACAGCGCTCTAACGTGTTGGCTCCATCCCCAACTTCAGATGGCGATGATGATTCCCAATTACGTCATGATCGGCGAAATCAGCATGTTTTCGTTCGGTTTCTCGAACGCCAAGGTGCTGGCCGAGAAGATGGTGGCGACCTTCAAACTGTCGTCCGAGCAGCTCTCGTCGCAGGATCACTACGACTTTGGAATGCGCGCCGTCAAATCCGTCATTTCCAGTGCAGGCAATCTCAAGCGAGAGCAGCCCAACACTCCTGAGGACTTGATCCTGCTGAGAGCCCTCTGCGACTCCAACCTCCCAAAGTTCCTCGCAGATGACGTCCCGCTCTTCAACGGCATCATCTCGGACCTGTTCCCTGGTGTCGTGAACCAGCCGATTGACTATGGCGCCTTGCTCGAGTCGATGAAGAAGATGTGCGACAAGCTCGGCCTCCAGCCCGAGGAGCCTTTCATCAAAAAGTGCATCCAACTGTATGAAACAACGATTGTTCGTCACGGACTGATGCTCGTCGGACCCACTGGCGGCGGAAAGACTTCGTGCCTGATGGTGCTCTCAAAAGCCATGTCGGCCTTACAAGGCGTGACTGCACCGAACGGCAAGCCGTTCGAAAAGGTCCGCGTGCACATCCTCAACCCAAAGTCCATCACCATGGGCCAGCTGTATGGCGAGTTTGACCAGCAAACGCACGAATGGAGCGATGGTATCCTATCGTGCTTGATGCGCGAGGGTGTCGAAGATACCACAAGCGACAAAAAATGGTACGTCTTCGACGGCCCCGTCGACGCCGTCTGGGTCGAGAGCATGAACACACTCCTGGACGACAACAAGAAGCTGTGTCTGTCGAGCGGCGAAATCATCAAGATGGCCAACACCCAAACCATGATGTTTGAGGTAGAGAATCTGATCTACGCTTCGCCTGCAACGGTGTCTCGCTGCGGGATGATCTATATGGAGCCCGGGGCGCTTGGAATCGATCCCCTGATCAGATCATGGATCACGAAGCAAGAAAAGGACATGCCGCCGCCCTTTGCGGCCGTCTTTAGCAAGAAAATTCTCGAGTACTTCAGCCAGTACCTCGAGAGCTCGCTTGACTTTCTGCGCAAGAACCTCAAGGAGGGCGTTCCGACGACCAACGGCAATCTGGCTCAGAGCCTGATGCGAATCCTGCAGTGTTTGATGCTGCCGGTGATCCGGGGTGATCCAGAATCCACGGCATCGGTCGCGGAGCGAGCGGCCGAGTTCAATGATGTCATCGAGCCGCTATTTCTATTTTCGCTCGTCTGGTCGGTGGGCGCAACGACAGACGCCGATGGCCGCAAAAAGTTTGACCTTTGGCTGCGCGAGAAGATGAAGGAGCACACGGCCGAACACAAGCTGCCCGACACGGGCACGGTGTACGATTATATGTTCTCGATCGAGAAGAAGGCCTGGATCGTTTGGATGGAAACTATCCCAGAGTTCCAGATCACCCAAAAGTCCAACATGAGCGACGTGATTGTCCCGACGATGGACACGGTGCGCAACACCTATCTGCTCGACATTCTCCTCCGCAACAACTTCCACATCATCTCGTGTGGTCCAACAGGAACGGGCAAGTCCGTGACCATCCAGGAGAAAATCATCAAGAACATGGAGTCGAGCTTCATGCCGCTGATCTGCAACTTCTCGGCTCGCACCAGCGCCAACCAGACGCAGGACCTGATCGACTCCAAGATGGAGAAGCGCCGCAAGGGCGTGTTTGGTCCACCCGTCGGCAAGCGGTTTGTAATCTTTGTGGACGACCTCAACATGCCCGCGCTCGACATTTGCGGCGCCCAGCCTCCCATCGAGCTCCTGCGACAGTGGATGGACTGCAACGGCTGGTACGACCGCAAGAACATCGGCAAGTTCATGGAGATTGTGGATTTGGTCTTTGTCACGGCCATGGGCCCTCCCGGCGGTGGTCGCAACCCTGTGACGCCGCGGTTCATGCGCCACTTCAACATGCTGTCCTTTGTGGAGATGGAGAACATTTCGCTGCACCGGATCTACTCCACGATCTTGGGGGCGTTCCTGCAAAAGTTCCCGCCCGAGATCCAGAAGGAGTGCGACCCCATCATCGACTCGTCCATCCACATCTACAACACCATCCGCGCCGAGCTCCTGCCGACGCCGGCAAAGTCGCACTACACGTTCAACCTGCGCGATCTCTCCAAGGTCATCCAGGGCCTGCTCTCGGCCGACGTCAAGACGGTCAACTTCGAGACCGACATTGTGCGACTGTGGATTCACGAATGTCAGCGCGTGTTCCAGGACCGTCTCGTGGAGCAGAACGACAAGACGTGGTTCATGAATCTGGTCAAGGGCACCATGAACGACAAGCTCAACATGAGCTGGAAAGAGGTGGTTACCATCGAGCCGCTCCTGTACGGCGACTACATGACCCCGGGCGCCGACCCAAAGATATATGTCGAAATCAAGGACATGCGCAAGCTCGTCAAGGTTGTCGAGGAGTATCTCGACGACTACAACTCCACGACAACGAGCCCGATGAAGCTCGTCATGTTTTTGGACGCCATCGAGCATGTCTCGCGGATCTGCCGCATCATCCGGCAGCCCATGGGCAATGCCCTGTTGCTGGGAGTCGGCGGCTCTGGTCGCCAGTCGCTCTCCCGACTCGCAACGTTCATGGAGGAGTACGAGCTCTTCCAGATCGAGATCTCCAAGAACTATGGTCAAACGGAATGGAAAGACGATCTCAAGAAAGTCATGTTCTGGGCCGGGCTCGATAGCAAGCCGACCTCGTTCCTATACTGCGACACGCAAATCATCAGCGAGTCCTGTCTCGAGGACATCAACAACATCCTCAACGGCGGCGATGTCCCCAACATTTATACCGGCGAGGAGATTGACCGCATTTTGACAGCCATGAGGCCGATAGGCGCCGACCTGGGACTCACCCCTACCCGCGAGAATCTGTTTTCGCTGTATGTCAGCCGCGTCCGCCAGAACCTGCACATGATCATCTGTATGAGTCCCATCGGCAACGCCTTCCGGAATCGCCTGCGAATGTTTCCCTCGCTCGTCAACTGTTGCACAATCGACTGGTTCTCAACCTGGCCGGAAGAGGCCCTCAAGTCTGTGGCCGCAAATTCAATTGCCGAAATCAGCGATCTTGGTTCGGAAATGGTGATCGACGGCGTCGTCAGCCTCTGTGTGGTGATGCACGAGTCCGTGCGGGAGAAATGCACCCAGTATCGCACCGAACTCAATAGGTACAACTACGTCACTCCAAAGAGCTACCTCGAGCTCCTGGGTCTCTACAAGCGTCTGTTGGATAAGAAACGAAACGAGGTCTTGGCCTTGCGGAAGCGCACCGCAACCGGCCTCGAGAAGCTGCTCAATGCGACGAAGGAAGTCGAGATCCTGCAGGAGGAGCTCGAAGCTATGCAGCCGATGCTTCTGCAAACATCGCAGGAGACCGAGTATGCCATGCGCAAGATTGCTGTCGACAAAGTCAAGGCCGAGGAAATCAAGGAGATTGTGCTCAAGGAGGAACAGTCTGCGTCCAAGAAAGCTGAGGAAACCAAAGCCATTGCTGACGACGCCAAGAGAGACCTTGACGAGGCCCTGCCGGCCCTCGATGCCGCTGTCGAGTCGCTCAACTCTCTATCCAAGAACGACATTATTGAGGTCAGAAGTATGCAGCGCCCGCCAGAGGGTGTGAAGCTGGTGATCGAGGCGGTATGCATCATGAAGCAGATAAAGCCAAAGAAGATTGACGGCGATAAGCCAGGCAAAAAGATCGATGACTACTGGTGGGCATATCAAGCATGGCGATGGTTTTGTTTGGGTTGATTCAGCTGGCCGTGTATTTTCAAGTATTGGCCATCTATTTGGGGGGGGGAGGATGTCGAACTGACCGGATCGGTGGGAAGCTTTGCACCATGTTGCTGTCCTCATCGCCCCTGTCGTCGCCCTTGTCCTGATGGTCCCTATCCTGACTGCACGCGGTCTTTCATGAGTTTTGGTTACGTTGTGCAGCTTTAGAATTCTTTGTTGGTGTCGGTTTCGTGGCACTAACTCGCCGCTCGCATTCACAGGGAACCTGGCAAGGCTCTCCTCTCCGAGCCCCAAAAGTTCCTCGACTCGCTCTTCAACTTTGACAAGGATAATATCCCCGAGCACATCATCACCAAGATCAAGCCTTACATTGACTCGCCCGAGTTCCAGGTCAGCGTCATCTCCAGAGTCTCCAAGGCCGCCACGTCCATGTGCCAGTGGGTCCGTGCGATGGAAAAGTACTACTGGGTATCGCGGACGGTCGAGCCCAAGCGCCAGCGGCTGGCCGAGGCACAAGAGTCGCTCGATATCACGATGAAGCAGCTTGCCGAGCTCAAGAAAAAGCTGCGTGAGTCCGAGATCAACATCAAGGAAATGGAGAAAAAGTACACCGAGTCCGTGGCCAAGAAGGAAGAGCTCTCGCGCAAGGTCGAGGAGTGTAACGTCAAACTGAGTCGGGCCGGCAAGCTGATCTCAGGACTTGGTGGCGAGAAGCAGCGCTGGGCGATGCAGGTCCACCATTTTGACATTCAGATCAACAACGTCGTCGGTGACATTCTCCTGTCGGCCGGCGCAATCGCTTATCTCGGGGCCTTCACGGCCGAGTACCGCGCGAGTCTGATCAAGGAATGGATGGGGAGCCTGCTCCGGCTCAAGATCCCACATTCGGAGAGCGTGTCGCTCTGGGATACTCTCGGCGACCACGTCAAGCTGCGCGAATGGGAGCTAGCAGGGCTGCCCAAGGACAACCTCTCGCGGGACAACGGCCTCATCGTTCAAAACTCGCGGCGATGGCCGCTGCTGGTAGATCCGCAGGGCCAGGCCAACAAATGGATCCGCAACCTCGAAAAGGACAACGGTCTGGATATCATCAAGCTCACCGACCGCGACTTTATACGCACGCTCGAGAACGCCATCCGGTTCGGCAAGCCCGTCCTGCTCGAAAACGTGGCCGAGAAGCTTGACCCGGCACTCGAGCCGATCCTCTATCGCCAGACGTTCAAGCAAGGCGGCAACATGGTCATCAAGGTCGGCGACAGCATCTTGCCCTACCACGACGACTTCAAGTTCTACATCACCACAAAGCTCCCCAACCCGCACTACTCTCCTGAGACCTCGGCCACGGTCACTCTGCTCAACTTTACACTGGCTCCATCAGGCCTCGAGGACCAGCTTCTGGCCATGGTCGTGGCAAGTGAGCGGCCGGATCTGGAGGAAGCCAAGAATCAGCTGACCGTCAACAACGCACAGATGAAGAAGGAGCTCAAAGACATTGAGGACAAGATTCTGTATCTGCTGTCCTCAGTGCAGGGCAGTCCCGTTGACGACGAGCGGCTGATCGACACCCTGGCGGCATCTAAGGTCACCTCGGAGGAGATTCAGTCCAAGGTCGCCACGGCCGAGCAGACCGAGAAGGAGATCGACTCGACCCGCAACAAGTACACGCCCGTTGCCATCCGCACCCGGATTCTGTTCTTCTGCATCACGGAGCTGGCGAGCATCGACCCCATGTACCAGTACTCGCTAGGGTGGTTCATGAATCTGTTCATGGCCGCGATCGCGCACTCGGAAAAGTCGGACGACATTGACCAGCGTATCGTCAACATCAACGAGTACTTTACCTTCTCGCTCTTCTCGAACGTGTGCCGCTCGCTCTTTGAAAAACACAAGCTGTTGTTCTCGTTCCTCCTCAGCATGCGCATCTTGATGAACGACGACAAGATCGACATGGACGAGTGGAAGTTCCTGCTGACAGGCAGCTGCGCCTCCGAAAAATCCGGAGCGAATCCAGCGCCCGACTGGCTCTCCCAACGCAGCTGGGCCGAGATTCTGATGCTGGCCTCGCTGCCGTCCTACAACACGCTCGAGCACGACTTTGCCGACTTTGTCGAGGACTTCAGGGTGATCTTTGACTCGACCACCCCGCACAAGGAGAAGCTTCCTGGCCGCTGGGAAAACAATCTGACGCAGTTCCAGAAGATTCTGGTGCTGCGCTGTCTGCGCGCGGACCGAGTGACGGCCTCGATCCAGGACTTTGTCGCGGCCCAGCTAGGCGAGCGCTTTGTCGAGCCGCAGACGTCGGACCTGTCGGCCCTGTACAAGGAATCCAATCCTACAACGCCACTGATCTTTGTGCTCTCGCCGGGCACGGACCCAGCCAGCAACCTCTACAAGTTTGCCGAGGAGATGAGGTTCACCAAGAAGCTGTTCGCGGTCTCACTCGGACAGGGCCAGGGACCAAGGGCCGAGGCGCTAATCAAGGACGGCATGGAGCGCGGCATGTGGGTCCTGCTGCAGAACTGCCACCTGTCGCCCTCGTGGATGCCGACACTCGATCGCATCATCGACGGCATCACCATGGACAAGGTGCATCGCGACTTTCGTCTGTGGCTGACGTCGATGCCGACGCCAAAGTTCCCGGTGACGATCCTGCAGAACGGCGTCAAGACGACGCTGGAGCCACCGAACGGCGTGAAGGCCAATCTGATGCGAACGTACTCCACCTTCAACGAGGACCAGCTCAACAGCTGTGCCAAGACGTTTGAATGGAAGAAGCTGCTCTTTGCGCTCTGCTTCTTCCATGCTGTGATCCAGGAGCGCCGCAAGTTTGGTCCGTTGGGATGGAACATTCCGTGAGTAGAGCTCTGCGCCGTGCTGGATTGTGGGCTGTGCTAGACTGTGGGTCGTGTTGGGTTGATTGTGTGGCATGGAACACCATGCCATCCTCGGTCGTGGCCCGAGTCTTTTTTTGAGCATCAAACTGCACAGCAGCTGCAGTTGCAGCCTCGGCGCCGCAATCTCAGAGTCGCTGACACGAGTTGCCGCCATTACACGCACGCAGTTACGAGTTTACCGACGGCGACTTGCGGATATGTATCCGCCAGCTCAAGATGTTCCTGGAAGAGTACAACGAGATCCCCTTCAAGGTGCTCAAGTACACCGTCGGCGAGATCAACTATGGCGGGCGAGTCACCGACGACTGGGACCGGCGGCTGATCATGAGCATTCTCGAGGATTACTACTCTCCAAAGGCGCTCGACGACGGCTACCGGTTCAGTACCTCGGAGGTCTACTTCAGTATCCCGGCAGAGGGATACAACGCCTACAAGAACTACATCAAGTCCCTGCCGATCGACGAGACGACCGAGATCTTTAGCATGCACGACAACGCCAATATCACGTTCGCCCAGAAGGAGACGTATTCGCTGTTTGATCTGCTGCTGACGCTCATGCCCAAGTCGACCAAATTCGCCTCGGGCCAGACGCGCGAGGACATCTTGCTCGAGACGGCAATCTCGATCCAGTCACGGATCCAGCTGCCGTTCAACCTCGAGGCCATCTCGAAAAAGTACCCAATCGAGTACAAGGAGTCGATGAGCACGGTGCTGACCCAGGAAGTCATCCGCTACAACCGGCTGCTGGCCGTCATCCATTCGACCTTGACCGAGCTTCAGAAGGCCCTCAAGGGACTGGTGGTCATGTCCGAGTCGCTCGAGACCATGTCCAACAACATCTTCATCAACCAGGTCCCCGTGGTGTGGGCAGCCAAGGCATACCCGTCGCTCAAGTCTCTGTCGTCGTGGGTGGTGGACCTGATGGCGCGATGCGAGTTTATTCAGCGGTGGATCGACATTGGAATCCCGACGGTCTTTTGGATCTCTGGGTTCTTCTTCCCGCAGGCGTTCTTGACAGGCACCCTCCAAAACTTTGCCCGCAAGTACGTCGTGTCGATCGACATGCTGCAGTTTGACTTTAAGGTGATCGACACGCGCTGGGAGGACATCCAGAACAAGCCCAATGACGGCTGCTACATCCGCGGACTGTTCTTGGAGGGCGCTCGCTGGGATCCTGGTCGCCGGTCGCTCGCCGAGAGCCGGCCCAAGGAGCTGTACACCGAGATGAGCGTGATCTGGCTGCTGCCAAAGGCGAATCGCAAGAAACCCGAGAGCGGCATCTACGACTGCCCTGTGTACAAGACACTGACACGAGCAGGTGAGCAGGCGTCCTTTGGATTGATGGGTCGTTTGGTTGGTCATTTGTTTGGAGTTTGGTGGGTCGTTTGGTTGGTTGTCCGATAAAGCGCCTCGATGAGTCCTCCATCTCACGCCCTGTTGACGACTACATGCTGACCTTGTCCTGTACCCCAAACCAGGCACTCTGTCGACGACGGGACACTCGACCAACTATGTCCTCACCATCGAGGTTCCCTCGGACCTGCCGCAGGCCCACTGGATCAAGCGCGGAGTTGCATTGGTGACAGGCCTGAGCTCAGGATGGTAGACTGCACACTACTGCTTAATAATGATCTGTCTGGCCACGGCTTGCATGTTTGATATTGGAGCAAGATGAAAAGAAAGAGGGGTTGGTGGGTCGGCAGGCAGGCTGTTGAGTGGTTCTGATATATGAGCAAAGTGCGTGGCAAGAAAGAAAGAACAAACGGGACATAGGAGTTTGGGAGGATAGGAAACGAATGCCGAAGAAAAACCAATGCCGGAGAAAAACGCGTGGATGTGGATGTGGATGTTGGTGTGGGCAGGCAAAGTGATGGGCGGTTGTTGCTTTAGACCTGCTGGGTGAGCAGGGCGCTCTGGGAGGTAGGGCGGTTTCGTCGGGCCTTGGTCTCGAGGTCGCAGGCCCACAGGGCAACACCGATGATGTTGGTGAAGGTGAACAGGGCGTTGAAGCCAGGGACCAGGTGAAGGGCAAAGCAGACAGCGCCAAAGGAGGTGACTTGGCCGCTGCGGGAGCGACAGAAGGCTCGAGCCTGGCTGAAGGTGAAGGCTGGAGGACGACGAGGGAATCAGATGGTAAGAGCCAGCACGAGGAAGCCAGACACGCTGTGTCGCGACCCATGCAGGACCCATGCAGGACCCATGCAGGACCCATGCAGGAGCCATGCAGGAGCCAAGTCGGTGGTCGCCACAGAATCCATCCATGTATGCATGTGGCGCAGCTACGCCAGGCCACCGACACCGCCACCGATCCCGGCAGCGGCATCCCCAGTGCACCACCCACCTTTGCGGCCAAAGTAGAAGCCGAGGAATCCCCAGCCGGTGAAGTAGGCATTGACATAGACCCAGATGACAGTGCCCAGCACGGGAATGACGTTGAGGGGACTGGTCAGGATTGTGATGAGCAGCGAAAAGAGGGCCATGCCAAGGTCTCGGCCGCAGCCACGGGCGCAGTTGTCGCCGTTGTGCTTGGTCTCGGCAATGAACTCGTCCTGCTTCTCGAGCTCAAGGACCTTCTGGAAGAGGGTGTCGAGGTAGCAGGGATAGGCGAGGGCGACGACAATCAAGACCAGCAGGGCGGCTTCGATAAGACACTAATGTTGCAGCCAAGTGCGGAGATGGCATTAGTGTCTGTCTGCAGCACCCCACATACAGCACACAGCACAAAACATGCAGTATACAGCATACACCGCGCAAACGTGGATATCGCAGCACAGCTGCAGAGGGGGCTCTGGCGAGGGGAGGGAGGCGGCGCTGGTGGGAGACGCTGTTGCTGGGTACCGAAACCGTCGCGACATTTGTCCGAGGCTGCGGCAACGGCAGTTATGATGGCAGCAGCCAAGGCAGCAGCGGAAAACTCACCAAAATAACCGAGATGATCCAGGCCAGCCAGCCAGGAACGACCCGCTCCAGCCCGTGGGCCTGGGGAACGAGGATCGAAACGAATGCGACGATGTAGAGGCCGATGGAGATGGCGAACAGGACAAGGGCGCCGCAGATGACCTTGAGCCACAGGCTGGGGTGGGCCAGCAGGTAGGTGATGCCCATGATGGGGTAGAACGGGGGCGAGATGACCTCCTCGACGTCAATGTCGAGGTCGACCTGGCCCTGCGAGTTGGTGGTGATCATGGCTGGCGGTGCGAATGTCCGTGAGGCAGATGCGGGAGAACATCGGGCCAAGCGGCTTGGATCCGTGGTGGCGAAGAAAATGGCTGGGCGCGCTTCTCTCGCGGCGCTCTCGCTGCCTTCTCGGTGCCCTCTCGCTGTTCGCCGCAGCACGTGCCTGGCCACCGCCACCACGCATCCCGGTTTCTCTCCGACAAGGCCTTGGCTCTCGCACCGCGTCTTGGCGGTCGCACATGCGAGAAGAGTCGCCGTTGCCAAGTTCCTTGGCGGTCGCACCCGCCAACAGTACAAATATCCCTGGCCGTCCCCACCAGCACCAACACAGCACCAGCACAGCACCAACCGCCCGCTCTCCGCTTTCACTTCCGCCTCGTCCTCTGCCGACTCCCTCCCGCACTTACGCACGTCTGTCCCGCACCCCGCTCGCCATGCCTCCCCGAATGGAATCCCTGTGCAACCGCTCCTTCGAGACCCTCAATTACTTCCACCAGAATGGCCTGCTCGATATCCAACGACTGCACGACGCCAAAGTAAGTATCCCAGCAAGCCTGCCCAGCAAGTCGCTGCGCTATTGCAAAACGTAACAGAGCGTTCTGTCTCCTGGAGACGGGCCGGTGGCGATCTTCATCAGGCAGCTGTCGCTAACCATGAGGGTCGATTGCAGGGCATCCTCATCATGAAGATTGGTCAGCTCGGCCTCATCCACTGCTCCGTCCGGACAGGCTCCGGCATTCTGTTTTCGCGACTCGCCAACCGGTCCTGGTCGGCCCCGTGTGCAATCGAGTGCTATGGCATGGGCGTCGGATGCATGGTAGGTTCTTCCGTGAGCAAAGAGGCCCCCCCCGTTCTGCAGTGGCTTCGATGATGACTAGGGGGGGTGGGAACGCGGCAGTGACCTTGGGTCAGGCTCACGAAATAGACTTTGACCACCGTCTCATTGTCTGGCACGGCAGGCTGGCATCGAGGCCTCAGAAGTTGTGATGCTCCTGAACAACGATGCAGCCATTCAGTCGTTCACATCCACCAACAACCTGACGATCGGCGGCGAGCTGTCGGCGGCTCTCGGCAGCAACGGACGGTCAACCGGCGTCTCAACGTCGCTCTCACGGCCATCGGAGGCAGTCGTGTCCCTGGCCCGATCCAAGGGCATCTACCTCGGCGCCTCGATCGACGGCGTCATCATCCACCCCGCCAAGAGCGTCAACAAGCTCTTCTATGGCATCGTCCTCCACTCGCAAGATATTCTCAGCGGCGTCATGCCCGCTCCGGCCGTGGCCGGGGGTGTATACGAGCTCCTGCGCCAGTATGAGCAGCTGGCGATTACTCGACAGCAGCTCCTTGCCAACATGACACCCGTTGTGACGGTACCGTACCTTGTGTACTCCATCAACAGCAAGTCAGGCGGCGATGATGAGGATGCCGTCCCACCCTCATATCCCGAGGCAGCGGCTCAACGCACTCTCAGCTATACCGCGGTGCCCCCAGAAAAGGTTTGAGCTTGCTGCAAGAGCAACGCAAGTGCAACAGTAACAGCAACAGTAACAGCAACAGTAACAGTAATAGCAGTAGCAAGAGCAATAGCAGTAGCAGCAGCGATAGCAGTAGCAGCATGGCCACCCTGATGGTCCCCATGTCGACCACCCTTCTTCTGATGGAACTGCTCGGGCAGCCTGAGGAAGCCTCGGATGACGAGACTCGAGGCACAATCCTCACCCTGCCCCCACGAGATGGTTGGTCGTTGTGAACAAGCGATGGCTGTGTATTCTTGTCAAAAGGGAACATCACTTACAATCAAAAGCACATTCGGGCTGTCCCGTTTCATTTTGTGAACTCTTTAAAGCATTGCATGGCATCGGGGTGAGGCGCGGGGAAAGGAGACGAGCTGAAAGGACATTCGCGGAGTAACGAATGAGTTGAGAGGGCATCGGAGGCGATGACGGTGACGATGATGGTGGCGATGGCGATGGCGGAGAGTGGGCTGCTTGCAACATGCAGGATCGATCGAGGGAAGCGAAACTGGCATGCCGGCAGCGCATGCTCCTTCGCCAAGGCAAGTTTAGAGAATGCCCCGGTACTTCTCGCTAATGCGAGGGGATGCGAAGACATGGACCAAGATCACGTAGAAGACGTCGACCACGGCGCAAACAATGTAGAGCCAGACCATCGAGGCGCTCGTGGTGCCGCTGATGATGCGTGTGCGCCGTTTCAAAAGTTAGAGGGCAAGCGTCAGTAAAAATGGCAACAGGCACAAGATCGAGTTGGAGGGATGGACGAGCGGGCGGACATGCAGGTGAATGCGGTGGGGGATGACAGTGCGACTGGATTCTGGCGCTCCTTGCGAACAAGATTCAACGCTGTCAGTCACATGGTCTGCAGCAAATGCTCATACCCGATGTAGGCGCCGATGGAGGCGAGAAAGGTGCCCAGGAACTTTGACCAGGCAATGAACCAGTTCTGGCCACGCACGGAGCGACGCTCGAGCAGCATCAGCACAAAGGCGATGGACATGTACGCATTGATGCCATAGGCCGAATAGGCAGCACCATTTTGGCTGCCGAGATCGGACTTGAGAACGAGGTGCATGGACAGCGACAGGACAAAGATGGCGAAGAAGGTCTTGTAGATGTGCTTGCGGACCCAAGACGACTGGAACTCTAGAGATTCGCTGGTTTTGAGGTTGCGTATGGTCAAGTAGACGATGCCGATATCCAGAGCGACCCAGATCCAGTTGATGATGTACGAAGGGTCAACTGACTTGGACGAAATGACTCGTGGCAGATCGAAAACGGAGTAGGTGAGTTCCCAACCAAAGTTGAGGCCTGGGAAGCGCCAGTGACGAGCGCACGGGCGAACAGAGCATGCGGTGTTGGGAATGCCAATTCCGATGGGAATCAGTGAATTGTGAGCAAATGAGTGGACGGCGGAGATAACGTGGACGGCAGAGATAGAGCGGTTCAGAGACGACAGACTTTCCATCAAGGGATGCTATGGGAGATGAATCTCGGTGGGCTGCCCGTGCGGCAATGGTTCCTACCGAGGGCCACGATGGGCATCGAGTAAGTAGCGCGGCTCTTCGCATTGATCCAGATGATGCAGATGTAGCAGGCGATCCAAAAGAGGCCGCCGACGCCCACAAGAATGTCCGAGGCGTCCATGACGAAAGCAGATTGGAGGTGCGGGTGAGGGATGAGGGCAGCGACACGGGAGGGGCTGCGAAACGAAAAGCCAACGCAGAAGACGAACGGCGAACGGCGAACGGCAGAGCGGTTCTCGTGAGCGGCACCGCCGCCGCGGGTCACGAGAAGTCCGAAATGAGGCGGGCATATGGTTCATGACATGGCATAAGTTCATGACATGGCATAAGTTCATGACATGGCATAAGTTCATGACATGGGATACGTTCATGACATGGGATACGTTCATGACATGGGATACGTTCATGACATGGGATAAGTTCATGACATGGAACGAGCCCGTGGCAATTCGCCGACGACACGGATGCGGACACTGCCGCTGTTGGAGTGCAGCCAGAGCTGTGCCTGTGTGCAGTCGAATTCGCTCCGAGACTGAATCGGAATACTTCCCCCTTTCGAAGTTCACAGTCGTTCGCGTCGCCCGAGAACCAGAGTCTGATAGGCCATGGGGAACAGCTGATCGCTTGGAAGGTCGTTAGGCCAAGGGCGTGGTAGATTGGGATGGCCGCTGCGAACGATGGATGGATGCGCATTGGTCGCCAAAGGGTGGCTGTCTCGTTGCACTGTGTTATATCAGCCACACCAGAGCATTATGTTCTCTGCTAACAACATCAACTCTGCTAACAACATCAACTCTTCTAACAACATCAACTCTGCTAACAACATCAACTCTGCTAACAACATCAACTCTGCTAACAACATCGCATCAGCGCATCACCCCCCACGACCCATTCCCAACACGCCTCCGCCGCAGCAATGCATGCGCTCCCCATGTGCGACCCCCTGCCCGCTCGGCTTGGCGTATTTCTCGGTGGTCTCTCTCTCCCCCCACCGCTTGGTCCTCTGTCGTCCTCTTCCTCCGCCGTTCCCCCCGGGCTTTGACGACTGAGGCCCGGCTCTCATCCCATCACACGAATCGCCATCATTCGTATCTTATAAACATATCCCATTCTATCACACCAATCCCACCACACCGCACCGCTTGCCATGGCCAACAACGCCGACAATTCGCTCGGCTACGAGCAGGACCTCGACGAAAACCTTTACGACGACGGCGATGAGAGCGCCCAGTCCTACGAGGACCAGCCCGACGACCAGCCCGACGACCAGCTCGACGCCCGCGATGATCTCGAGGCCGCCGCTCCCACCGAGACCTCGGCGCTGCTGCCCCCCGCCGACGGCGAATCCGCCCGCCCCCTGCCCGACTGGCTCTCGGGCCTGGCCGACCAGGCCAAGAGCGCTTATACAGCCGTCTCCGACCGGGTCGCCCCGGCGCTTGCCTCGGCCAAGGACTCGGCCGCCCCCGTCCTGGCATCCATCCGGGACAGAGCCGCCCCCGTCGTCGACTCGGTGCGCTCGGCCCTCTCGCCTGCCCTCGACAGCGCCCGCACCGCCGTCGCTCCTGCCGTCTCGGCTGCCCGCGAGCACACCGCCCGTGCCCTCGGCCAGCTGCAGGAGGCCTCCAGCGCCTCGGCCCGCGGGATCGGCAGCCACCACGACTCCTGGAAGGCGTGGTTCGCCAGTCTGACGCCCGAGCAGCAGACCTTCCTGCGATCCATTTTTGCTGCGATCATCCTGGTGCTGTTCCTCCTTGTTACCTGGTCCCGCTTCGCCCTGCATGTCCTCCCTGTTCCTCCCATCGAGAGCCCCACGCCAGTCCCGACCGCCACAAGCTCCTCGCCCATCTTCACAACGACCTCGGCCCCGCTGCCGACCTCCTCGGTTCCGCCCGTCCCAGTGCCCACCGCCTCTCCCGAGCCGTCCGTCTGTCTGACGCCCGAGTGTGTCCTGGCTGCCGCCGACATCCTTAACTCCATCGACACCTCCGTCGACCCCTGTGACGACTTTTACCAGTTTTCGTGCGGCACATGGCAGAAGCAGCATCCTGTCTCCAAGCACCGACCCCAAGACTCGGTCATCGACCAGGCCGTTCGCCAGAACTACCGCATCATCAAGACCGCCATCGAGGCCCTGCCTTCCCACCGGCCCGAGACTCTGAGCCCTCTCGAGTCGACCCAGCAGCAGCTCAACACCCTCGTCGCCGATTTCTATCACAGCTGCACAAACATGACCGCCATCAAGGAACTCGGCATCCAGCCTCTCGTCGACCACCTCCGTCGCATCAGCAGCGCCTCCTTCCCCATATCCACGCCTTCGTTCCCCTCGGGCGCCTACCGACTCAATATCGCTCGCTATGCCGACGCTCTTGCCGATGCCGCCCAGGCTGGATCGTCTGCTTTCTTCTCGGTTCAGTCCCGGCCCAGTCGCCAGCATGCTGGCACCTTGAGCATTCTCATTAGCCCCAGTGGCCATGACATTTGGTCCTGGCTCAGTCCGGACAGCGACAGCAGCCTCGTGGAGCTTTACACCCAAGCCCTTGCCAAGGTCCTGGAGCTCGTCTTGTCAGACATTTCGCCGCCGCACAAGGGCAAGACCTGGCTCAACGTGGCCGCCAAGATCGTCGAGCTCGAGAAGACCCTTTTGGATCTGGGCCGTGCAAAGTAAGCACCCATGCCGTGCCTCTTTTTGACATGTTTCGGAACCCTGGCTCATTGCTGCTGCCTTGGCTTGCCCATTCACTTTTCCGCGTTGGCCGTGGCCACTCCTCGGTGTTCATGCGTGTCTGGCTTCGCATGGCCATCCTGCATGCTTGCGTATGTGCTAACGCCGCTTGACTTTGCGCACCAATCAGGACTACCAGGTCGTCGAGTTGGCCAATGCCCGACTTCTCCGTGCGGAACCTGACCATCGTTGCCCCCGCGTTCCCTTGGTTGAGCTACTTTGAGCGACTCGTGTCCTCGTCGGTGTCCTTGGACACCTCCATTTTTGCCCCTCCTATTGAATACCTCACTGGCTTTTCTAAGCTCTTGGAGACTCTGGACGCCGACACTGCCGAAAAATACTACTTCTGGTATGTTTCGACATCTCTTTGGGCAGTTGCATCGTTGGATGCCCGCGAGAGAAGTGGCTGACTCGGGATTTCTGGCGTACCTTGCTCTAACCACCCCTAACCACCCCTAACCATCTCTACCATATATCGGTTCCATGATTGGCGTTCCCTCTTCCTCAGGCAATTGATTAACCAGTACCGCCATCTGGGCATCGATGAGATCGACGACATTTTCGAGCCGCTGGACAACAAGCTGAGCAGAGTCCCGCTCACCAAGCCCCACAGGTCTGTGCCTTTTCGAGCTGCACCATCTCCGATTCAGTCTTCAGCTGCATGTTGCTGTCGCCTGAGTCAACACGTTTGCTTCTGCAAGTGGACGGCTCGCAGAGGGATGCGGCCCACAGTCAGTGGCATGAACAAACAACCCCAACAACACCGACGGCAATGACAGCTTTCTATCGCTTGACTATTGGACAACTGACGGTTGTGATGCGGCACTTGACATTTAGATCAAACTTTTGCGTCGATACTACATACCATTTCCTTGACCGCATTATTTCGAAGCTCTTTGACGAGCAAGTTCTCACCGGTGGGTCGTCGGATCTGCCCTCACTGTCTTGGGAAGGAGAATGCTATCGCGTTATTATCGACAACTGTGTCGGCGTGCAACGGCGTCTGACCTAACATTACGGTTCCTTTGATGTTCCAAGCGATCGCCCAAGAGGAAACGCGGGAGCTCGCTAAGAACGTCAACAGCGCCTTTGTCAGCCAGCTGGGAGAATACAGCTGGGTCGATGAGGCCACCCGCACAGTCGCGATCGAGAAGGCAAGTTTGTGCGAGGGTCTCTGTGCACGCCGCTTGGTGATTGTTTGATCGTTCCTTTGATGCTGCGAATGGGGGTCTGCCCCTACCCGAGCGACTTTAGCATGTGTTAACCTCGCTGGCTTTGATCTCATGCAACGGTATGCAGGTCAACGGCATCAACACCACTGTGGGCTCTTCAGAGGCATACTCCAACGTGACTGAGCTGCTTGAGTACTATGAGGGCTACGGCGTCATCAATTCCCGTAGCTACTTCGATAACCTTGCCAACCTACAGAGACTGGAAGTCGATCACAAGCTCTCCAAGCGCAACCATACCGACAACACCGATTACCACTACCAAACCTTCATCAATTTTTGGTACAACAGCGATTATGTAAGGGGTTTGTTGTGGTTGCTGGATCGATGGCCCGAGGACGAAACAGACGCTGTCCACCCGATTGCGCATGGCCAGTTGGTTGATCCCATATTTTGAATTCTTCGCTTCGCTAGGATGCGCGGGGCAACCGGGTCCAAGTTTCTTCGGGTGAGCACCATCGGAATGCATGACTAAAGACAGCGGATCGCAGTAGTCTGATGTTAAACGTTCAAGAAGATGCTTTGTCCGGGGAATCATACGATGGATGACCGCCGCTCGTCGTTCTAATCTCAGTATGCTGCTCTGTCACCCGTACTTACACCCGGCTGTGCTCCATTCCCATCCTGGCTTGGTTTGTGCCGCTGTGTCATCTCGTGGAAACGAATGTACAGCCCTTATCCCCACCACTATACATCAGGACCAACCAGAGTACCTGCGATACGGACGCCTTGGATCCATCATCAGCGGCCACGTCTCTCAAGCGTTCTATGGACGTGGTCGAGATATCCACCCCAACGGCACCTTTGGCGACTGGTGGAGCAACAACACGGCTGTCGCGTTTAAATCCAAGACTCAGTGCCTGATTGATCAATTCGATGGCTACAACTACACTCTGCCCTCTGGCACCACCACACATGTCGATGGCCATACGCACGTCGAGCGCAACTTGCAACGCAACACGGGCGTGGCCCTTGCCTTTGATGCTTGGAAGCTCACTCGCTCCTGGAACCCGGATGAGCCCGAGCGCAACCCACTCCTCCCTGGTTTGGCCCCGTTTACCGAGGAGCAGCTCTTCTTCGTGTCGTTTGCTCAGGAATACTGCGAAAACAGTCTCCCGGAGCTCGTTGAGGTACAGTAATTTGCTTGGAAATGCTGTTGGTGCTTCATCCCGTTGCTGCTTCATGCCGTTGGTGCTTCATGCCAGGTCGAGCCGTCGGTCTCGGTGTGCGTCAAGCGCACCCCTATGCTGCTGCCTTCCGACCGAGCAAGTCACTGGTCCAATTGGGTGCTGGTCTCCCTTGAGTACTCTTGAGTGCTCTTGAGTGTTGGTCCTTCCTGAGGGTCGACCGCTTCTGAGTCGTTGGTGTTCGAGCTGTGCTATGAAGAACGTAGCCGCACTGGTCGCGACCCTGACCCCGCTGAATCGCTCATGCTAACTCCTTGCTGCGACTGTCTTGGGTGGATTTGGCTTCCGTTCTGCAGAGCTATAACGTCCCTGCTCGATTCAAGGTCATCGGCGCCGTTTCCAACTCGGACGACTTTGCCCAGGCCTTCCGCTGCAAACGGGGATCGCCCATGAACCCGGAGCGCAAGTGCCGCTTGTAGAGTGTGCGCAGAAGTCCAAGCACCTATCCTGGGACAGTATGCTGGCACCTCCAGCCGAGGAGGTAGTCACTCGCTTTTCACCACTTTCCGGTCTACAAGTTCAGCTTTTGCTTGCTCCTCTTTCTATCTATCGACCTTTGTTTCATTCCTCTTTCATCTTCTTTTGCTCAGCTATCGCAGCGCTTCTATCCTCGATAGGAGTGGAACAGCAGCCACAACAGCGCTGAAAGAGATCTTTTATATGTGCTCGAGTCTTTCACTCTTTATGTGATTTTGTCCCGTTCTTCTGGTTTGCCATTCGCTGTTTCGCTCACGGTCCTTCTGAACATGACTCTGCTCTGTCTACGGTCACTGTCCCGTCCTGGTCTGTTTTTGAGTCCCCTTTGCTCTCTCTTTCTCGTTGTCGATTTCTCATTGTCGATTTCTCTCACAATTTACTTTTCGTTCGATCGCTCTCGACCTCAACCTCCGGCCTCTTCGTCCTTTTGTTGATGTCTCTTGTCGTCTCTTTCCCACCCGAGCCACTTTGAACACCGTCTCGAGCCTCAGCCGTGATTAAATATGACTATGTATATGGCAAGAGTAAATGGCTGCCCGGATACCAAAGATGAGAGAGAGCCGGCGGTGTTCATCAATGGGAGGCCTCGCCGAGTCACCACAGGGTGGATGATCGTTGTTGGAGGTGGATATGAGGATTCCATATCATAACGAAACAAAGGCAGCCGTCGGGTAATAAATGGAGCCCATATCCACACCTCCATACGATCCAGACGTTCCGTCAATATAGCAGTCACGTATGGATGGCCCGTTGCCGCTTGATCCGACCAAAGACCACGCTCTCTGCCTCCTCCAACGACATGTTGGCGAACCGGGTCCGGCTCTTGGATGGATCCACAGCCAAGGGCTCGGGCCGGGCCGTCGGCCTGTTATCTGGCGATACAGTTGCTGACGCCGAGGTGCTGTGCTGTGCAGCAGCAGCAGCCTTGGCAGGATCAGAGAGCAGGGCATGCCGAGTTTGGTAGTGCTTGTATGCGGCCTGCAGCCGACGCACCGAGGCCGGGGTCTCAGACCCGTCGAACCACTGCAGCTTGAAGTTCCCCAAGATAGTCTGTTCGCTGCCGTAGTCGTCCATGGCCATCATCTGCTTTGCCGCAACCACAAGTGCACGGCAGGATGGGATAGGCTTGGTTAGGCTTGGCTAGGCTTGGTTCGGCGAATGGACGACGATGCCGACAGTGTCGATCGACAGGACTCGCGATCCCGGCGAGGCATCAGGGGACAGGGATTGGCGAGGGTGGAAGGACGACCTGCATATCAGTGCGACGCTCACCGCATATTCGATCGACTGAAAGGCAACGATCGAATTGCCCTCTTTGAAGATGAGTGCCTGGATGTCGCCGTACTTTTCAAAGAGCTCCTCAATGTCGGCCTGAACCAGCAGGTACTTTTTCTTGTCCCATTTTACGCGGATGGACGAGTCGAATTCCTCGGCCGAGTCTACGAAATGACAGCATCAGCGCCAAGATGGCAGCATCGGCACCGGCGGTCAGGAACGGTATGCTTGGCGATCTTTCCTTGGGCACCGAGAGGCGCTCCACTTCCCATCAGGTCGTTCGTTCTTCCCTCCCCTCCTCCTTTCCTGGCAAATTCTCGTCGGTCCCCGCCGGCTATCTGACAAGCCCGCAAATAAACTCACCGACGGCAGATTGAATGTTTGTCTGCAGCTCCTTGACCAAGATTGCCTCCTGCATTTGTTTGAACAGGAGCTGCTGCTCTTGTTCATGTTGCTTGCGCTGTCGCTCTCCCTCTTCCCTCAGTCGCTCGATCTGGAGACCGGTGGCAGACGAAAGTCGCATCGGAAATGCCCAGTCAGTAAGGATCGTGCTCGGAGACGCCTTCGCTCGGGCATACGATATAGGTGGTGGTGGTTTGGCACATGGATCTGCCGATCAGATCTTGTTGGCAACAGGGTAAAGACTGAACGCACCTGCTCTCGCTGTCGGAGCTGCTCCATCTGCGCCTCGTTTCGATGCTGGCGCGCCTGCTTCTCGCGGTCAAAGAGATCCTGGCGGGTCTTGCGCCGGGTCTCGTCCATCATCTTGAGCTTCTCCAGCTTGGCGAGCCGAGCCTTGTGTTGTTCATCATAGGTCCGGCGCTTCTGCGGGTCCGTGAGGGTATCGTATGCTTTGGAGAGCAGCAGGAACCGTGCGGCGGCATCGGTGTCGTCGGGCGAGACCTTATCGGGGTGGCAGGTGAGGGCCAGCCGCCGATACGCCTTGGCGATGGCCTTGGAGTCGGTCGAGGGATCGATGCCCAAGATGGCATAGTAGTCGTGGATCTCGTCAGTCTCCATGCGGAAGGTCTGGTGTGTTTGGGGTGCGTGCGTGCGTGTGTGTGTGTAGAGTGAGATGGCGAGCTATGTCTCTGTCGTCCCGGCGGCGTCGCAGATTGTCTGTCGTTGATGGGGTTGATGAAGTCGATGCGGTTGATTTGCGAATATCGGTGAAGTGGCAGAGGCGATCGGTCAGCGATTCGATCCAGCGTGCCCGCACTCGACCCGCACTCGACCCGCACGTGGACAAGCAAGCCGCGCCACAGCACACGTGGCCGTCAAGCCACACACGGAAATAGACCATGCGCAGCACATGTGCGACCGCAGAGGCGCAGCATCACAATCCTTTTTTTTTTTGTTGTTGTCTCCCCTCGCCCTCGCCCCCCATATAAGGCGACCCGCTCCGCTGCTCCTCCGCCCCCCCCATCGATTCCTCTCTCTCTCGTCGAGACCGGAGACACTTGCCTGCCTGCCTGCTTTGCTCGCACACCCGTATCGCTGCCGGAAAGCCGTTCTGGTGCTTTGGAGCATATCACTCTCTCTCTTGCCTATCCCGTCGCTCGATCCTCGAGAACCCGACAGGCATCTGATCCGCTGGCAGTCTCCGTCTCTCTCCCCAACGAGTACCGGAGTCGCTCTTCTTGGGTTATAATTGCGTTTGCAGTTACAACTACTCTCTGAATCGCCGTCGTCTCGGTGATTTGCAATTGCTGTCCGGTACCCAACCCGAGCCTGGTCTGGTGCTTTTTACTTTGCCTGATCTTGTCTGCTGGTTCTTTTTCGTCGCCGAAAAAGCAACCTTCGCACAGTCAGAGAAGCAACCCAATAGTCGCGCTGCGCTTGTAGTCTCTTCATTTTTTCTGTCCTGACTGGCATCTGTTGCTGCCTCTTGCGATAGTTTCTCTTGGACAATCTCAGTCTAAAGAAACAATTCTCTCGTGGCCAAAGCAGAGTCATCGACTGAAGAAAGAGTCTCTACTTCTCAAGCGGTGCATTGGTTGCTCCGTTGCAAACGTAAGGCAAAGCAATTTGCGAGTGTTGTACTCTTATACCATACCCAGAAAGAATAAAAAAGCGTCTTCCGAACCCACTCTTCCTCGCTCGCCCGCCCCTCACGGTCAAGTCAGTGCACACCCACACGCACCCCTGTCCCTGCTGACTCCGCACCCACATCGGTCCAACGATCATCGTTCGGTCCTCGTTGCCAAGTAAATCCTTCCACCCCCTGCAAATTACCCATCAAGAATGTCCTACGGCGGCCAAAAGCGAAGCTGGGACTCCCGCGGCGATGACTACGCCGACAGCAGCTCCAAGCGATTCAACTCGGGCCGCGGCGGCTACGACAACAACAACAATTCCTACGGCAGCGGCGGCTCATACGGCGGCGGCTCCAACGGCGGCTCCAACGGCGGTTCCTATGGCGGCTCCTATGGCGGCCGCGGTGGCTCGTTTGGTGGCAGCGGTGATCGCTGGTCCCAGTCCACATACAACCCCAACCCCGTTTGGAACATCGAAACCCTCCCGACCTTCCGCCGTGATTTCTACAAGTCCGTCCATGAGCTTGCTCCTCAAGAGGTCGACGAGTTCCGCCGCAAGCACGCCATGCAACTCGAGGGTCGTAACATCCCTGAGTAAGTGTTGCCGTCGCTGTTGTCGCTGTTGGTACTGTTATTGTTGTTGTGTCGATGCCCAAGGCCGGCGTGGTATTCCTGCACTGCGCCCATGTGCTAACTTACACTTTGGTCTCCTCCAGTCCTGTCCTGAAGTTTGAACACGCCGGCTTCCCCTCGCCCATCACCCAGCAACTGCTGAGCTCCGGCTTTGCCGCTCCCACTCCCATCCAGTCGCAGTCCTGGCCCATGGCCCTCTCCGGCAACAACGTCATTGCCATCGCCCAGACCGGCTCCGGCAAGACCCTCTCGTTCCTGCTGCCGGCCCTGGTCCACATTGCCGACCAGCCGCCGCTGCAACCCGGTGACGGCCCGCTTGTCCTCGTTCTGGCCCCCACTCGTGAGCTCGCTGTCCAAATCTCGGAGGTGACGGCCGTCTACGGCCGCCTTATGGGCTTCCGCCACACCACCGTCTACGGCGGTGTCCCCAAGCGCGAGCAGGTCCGCGATCTCAGCCGCGGCTGCCACATTGTCATTGCCACCCCCGGCCGTCTCATTGATCTGATGCAGCTCGGCCGCACCAACCTGAAGCGCACCACCTTCCTGGTCCTGGACGAAGCCGACCGTATGCTGGACATGGGTTTCGGCCCCTCCCTCCGAGAAATCAGCGGCCAGATTCGCCCCGATCGCCAGATGCTGATGTTCAGCGCCACCTGGCCCAAGGAGGTGCGCCGCCTGGCCGAGGAATTCTTCCACGGCGACTACATCCAGGTCAAGATCGGCTCCATCGACCTCACCGCCAACAAGAAGATCAACCAGCTCGTCTACATGACCTCCGAGGATGAAAAGACCAACAAGCTCGGCCAGGTCCTCGACGACGTGTGGAAGGCCCTGCCCGAGCCTGAGCACCAGCGGTACATGCCGCGCATCATCATCTTCACCAACACCAAGCGCAACTGCGACGTTCTGCATCGCAGCATGCGCCAGGCCGGCTGGGGCGTGACCGCCATCCACGGCGACAAGACCCAGCAGGAGCGCGACCGCGCCCTTGCCGACTTCAAGCAGGGCAGCCTTCCGATCCTGATCGCCACCGACGTTGCCGCCCGCGGTCTCGATGTCGACGACGTCATGCACGTCATCAACTACGACTTTCCCAAGAACATCGAGGACTTTATCCATCGCATCGGCCGCACGGCTCGTGGCAACAAGTCTGAGGGCCACGCCCATACTTTCTTTGCCCGTGGCGACAACTCCCACGCCCGCAAGCTGATCCAGATCATGACCGAGGCCAACCAGGCCCACAACATCCCTCCCGAGCTCCAGCAGCTTGGTGCCTATGGCGGTGGTGGCCGTTCTGGCTCCTCGCGCTATGGCGGTGGCAACCGATATGGTGGCGGTAACGGCGGCTATCGTGGCGGCAACTCTCGCTATGGCGGCGGCGGCGGCGGCTACGGTGGTGGCTACGGCGGCAACGGCGGTGGTTACGGCGGCAGCAGTGGTGGCTATGGCGGATCCGGCGGCTCGAGCTGGAACTAGTTCAAGATCCCAAAGCGGGGGACCACTGAGATCGCCTCCGAACCAGTATTATTTCTATCACGACATGCGGCTGCGAGTCTGGCCCCTTCCATCCTGCTCTCCTTCTTCGTAGCGCCTGTTTGCAGCCCGCGAGGCTGCCCTTGCATTTGTATCCCTCTCTTTCTATCTCCATTCGCATAGAACAGTTGCGCCGCGCGTGTTCCCTCTGCATATCCAACCGATACGTCCATCTCGCATTGAAAAAGCGAAGCGGCTGTCCTGTTTGTTGCCGCCTCAGCGCCGCGGCGCACTGCCCAATACAGCCCCCTATCTATCAAGCAATCCATGTGGCCCATGCGTGAAAGTAGAAAGTGCCGGTCTGATTGTGATCCTGCTCTCGCCGATACCGCAATGAGTGGCGGGGTCGCTGGCGCAGAGTCCGTACTGCGACGATCAGAGCAAGTCGTACTGTGGTGGAAATGGAATCAGAGCCTGTCCACCACACCATTTCCGCCACACCTGCCAAACCCGCAATGCGAGCTGCGACGAGACGCTTACAAAGTAGTCCAGGCCCTGACCAACTTCCCAGAACGACAGGCCGGTGCCATACTCCTCAGCAAGGGCAATGCGATCGTGGATGGACTGGCGGGAATGAGATTGAGTGGCATGCCCGGTATCCCCGGCAGCGGAGAAGGATGCCGTTGGTAAGACCGCTTTGCTTCGACCATGGACGAATAGTCGCCATATGCGCTCGGGCAGCGGGCCGCATTGCTCTCCTACCTTCAAAGTTGGGTACCAGACCATGTGCGTGCCCTTTTGGTCGTGGTAGTTGAAGTAATGCTCGGCGTCATCCTCGCTCCAGACAATGGATGGATTGTGCTTCTCGAGAAGCTCGAGATACTGGGATGCTGGAAATCCAAACCATCCGAAGCAACGGCTGAGTTCCCGATTGCTGGGGGAAAGTATACTCTCTGGGCCCCTCGGCGGGATAATGAGGCAGCGGCATATGCTCCTTACCGATCACGGCCTCGCCTTCAGACGAGGTGTAGTCCGAGCCGTACATGTTCAATCCAACGAGCAGCTTGTGTCGGTCGTCACCATCGGGACATAGATATCGGATGTTTGCCTGGACCCATTCGATGGGCGAGTTCGGGCCAGGTCCCATGCGATTGCCGTAGTCGTAGGTCATCAGCGAGAAGCCATCCACGGCATCGACGAGATCGCTGTAATCGTCGTTGCTGAAGCCAACATGGGCGTCATCCGGGAAATACGGGGGGATGACCAAGATTAAGGACTTTGACGATTCGTGCAAGCGGTCGGCCAGGTGACGGATGATCCCCTTGAAGTATCGGGCGACACCGCCCATCTCCAGGACAAGTCCATCGTAGTCCTTGTCACTGCGCCGTGCCAGATCGGCATTTCCAAATCGTGTCAGCAGTCTTGCAGGGCTGCAGTGTCAGAGCAACATGGCTGGGTGCCATCCGTCAAGATGGGCAACTCACAGAGCACTTACAGAGCCTCTTCGACCATCAGATTCACGACCCGCTGCGCTGCATCGGCGTCGTTCAGGATGTGGATAAACTCATCGCGAGTCCACTCGCTGAACTGCACTCGAGGAACTATCTTGGCTGCTGATCCCGCGTTCTCGATTGGATCAAAGAACCGCACTTCGTCGATCCAGCCCTTGTCGTAGTCGTGGCCGCCTTCAAGAACATACTGATGGTTGGGTCTGCGATGGCACCACTGGCTTCAGCGACGGTAGAGCAGCACCCAAGACCTATTTGCACTCACTGGCGACCCGCTTGGTCTCGGCGGCACCGAGCAGCGGAGCATGGTATGCTGCGTTACCTGGGCTTAAGATAGTACCAGACAGGGCTGACGTGGGTGAACTTGCCTCTGAATATCTTGACGACGTCGTATCCTAGACCACCGATGTGTATGATACCGTTGGGAGAAGCAGGTTGGCATCATCAGCCACTGCAGCCCGGCACAGAGATTGGACCCATCCTGCAAACCACAGGTCCAGCCAACAGACACTGCGTCAGAGGATAGCCCACCATGGTTGTTCCACGGAGTCACATAGGCCAGCGTCATCTCGGAAAACTTCTTGAAGTGGCTCTCCGGGCCATGATGCTTGTGCTGGGACAGGATGGAGTTGGCCGAGACGTCTTCGGCAACGAGGCTGCGGTCGTGAACCGACAGCGAGAAGACCGAGTCAAGAATGGATGCCTCGCCTTCGTGGAGCTCGTCCTCCACGACCAACGATCCAAGGACGCATGAGAAAAACAAGAGAAGCCAGGTGGCTCTGAGGAGACTGCGGACTCTGCCGGGCATTTTCGCCAAAGCGGAAGGGCGCGGGTGAGCGAAACGGAGGATCGGCGAGATCGAGAGCAAGCCCAAGAACGCGGGCGGTCTTGGCGCCACCGACCGCAAAATGCGTGAACAGCACATAGACCCGGGCGATGCGATGTTGCCGAGCCTTCGACTGCTCACGGCTTCGTCCAAACGAGCCGACGTCGACACAGCCGGATGCCTTCCATCTGGGCTCGCTGGCATGCATGTCTGGGCAGACCATGGAATCGGCGCGGCTTGTTGGCCACCCGATTCGAACCAGACACGACATTCCCCACAACAACGGCGCCTTCAGTTTTCGCCCCTTTGCCCCTTTGCCCCTCGCCCCTTGGCTCCTTGCCATCTGCCTGTCCCTGTTCCTCGCCGACAGCATCCCGCTGCCGTTGTCTCCCCTGCCGACTTGGCTCCGACATGGTCGTCAGCACCCACGACTCGGACGACATGCTCGGCATCGAGGTCCAGCCTATCGAGTCGATGGAGGAGGATGCCGAGATGGTCGAGGTGTCCGCAGTCGAGCCCGAACCTGTTCAGCCCGAACCAGCTCTGCCCGCCGACCCCTTCGACCCTTGGGTCCATCCGGTCGAAGCCTTCATCCGGATGGCCCGCGACGAGCCCGATGCCCTCTGCATCAACACCTACGAGAGCGGCGAGTCTGTGCGCTACTCATACCGCGATGTGTGGAAACATGCATACTCAATCGCCCAGGCTCTCAAGGCGCTTCCTGGCTGGAACGACGACGGCCACGATGCCGTCGGCACCTTCTGCGAAGGCGAGGCGCACTGGGTGTTCTTCTCGCTCGCCGTGTGGATGCTGGGCAAGTGAGTATCGGCCCAGATGCTGTGATTCGATCTGTCTGTTGCATGGTCCTGGCTGTGGATGTCGCTGCCACCAGTCCAGGGTCAGAAGGATTGGCTGTGGAATGTGCTGTGAGTGAGTCTCCCTCCAGGGATGACAGGCAACAGCCGCAGTTGACTCACCCACGTATCCACCGACAGGAAAACCCTCAACTTTGGTCTCAACTGGCCATCGGCTGTCCGCAAGGCCATCTGTGCGAGGTATAGCATCAGCAGCGATGAGTCAAGGAGGCAGTCCGATTGTGGATGGAGTCGACAGAGTGGGAGACTGACCCACGATCGACAAAGCCGGGACTGACGCACTCTCGATCACCATGGCACCCAACAGACACTCGGTCAAGTACATCCTTCACCACTACACCAAGCCTGGAAGGACGGAAGGAGTGACGTTGGTGGACGGTGGCACTTTCCCGATACACAGCGAGGTCCCTGCTCCATCGCTCGAACTCTGCGAGCCACTCGATGATATCGTGGCAATCCAGTGTACCTCGGGAACAACTGGTACGTGGAATAGTCGGGAAGAACGGCAGAGCATGATGTCGGATGGTGGACAGCTTGGGGCGTAACATGAAACAAGAGGCTGTGCTGACGATGCATGTGCAATCCATAACTCTGCTTCCTGCATCCCGTCGCTCATACAGGCATCCCCAAATCGTGAGTTATCCTGTGGATTCTATCCTGTGTCGCACCTGATGCTTTCTCACATTCCCAAAGTGATCACATCACCACTCGTTGACTGAATCCATTTGTGTTTGATGTTGATGGTTGCAGTTTCAAGTTTGCACACACCGGAGCCACCACTGGTCGAGTCGCTCTCAGAATGCTGAAGAGTAGCGTCGGGCTTTTGCAGGTGAGAATACAGCACTCAGAACATTACATTGTTGAATATCCATGATTGGAAATACTGACGTTCGGGGATCTTAGGCTCCATCGTTTGCGGCAACATTGAGCATAGTTCTAGGTGCTCTAAATCTGGGTGGATCTCTGTGGATTCCTGGGCCCACAATCAATGCCGTTCATAAGGCAAAGGGGATTACAGAATCACTTAATGATGGAGTCAACTATGTATTTATGGTAGGAGAACGGCCAGTGGGCTTGCCGAAACTCAGGTTGCGCAATCGTTAATGACAGCCATCTCCCCACAGGCCCCATCACTGATGAAGATGGTCTTCAACACTGCCAAATCCCGGAACCCGAACGCCAAATGGATGGAAGCGAAGCGTGTTGCATTAGGCTCCGAAATTGTTCCAATGAGTGTCCTTCACCGCACAAGGATATACTTTCCAAATGCACATCTTATATCTGGATATGGATCGAGTGAGGTACCGTTTTTACTTGTCTCATTGTATCATCACTCAGTTGGGCGATCACTTAACATAATCATTTATCAGACTGGAGCTGTTGGATCACTTTCATATGTGCATATTCCGGCCAACATCCCCATCCCAGAGAAGTTGGTCTACAAGCTGGCCAAGCCTGGGGTGCGCTGCCTCTTGTTTGACGAGGAGGGCAATATCGTTGATCAAAATGTCTCCAAGAGTGGAATACTGGTCTTTGCCGTCGATCCTGACCATCCTGTCCGCAACCACCCCGACTTTGTCAACGCCGATCCCAACGACAGACTGGCCTCCTTTGGCTTCCTCAGCGACGGTTCGCCCCGAGTCTGCACCATGGACTGGGTCGAGATGGTCAGCGAGAACGAGTTTACGGTCGTTGGAAGGTGAGTGCGATATCCCTGTGTCCACCGAGTGGTCTGTGCCCTCCTTCCACTGGTCCTCCACCAATCCATCCCATACTCTTCATTCTCACACCTCACACCTCACACACCCAGATTCGACCAGAAGATCAAGGTCAACGGCGTCTATGTCGACCTGAACCATCTCGAGGCCCTGGTCGTCCAGCACCTGAGCCACACCATCGCCGACTGTGCGTTTGTCCAGACCTCCGAGAAGAAGATCGTGATGCTGTATGTTCTCCAGGCCCGCCCCACGACCCGCACCGAGCCCAGCGACATCATCCGGATGACCCAGGATCTGCTTGCACTCGTCAACGTCTCCAAGGTGCCGATCCACAACTGCTTCCAGCTCGACGAGATCCCCATGATCGAGAATGGCAAGCGCGACCTCAAGAAGATCAAGTGGATCGCCGAGAACAACGATCTGCACCAAGGATCCGTTGTGTATCCCCGTCTCGCCCCCAGCGAGGCCCCGCTGTTTTGCATCGCGGCTGCAATCTCCAGCCTCGGCAGCCAGCTCCTCGGGATTCCCTCTCTCGACGGCCGCAACTACAGCATCAGCGGGGCTGGGTTTGACTCGCTGAGTGTCGGCCGCCTAGCCCTCGCAATCAAGGAAGAGTACGATGTCGAGATCTCGCCGATGATGCTGCTCTCGAACGGCCTGACGCCCCTCGATGTCGCCCAGCTGGTGATTGATCTCCAAGGCAACCACCCGCTGATGCCGCCGACAGTCGACCTCGACCAGGAGGCCGCCCGGCTCGACGATGCGAGTGTGACGGCCGAGGGTCTCCCTCCACTTGTCTTTCCCGAGTCGCCTCGCGGCATCGTCCTGACGGGGGCCACTGGCTTCCTCGGATCGTTCCTGCTGTACGAGCTGGCTGCCAAGTACCCTGCTGCCAGGATCTACTGTCTGGTCCGAGCCGCGAGCGACCAGGCTGCCATCGACCGCATCTTTGAGACAGCCAGGAAGCTGATCCTCAACCCGCAGCAGACGCACTACCTCGTGAACAATGTCAAGCCGCGACTCGTTGGTGTCTGCGGCGATCTGTCGCTCGACCAGTGGGGACTGACCAACAAGCGATGGAAGAAGATCAGCAAGGAGACCGACATGGTTGTGCACTGCGGCGCCGAGGTGCACTGGCTCGACGACTATGAGGCGCTCAAGGGGCCGAATGTCCTGGGCACGGCGACGGCCCTGCGGCTGGCCACGACCCACCACCTGAAGCCGCTGCACTTCATCTCGGCGGTCGGGGCGATTCCCATGGCACGGGGTGCAAGGACGCCGCTCGAGGAGAGAGTGTATTCCAACTGGAACGTCTCTGGCGGGTATGCACAGACCAAGTGGGTCTCTGAGCAGCTGATCAACAAGGCACGATCGAGGGGAGTGCCTGCAACCATCATCCGACCATCGCTGATTGCAAGCGACAGTGTCTATGGAAGTGACTCGCTGGATGTGATATGGCAATGTGGTGTGGTGGTGTGGTGGTGGTGGTGGAGGTGCAGCAGTTCATCTCAGCTCACTCTCACTCTCACTCTCACTCTCACTCTCTCAGTGTGCCACTCAGACGACTACATCTGGCAGTACATCAAGGGGTGCATCCGCATCGGAATCGCTCCCTCCAATGCCACCCCCGTGACCATCACCATGAATCCAGTCGACCATGTCGCCAAGGTGGTCGCTGCAATCGCTGCCTCCGAGGTGGCCCTGCCCAAGTTTGTGTTCCACATCAGCGACCCAGAGTGCAGGTGAGATGAGCGAGCCGAGTGGCAAGCAGACAGGGAGAGCAGCAGGATGAGTGCCATTCCTCGGCAGTCACTCACTCACCCACACCACCATCCCACACATCCTGTCCCTCGGCCCACCTCGCAGCGTCGTCACCGAGACCAAACTGTTCGAGATCGTCAATGCCTATGGCTGGCCCGTCATGTTCGAGACCCGCGAGCGATTCAAGGCCCTGCTTTACCGACCGTCGCTGCCCAACGGCTCGTCGATGCTGACGCTCATGCATCTGATCCTGAGCATGTCCTTCCTGGTCGACAACACCAACACCCGGTCGATCTATCCGGCCCTCGGTTCCCAGGCCGGGAGGATCGCCGGGCGAGGGCTGTTGTACTTGACCCACATCGGGTATCTGCCACCTCCTCCGAACCCTCCGTCGCCGCTGAGACCCGAGGAGCACCCGCGGCCCAACATCTTCCGTCCCGACACCCACAACTAGCTCGGTGGTGGAGGTCACTGCATGTTTGGCAGTGCCATTCATGGTGCATCCCATGCACAGCCATGGCCCTCCACTTGCACGGTGCTTCACATCTCCCTGACACACATTCCTGATCTATCGCTTCGGAGTCAGTGCACGACATCCAGTGCTTGCCGATGTGTCCCACTCTCACCCCGTCCACATACCCCGATGTCGCCCCAGTCACCCTGTCGGCAATTGACTGTCTGTCTTGGTCAATATCACAACCATCTTGGATTCTCCATGCGACTCCTCCGTCTGGTGCGAGTACTTGTGGACAGCGACAGGACTGCTCATGCAACAGAGTGATCGAATTGGAGTGTAGATCACCTGAACTTGATAGTCGCTCTGGGCTGGCACGCTCTGGATGTGGAGTCACTCGAGACGACTGAAATCCCGCAGATTGTCCGCCAGCGAAGTCATGCGATGCAGGAAGGACTGGATGCCGACAGCGCAATCCACCACCATCTTCATCACCATCCACTACACACCACACACCACACACCACACACCACACACCACACACCACACACCACACACCACACACCACACACCACACACCACACACCACACACCACACACCACACACCACACACCACACACATCTCAATGTTGGATCAATCGTGTTCAGTGTCTGGCAGTCCAACAAGACTCGGCCGCAGAACGGAAGGGCAACGAGACGACACTGAACGGTCCGTGCTCACGATCCTGCAAGTGTCGACCATGTATACGCCATCAATATATTCTGTTCTGCCTGGCGAACGCTGTAAGCCACTCAAATATGTGCGACATTTTCTGGAACAACTCTGGTGGTCAAAGCATCTCTTTAATGAGCTGTATATCTCTATAGGAATCCCAAGATGTGGAAAGATGAGCAGAAGATCGATGAATTCGCACGCACACGCACACACAAGATAGAATCGCGCTCTGTTTGTTCACGAAATGCCCAACCCGCCTCCAGGATGACTGCAACGCGATGGGAATCGGAGCGCTTATACGCTGTCGATTGATCAGGAATCAGCTTCGAGAATTGAAGGCGGGATGTCAACGTTGTCGACGCGCACTTCCATGTCGTTCTGCATGAGGTGCGACTCGTCGTCGGGCGGCAGGCCCAGGCTCGCACGCTCGAGCAGCTCGAAGAGCACGCTGAAAAAGACCACCGACCGGTCGCGGGTGCGGGCCGTGAAGCGCAGCGGCTGCCCGTCCCAGTATTTGAATGCATTGAGCGAGAAGCCCGGTAGCTTGAGGCTCACCGTGTTGAAGTCAAAGTAGGCATCGTAAAAGTCCATGCAGTAGACCCGGTCAGTCTTGAGGGTGACGCCCTTCCGTTTGCTCTCGTCCGAAAAGTACTTTTTGCGTTTGTCATAGGACGACAAGGCGCCCGAGGCGGTGCTTGTGTCGAGCAGCAGCGCAGTCTCCTCCGGGACCATGCGGTCATGGAACGACCACTGCCCGATGTCTTCTGAAGGCTTGCGGCTCTCGCTTGCATAGTACACGTCCTTTTTGTTTCCGGCCGACGGGGACCTTCTGTGTGCTGCCCCAGGTTGAGAAACCAAAGTGCTGGCGAGCGCCGAAGTGAGGGCTGGAATCGAGTCTGTCGATGGCGCTGCAGACGTGGCGCTCTTGGATTTGCTCAGCTTGTCGTTGCTGTTGGCTGCACGGCCGTTTGCCAGCATCTCGTGGCTGGGCAAGTAGATGGCGAGTGCGTTCATGGCTGTGATCAGAGGTGAGGCGATCCAGGGCTTGTCGCAGTACAGATCAGCCCCAAGCGATGGATCCAGCCACTTGGCAATCTTAATGCCGATGCTGGCGCCCGTGGGCACTCGGCACTTGGAGTCCACGTCCAAGCTGAAGACCACGTCGTCGCCACTCCATTCCTTTTTCCATCGCCCCTGGACCATGATCGAATATCTTCGATTCCGGCCCTTGAAGTAGTTACTGGCAGGGTTTGGTATCAGGCCGGCATCGGACGGTGTTACGCCCGCAAAATTGAGGACGCGGACGACGACGTATCCAACAAAGTGCTCCGAATCGATCAGGATAGGGCTCAGCTCGTCGTTGGGGTTGACAATCAGCATCGTCGTGGGGTCGACGGAGGCGCCGGCCTTGATGCGCAAGATATAGTCGGCAGCGGTCTTTGTGGCCATTTGAGATAGTGGTAGAGTGCACTGGAGGGAACAGGGGGCGGACTTTGGTGCTTCCAGAGAGCACTTGGTTGACATATAGTGGGGACGGGAGATCTGCAGTCAGCTTGGGTGCACCTCAACGCTACCCAAAGATCCGGGCATGAGCACAGCAGGCAAGCCCAACCAGATGCGGATCAAGATTCGGGGGAGAGGGATCACCCGAGTTGCTTCTGCGTCCGCGCTCGAGTAGCGGGTCAAGCGATCCAGCACCGAGCAATATGCGCATGCGTACCGGCTGCAGTAGCTGGGTCCAGACAATTGAAGCGGCTTTATCGCGAGGGCTGATCCACCACTGCTCAGCAAACGGAGCAGATCCAAGACGATTCGAGATCGGCAAATGCGGATACTAAAGGAGGGATCGGGCTGATCCGGGAGTGGTGCTGACGTTTGGCGCCAGGGCGGCAAGCGGAAATGGGATGTAGTGAGTCCAAAGCAGCTCGCTCCAAGGGACCTTGCCTTGTCGCTCTGGGCGGGTCGACGAGAGCAGCATTCCCGGGCAAGAGCGATCCATTTGCTGTATTGTCGACCCATGCGAGACACAGCAGCCAGCGGCCGGGACGGAGCAACAAGAGCCGCCGTGGCGACCGAGGCCAGCCCCAAGAATCAATGCGACAGCACTTCCGTTCTCTTCCGTCCAGGCGCCTGCTGCATCGGGAAGCGACCGATCAGGAAGCCAGGGCAGTGGACGGGTGGGAACGCTGCTCGATGTCGCAGGAGTGCAGGAAGGGCGAGAGACAATACCTGGAATGCAGCACAGGGCAGAACAGACAGACTCTGAATGCTGCAGACGAGCCGGTTGCGATGGTTGGATGTCGGCGATGAAGGAGAGCTCGCAGAGCCGGGCCGATCGCTGGTTTTGGGCCGCCCCAGCGGGCCCGGAGTGCTTTTGTCGAGTCGACACCCTGGTCGTGCTGCATTTCCCCACAGAGCCTGTTGCGCCGGTGCTGATTGGGGGAGTTCGACAGAGAAGACTGCAGAAAAGCCATCCACATGATCAGCACGTGGATGGGCGTGTGTGTGTGGCGTGTGTGTGTGTGTGTGTGGTGTTTCCCACACCCCAATGCTCACCGCCAGCGCATGTGTGTATATTCAGGATCAGAAGCGGCGTCTGATGACCACCCCCCTCGCCGCAGATCAGGAATCTTCCTCGTCCAGCATTCCAAAGCTCTTGGTAAACACCTCCTTCGATGACTTGTACAGGCCCGACAGCGAATGTGTGCCTATCCGGATGCTGTTGACGCTCCGCTTGAAGATCGATGCGGACCGGTTCCGATCACGGACGGCACTCTCGGCCTCGACTTTCTTCTTGGCTTCGTTTTCCTTCCGCTGCGCGATGGTCGTACGGATGTGCTCGGCGACGATCTCGTTCTGCCGCAAGACCTCATTGAAGTCTTCCTTGGTCAGAACGCAGAGCTCGACGTCTCCCATCGCCTTGGCCGATGCCGTTCGTTTGCAGTCTGGCCGATTGGTTCACCGTCGCCGGTCGGGTGTATTCGTGGCCGCAAAGGCAGCGAGGAGGGGTCCGACAGTCACAGACAAAATCCCCGCATAGGACGGCCATGTTGTAGGGGGGGAGAATCGATGCAGCGCAGCGTCAGTAGCGGCGAACGGAGGATTGCATCGGTAAAGGAGGGAAAAGTGCTCCTTCAGAACCAGCCACAGATCTCCACGGTTCAAAGATGGGCGACTTTTCGAGCGACTCCGTTTTCAGTGTCCCTGCGGCGGAAGCGGCTGCGGCGTGTATCCCTGGACCCTGGCGACAGGTCTGGGGATCCGCACCAGCCGCTGCCTCCTTTCGTCTTCGTGGTCCAGTCTCGCCTTCATCCCCCCGTACTTCAGTCCAAGCCACGCCGACTGCGGGAGTAGCAAGATCCACCTCTCCAAGTCCTCACCTTCGAATAGGGCGATCTCGCCAAAGAAGCTGCCGGCGTTTAGTGTACAGAATATCTGACCGGTATCACCGACGATTTGAACTCGCCCCTTCTTGATAAAATACATTTCGTTGCCGTCGTCTCCCTTCCTGAACACAAACCAGTTATCCAGTACAAGCAAGGGCTGTCGAGAGAGCCAGTTTGGGTCAGAACAGATGCGCCGATCAGCAGCAAGCACGACTCGAATCCATATCGCCACTCCTACGAGGGAGCGAGGAGCAGTGAGGCAGCAATCGGACTCGCAGGCCTTGCGAGTGAGCGGCTGATACAAAGGCGGAAACGCTGCCTTTGGTGCTTGTCGTTCCTGCACTCTGCTTCACCCAGGCGCCTTGAATCATCTCGAAGTGGCGGGGGCAATCACAGGCATCCTCTGGGCTTCCTCATGACCGTATTCTTTCGATCTCTAGTGCGTCCTCGCTGATCAACCGTCCCAGTGTTGCTTGGGTGCTCGTGTGGCCTCACCTTCATTTTGAACGTCACCGAGTTTTTGAATTGCATGTCGGTTTCCTGGAATATCGGTACGCTCTGCACCAGATCCAGATACAGAAAATTCTTGATCTCTTGTTGAACGGACTTTGGAATATCGTCAAACAAATGTGCCTCGTCCATGCCCTGGCTTCTTCGCCACTGCAGCGCCTTGTGAGCTGTCACCATCTGGATCCGCGAGAAAGATCCTTCGTTATTCACCGCCGTGGCGCAAGTCGAGTTGGCCATTCATTGCGAGCGATTGGGAGCGATTGCGCGCAGTTTCATTCAGCCCACGCGGTTCCACAGTGAATCCGTTCACTTCTCGCCGACAATCGCGAACACCTTGTGACGGACCACTCTGCACGACCCTCAAGCGGCCAAGCTACCTTCTGAATGTCCGGAAGCAATCCTTTCTCGCGCATGTACTTTCGCAGCCATGCCATCTCAAATTTGTGGCGCTCCTCTGGGATCAGTGGAGACAGAGGATCCCGAGTCAGCGGGACAAGCAGGGCGCATGGCTCGGATTGAAACCAACGCAGAAGGATGGGAATACGATACAGCCGACTGATTGCCGTTTTGCTGGAGGATGTTCATCCGCCGGAGCATGCTCATCGATTCGATTCGATTCGATTTGATATCCCCACTGTTGTCGATATGCCCTTCGTCCGCCACCACTGCTCAAGAGAGCACAGCAATGCAAACGAATGCGCAACAGATACGCACCTGCTTTGGTCGACGCTGCTGTGTGGTCAAGCATCTCGACAATACTGTGTATGTTTCCAAAGACAGTTCCATAGGCCAGGATCCCAGCTACGAACTCAAATATCACATAAATGTTCTCGGTGTCCAGCTCTGTGTCGCGCAGCTTGAGCACGAGCGATCTGAGCGCCGATAGGTACGAAGTGAGGTACTGGGTCGATTGTGGCACGATATTTCCGTTGGTGTCGAACAGTAGGTTGTTTCGATCGATCCAGCGGTTGCCGGGAATCAATAGATTGTCGATCGTCCAGAATAGACACCCGTCGATGTGGCCCATGATCATGAGGATAACCATGGTTTTGACCAGTCGCGTTATCGGCTGTGAGAGCCCGCGAATCGGATATTGCATCAGAGTCTGGCGTCAGTTCATGAAGAGCGTTTGTGCCGGTCGTAACTCTCCGTCAGATAACAAGGGCACGATGGAGCTGGAGGGCTACGAAAGAACAAAACGAAAACACCCTCGGCCCAGAATTACTCCACCGCCACGCCCAGTCGTTCGGTCAACTTGGATTCCATAAATGAGGTGTGGACAAAGTGATGCTAAGAGACACGGGTACGGGCTTGGGAGCGTCTCAAGACGAGCGATCCGAACCGGCCCCGCGACCACGGCGCTGTCCCGCATCAACATCAGTTACCATCGGAAAGTGTCCAAGATGCAGGCTTAGGAGTCGACGGAACGGCGTCCGTATCATGTTTTTGACAAACCGAAGTAATGCCCATACTTGCAGGGCTGCTGAGCTGCAGTCGCGTGGGAGAAAGGGCAAGAGAGTGTGCGAGAGAAACGAGTAGATGGGTTGGTCTGAAGCCATGTCCTTGCATCGCATGCTCCTTGCCTCCACCGACAGGTTGCTTCGTTCGTGCTCGCTCAAGAGAATCGATCAACCGCGACTTTACGGTTCGTGATCCGCGGACTACGAACCGACGACGCCCAGAGCAAGCACAGAACAAGATTATGCGGCGACTTTGGAATCGCCAGCAGAGCCGACGGGCATCGAGCGGCACAAGGCTCCCAGCGCACGTATACCTGTTTGGGTTCCCTGCCCACGGGAAGAAGCCAAATGGGATGAAGGGAATCAAATCGAACGGAATGCATCCGATTGCATCAATCCATCCCAAGCGCTTGATAAAATAATTCCGTCGGAGCTCGTTTGGGGAGGTGATGAGGACGCCGTAATCGTTCTTGAAGGTGACGCGCGACTGCACCAGGCAATCCATCATCATGATGCAGTCGATGCCCAGGAAAAAGTAGATGATCTGGAGAATGTTGGATCCGACTGGCCAGGCTAAGTAAACGGGTATGGTTATGATGTTGAAGAGGTGGATGAGGTTGATGCCGTATGCCCACCACAGGACAGCTACGCTGTTCATTGGAATGATGAACTGGAACGGATGCCGCGGCAGTTTGCTGGTGTCGATTTGCATGTCTATGGCGTTTTGCAGATGCGCCTGAGCTTCCTTTGCCGGATCAAGTTTCTCTCGTTTCAGCGAGCCAGGGTTGCTGCCGTCGCCCGGACTCGTGCTGCTTGACTGTTGCGGCCGCCAAGCCGAGCTTCGTACGGACGGCCGTTGAACGAACCCGGCCTCCTCGTCGCCTTTCATGTTTGAAGGAACAAAGTTCATCGCGACGAGACCCAGGCGTTCGCGTCAGCAGCGGGATGTGGATATCAAGGAGGGGGTGGGTGGGAGAGTAAGACGGCAATGCGCCCAGCGGCTGTGATGCTGCGACCGTGAGAAGACTAAGATCGGAGAATATGTAGGGCAAGAGGGGATCCGCGCCAGCCACAGTGGGTTTCTCGAACAGATGGGTTGAATATGTATTGGCGATCTTGGAGGATCGATCCAGCTTCGACTCCAGCCTGCTGAAAAGCTCAAGTGGTCTATTGAGGCCGAGTAATCGATCGTCTTCTGGCATCTCTGCCAGCACACCACTGCGTGATTGAGCACTGGAGAGTATGTTTGGCCAGGCCAGCAAACCTGCAGCGACACAGATGAGGTCAGTCGGCACGGATGGGAAGCAGCCGGCAGTGATCCTATTGGCTCTGCGGGCCTGTTTCAACGGGATACTTCAATAAGCAGATGGCTTGTATGTGGGCTGAATGAGTGTTGATCGGCCGCTGGGCTGAACGGCATTGATCGGCACTCGCACCATCGCGATGCACTCGACCGACAAGGTGTCGACCGCAGAGATATCGAAGGCTTGGATTGACCCCATGGGACAGACAACTCAGGGAGACGCCTGACTCACTTGGCTGTTCTTGGCTGAGCACGATACGATCCAACTACGTCGTGTTTTGGCCGAAAGAAATGGTATGCCCCATTGTTCTTCGGCCCGTTGCAGCCGATGGATCGCACGATTGACGACCTCATTCGTGACACTCTGATTCAAGACACCCCGGTCCAAAGCGAGATGGGACACCCAGACACCATGGCTGCATCGATAGCGCGATAACGAGCTGTGATGCACCGAATGAACTGATATACCGGATGAACTGCGATGCATCGAATGCATCCACTGCTGAATGGGCAAGCCCTGATAGATCCCATGCAGGTCACCCTTCCTCTGATGGAGCTGCTCGAAATGCCTGAGGAGCCTCGGATGACGGAACTGGAGCGTCTCGTTTCAAAACGGGTGCACAGTATATTTCGACATCGATACCGTCATCATTGTTATCATCATCATCATCTTTGCGCGCATGTGTGATCCCTAAGGGCCGGGGGTTGGGCATCACAACACCAGATATGATACAAGGCCCACGCTGGCGGCGGCAGTGGTGGCAGGGGAGCCTCATGAGCACGATATGCTATTGCTTGGTCATAGATCTCGACTTGGGTGGCGCCAGATGCAGACTAGGCCTCGACGTTGATTTCATAGGTTGCTCCGGTGCGCTTGGTGGTAGCTGCCTGGGTGGCAAACTGGTTGGGGACGATCATGACGGGACACTCGGCTCGGTGGAGAACATGGCTCGTGACGCTTCCTATACGGACAGCAGACAAAGAGTATTAGCACACTCGACGCTGCACTAATGGTGCACTCAGGACACATGGCTTGAAGCGGCAACGAGACAGCAACAGGGTGACTTACCCAGACACGGCCGAGCACCCTTTCCGTGGCTGCCCATGACAATCAATCGAGGAGACAGCTCGTTGGCCTCGATCATGATGACACCGCGGGGCTCGCCATAGGCAACCGAGACGCTGACGCTGTTGGCAATGCTGCGAGTCTTGAGGATAGTCGTGGCCATGGCCTTGAGCTTCTCGGCGATCTGTTCCAAAGCACGCAGGCATTTGTGAGAGACAGGTCATCGCATCTCATTGACAATCAGAGTTCGAGTCCGGCTCACAGGGCGGGGCTGGTGCCTACCTCTTGGAGTTCAGATTGCTCGTAGGTGTCGTCGACGGAGGACTCTATCGAGTTCAGAAACAGAGGATCGGGCACACGTTAGTGGACTGAGGACAGCTTGGGCAGGTGTGAGTAGTAGCGATGTGCCACTATGGACACAGTTTGCAGGTTCGGACAGGTATCTCTGATCCGAAAGCCAGCACCGACAGCGCCCCGAGCAGCACGACGCCCAGAAACAGAGGCCGATTGTCGCGGGAGGATCACTTACCGAGGCTGTGTTGGGCGACATGCAGCACCACGACCTTGTCGGTGGGGGCAATCAGATTGTCCAGACAGTAGGCGAGAACGGCCTGGGAGTGAGCCGAAGTCGAGTCGAGGGGAACGAGGACGACGTTGCTTTCGACAGCCATGATGGAAGGGTTTGGAACGCAGAAAGGGCGAGGACGCAGAGGTGGAGGCAGATGTTATTGAAGTCGCTTGACTGACGAGTGATACGGATAGGCGAGGCCTGCGGTTTTATATCTGCGGGGCACCGCGAACCCCCTCGCTGCTGCTCATGATGATGCAGGATGATGCGAGATGAGGCAGCGGCGAGCACCCGAGAAGACGGGCGCCTTCGCTCCGTGGGGACGGGTGCTCGATCTCGCCCAACAGGAGCGAGCCGGCGCCACGGATGGACATGTGGGGGGGGTCGTTGCTGTTTCTGCCTCGATTGTGCTGTGTCTCTCGGGATGCCCATGCGATGCAGTGCCGCTCTTGGGCTCGCCGGGTGCGCTGTGGTGCTTGGGCTGTCCATTCGGTGAATGCGCTGGGCGAGACCTCTTGCCAGCTCCTTCGATTCGCGTCCAAGCACGCGCCCCCATGTTCCTCCAGCCCCGGCCAATCGCAGCGCTCATGGAGCGCACGCGCCGGCTGCCCGGTGGCGCTGCAGACACGTGGGTGTGGCAGGGCTCGTGGCCGGCCGCACTCTGGCCTCTGGCTCGATCCGGCGGCTCCTGCCCTGTATGGGCAAATGGTGTGGCTGCAACCGACTGCTCCGCTCCGCAAGGGACAATCCAGCCCGCCCAGCTTCCCCCAGTCAGTCAATAGGTGGCCCAGCTTCCCCCAGTAGCAGCAGCAACTGATCGACCAAGCTGCCCGCACCGACAGCACCCATGCCCAAAAAAACCAAGCAGGAGCGACCTGCAAAGGTCTCCACCGAAGATCTCGATAGCCACGAGATCGACCTCTATGCCGAGTTTGGTCTGACCAAGGAGGCCACCCCTGATCAGATCAAGCGCGCATACTACAAGCTTGCACTCACCCATCACCCGGACAAGGCCAGGCCCGGCGACGCCCAGGCCGAAGAAGAAGTAAAGGAGCGCTTCCAGGAGATCTCGAAATGGTACGGCATCCTCTCCGACCCGGTCAAGCGCAAGCGCTACGATGCCACGGGCATCATCAGCGATAAGGACTTCAACCTCGAGGACGTGGCCGACTGGGACGCTTATTTCCGCAATTTGTGGGGCGGCAAGGTCACAGAAGAGGCAATCGACGAGTTTGCCGCAAAGTACAAAGGTGGGGGAGCTCGACAATTCCGCCGTACTGCGCTGGATACTGGTCGATGGTGCTTGGGCATCTGCGAGAGAGCAACCGCATCGGGCCCGGATCATGGCATCTCCATCTGTCGCGGCTTGCACAGCCAAAGCGGCATGCCGACGCTGTCTGCAGAGGTGCTGGACGCTATTGGCTGATTGCAGCAGCTAGCGGGCATTGACACCACAGCTGTTTTGCGTGCATCTGCCCCAGGCTCCAGCGAAGAGCAGGCCGATATCATCAAGGCCTATACCAAGTGCAAGGGCGACATGAACTCGATCTTGAACGAGGTTCCGCTCATTTCTGTGGACGACGAGGAGCGTGTTGAGCAGCTTCTCCGAGAGTTGATTGACACCAAGGAAATCAAAGAATTCAAAAAGTTCAAGGAGACCACGACCATGGAGCAGAAGGAGCAGCGGCGCCAGGAGGCCATCGACGAGGCCGAGGAGGCCGAGAAAGAGAGCCTCGCGGCCAAAGCCAAGGGCAAGGCCAAGTCGTCCAAAGGCAAAAACGGACCCGACGACTCGAAGGAAAACTCACTTGCCCAGCTGCTAAGCAACCGGGCCAAGCAGCGCCATGAGAGCCTGATCGATGGACTCATGAACAAGTACGTCAACAAGCCCAGTAAGAAGGCAGCGCAGCCCGCCAAGACGAGTAAAGCCAGCAAGAAAGGCGCCCACAGCGAGGATGGCGACGATTGGATCGATGAGGATGGCGATGGCGACGACGGCTGGATCGACCACGACGGAGATGGCGACGAGGACTCGGGCGAGCCTGTTGCCGAGCCGACCGAGGAAGAGTTTGAGGCGATCCAAAAACGCATTCTGAAGCGCAAGCCAAGCGCAAGCGATACCAAGAAGAGCAAGAAGAAGCCGATCTGAGCCTGGGCTGTTGGCACCACATGGCAATGCAGTACATGGCAATGCAGTACATGGCAATGCAGCACATGGCAATGCAGTACATGGCAATGCAGTGCTCGCGGATTGGAGCAAGACACTCTGCGTTGGTCTGATCCTGAATACATCCGCGCCGGCCTGATGTGCCCAATACCCCTGGCAAGTGCAGTGCGCTTGATATCTTTGGCAAATCCAATCCGCCATGAACGGCATCGCCCAGACAACACCGCCTCGACCAAAATAGAGTTGATACCCCACGCGAGTCGACTTGTCCGAGGTCGGTCAATCGATAGCCAGCACCCACCGTCTCCGTTCCCTGCGCATCGTCCAACTCTGCACAATGGTGGACTCCTCTTGACCCCCAGAGCTTTGTCGATGCTGGCCCCACTCGTCGGCCGGCCAGCGGCAGCCTCCTCGTCAACATCGTCCGGGCTGGCGCTGTTGACACCAACGCCGACCTATCGCCGCTCCCAGACGCCCGCCAGTCGCAGCGGCGACTCTCCCCGTGCATCGTCGTCAGTTGCCCATGGCCCCTTTTGCGCCAAACGGTCGGTGGTGTTCCTCCTTGCAGCCGTGGGCGTCGCTGTCGGCCTGAGGCTGCGGTCCGTTCTTGGGCGGCTGTTGTTTTGGGTCCTCGGGGCTCGTGTTGATCGTCTTCGGCCGTCAACAGCCCGTGCTGCCCTTGCCGTGCGCCGCAGTGTTTCTGCCTCGATGCACCCACCCAGGGCCCCTCGCTCTTCATGCCGACACAAACACCATCTACGGGTGGCACGGCGCTCTTCGGCGACCAGTCCCTCTTGCTGGTGCTGTTGCTCACGGCTTGCCTCCCGTCATGTGGCTGCCAGGCCTCGTTTGCAATCTGATCCCCCCCCCAAAAGGGTCTGGATGCAATAAAAGATAGGCAACAGCGCCGGGTCGTGCCCGCCCTCACGTCCTTCCCCACCCTTTCCCATCCCTTCCCACCACCCACCACAACCCATCTCAACCCATCTCGACCCAGACTATTCGATACCACAAATGGCTGATGATCTACCAGACTCCGGTCCAGCCACCCAGCACCCCATCCTCGACCTCGTCGATGCGGCCCGCGAGATTCCCGCCTTTCCCGCCTTCCGGACAGCCGAGCACGATGTGCCAGAAACCCTGACCTTCAAGCAGTTCTGGGATCTCTGTCAGGCAGTCGCTCAGTCCCTCAAGGCCCTCCCGGGCTGGGAAGCCACCGGCGACTTTGTCGGCATCTACGTCGACATCGACATCAACTGGCCCGTCGCCATCTACTCGCTGTGGATCCTCGGCAAGTCCCCCGCTGTCTTTGGCACCCATTGGTCGCGCCCGGTCCGTGAGGCCATCGTCGAGCGTCTCGATGTCAAGTTTGTTCTCCACGGAGCCGTCCGTCCCGGAGTGACCCCGGGCATTGCCCTCGTCAGCGTCCCAACGCTCCGCCAGCAGGCCACCGTCGTCCCCGTCCCTGCCGATCGAGCCTATTGTGCCGAGCGCCTCCCGACAATCGAGGCTGTTTGCCACACCTCTGGTACCACCGGCATTCCAAAGTCCATCTTCACGACCTTCTCCAAGCTCACTGTCGACATGGACTTGCTCCATGGACGCATCCTCAAGCCGTTTACCGTGGTGCTCGCTCCGACCTTTGGCACCAGCATGGCCATGGTGTCGTCCATGGCCAAGAATCGCTGCACCATGTGGTTGGCCAAGCCCACGGACGACATCTCCACCAAGATTGCGCGCATCGCCGGGATGCTCCGCGACGGCGTCAGTATGGTCCTTAGCTCCTCTTCGTACCTGCGGCTCCTGATTGCCTACGCCGAGGCTCATCGCGAGGTCTGGCCTAGCCTGGACAGCTACTATCTCACAGGCGAACTGGTGACGCCCGCCATGATTGAAGCCGCCAAAGGCGTCTTTCCCCACGCCGACATTCGTTGCATGTTTGCCTCGACCGAGTCGGCCTCGGTCGGCGCAATCAGCTCCATGTTCATCCCGGCGTCCATGCCACCACCCAAGCAGATCGTATACCGCCTGCTGAACCCACAATGCCACCTTGTGCTTCTGGACGACGATGGCAACGAGCTGCCTCCCGAGGCCAAGCGCGGAATCCTCTGCTTTGCCGTTCCCAGAGACGATCCCCGCGTCGACGGGCCCGAGTTCTTGGCCGTCACCCCGGACTCGCCCAAGCTGGCGTCCTTCAACTTTCTGCAGGATGGCCGTCCACGGGTCTGCACCTCAGATGCAGCCGAGATTGTCGACGAGCGCCACTTCATCATCCATGGCCGAGCCGGCCGCCGCCTCAAGCAGAATATGATCTTTGTTGACCTGGATGTTCTGGACGAAAAGATTGTCCTGGGAATGGGCGAGTATTTCAAGGACAGCTTCGTGACTTCGACTGCCAGTGGCCACGTTGCCTTGCTCTATGCTCTCAAGCCAGCCCACGTCGGCAGAATCAGCAGCAAGCAGGTCCTCGACGAGATTCACAAGATCCTCGCCTACAATGAGTTCTCGGGCGTCACGGTCCACAATGCCATCGAGCTGCCGGACATGATCTACAACGGCTCTGGCAAGCGCGACCTCAAGGTCCTGACCAAGATCGCCACCCAGGCCGAGACCGAGGGCCACTTTATCGAGTATCCTGTCCTCCCAACCGAGGGTGCGTACCTGGCCCGAAAGATATCCAGCCTGGCCTCGGAGCTGCTGGACATTCCCCGCCTGAACGGCCGCGACTTTTACTTTGCCGGCTCGGGCTTTGACATCACATCCGTCGCACGGCTCTCCGAGGGCATCGAATCCGAGTATGGGACCCACATCGATTCGGGGCTTTTGCTATCCAGCGGCATGTCCCCCAGCCGGGTGGCCGAGATCGTTGGCGCCCGCCCTTCTGTCGATGCTGCCCCTGATAGTGGCATTGCAGTCAACACTCCCGGCGGGCCGCTGTATTCCCCCGGTGCAAGTTCACCCGCAGCCGACGGCTACGGCTACGGCCACGGAAAGCCAGCCATTACTCCCGGCGACGGAGAGCCAGCAATCGCCCCGGTCGAAGGCGCCTCTCTTCCTGCAACCGCCACCAGCGCCGAGACCGTTAATGCAACCAGCGCCTCTAATCCCTCTGCAAGTAGCAGCTCCAAGAGGCTATCGTTCTTCAAGAGAAGACCATCTGCCGCCACCCAGCGCCATGGCATCAAGTGCTTGATCCAATAGGCATCTCGCACCTCCACATACTATCGCTATGGGTACCGGCAGATACACCTCGCTAACACCATCCGTATGCTGTGTCTCTCTGTCCGTCTGTCTGTCTGCTGTGTCCTACACTACGACCTGTATCCTTCTTGCGGCATATCTCTGAGCTTGTCTCGGCCTGTTGTCCCGCCCATCGCTATGACCATCTTCATTTGTCTGGTATTCGATCTTTTTTTCTTTCTTTCTTCCTCCTCATTGCCAATGCCAACAATCCTCATGCTATCCCGACGGACGCTTTGTTTCTGTTTGTGGAGGCCCCTCAATCCTTTGGCTGTTCTCCGTATCCTCATTCTGCCCTGCACACTTTCCTTATCGATCCAAGTTCGAAGCACCCCAAGCAAACCACGAACCTCGTTCTCAACAATTGATCAATACAATTCCACTTTTCTCTCTCTCTGCTTCTCTCGTGCTTTGCTGGAAACCAGCTTGATGGTCCTGGCTCGAGTTCGCTGCGGGGGAGTGCTGCGCGTTGGGTTGGTCCTGGCATCTCTGGCTCAATGATCCCGCTCGTCCTTGATCTGGCTGTCGCTTTCCCGCTGCCATCGGCCTCTCCTTCCTCGGCCATGTCGACACCTAAAAAATCCAAGGCATCCAAGAAATCGTCGGGTGACGGCAAGCAGCGGCCGACCCCGACCAAGACTCCGTCGGGCAAGTCGTCGCGGCAGCCCTCGGAGCACATCCCGGAGCCCATCGAGAAGCTGCCTCCGGTCCCGATCGAGCGATTCCTGGTCGAGCCAAGCACTGCTGTCCATGAAAATGCCCGACCACACCATTTGAGGGTCTATGTGCACGCCAGAGACATGGCCGCTCTTGGTCTAGCTGCTGGCCAGCTGGTGCAGCTCACCAAGGACGACCCGATCAAGGATGCAAAGAATGTAGGTGCGCTGCTTTGGCTCCACATCCGGAATCACCACCACCAACACCACCACCGTCGCAAATTGATGTCGATTGAGCATGTGGCGGGGTCGCTGGCTTACTCAATCTTGGCATATCCGTTGTTTCCAATCCCTTCAAGATCGTCGCCATCAGCTGGCCATCATCTGCACCAGCCCGAGGACGTAAGTCTGTCGTTCACACCGAGTCGCAAGGCTCGAGTTGTCCATCGTGGCTCAGCTTCAGCGAGCATGCCAGTACGCTCACACACCCATCCCCTCCGCCAAGCAGAGATCCAGATCGGTAATCTATTGCGCCAGAACGGCGGGCTGGAGCTGGGCTCCTATGCCACAATTGCTCCTTTCCTCGGCTCGATATGGCCGTGCGAGCGACTCTCGATCCAGCCCACGGCCGATATTGGCATCTCTTTGGACGAAGCCTTTCTCGTCTATGCCAAAGAAATCATGGGTAGGTGCTCTTGGATCCTGCATCCTGCATCGATGTCGGCTCCTCTCTGGTGGATGGCTGGGGCTTTGCCGGGAGCCTGGCTGGAGCTCTGTCGGTTCAGTGTCGATCTGCACGGATGGGTCGCAGCCGAGGAGCCAGTCGCTGCCAGATCGAATACGGAATGCAGCTCGGCTTTGAACCCAGCATCGCTGACATACATGGCGGTTCGGGTGGGGCTTGAAATCCATCTCTCCAGTCGATCTGAAGTATATCCAAGACGAAACTCTGGTCGAGATCCTGTACTATGGGAAGCACCGACAGTTCCGAGTCCGAGTGCTCGGTCGGCCCCACAACCAACCCGAATCCGACATTGTCGTCTTTCACGTCGCTCGATCGACGACGCTCGTTCTGGTGCCCTTTTCACAGGTAGAATCAAACACCACCTGGGAATCAGGGCTGCTGCTGCCTGCTGATCTTTGCCTCCGTGACTTATGCCTTCGCCATACCGCCATGCAGCCGGTCAAAGCAGAAGACTCAAGCACCCGCATTTCATACGATACAATCGGTGGACTCTCGGACCAGATCAAGATTGTGCGGGAGATGGTAGAGGGCCCGCTGCACAGCCCTGAAAAGTACACCGCCATCGGTATGCCGTCTGGTCGAACACGGTTTGTGCCAATGGATGCTGCGACAGTCATTAGGGCCGCTTGTGGGGATTGCTGACTGGCTCGACTTTGTCTTTGCAGGGCTGAAACCTCCCCGAGGGCTTCTACTCTTTGGACCGCCTGGCACTGGTAAGACCAACCCCGGTACTTGCGATAGCGCCACTGTGTCGGTGTGGGTATGCCGGGGCTCGCGCTGGATGCATCGCCCAGCATGCGCGGATCTAATGCTTGCAAGTATATCACACCTCGCAGGAAAGACACTCATTGCCCGGGCCGTGGCTGCTGAAACAGGAGCACACTCTATCGTTGTGAACGGTCCAGAGATTATCAGCAAGTTTTATGGCGAAACCGAGGCCAAGGTAAGGGCCGGACGAGGGCTTGGTGCACTCCCATTAGCTGGTTCGCTGATCTATCACTGAGCGCTGATTTTGACCACTGATTCCTGACATTACCGATGGCCGACGCTGCATCTCGCCAATGACTGCTGGCATCGGTTGCTGCATGTCACTATCCTCAAACCTGCCGTGCAGCTGCGAGCAGTATTCGAAGAGGCTGTCGATCGCGCTCCCTCAATTGTCTTTATCGATGAGATCGATGCCCTGTGTCCCAATCGCGAGGAGGTCAGTGCAGCCCCTTCGCTGAAAGGTGCGCTAGTGCAATGGCATTGCTGCCGCGTCGGTGCTGACCAAAGTGCATCTCCTCCCTCTGCGCTCTGTATCGGACAGTCCTCCTCGGAGCTGGAGAAGCGCGTGGTTGGCACCATGCTGACCCTCATGGACGGAGCATCGACCTCAGCAGAAGGCGACCGCGTCGTAGTCATTGGGGCCACCAACCGGCCCAATGCTCTGGACTCTGCACTCAGACGACCCGGGCGCTTTGACCGCGAGATCGAAATCGGCATCCCAAATGCTCAACATCGCCACGAGATCCTGCAGGCTTTACTGCGACGCATCCCGCACGACCTAACCGATAATCAGCTCCGAGAAATCGCCGACGTGACCCACGGCTATGTTGGGGCCGATCTGGCGGCCGTCCTGAAGGAAGCCGGCCTCAAGGCTATCCAGCGAACTGTCCAGGATGGAGGCGGCCAAGGTACTATCGCGCATAGATGCAATGGCAAACAACACGGAGCACGAGTGGCGACAGAGGCATGCCTCTTTCTCGAACTGAGTCTGTGCGCTCCAACCTGCTTGCAGATCTACGCATTCGCTACGAAGAAGCAATGTCAGCGCTGGAGCTCGTGCGTCCAAGCACAATGCGAGAAGTAAGTCGCAGCTGCTGTGCTTGCCTCAGCCGCTTGGGGTATGGGCTCGCTCTGATTGACGCTTCCGGATATACCAGATCATGATTGAAGTACCCAAGGTCTACTGGACCGATATCGGGGGACAGGAAAGCGTCAAACAGCGACTCAAGGAGGCGATCGAGTGGCCACTTAAGGTTGGGACTGTGACCACACATGTGTGGTCAAGACAGAGCGCAGAAACAGCAAGTGTGCTCGCATGGCGCTGTCCTGGGCAGCGAGGAGGTGACCCGCTGACCGCCTCCCCTGTTGATGCAGCATCCACACGTGTTTGAGTACTATGGCATCAAGCCGCCCAAGGGCATTCTCTTGTATGGACCACCCGGCTGCAGCAAGACCTTGACAGCCAAGGCGCTGGCGACGGAAGCCAAGTTGAACTTTATCGCAGTCAAGGGCCCGGAGGTATGCTCACCGACAAGCCATCGATCGCTCTTGGAACTCACGCTGGTGCCCGCGACGACCACCATCTGCTCGGCTGACCGGCAGCGCGTCTTGTGTCTGTTGCAGCTCTTTAGCAAATGGGTTGGTGAATCTGAGAAGGCCGTGCAAGAGATCTTCAAAAAAGCGCGGGCAGCTTCGCCGTCCATAGTGTTCTTTGTAAGTATTTCTGGGCATCGCATGCTGCTGCGGTCCCTCGTACTCATGCGGCTTTGCTTGGCCTGGCCAGGATGAGATCGATGCGATTGGTGTCCGTCGCGGCGGAGAGGACTCGGTCGGCGATCGGGTGCTGTCGCAACTGCTTGGGGAAATGGACGGCATCGAGCCACTGGTCAATGTCACTGTCGTAGCTGCCACCAACCGGCCCGATATTCTGGTGAGTTGTAGAGTCGCGCGAATGCTGCAATGTCTATGCTGGATCTCGAGCTGGGACAAGGCTATCCAAAGTAGCTCCGCTCAGCAGCATGCACTCGGGTGCGGGCCTGAGCTGTATTGTCGCTGCGTGGGTGGTGCCTTGGGGCCAAACAGACTCGACGACTGACTGACGCTGAGGGACGCAACTCATGTGAATGATTGCCGGCATCCGATGCATGTATTTACTATGACAGGACAGTGCCCTGCTTCGACCTGGCCGCTTTGACCGCATTCTCTATGTGGCTCCGCCGGATCTTGCCACGAGGCGAGATATTTTCCGCATCCAGCTCCAGAAAATGCCCTGCGCTGCGGATGTCGATTTGGATGAGCTCGCACAGCTGGTAAGCCCGTAGCAACAGCCTCGGCGCTCGACGTTTATGCTGGCATCGATATCGGCACTGATATGGACGCCAGTGACCAAAGGACGTGATGGCACGTATTGGAGCCGGACTCGACGGTCCATGGCCGTGGCAGAGCTGCTGATGGCTGAATGTGGACCGCAATTATGCCTCTGGCCCCGCCTCTTCCAGACCCAAGGATTCTCGGGAGCCGAATGCGTCTCGGTGTGCCAGACGGCGGCCATGAAGGCCATGGAGGAAGACATTGGCGTTGATGCGGTAAGAGTTGCTGCTTTCAGGATACCAGCACACATGGATCGGACGGATGGGACCGCGAAGCTAACCTAGCCAAATCCTGCACGGTTTGCTTGCGTGATCGACACCCCATCGCCGTGGGAACGCAGGTCGGTCGCAAACACTTTGCAGATGCCGCTCGAGCGGTCACCCCCCGCATCACCCCGGAGATGCTGGCCTTCTATGACCAGTTCCGCAGCCGGTCGGGACTACGGAGCATCTGAGCAGCATCCGCAACAACACGCTGGATTTCTGGTGATCCCCATTCCAAATGTACAGCCATTCCAAATGGTATATTCCCTCCCATGTATATGTATCATCTACACATATCATCCACACATATCGTCCACACATATCATCCACACATATCATCCACCCGTACATCCACTCTCACACGTACATCCACTCTCACACGTACATCCACTCCCACACGTACATCCACTCCCACACGTACATCCACTCCCACACGTACATCCACTCCCATTCCCCTGCCATGCCCCATCTCGGCCGCACGACATGGCGCGCGTCCTCCTGTGCGACGCCCTGTGCCCGCCGCACCGGATATGGCAGACCCGCCTCGTGGCGAGCAACTCGCCATCCAGCGCTGGTCTGCCCCGCCCATCCAACGCTGGTCCCCTCGTCTATCCGCCGACCCGTCTCGTCCAGTCCGTGCGTAGGTCTGTATCTCTTGTTTCGGTCGTCGGCTGTCCCGCTTGGTTTGCTCCCGTACGTCTCGGCTCCCCCGTCTTCCAAGTTCTCAACTCCTCAACTCCCACCACGTCCCAGCCATGCCCGACCCGAAGCCCGACAATTTTGTCAGCCGCAACTTGCCGGCCACAATCTTCGCCAACGGATTTGCCTTTTGCTTCCCACACGGCCAGGAGTGGTGCCATCTCTGCTGCGTCGACCACCGTCTTACCAACAACGTCATTATGGAGGACGATCTGACACCCGAGCAGCACGAGGAGGTGCAGGACGGCGGTGGCGACGACAGGCCGTCCGTCTCCATCTACGGCAAGTTCCAGGTAAACATCCTCGATCCGCCCGTCTCCTCGGTGCCTGGCAGATATTCAAGTCCTGCCGGATGGTAGCCGTCGCATGCTGCCCGTCGCATGCTGCCCGACCTGGCCCCAGCCTTACCCGTCTGTCGATGTATTCTCTCGCTGCCTGCCGCTCGCCTTGGCCCCAAGGTCCTGCCCGACGACCGGATCTCGTGCACGATCCACGAGGTCGTGGGCTGCAAATTCTGCTTCGACTTTCCCAAGATTGTCCTCCGCAGCATCCAGAGCGAAAAGACCTGGGTCAGCAAGCGGTCCAGCTACCTGAGCAACTAGCATCGGGCTGTTCTTGGCTTGCTGTCCCGGCCGTCGCTGGGATCCTCCTCCTCCAACCACCACCACCACCACTCGTCCTGCAATTTCTCTCCGTTCTCCGAGCTCCAGACGCCTGGTCGCTGCGGGCTAGGGTCAATGTGGCCATGTCCCCGTCCAGGCCAGGGTGCCCTGTATACTGTCCTGTGCATGGCCGTGTTCGTCTGCCTGATTTTCGCCCAAGGGCTGCCCTGGTCATCGGACCGCCGGCTGTCTGGCGACGAATACAAATCGTCAACGAATGGCCCGAGTGTGCACTGGAGGAGAACCCATACCATCAACCATACCATGCATTCTCGGCTGGCTCTTGCGGCAAGTCGAGGCCCACACGACCGATCCGGATGTCCCCAGGTCCGTCGCCGAGCCAACAGCGCGGTCTCTGCCTCAGTCGTCCGTCCGCCTGCTCTGCTGCGATCTGCCTCCATGGACGCCGGCGACGCCGTCCCAGCCTCTCCCGCGCTCGATCGCTATCTGTCGCAGTACCATGTTGCCTGGTCGTTTGCCGACCCGTCCTTCCGGACACTACGAGCGCAGATCCGCATTCCTGCCGGGACCGTCCTGCTGCCCAACCGGGCGCTTGCCGTCGCTGGGCTTTCGTCCCAGGTCTGCCACGGATGCGTCGTCTCGTTTGCCGATTCTATGGCCCAGCCGCTCCGATGTGCGGCCTGCCAGCAGGCATTCTACTGCTCCAAGAAGTGCCAGAAAAGCGACTGGAGCCTCGGCCACAAATCCGTTTGCGCCTACTGGCGGCAGCAAAAGTTGCTGCCCAGCGATCGGCAAGTTGGCCAGAGCGACGACCCGAGCAGTGCCAGCAATGCCCAGCGCGAGATCATCGAAAAGGACACCGAGATGCTCCTCAAGACCATCGCGGCCTTCCGCAACCCGGCCGACCCTGCCGTTCAGATCGCGAGGGAGGTGTTCGTCCAGCTCATGTCCCATCTCGATGAGTGCGAGCCGCCGCTCCGGACACAGTTCCATGAGATAGCCGAGCAGACCGTCAAGATGGATCCACCAGGGCTCGCCCAAGTGGCCGATCACTACAAGCTGCCTCACTACGCCGACGACGCTCGCCATCGCAGCCAGCTCGTCGAGACCTTGGCCCAGTTCTTGGCCGTCTACCGATGCAACAACTTCTCGATGCACGACTCGCAGCTGTTTGTCTATGGCGAGGGCACCTTTCCGATCGGGGCTTTGATGAACCACTCGTGCCTGCCGAACTGTGCCGTGTTGTTCGACGGCCAGATGCAGTACTTTCGCACGCTGCGAGACATTGACGCCGGCGAAGAACTGACCGATGCTTATGTCGATGGTATGGACTATCGTCCCGACAGACAGACCAAGCTCCTTGACAAGTACCGGTTCTCGTGCCGATGCGATCGATGTGAGCCGCTGGACTCGAGTGGATTCTCTGTCGTCGATCGAGCAGCAACCAAGAGCCACTGCGATCCAGAATCGATCCTCGGCGATCGACCATTCGTCTACACCTCCATGATGAGCAGCTGGGTCCCGGCCGTCCTGCCGGCACCGCAACGTAGAGATTCCTGTGTCGGGGATCTGGCGTCGTTCCTTCGGATTGTTCTCGACGACTACCGTGAGCTGTTCCTCGTGTCTGATCACCAAGCGTACCGGCGCATCCATCTCGAGCTGGCCCAGCGCATCGTGCTGCCTCCCTCAAGGCAGTTTTTGGATCTATCGCTGTTCACGCAGCTCTCGACCGAGCTATACACAGCCATCGACGCGAACGACTGGCACAAGGCGGCCGTTCTGTCGCTCTATGTCCTGGCTGTGTACTTGCTCTTTTACGAGCGTCACCACCCGATGGTAGGACTACAGTGGTTGCTCTGCGGCAAGTGCCTCTGGAATGCTTCGGACAGCTTGGACGATGATACTGATCGGCAGCACGTCGTTATAGAGGCACGCATGTGCCTGGAGACGGCGGTGCGGTCGCTGGGCATCAGCCACGGCTCGGAGGGTCTCGGAAATCGACTCCTCCTGGCAGATGCTGCCGAGTTGCTCCAGGTTGTCCAAACCGAGTTATCGACGGCGCCTTGTTCGTGATAGCGAGCCGACCGCCGATATTCCGGGCTGGTGGGTGGTTTGGTCCTGGAGCATCCATGGTATACACCCATGAAGTGCATCCATGAAGTTCATCCATGAAGTGCATCCATGCAATACATCCATGCAATACACCATGTAATACACCATGTAACGCATCCACAGTGATATCAAAGAAATCTCAACCACTCCGTTTGCCTGAGAGCACGCCACACGGATGAGAGTGGCGAGCAATGATCGCGACATGAGCCCGGTCAGACTCCACCGCTGCAAGTCAGGGCAAGATGAGTGCCTGGGATGAGGGAGGAAGACGCAGGGTACAGAGCAAAGTTGCTAGCGGACTATATAGAGGTTCGGGTGCTGATCAAAGTCGTCTGATGCACACAAGCCATCCGCGAGTCGAGGAGCCCCGTTTCATAAAGAGCCAGGGTTCCGCTCCGGCCGTTGGTCCGCATCTGGCCTGATCGGCTGGCCAAAAGCAACGAAGAGCCCCGGTGACTGCTCCCATTACCCAGCTTCCATGGATAATTTATCAAACCTCGGCCTCGATTTTATGTTCTGGGCTTCGTGCAAGCTCAACATCCGGGACATTCATCGCATGGCAGTTATGGAAGAGTACCAAGGTTCGTCATGGCCCAAGTCTCGGGCATTGCTCCCCTCCCCCCATCGAGCCGTCCAGCCCCATCCTCAGCAAGCTAACCATGCGTCCGTCGACTGATCTGTGTCTGCTCGCACTCTATCGACCGCCGCAGATGTGTTTCGGTACAAGGGTCGGCCTGTTCGAAACGCAGAGATCTGCGGGCTGATCGTCGGCATCGACGAGTCCCATTCGCGGATCGGATACCTGGGTGAGAAGTGTGGATGAAACACTGCAGCATGACGAGCTAATCGTCCGAGAAAGCCCTCCAAACTGGCCGTCTCATGTCACAGTGCGCTCTGCTCATTTGAACGGGATTCGCTAATGGGTGCATCGCTGTCGTCTGTCGTTGCCAGTCGACGACGGAACCGGAACCATCAACTGCTGGCAGTGGCTTTCCGAGCCGCCGAGCATCGGTGCCGAGGCCGACCAGCATCGGATCATGAGCCTCGGGGACTGCGTCGTGGTTTCGGGCAAGATCAAGGAATATCGCGATGTTCGGCAGCTCACCGTCAACAGCATCCGTGAGTACGGCATGGCGCTGCAGTCGACTGTCCCGCTCGATGTCAACGGCCGATACGGTCCTGAAGACGACACTGCGCCCATATCGGCGATGGCACTTGGTGCTGGAGCCAAGAACTGACGGAACTCACGACTCCAAAACGTATCTGGGCTGTGTAGGCGTCGAGAGCGATCCAAACTTTGAAGCTCTGGCATGGATGCAGACGATCGACGCCAAGCTGCGGGCATATGACCGACCGATTGTCCTGTCGGAAAGCAGCCAAAGGGAGCTGGCTCTCCGAAAGACCCAGAGCCACAACGAATCTTTCGCCGTCCGAGGCCCACAGTCGCCGGTGCGCCGTCGAATCATGGTTATCGCTTGCACTGGCTGGGCCTGTCGCTAGCGACCCACAAGGAAGCGCATCCGCTAACATCTGTTGCCCTCCAGGATGATCTAGTGGCGTACGTCCAGGGAATTGCCCATGCGACTGAGAGCCATGTCAAGTATGCTGTCGAGGCATACATGCTGCATGAGACGGAAGGAGTCGAGTTCCAGCGGCTACTTGCTCTGGAAGCGATTGTCGAGCTGGAGAAACGCATCCGATTGCGGACGGCCGATGGTCAAGAAAGCACAGTGGATGTAGGCTATCCTGCGCGCTGGGGGGGGGGAGAGTGCTTTGCAGATCACCAGTGCGCTTTATGCCTGTGTTATTGCGCTGGATCTCACTTGCACCAGATCTGACCCATGCTCCGACGCCAGGAACATCAGCCTGGCGTTTCTGGCCGACGAATAGTTGCGCTGGTGCGACGGGCTGTTGCAGAACTCGTCACCGAGGGGCGGATCTTCCTCAAAGACGGCGATCGGGACATTTACGAGGCGATCCAGCCAGCATGCTCCATGGCCCGGCAGTTGCTGGAGATCATGCGTGCCGAAGGCTCCCGAGGTTTGTTGGCCAGTCGATTCGGTGCTCACGCTGAGAGGCGGCAGGCCGGCAGCGCGCTCACCCTGCCGATTCTCCCGGACGATGCCAGAGTACTCGCAGGACTATCTCGCGGCCAAGCTCCATGCGAGCAACCCGGGCATGGGCAAGTTGCAGCCCAGGGCCGTCGCCAGGTGCCTGGGTCTGCTGGTCGAGCACAGCGACATTGTCCAAGTGGCTGACGCGTTTGTGCTGATCGGGTAGCCAGCCACGGTCTGGCCGGCAAATACAGCGGCTGCTGCGCATCGATCTGGCCCAACCGGCGATTTTGCATGTCGGGTTGACAGAGCAGCGGGCTCAGCCAACATCCCGCTGGAGAGCGCTGGTGCTGGGGCTAGCCGAATCGCTGCCATGGACGAGCCATATGCCGACGAGCCGTATCCCGACGAGTCGTATGCCGACGAGCCGTATGCCGACGAGCCGTATGCCGACGAACAGCATCCGGGCGGTGTTCCTGGCGCCGCTCGGCCGCTCTCGACCAAGCTCAGAGAAAACAACTACAATGTCCAGCATTCGCTCCACAGCGTCATCCGCCTGAGGCCCGAGGAATACACCCGAACGTACCTCCCGCCTCGCGAGCGAGCACCGATCGAGGAGGACAGCAACGACTCGTCTGTTTGGGACCCGTCCGTGGACACCACCAAGAAGACGAAAAAGTACGCAACCACCTATCCGCGCAGCGGCGAGCTCAAGATCACCAGCCTCTCGGTCGAGGCTGTCCGGCAAGCATTCGATCGTCGCCTCCGCAGAAGGTTTAAGCAACTCCTCCGATCCGTCGAGGTATGTCTGCGAGGCACCTTGTGGATCTAGATCGATGTGCTCATCGAGGGCAGTGTGGATCTGGTTTGAAGCTCGAGATCGATCATCGCCGCTGGCGAGACATCCTTCAGCGGCACTGCCGTCGATCTACTCGGCCATCTCCATTTGCTCTGAACACACTGCCTGACACATGACCATGCGCTGCTTGGCCTCTAGCTCGCACCGCCAATCCAGGCGTATGAGCGCTGGGTCTTCAGCGCCTGGAGCAAGTCGACCAAGAACCAGCGAAAGGATCCCATCATGCCCTTCAACATCGTCGTCGAGGAGGGGCTTGTGTCGGATCTCGTCCGCGCTGGCATCAAAGAAGCCGTGGCCAAGAAGATTGTCCGTGAGTTGGGAAGGGAATCGACCCGGCTTGTCGAGAATCTCCTGCGATTGCAGAAGCAGGCCGATCTCGAACCTGAGGCAGCAGATCCGGCGGCTTACGAGCAAGCAAAGCCAGCAGAGTCTTCTCGGCCGACCAGTGCATCGAAAGTGAAGCGCACCGAGTCCAGTAAACGGTCAGCGAAGGCCGTTGATAGTAGCAATAGCGACCGCGCCGATCGGCACAGCCAGAACGACGGATCGGGCGCCGAGAGCGATGGCGAAGACGAGGATCCCGACCACGTTGTGCTCCAGCGCAAGTCCGTCGTGATCGCTCGGCATCACAACAGCATCGATGTCACCTACGGCGCAAGGTCCTTTTGCAAGCTGACCCCGGCCCACCACGACAAACTCTTGGAGCTGTTCAAGCGCTACTCTGGCCAGCCCGAGGAAATGTTCCCGCAAGCACTGATGGCGCTGCTGATGCGGTACAAGTCGCTGCTTGGACATGGCTTTCAAGCAGCAATGCCGACCGCGGCCATGAAGGTTCTCCAGCGCGAGTTTGGCGTCGAGTTCGAGTGCTTTGCCTCGCCGCTCAACACTCGCTGGGGGCGCTATTGCTCGGCCTTTATCGACACGGATGGCCCCTTTGGCTCGCTTGGGGACTTTTTCTCGTTCAAGCCGTTCGAGGGCAGCTATGAGGTACGACCGACATGCTGCTTGTGCCGTGAGTCGAGCCAGTATGCATAAGGGCAATTGGCGATCCCACATATGGCTCAAGATGCAGATCGACTGGCTGCTGCTGGCACTCACTGACTGCATTGGTCCTTGCTGCTGCAGGTCAATCCTCCGTTCATCCGCCCAGTCATGGAAAAGATGGTGACCCACATCGAGTCGCTCATGGAGGCTGCAGAGGCCGCGAAGAAAGCGCTCTCGTTTGTTGTTGTGCTTCCGGGGTGGGAGGAATGCTCGTCGTGGTCAGCCATGAAGACGTCGAAATGGCAGCGGGACGTGCTGCTCCTGCGTGGCGGCGATCACGGATTCTTTGGTAGGATGGCATGCGTCGCCTGGCAGCTCGGGTGCAGTCTTTGATGCATCTCGTCTCCTGTGCTAATCACTGCGTCTCCTCATGCGCCAATCAATGTGTTTCCCTCCTCCTCCATTCTATTAGATGGTGCTCAACACCAACGGCTCGACAAGTACCGTCCCTCCCCTTATCCTACGGGCATTTTTTTCCTCCAAACGAGCGCCGCCCAAGTAACGTGGCCGGTTACGAAGCTCAAGCTTGCCAAGCTTCAGTATGCCATGCAGTGTGCGCTGCCTTCGGCCTCAGAGTCGACTCGGCGATTCAGGACGGGCCGAGGATTCGGCCATCTTGATGGCGGAGGCGGAGTGTACAAGGGAAAGACGAAAAACAAGCGCAAACGCGATGATGCCGGTGACGACAACTACGCCGATGGCGACAATTACACCGATGGCGACAACTACACTGAAGGCGAGACGATTCACAGCGCATCCTAAACGGACCAGGACAGCCATAGAGTCCTTTTCTCTTGATCATGAATACACACCCATCCATCGCCCGTCATCACCAAACAGTGTGTTCAAGGAGTCTGGTATTGTGGCTGCCTTTGGGAATGCATCGTGGAGGCAGGGTAAGGGACACACACCGGGTTCATGGGCAAAGTCTTGTTTCGTTCAAACAGACTATTCATCACATCCAAGATGACTGAGAGTCCTCACGTCTGGCCCTATTCGGATATGAATGGACCTTCGGCTATGACGAGAAGGCCACCGGCTCCGCTCGGCATCAACTCGCATTCGGATCCAAAGTGCGGCGCTGTTGGAGCCGCCATCGATTCCTGATCGGACTACTTCCGATCACGTGCGAGAGACGGGCTCGCTTCGGTCGAGTTCCGCCTGGTGAGTTCTGCCTGGTGAGTTCCACTCGGGAGAGTTCTTCCTGGTGGGCTCTGCTTTGCCTTTGGCCACGACCCGCGAGCCGAGCCAGGATGAATGCGAGCTACAGCCAACGGGCTGTCATGCCCAGTCGCCCACATGACTATATCTACGGTGAGTACCAGAGTCTATGCCATGGGAAAAATTGCGCCACCGTGAAGCATCCCGCTCCAAACACGCTCGAGCCGCTCATTGCGACGAGCGACGGACCGAGCGCGAGAATGTCGATTCTGGTTTTGGCGCAGGCTCGGCGCAGGCCGTCTTGAGGCCTAATAGATACGTCGGTCTCCAAGACTATGCGTGTTGTGCTGCCATGGCACTGACTCTTGCTCTTTCCAGATGTCAATTCGACGGTCGCGTGCCACACCGACCACATCAAAGCGATGGTCAAGTCGCAGACTCACGATGTGGTAAGTCTACGCGTCTGATGCGGTCGGGTCGGGTCGGGTCGTGTCGGGTCGGGGACTGCTTAGTTCAGCATGTGAAAGCCTTCGGTGGCTGCCGATATGGAGTTGGAGGAGGTGCTGATAAGCAAGAGAATTGCCCTCTGAATCGCCCCGGCTTGCTGCACCATGCTTACGCTGCTTTGGTTGTGCGGCGCCATGACCGTACGCTTGCAGATCATCAACCCAAACTATACAAACATGTTTTCGGCGTTGAACCACTATCCACCATCGCATTACCGGCTCCGTCCACGCAAACTCCCGGCGCATCTTGGGAATGACCGACGATCCTACAACAACTTTCCCGCTCACGTCGACGGCGTAAACCGGTTCAAGTACTTTCGTCGTCCTCTGATTCCGTACATGCCGACGCTGGGCGGTCAGATTGTCTATGCCCGCAAGCCTCCCCCAATCGCCCAAGCCACCGTGGAGCGACCCGTTTCGCCTTTCAGCAAAACTGTGGCCGTTCAGTCGATTTACAGGTAAGGCTCTTCGATAACGGCATTGCATTGTTCGCCGAGATTGTATATTCCGCTGTTCTGCTCTTGCCGTTGCATCGGAGGCACTAACGTATTGGCAACCCCCCCCCAACGACAGAGAATCCGAGGCGCAGACGGACCCGTACTCTCCTGAATATGTTATTCCGCCCGGATCCGTTCCACCCGAGCTCTTGGCATTGGCCACGTTGACGTTCGGCTCAGGATTGCCTGTTGGCATGGCCGAACTGGAGATGATCGAGCGGGCCAGGTCAAAGAGAGCGTGGGAAGCCACGCTTCCAAAGGTGGTTGACCAAGAATCCTTTGAAAAGCGCCTGCGTATGATGGAGGAGATGGAACTGAAGGAGTGGCAGGAACGCGAGGAGGAGATCCGAAAGTACGTATCCGTCGAATCGCTGATCAGCCAGAGAACCTGTATATGTGCTGTTGGGCTGCTCGCTTGGTTTCTTTCTCGTACACATTTGTGTGGCCGTTACCAACATGGCCATGTTTGATCCAGACTCCAAGAGGCTAGACTGGAAATCTTGGCCAAGGTCATCAAGAAGCGAAGCGAGGAGAACGAAGCAATGAACAACGAGCGGGTCGAAAAGATCTGGCAACGAAAGCTGCAGGAGCGGGATACCTTGCTCGAGAAGCTGCAAAAGAAGCGAATCAAGGCTCTGAGGAAGATCTCGAATAGGCGAAGCAAGGTCCAGAACAAGGTCGAGAAACGAGACATTATCGCCGAGTACGCCAGCTATGGATCTTCTGTAAGCATACGGCCGCAGACAGCTGGCCCCGAGAAAGCATGGATATCTTGCGGACCCTCACAGTCACCCTCAGCAACGAGGGACTCATTGACATGGCATTATACCGTGTCCACGCATGTCACCGGCTCTACTCCGAAGAGAAGGCCGCACCGCTTTGGGCGCAGCTGATTCGTTTGCCCCGTATCATTGCCGCTCTTGATGTCTCGGTTTGCCAACATCTAGGTCTATGCCCCCAAAGCCAGAGATGGCATGTACCGAGACAACCCCGCAAACACTCTCAAGATTCAAGTCGAGAACATCGACGACTACCGCGGTCTCTTGGATCTTGAGGCCACCTTCCCTGAAAAGATCATAAAGACCAATCTGTCTCTCCCTCAGAAGAAGCACACCCGAAGTCCTTCGGCGCGCAAGGTGGGAAAGACAGAGTCCGTGGCCACCTCGTGTGCTGTCACCTTGTATACTGGGTCATGGTATTCGCCCAGGATGGGACTCACACGATCGAAATGACTCGACAGGAAAAGCACCTGCAGGAGCAGCTCTTGTTGATGGACAAAAAGATGAAGGCGCGCAGGCACCAGGCGCAGCAGGAAGAAAAGCCGCTGCGATTCTGTCAGAAGATCGAGAAGCCACCTCAGCGGCCCGAGACTCCCACGATTGAAGGAAGGTATGTGTCTCTATATGCAGGCGTGTAGAACGCGGGGGCCATTCTGAGCCCCAACAGACGAAACACGGCTGCGCTAAGGGTGGCAAGACGATGTACCAACTATGCATTTGCTTACGCTTTACCGACGGTTGCGCCCTGTGCTTTCGGTACAGCACGGAAATCGAGGACGAAATGGAGCTGGCAGCTCTGCTACTCCAGGGCCTCATTCGTGGCCGTATCGTTCAGAATCTCATGTATCAGGGCAAGGAGCGCAGACTGCAGCTCATCGGCGAGTTGCGAACTCGCCAGACGATCCGAAAGGCCAACGAGGTCAGCGAGGCTGCCCAAGCTGCGCGCGAGGCGCTTGAGGAGCAGAGAGTTCGTGAAGGTGACGAGGAGCAAGCCTCCGAGACGAGCGAGGATGAAGCCACCGGCGGTCCACACCGAGGCTCCCTGCGCCGCAAGCATTCCCTTGGCACCGAGGAGCAAAACCTCTTCAACTACGAGGTCAAAGTATGTATATCGTTCGAGTTGGCGACGGACTCTGCCATATCAAACAATCGACGAGACACTCCAGTGCCATCCTGACAGCGCTTTGCTCCTTGGCCCTCAGCCCCAGATAAAAGAAGGAGAGGAACAGTGGCAGGAAAGGGAAACAAGCAACGAAGAAGAAAGAGCTGAGCGTCTGGTCGAAAGCACCATCGAGGCCGAGTATATGGGCAAGACCTTTGATTTTCTCACCAAGGAGCTTGTGCGGCTTCGCGAAGAACGAAGAATAGATGCAATGGTCAAGCTTGCTGAGCGCACCCGCAGAATGAGGGAGGCCGAGGAAAGCGGTGAGTTGCACTGCCCCAGGTGCTTGGATCGAGTCTGCCGCTTCCGGTTCGCCAACAGGGACATCGGTGAGCTGACATCCGTGGGCTGTTGGTAGGTTTGAGACAAGTGGAGGTCAAGCGCCAGGCCGAGGACGACGAGGTCTTCCGCCAAGTGATCAAGGTGCACCAGGAGACTGTCGACAGTTATCTCGAGGAGATCATCATTGGAGGCATCGAGCACGTCTCCAGCGTCCAAGCTCGCGAGCAGGTGTACGAATACGCTGGCAAGATCAACCAAGTCGTTGATGAAATCGAGCGCCGACAGGCACTCCAGCCGGAGACAGCAGAGATTACTGTGGCGGATCTTGTCTCTGCATTCTTGATCCCCGAGGTCGAGAAAGAGACGCTTCGCATGCAGAGTAAGTGCTTCAAGCCAAGGACACCGTTGACGCGATGCATTTGTGGGATATTGGATAGCCGGTGGTAGTGGTGGTGAACATGTACAGGAATCGGTGGAGGGTTGCCTGTATTTGCGCTGACAACGACACATCCCCACTCGGATCCCCGTCCACCAGTCAAACAAGAGCAGCGCAAGTACTTGCTGGCTGCACACACGGCCGTTTACAACGAAGTGCGCCAGTTGGAGCAGGAGCTCGTAGACAACGCCGAGACAGAGCACGGAAATTCCGAGGCACCGAGCGGGCATTGAGCAGGTGGTGCCTCTGGCACATCTTCCAAGACGTGAGCCGCAACCTGCTCCAGGAACGATGCTGCCAGTGCCTCCAACATTTCGTTGTGCAAAATATGCTACTTGTGTGCATGTGGGAGCTGCTTTGGGCTGAAGCAGATGATGGATTGCAGCATTAGTGAGTATGCCGCTCTCCCGCATGACGGTAAATACAGAGCTGGACTCGGTCCTCCTGCCGGCATGCCTGCAGAGCATCCGGCCCGAGGCCGTGCACCAACATAGGTCATTCGGAGAGCAGACCAGGGGCACTCGGGGGCAGGTCGGTCGCGTCGCATTCGAACCTTGGCCGATCTTGTGGCTGCTGTCTGGTCGCATCGCCTCTGGCGGGGCTGCCCTCATCTCGACGACCCGATCCAGTCGGGGACAATCGACAGGCGAGCGGATTCAACTTGCCCTGACCAACGCAGGGGTGTAACAGGCCGTCAGTCTGCATCATCCCTCGACTGCAGAGCACGGTGCTGGAGCCGCACGAGCCGCAATGGAGCAGGTACCCAGCCTCTCCCCAGACCCAGATCGCACATCCAGCCAGTGCAATCGCAGTAATGGCCGGCCGCCTCGGCCTCCTTTCTTTTCTTATTTCGCTGGATTGCAGAACAACAGGGCGAATGGACCAACAGGCCGCGGACGAGGAGCCCGGGGCCGGCCCAGGGGAAGGAATATGTCGATGGTTTTCAATAACAGCAGCGGCAACAACACCAACAGCACTGGCACCGGCGACAACAGCAGCCGGGGTGCGCTGGCGTCGCCCGTCGTCTCTAACTCGGCCAGGACAAGTGAAAGCTCCGATTCATTCTACGGCTCCCAACGGGGCTCCAACTCCAGGTCTAGTTTCTCTCGAGGATCGCCAGGACGAGGTGGATTCGCGACGAACAGAACAAAGTGGTTCAACAACCAGCCAGCGAGTATGGCTCCTTAGCATGCGCTCGCCCGCTCGCCGGCTCTATTCAGGAATAGAATACGCCGCACAGGTGTGGCCGAAACCATGATCTCGGCAAGATCGGATCGGATACTGACAAAGCTCTATTCACGTCAGGCGAGTCCACAGCGCCGAGTCCAACGGTTGCCGCGGGCGATATGATCGACGACGAGGACAGCGCGATGATCGAAACTCCATCATCAAGATCGCTAGAGCCGCTACCGGAGCCGTTGGATCGTTCTCTGGACCAGGAGGACTTTTCGTTTGGCTCGTCCGACTCGTCGGCGGCTCAGTGGTCATCCAAAAGCACGGGGATCTTGCGAATGCGGAAGAACGTCAGGTAATGTCCTCCAGAGTTGATGGCCGGCCGTCCTCAACGGCACTCGCACATCATGTGCGAACAGTCCATATCCGCCCGCCCCCTGCTGTCTTGCTGACACGATCCGTGGATGGCATCGTTCGGGACACCCCGGCGGATCGTCGTCTCTCAACTGGATGGGCATTCTCTAACATCCTCATCAAGGCCGGAGGATCGAGTCGAGAGATTTTCGTATGTCCCTCCTGATAACCGCTATATGGAGGTATGGGCACTGCACTTGGGTCGTCGATGCGTCAGATGGTTCGCTGGGCGGATGCTTCTGGCGCTTTCTCCGGTTCTGGTCCTGGTGTGCTGTGCTATGGGCTGAACTGACCACAACTGTCGGGTATTCACATTCGCTCGTATTGATGACATGTACCCCCCCCCGATCCAGATGAAAGACCAACGAGACGACCTGATGAACATGTATGTCAAGCAGAAGAAGATGGCCATGCCGGGCCAGCAGTACAATCTCGGTGAAGCCCCGCAGCTCGCTCCTGAGTGTCTGGATATGTGCCCCGAGTTCGAGCGGCAAGAGCGAGAATATTCCAAGAAGCTGGATGAGTTTGAAATCGTAAGATATTGGCACCGAGGAGTCATTGGCCGGAGCCTGCTCTATCCGTGGTTGCTTCGTGGAACTCGATACCGCACTATAACTAAGCCATGTGCCACGCCCCGTCTATCCGTCGCAGGACCCAGCCACCGGTCGAGCCGATCCAAAGACAACCGTCAAGCGATACAAGCGATCTGCTGCCGGCGACCCTCCGCCCTTGCCCTGTGACGTCCGGCCGCCCCATGTGCTGCTGGTAGGTGATGCGAATGACTGGTATTTGGCATCGATGGGCACGGCCTTGACCGCCTAGTCCGACAGCGACCGATACCGAGCAATCGACAGTGACACCACTTCGCCATCATCCAGGCGACACTTGACTTTTTGGTTTACGAAGTTCTGCCAGAGTATGGTCTCGATAAAGCCCACCCATGGATCCGCGACCGAACTCGTGCTATCCGAACCGACTTTACATATATCCAGTCTCGCGGCACGGAGTCGATTGCCGCGCACGAACGAATAGCTCGATTCCACATCATGTCGCACCACGACCTATCTGAGATAGCGTCGTTCTCGGTCTCTCAAGAATACGAACAGCTGTGTAAAAGTAAGTCCGAGCACCCCGTTTAGTCTGAACAGTGATAGCACCAATCTCAGCGACCCTGAATGGGCGTCGCTGAAACATCGCTAGCCCCCTCCATCCCTCGAGTAAATATGACAACTGCCGAGACGTAGATCCGGAAGATGCATGTGCGTCGCCTCGATCGTAGCTGAGACAGCTGTCGGCCCATCTGCCTTTCCAGCCCTGCAGAGTCTCAAGGAGCTCTATTCCGAGTGCGCTCGCCAAGGGATATATTCTCCAAACGAGGCCGAGTTCATTGCATACTACATTCTTGCCCACGTCAAAAGTGTCAAGGCTACCGAGTTCGAAAAGTCTCTGCGTCGCGGAGTATATCTGGATCCGCTTGTCCAGCGAGCACTTGAGCTGCAGTCTTACATTGTCCGATCCAAGGGCGAGGTCGCCAACTACTCGCGATTCTTCCGCAAGATTGCAAGTAGCCAAGTCAGCTATCTGGAAGCATGTCTGCTTCATCGAGAGTTTATCAGCGTTCGCACCGACGCCCTCCGATCAATGCAAAAAGTCTACATGAGTCAGGCAGCGACCAACTCCAACGTGTTCCCCGTATCGGATCTGATCCGTCAACTCGCCTTCAACGACGATTCGGAGGTCATCAAGTATCTTGAGTACTTCCAGATCCCGTTTGAGCAGGATCCGACGCTGGGCTCATATCAAGTGATAATCGGCAAGACACGGCAGTATGACGCCAGAGAAGATAAGCACCGAGTCATCGCTGGTCCCTTTTACGGTGAGCTACCCGCCGGTTCCATTTCCATTCCCGTCCCACAGCAGCGAAGAAACCGCCGATATCCAAAGTCGTTGACTCGACGAACTACACCCACTCTGTGGGGTCCTGTGCAAGCCGCAGCCGAACAGCGTTTTTGTCACAATACGCTCACGGAGATCGAAGCCATAGCTAATTCTCTGGTGACCAATGGACGGCCTCCGCTCTCTCATCCCGTGTGACTGCAGACAGGCACCGTGCAAGCCTCACTCCCGTTGTTTCTCAGGTGATCCTGCACAAGCGCAAAGGCATTTCAGATGCAGATATCATTGACGGACGGAGTCTGTTGCTTGTAAGGTCGCCACAGCGCCAGGCGAAACAGCCGGGTTTGAATCGGCCAGACCAGTCGGCAATCAGGCGACCACTACCTGCGCCTCCGGTCGAGCCTCGCACCACTTTCGGAGCAGCCGCTCTGTTTGCAGGATCTCCGGTAGCTCCAAGGCCGATCTTCGCCCCTTCAGAACCGGTATCGAGGCCACCGCCATCGATGCTCAAGGCGCCGAGCGAGCCGGCTTCCCGGACTCCAGCCCCGTCGGCGCCCTTCTCGTTTGCAGCTGCGCCTACTACCACTGCCCCATCTCGATCACTGTGGTCCAATACCCCGCTCGCTCCAGAGGCACCTGTTTCGGCACCAAGTCCGTTCTTCAATATCCCCAACGCTACCCCATCCTTGGATACGACTTTGCAAAGGCCACCAATCGCCCAAACACCACACCTGCCTCTGGCAGCCCAGCATGCCCCTGTCCTCCAGTTGCCAGTATCCTTCCACCCCGTCTCGCCTGCAAAGTCCATGACACCAACTGTTGCAACCCCTCGATCAATCGTACCCGAGTCCTTGGTTGCTTCGGTATATGATGACCTGGTGAAGCAAGCGATTCGGGAGATTGCCGCCGAGGAGCTTGTGAGCCGACATCGGTTCGCGAACGAGATCTCCATGGCGGTTTTATCGGACGTTGCAGCTCAGGCTGTCGCCGACGTAGTTCGAGAAGTCGTAATGGAGTGCGTAGTGGAAGCAGAGCTCCGAAGCTATGCGTACGACAATCTTGTCGACCAGTTCGCGCTCGAGTTTGTGCGAGAGATTGTGCTCGAGCAAATCGCCCAAGAGCATCATGCACGCCGACAGCGACAGCAATTTTTCGCCCTCTGGGTGCAGCAAGTCGAAGTGAGCCGCCTTGACCGCCAGAGGCGACTGGCGTTGGAGCAAAAGCGAGCTGTCGAGCTCTATCTCAACACCGTTGCCATGCCGCCCAGTCTGGTTGGCAATGGCGCTCGCAAGCGCACACTCCATCCTGGGGGGCAGCGCAAACGTCCCAAGTGGGAAGAATCTGAAGCTCTGAATGAGGAGGAGGTTCTCAGCGGCATTATTCTGAGAGTAAGTCGCATATGATGGTGCTTTTGCACAAACGCTGGAACAGAGGCAAGACGGCCCGGAAGCGACGGCTGGAGAGAGTCTCCATTGATCAGGAATGCTCGGCACAGCAGCGCGTCGTCCTCCTGCGGTCGCTCGTTATCGTCCCAGACCCAGACCCCCTCTCACCCCTGCACTCTTACCTCGATATGCATATTTCCAACTTGTCCAACTGGACTTGTCGCTTCCCGGTTGTGTCTGACTGTGCGCTTGCCGCTTCAGGCCGCACAGCAGAGCGGTCGCTACTGGGACCCAATTGACTTTCAGGTACTCTTCCGCGAGATTCCGATTCCCCACCAAAGTGCCGTCGAATGTATATTTCACTGGAAGATTGGAGTTTCGGTCGCAGGCTCGCCGGATCTGTCGCCCTTGAACCAGTTTTGCTCAACATGGCTGCGCTCCAAGTTCACGCCGACGGGCGTCACGCCCCACATGGTCGTTCAGGCCGGCGCGCAAAAGAATACCGTCAAAGAGCTGCTCCACTCGCGATTCGCCCTCAAGAAGCCCGTTCGAGGTGGAAGCGTCTTCCAGCGGGTAGAACAGTGCGACGTGGTGGTCCATCAAGTTGAAATCCGAGAGCCCCGTCGAGCCGATGCAAGCCCCAAGGTCAACTCCGAGAGTATCCTCTCAGGTGTATCAGCCTTGGTATTCCAGTGCACCATCAAGGACGGGAATAGCGATGTGGGGTATGTTGCCCCCTGCAGGTCTCCAGGGCATGATTGCGACCATCCCCAGCTACGCAGCGTCTGCTTGGAAAATGCATCTCGGTGCCTCGACGGGTGTGCTGCATGTCGCCTTCTCATCCGAGTGTTGGTACACTATCTCCACACAGATCCTGGTGGAGAACGGAGCACGAGCGTCTCCTCTCGTTCTGCGACTGCGTTCCTCGCCACGCCAAGATCCCACTGCTCATTGTGTTTTGGTCCACTCCGGCATTCAACAAGAACGAGTTTATTGGAAATGTACGTCGCGTTGCGTGCGACTCAGCCGAGCCAAGCACATTGTGGTACACGGCCTTCCAGAGTGCTGGCTCGGCTGTTCTTCTGGTCACTTACATGCCCTTTCGTTGGCTCACCATCGCTGCTGGCTTTTGGCACTACCAAATCCACATTTCCAGGTCGCAGTCAAGGAGTCTCTCTCTCAGCTTTTTGGTGCAGGCCCCATCGACTATCTCGACATCCTCGGGATCGATACAGATGAGGCTGGCTTTGATGTGGTCAAGTCAAGTGTCGGGCTCAAGCTCAAGCTGGGGAGCTTGGTCGAGCGATATCCCCCGGTCCAGCGGCTGAAGCATGTGGTTGTAGAAGGTGGGAGGCCGCTGTCTTTTCCACGTCGAATCGATCGCCCGCCTTTGGCAACCGAAAGCGTTGGCTCGTGGAAGCAGCTCTCTTACGTGTTGTGCGCTTCACGTTGCAGATGTGGTGGACGCCATAACAAACAAGTACTTTGAGTTTGCCGTCGGACACGTCGATAAAATATGCAATAAGCTTAGCTTTGGTGAGAGTACCAGCGATTCCGCGCCGAAGCAGTTGCTAGCAATGCTCTCCGTCTCCTCCGGCAAAACCCCCTCCGATTGCGCTCGCTGAAAGCGGGCTCTGTCCATCGGTCTCATACCATACTGACGCCTTTCGCCACGCCACAGAACTGTGCAGCGACGTTTACACCATGACGTGCGACATGCTCATCGAGCTCATGAACAACCAGTTCTCGGCCGTCGAACAGATCCTCACCCATCCTGTGCTTGAGACCATCGCTTGGCCGGCGCGCGAGTTTGCTCAAAGACAAGACTCTGTGCCCCCAATTGAGTGGAACTCTGACGCAGCGTTTGCACATCTGCGATCTGTCATTGCCAAGTACCGGCTGCCCAGTCTGTCGTCGCTTGCACTGGGCACAGACAAGAGTGCCGATGATGATGCTCGGTTCGTATCAACGAGTCGTTGGCTGAGTGGATGCGCATACGGGATTGTTGTATCAGCCGAAGGATCCGACGCCAATCACCCAATGCTTTAGCGGATCTTCTTATGCATGTCCATAGCTCATCGACGTGTTTGGTTATGTGCAGATATCAAGCCCTTTGGAAGCTCCAGTCTCGGTGGTTAACTTCGCTCGAAGGGTATCCTGGCCTCTCTCTCGACATGGTACAGCAACTCCGGGCACAGACCACCAGAATTCTCACGGAATCGACCGGCGCGCGATGTGGTGAGTCGCAGTTTCGCATTCCAGATGCATCGTCGGCGTTCGCCCAACTCAGCCGTCTTGTAGCATCAGATCCTGCCCTTCTACGACAGCTAAAGCAGCGACACGGCATATGATGTGATGTGACTAATGTCAATGACGCTCGCCACACCTTCAGCCATCCTGATCGGCAGCTTGATGCGGCATGTGTCTGTTGCGCTTGTCAAGTCGTTCGTCCATGAGCTTACGTCGCTGTCACCGCCACCGTGGTATGTCGAGGAGCACATAGGACTGCTCGAGAAGGTGTTTTCGCAAGCAGTGTACGATCGCCTTGGACAGTGGGAGCGCGAGTTGCAGTCAGCACAAGCTCGCCAGCAAATGTCCAGGGCTCCGAATCACGATATTCCAAAAGCCGCTGGCCCCGCCTCCCCTGTGCCGAAAGTCCGTCAAAAGAACTCCGCCACCGACAGAACAGAGCACATGCATCCGGCCGCAAGCAGGTACTGTTAGCACACGTACTGTTGGCTGTGGGGGGATTGTATAGCATCACAGGAACAGGACTATCGACTTGCCCGGCCAGTTGAAGGCGAAGGATCGCTGTTGACACAGATTCTCACTTCTCGATGCCATAAATCACAGACCCCCGAGCATGGCGGGTGTATCGGCCGCGGGCCATCCTCAGATCTCCGAAGCAGAATCCAAGCCTCTGGTGCAAGTGTCTAGGCAACGGTCTGCCCCGGGTGTGCCAGTCCAAACCAGCCCCGCGGCGCCGTTCCGATCGCCTCCGATACCACATTCGGTGATGCCACAGAGTGCGGAGGGCCGCAAAACGTCGGGCGAACTCGAATTCTTGGATGCCTTGAAGAGGGCTCAGGACGAGCTCCGAAGCATGAGCAGTGGAATCCACTGATCCGCAGCCAGACCGTGGATGCAAGCTGTTTTGTATCTGGAGCACCGTCTTTGTACTCAATACACTGCCCTTTGCTGGTTCTCGGAATACTCGTCTATTGCACCACAACAACGATCTATATCATCTACCGCTGTCGTATCGTGCAATCAGAAACGTGAACTCGATGTGCCAATCGATCATCTCGGATAGATATTGGTCGATTGGATTCATCTGCAAGTGCCATTTCCAGGAAAACCACCACACGCACGGACCGATCGCGATCCGACAAATCGAGATCCCGCAATGTGACTCCAACACAAAGTTCGAGCATTCCCTCAAGGAGAGTGCTCCGTTGGTCTGGAGAAGCTGTGCTGCGCCTGGAGCCGCATCCAGGATCTTGTCGACGGCTACCCTTGCTGCTGCAGTTAGGGATATGAATCGATCATATGCTGCTCTGGAGATGATACGTAGATTGCTGATGAGCCAGGTGATGGGACCTCTCACCGATACAAGGCTTTGCTGACTGGCACAGAAAGCCCAAAGCGCAGAGGCGGGGGGGGAGGGAGTGACGGTTGATCGAGGAAGGGGTGCAGAGCAAGGAGGAGGGGTCAAGGCAGGGCGGGGCAAGGTAAGGAAAGGCAAATGGAAGACGGGGGGGGGAAGAGTGCAAAACAAAGGGCAGAGGCTCTGTCCTTCGAGGGACAGTGGCTAGGAACAGAATGCTCGAGACTGAATGTACATTTCAAGGCTTCTTGATTTCAATCTTCTTGGATTTGCCCAAGTCCGGCTTTTTGGTGAACACACCAGCCTCAGTGGAGCTGCTGGCAGGGGCCGAGGTCATGAGGCCGGAGCCATGCACCAAGGCAGCAGCCGAGGCTGGAGGGGCGGACGGGATGGGCACGGAGTAATAAAACTGCGAGGGATCTTGGTACGAGGGACTCGACGAATTGACATCGCCGTTTTGCGATGCAATCGTATCGCCTTCCTGGTCCGAGTCCATGGCGGGACTTGGGGTAAAGTCAAAGGAAGGGGCCGGAGGTTGCATCATCTGAGGCGGCGGATACGGGTAGTAGTGGGCAGGGGCGTAGTAAATCGCGCCAGAGGCAGCGACGCTTCGGGGCGGGGCGCTCGAAGAGGCGGCCGGATCGGCCGGATTGAGCGCCGTCACCATGCCAGAGACATTCGGGGGGTACTCGGCAGGGTAGGCATACCCGGCATGCGGATGGAAGACGTAGTTGGAGTAGTAGGGATCGACAACAACACCGACCGGGGTTGAGGGCACCATCAGGCCGTTTTCGGTCATGATGTACGGAACGGTGCCAGGGCCGCCGACCGGCTGGGCGAGAGGGACGATCCCGCCGGCGGGGGCATATGCTTGTGCATAATAGTACGGGTTGGTGGGCGCAGCCTCGCCATCGTAGACATAGGATGTGTTCTGGCTCGAAGCAGGCATGAATTCCGGGGCATTCACGGCTGCAACACAGGACGCCAATGCGGACAACGAAGCTTGGTCAGTACGGCAGAGATGGAGACGGCGGCAGAGCAGATGGCTCTGGAGCAGGCTACCAGCAAGCACCACAATCGGATGCAACCTTGCTAGTGTTCACCAGCGGGGCGATCCAGAGAGACGAAGCTCAGACTGGCAGCACTGCTCGCAAGACATGATCCAGTTGCTATCTGTATACCTTTCTTCAGGGTCGGGGCGCCTTCAGCCGATGCTTCGTCGACGCTGGCATTGGCAGGCACATTCTGGGCCTTCTGGCTGAGATAGCGCTTTGACTTGTGCTTGGGGAAGGTTGCTTTCTTGGAATCGGACTCGGCTTTGTCGGCACCGAGGGCCTTGGCCTCTTCAGGGTCTTGCCGAGCGTCATCTTTAGCTGCCGCCGATACGCTGAGAGATGCGACCGACGATGCCAGGGAGCCGGCCGTATCTGTCGCAGAAGTAGCGGACTGTGGCAGAGGCGATGTCGAGCGAGGTGCAGCCTGTCCGGCTTGGTTTTGTTGCTGAATGGACTGCACTGTCTTTTGGAAATGGTTCTTGAAGGTCTGAGACGGAGGACGGTAGAGCTGGGGCTGGCTGGACTTGCGGCTCAAGACTGCCTGGGGCGGCTTTCCGTGTGAAGTTGTAGGCGATGGCGTGTCTCTCGAGTCAGCGTTGGGCTCGCCGGATGGAGAGGCTTTTCGCGGCTGCGAGGCGGCTGCGGCTTTCAGGCTGGAGGTCGACGGCTTCTTTTCGATCCGGACAACGTGCTCATTGACAACAAAGCTCGATGTCGTCACGTCCTGGACCTGGGGCGGCTGAGCATAGTGGGCAATTGAGGACGGGGGTATATGTTATCTGGTGCATGCCATCGAGTGAATGCTACCGAGTGCGTGCAAACTCGCCAGGCTGGCACCGTACGCAGCATCAGGCAAGAGATCGACGGAGCCGCGGACTCCAGCCACCACCTCCGCAGCGCCGGACAGCCCTGAGCGAAATTCAACGAATGCATCGACAGCGAGGCAGCGATCCGCTTGGGCTCCGCGCACCAACCTGCTTGCCGTAGCTCGTGTTCCAGCTCTTCCTCTTGAATCGATCGCGCGAGTCCGGGGGCTCCTGGTTCTCATCAAACCGGTCATGGGTCCATTTCTGGTTGAGCGGATCCTGGTCTGTTTCCCAGTGCGAGTGGCGGCCACTCCGGCTTCGCGACGAGGTGGATGCCGAGCGGCTGAGCAAACTGCTGTCCCGCGAGTCGCGCTGCTTGGGCAAGTCGGGCGAAGGTGCACCTGCGACATCGACCGGCGGAGGATTGGCTGGCTCCGGGTCGGCGTACTTGGGTGCTGGGCGCGAGCTCGGGCTGATCGAGCCCCGTCCGCGTCTGGGTTGTGGCGTTGAGAGACAGAACCCGCAACGGACCACGGCACACGGCCGAGCAGGCACGGCCATCAGGTTCCGGAACAAGCACAACAAGGTCAGCAATCCAACAGGCTCGGGTGCGAAGGATATGGAGATTTCGACGGGCTTGCGAGTCGCATCGCACCAGTAGCCCGCCCAGCGGGTATCCTGTGGCGGATCAGGCATCATCGAGACAGGGCAACCAACGACAAGCTACCCGAGCGTGCTCTGATCAGTGCCAGCACAAAGCGCTTACCCTCTGGATGAGCGTCCATGGAATCGGTTGTCATGGAGCCAAAATGTGCCCGAGTGCGGAGTAGCGGATGGGTCGTTGCGGCGTAGCGGCAGAGGGGACGGACCAGCGACAGGCTTGGCCTGCTGCGGCTGCGGGGAGATCTTGTCGACAGCCGGGGACTCGTCCGGGCGTGTGGTGGCAGGCGCGGCAGCAGCCGAGGCAGCAAGTGCCTTTTTCTCAAGCTTGAGCTTGGCCCGGTCGACGGATCGCTTGGCCGTTGCTTTGGACCGAGTTCGGGCCAGGATGTCCTGCGCCTTGGTCAGGGCGGCATCGGCGACGGCCCGGGACTTGAGGGGGGTAGTCGTGGTCTCTGCCTTGGATTCTTCGTACTCGTAAATCTCCTCTTCCGGCTCATCTGCCGCAGGATCATTGCGAGCGACACCCGCGGAATGGGAAGGATCTGTGGAACTCTGATCGGCGAGAGGATCGCGGCTGCTGGGGTTGGCCCGGCGAGAGGAGCCGGTCACGTCTATATCGGCGGCAGATTTACTCTCTTCTATCTCTAGGCCGTCCTCGCCACCGTCGTATTCCACAACCTCCTCCTCTTCATCGTATTCGTCGTCGTCGTATTCGTCTTCGTCGTCGTCCTCATCGTCATCGTCATCAAAGTCGTCGTCCTCTTCGTTGAACCGTTCGCCACCGTCATCGTCCTGATCATCGTGATCGTCCCGAAGGCCATCGCGTGCCGAGTGATCCGCGTTCTCGGCATGGATGTCTTGGGAAGAATCGGTGTTTGCGAGGGCATCGGGATCGGCGGCCGAATGGCGCTTGGCCTGCAGCGATCCCGAGGCAGCAGGGACGGGAGCGGGCTCTGGTGATGGGCAATCTTCCTCTCCTTCCGAGAGATCTTCTGCCTCGCGACGGCGGCGTGCTCTGAGTCTGCTCATGAATATTCAAGAGTCCGAGATAGGCGTGGATATGGACTGGGCGCTCGGGCGGAGGAGCGGGTGGGAGAAGAGACTCGAGACAGTGCTCGGGCGGGGAAGGGCGATGGGGCTGATCTGGAGAGCGATCGCAGAGGCGGCCAAAGGGCGGCCAAAGGGCGGCCTCGGCGAGAGCATGTCCGGCGGATCGAATGCAGGGCGCCGGCTCGAGTGCACGCAGCCGGCTCGAGTGCGCCGTGGCTGGCTCGAGCCGGCGCGATGCGCAGCGATCGGCCACGTGGCCGCTCCCCCAAACGCCAGGTCGGGCCTGCACGTGGACGACCCCGGCGCGGCGCTGGGTGTGTGCGCAGCCGACACACTGCCCCCACACCGCTGTGCTGGCTGCGCACATTGTGTGAGCATTGTCTGCACTTGCCCGCACTCGCACAACGGCGTTCTTCGGAAGGCCGCCTTCGCTGACTCGCCGATCCGCTGGGTATATAAGCCTCGGCAGGCACCGTCGCCGTCTGCGCTTTGCTTCTGCTGGATCTGTGCATCCGTTCGGTCTTCTCGGTCTGCTCGGTCCGCTGTTGCGTCGCTGCAATCTCTCGCGCCCTCCCCTTGCCACTCGGGCTCGCTGTCTATCGAGCTCTCGCGTCCGCATCGCCCAGCCACTTTCTGCTGCCCTCGGCATCCAGCCCCATCCAGTTGCCCCCACATTCCGCCATGTCCTCCCGCCTCCTTTCCAAGCAGATCGCATCCAGTAAGTACTCTGCATCTCGCTGATGCCGACCAGAGTGCATGCCACGCTCCCTTGGGGCTCAGTACCGGGACTGGGTGTCGATGCGTTTCGGCCAGCAAGTCCCATTCGGCATTCCATGCCATTCGCCATCCGCCATCCGCAATCCGCAATCCGCCTTGGCTGACAGCTGGAGGTCCCGTCGCGCAGTCTGGTGGTCCCAGCCAGCCAGCTCCTTGCACATTGCCACCTCTGGGACGACTGGCACTCACATGCTGCAATTCACTCCCTGGCTGCACTTGTGAATGGCATGCCAGACCATGCGCGGTGGATTCTCCAGGCCCGTCGTGCTGCTCCCATGAATCTCGCGGCCCTGTCCAAGAAGCCGCTGTCTCCGTCGCCGCTGTTTTTCTCAACGCAGCGACGAACTCTCGACCCGGCTCTCGGTCGCCCGTCGTTCCCATCGCGATCGAATCGCGACCTCCACACTCATGTGGCCTCCGCAACGTCGCTACATCCTCTCTTTGCCCTGCAACGGAACGCTGCCGAAAAGCCGCCGACACCGGTGCAGCCTGTCCAGGCCGTAGCATCCACGCCAATTCCCGGCGTTCCTCCCAAAGCCAAGGAGGAAAGCCCTGTCGAGAAGGCCATCCGCGATGCCAAGGAAGAAGAGAGCGTCGAGATCCAGGCCAAGGCCCAAGAAATCATCAACAAGTTCAACCAGCCCGAGGAGGCTGCCGCTGCCGCTGCCGCGGCTCCAGCTCCGGCCCCCTCCGCCGAAGTAGCTGCCCCGGCCAAGAAGCGGACTATTTGGGAGATCGTCAAGGCCGAGGCCATCCACTACTGGCACGGCCTCAAGCTCCTCGGCATTGAGGTTGCCATCTCGTCCAGACTTGTCATCAAGATCCTCAACGGACAGAAGCTGATTCGCCGAGAGATGAGACAGGTATTTTTGGCCAACGGGCTTTCGCAAGCCAGGCGCAATCCAGGCGCAGTCCCGGCTCGCTGCGCTATCTCTCTGTCCGCCAGCGAACCAGCCCTTCTCGTTTGTCAGCCGCAACTCGGGTAGCACAGAGGCTTTCTGGTCAACGCCCGAGTCGCGATCCTCCTGTACCTTGCTCCTGACCCTCCTGTATCTTGTTCCTGTCCCTCATGTATCTTGCTCCTGTCCCTCCCAGCTCCAGCGCACCGTCGGCGATATGGTCCTGCTGATCCCCTTCCTCGTCATGGTCATCATTCCATTCGCCGAGCTTGCCATTCCCTTCCTCATCAAGATCTTCCCCAACATGCTCCCGAGTACCTTCGAGAGCAAGTTCCAGGAGGAAGAAAAGAAGAAGCGGCTGCTCAAGGTCCGTCTCGAGATGGCCAAGTTCTTGCAGGACACGATCGAGGAGGTTGCCGTCTCGGGCTCCTCAAAGTCGACCGCTGCCAAGGAGTTCAGCCAGTTCTTTGCCAAGGTTGGTCCACAAGTCATCTGCGACGCAGCGTGCGGGAACCAATCGACTTTGGGAGAGGCTCGTATGATGCAGCCAACACTATTGGAGAGCTTGAATCGATGCAGTCCGCATCAGTAGAGAGATGCATGCCCATCGCCCATCACCAGAGCCATGAAGTTTTTTTTGCTCACCTTTGCGTTCCCGTTGCCTGGGCCTCGCTCTTTGTCAGTATCGCAACTCTGGCGAGATTGCCCCGGCCACCGAGGTCGTCAAGATTGCCAAAAAGTTCCAGGACGAGCTGACGCTCAACTCGCTGTCGCGACCGCAGCTTGTCAGCATGGCTCGCTTCTTGAACATCAATGCCTTTGGCACCGACACTTTCCTGCGCAACCAAATCGACCGCCGGCTAAAGTATCTCAAGGAGGACGATAAAGTGAGTCCCGTCTCGGCTGCCCTCTCTTTGTTTTCCAGAGGAGCGGGGATGCTCTCCGAGCCAGCAAAACTATCTGTCGGTCGCGCTTCTGCACAAGCGCTCGCGCGTTGTTCAGTGGGAACTAACTCGGTCGGTGGCTATTCATCCGCAGGTGATCGCTTCCGAAAAGATCGAGTCGCTCACTATCCCTGAGCTTCAGCAGATCTGCCAGTCCCGCGGCATCCGCACCATTGGCGTCTCGCCCGCCCGCCTGCGAAGCGAGCTGCAGCAGTGGATCGATCTCAACCTCAACCACCAGATCCCGACCTCCCTCCTGGTTCTGTCGCGCGCCTTTATCATCTCCGAAAAGATCCCGAGCAGCCCCGAGGACTCGATGAAGCAGAGCGCAGAGGCTCTCCAGGCCACACTCTCGGCTCTCCCCGACCAAGTTCTCAGCGAAGCGGCGTTGAAGGTCTCGCAAGCCTCTGGCACGGCCACCTTCAAGCAGAAGCTTGAAGTTTTGCAACAGCAAGAGGAGCTTATTGCCGATGAACTCGAACAGAACGCGGTGGGTAGCGCTCTTCTCCCGTCTCTCTCTTCCCTCTACTCTATCCCCGCGGCCTGCTCTCCTTGCCGAGCGTTATGCAACAACCCTTTGCGCTCATGCCCAGTCCAGCCCAACTCAACTCTCCATTCCATTCCATTCTGCTCACAGGCTGCTGCAGAGTCCGCCAAGATTGTCGAGCAGGATAAGCTCGCCAAGGCAGCACAGCCAGCGGTTGCTCCAGCCGCCACTGTTGCTGAGGCCGCCGCTGCTGCTGCTACTGCTACTGCTACTGCTACTGCCGCCGCCGCTGCTGCTGCTGCTGCTGCTGCTGCTGCTGCTACATCGGCCCCGACTCCAGCCCCAGCCCCGGCTGCTGCGGCCACTCCCGCCGCTCCTGCTGCGGCTCCAGCAGCTGCCCCTGTGCCCCCTGTCTCGGCTCCCGCCCCTGCTCCTCCCGCTGCCGCAACGGCTGCCCCGGATCTCCAGGCCGCTGCGGACGTCAAGGTTGACGAAATCTCAACCGAGCAGCTGCAGCGCCTGGGAGATGCGCTCAAGACCATGGCCTCCGACTCTGCCCTCAACGACGTCAAGGAGGAGCTTGGAATGCTCAAGGAGGAGCGTGAGGAGTTCAAGGAAGACATCGAAGAGCTCAAGCAGGTTACCCAGGTTGAGGCCCCCAAGGCCACCTCGACGGTCGGTCGCCAGGTCGATAAGATGATTGCCTCGCTCGAGAAGGAGCTCATCAAGTACGATGCCGAGATTGGCAGCAAGCTCAACCTGGTCAAGCCCAACGAGGAGGGCAAGATCTCTCTGGAAGAGATTGAGGAGGTCCTCAAGGTCATCAAGGACTACCCCAACGACGACCGCGTCAAGCACATTGTCAAGGAGCTTGACGTGGACGGCGACGGATTCGTTTCCATCGCCGAGGTCCTCGTCCTGGCACAGGAGCATTCCAACAAGGAAGGCTACGGCGTGGTGCTCAAGCAGGTCAAGGCCGACAACATGGCCAAGGCTGCCGCCGCTCCCGCCACTCCTGCCCCTGCTCCTGCTGCTGCTGCTGCTGCTGCCCCTGCTCCTGCTGCTGGAGATGCCGCCAAGCCTACTGGACCGACATCGACTCCTTCGTCATGAGTTTGTCGGATGACGGCCCGTCTTTGACAACAATGGGGACAGACTATCGCTCCAGCCCACAACTTTTCTCTCCTCCTCCTCGTCCTGCCATGCTCCGGCACTGTTTTGCTCTTGGTCAAGCCACTAGATGCTGACGTACGCTTTCGTGCTAGTTACTTTATTTTGCGATTCCATACTCAAGTTCGAACACCCAACACCCACTCTCCCACCACCACCGCTATCGCCACGCGCCCTCATCTTCTCTCGTTATTATTACTATTTCCTCCCTCCCCCCCCATCTCTTTCCGTTAACGCTCTCTCCATCTGCTGAATGCGGAGGAGTTTTTTGATGGTTTCCTGCCACATCGACCCATATCCTTTGTTTGGGATTCGATGTAAACCCAGGAGATGCAACACCGCCTCTATACGGTTTCTCAACGAAACAAACCTGTCCCGCCGTCGAGTGCGAGGGAGAGTGACAGCAGGGCGAGAGGAAGGTGAGAGAAGAACGGGACGATGGGGACAGTGGCGGAGAACAATGAGAACAGCCAGACAAGTGCCCGAGAAATCGCCTCTCTCCCATCCCGGAGACAACGGCCACGGATCCTGGAAGCCTCGTCCCATGCTATCGGTGCAGTGTCTCCAACAAGAAACAGGATGAACTAGCCCCCCTCCCTTCTTTCAAAGCGACCAAGCTCTCGTTTGCACCCGCCCCTGAGACACATGATAATGGTGTTGGTTGGGCCACATTGAATGGCCCCATGCGTGTACTTAGGTGATACCCCCCAAATTAACAACGGAGCTCAATGCCATCAAAATCCAGGGTGTGGCTCGCGCTTGTTTCCTCAAACAGAACTAGATAAGTATGTCAGAAAGAAGGAATGAAAGGAAAAATTTTACGAATGGATAGCTATGGAACAATATCGAGCCCCGCCTCTCTCCGTGCCTCCGATGGCTTCGGCCCTGGGTGTCGAGGCTGGTGGTGCTCGGTGGGGTGCTTGCATCAAAAACAGACGATTATTGGGTCGCGAAGGACGCGGGGGAGCCAGGCGAATAGCAGTCGGAGGGAAGGAGGAGGGATGAGATCAAGACGTGGCTCCGTCACAATGATGTCAAAGAGCAGTCTCGGGGAGATCCCCCTCAATTCAGCTGGTTGATTCTTCAGTTATTTCATGTCGATGATTCATGTTCGTGGTAGTATATGTGGATCGATAGCCGGGATGAGCACGGTGCGGCCGGCCCTGTGAGACCAGCTTGTTCAGGGCCGAGTCGACTCGGGAGAGACCCGCGGGAGGGTTGAATTAGCCGGCATCGGCTGAGGTAGCGAGGGGTGCGAGGATCGGCGGACGCTGGGCGGTGGGCTGGTTATGGTGCAGATCAGCCCCTTGGTGACGCAGCGAGTGCATGGGAGGTTCTCACAGCACTTTCGTCTGGACTTGCGGCAGTGATCGCAGGCGCGCGCAACCTGGTGCCTCTTGAACATCTTATTGGGAGGTTTGGTCAGACCCGAATCGTCGGGAGAGCCAAAGGCACTCAAATCGGGCAGGATCGACGGCGACTGGGAGTGCCCGTTGGCACTCGGTCGTGGGATCGGCTCAGCACTCTTGTGCATGTCGCGGCGGATCTTGGAGCTCGGCGGGGTGACCGAGATCGGCATGCCCTCGCGCTTGGGAGGTCTCGACGGCATGTTGGCAGCAAAGTGCTTGGCTGGGTGGTTGAGCTGCAGCGAATCGTGACGGGGCTGGCCCTGCAGCGAGTTTTTTACCGGCAACGACTTGAGAATCGGCCGCATGGGTTGGGCGCCGACCGGAATCGGTGTGGTCATGTTTTTGGGACCCTTGGCAGTGTCATCCTTGAGGTTTGATAACACCGGCTGCGGGGCGAGATCCTCCGAGGGTGGAGAGCCCTCCTTGGGGTAGATGTAGGCCTGTGCCGCCGAGTTTACCACGGACTGGTACTCCAGACGATCAGGGGCCTCGGCAGGAATGTGCATGACCTTGCTGTACTCGAGGCGGTTTCCAGAGTTGTCGGACAAGTAAGAGTCTTCCGTTGGCGTGGTAGCAGGATTGTAGGGAGCAGAGCGGAATCGGAGGTGTGCGTTGGACACAGGCTGGCCCGGAGCCATTGACTCTTGGAAGGACCGATTCATATGATGGGGATCGGTCGCGAGAAGATGCGAGGAGTGAGGATGGGGAGGGTGCCCCTGCGGATGGGCAGGGTGCGAGAACGGATGGTGGTGGCAGCCATTGCAGTGGTGGTGGGAGCTCATCTCGACAGGGCTCTGGAAGAAGGCGGGGTTGGAGCCCTGCGTATCGTGAATGAACATCATGCCGCCCTCGGCTGCAGGAGCAACCGGGAGCGAGGGGTATCGGGCAGGAAGGTGAGCAGCGGCACCACCAACCAGGGCAGAGGGGTTGACATACTGCGGGTGGCCGTACGTCTGCGAGTAGGGCGTCGTATAGCAGGAGGGCGGATAGGACGGGATCTGGGAATAGGGAGAGTGCGTGGCATAAGGGCGATAGTGCGAGTTGGCGGTAAAATGCGGGGGCTCGACGGATTGCGGGTCGGAATAAGACATTGGACCCGTGGCCATGGCTGTTCGCCAGGACGGTTCGACGGGCTGGTGGAGGTCATGGGAGCCCTCGATCTCCTGGGGCTGGCCAGTGTTATCTTGGTCAGCGGTGGGGAGAGGGGCCTCGGTGGGCTTTGACAGCGGGCTTTCGTTTGGGGTTGCCATGGACATGGCATCGACCGAGCCGGAGACGTTGTTGTGAGAGGGCAGCGGGTTGGCGATGTACTGATTCCAGAAACTTGCGTCGTCCGAACCAGCAGAATACATGGCGACAGAAAGGCGAAAGGACGGCTGGGCTTGAGGGCAGCAAGTGTGCAAGGTGAAGGTGGAGAGCAAATCCACAGGTCAACCACCGGCGGGGAACGGCGTTACGAATACGAGCGAGGCTGTACAGATCAAGCCGGCGTTACGGATGGTACCGGCTGAGAGAAGAGGCTGGGTCGCGGACAAGCAACGGATGAGCGACAGACAGATGGAAAAGTGTGGGGGCAACAATCGGGGAGATGAGCCGAGATCAGGAGTGGGAACCAGCCGACAGGGGGGGGGAGCGGGCACAGGGTGATGTAGTGAGGATGTGAACGGAGCGCCGGGTCAGCGCTGGGCGAGGTGGAGACGCAAGATGGAAGGCAGGAGGAGTGGAGGGCAAGCGGGGGGAAACGTAACGGGCTTTAAAGGCCGGACGGAGCGGTGGACCGCCCGCTCAAATCGACGATACCGACGCAGTCGCAGTGCAGAGACGACCGCGGGGGATGGGACGGGGAGGGGTCAGGGAGGCAGTTGCTGCAGGGGGGACGAGGACGGGGGTGGGGTGGGCAGAAGCAACATCGGTGCAATGCGATGTGCATTGGGGAGGTCAATCGGCCGTGTAAGAGTTCAATCGGCGATGTGATCGGGGTTGTTGAGGCGGTTTGGGAGTTGGAGCGAGTGTTAAGTGCAGCTGAATTGGGTCGCATCGGAACGACGAGATGAGTTCTGCAGTAGCGCTGATCAACGCCGTCGGTTTGTCAAATCGGCCTGGTGGATTTGGATGTCGGCCGCGAGCGACTTGCTGCTCAGATCCGTTTTGGAGGGATAAGACCCGTTTCGCACACCGATGCGCCAGTGCTGTTCGGGGGATATGTCGTGGGCGGTGTTGTGCGGCGATCGTTACTTGCAGTGTTAAATCCATGAGCACTCGCAGCGTTCGCTCAGAGTTGAATCGACAGACACTTGCAGGGTGCGCTCGATCGCCCTCACTGCTCGCCACTGTCATCACTGTCATCACTGCTCCACTGTCATCACTGCTCGCTACTGCTCGCTACTGTTCGCCACTGCCTGCCGCGAGCCCCGTCGCCGACACCCCTCCGGATGTAATCGCTCCTGTGTCTTGCTGGTTGGTGCTTGCAGATTAGCTCCGCCCGCGTGTCTCCGCTCCGCTGCTTCCCTCCGCCCCTGGCTGCCCGGATTGTCCGCCGTCTCCGCCCCCGCCCGGCTGCTGCCCCGCCGTGCGGAGCTGTCGCTATGGCTCCCCGCCAGGCGGGGATTGTCGATTGCTTTGCGTTGCTTTGCGTCGCTTTGCGCTGCTCCGGCCGCCGAACCGCTTGCCGGGCCAAGCCGCCAGCGAGCCCCATCGGGTTCTCGCCCACCAGCGCAACCGACGCGGCCGTGGGCGGGCGTGGGAAGCCAGCGAGGTCGCCCTGAGTCAGCGCACCCGGGCAGCGGACCAGTGGCCGTCGCTGGGTGGCAATAAATCGGTATATTGGGCGGGGCTGTCTGACGGGGCCCAAGGGATTCGCTCGGCTCGAAGCGGACCGCGGAGGATGGCGGCCCGGCGAGGCGGTTCCGTCTGGCGGTTTGGCGGCCAAAAATGTGCAGCCCAAGGATACCAGATCGATCGCGAGGCAGCATCGGCCATGAGGCAGCATCGGTCATGAGGCGGCTCTGGCATCCACAAGCAACCTGCGAATGCCATGGAGGATGGCTGCCGTCACCGAGAGCGAGATCTGCATCTCTCGCGTGGCACTTGCGGTTCGCTCATCGCTTGTCAGAGTACCTCTGGCTCCATCAAGCACCTCTCCGGCTGCCCCTGTCTGTCGTCCTCTACCCCCAAACGCTGTCGGAATCCGAAAGCCTGCCCTCTCGCGCCCACTCGACCATCGGGACCATCGGGACTATCGGGACCATCGGGACTGCTGTCCGCGAAAACCCTGCAGCTCGCTCTGGACCAAGCGGCCATGTTTCTGCAATACAGCCAAAGGACAACGGACACTCGACTGTTACGGCTCGCGAATGGCTCAATAGCCGATAGTACACCGGCGACCCACGCCATTCGGCCAGCAAATCTTGCACAGCCAACGACCAGCATTCCGTCGCTGTTTGGGTGTCTGCCAAAACCAGGACGCACGGTCACGTGGTACTGATCCCGGTTTTCGTTGCCTCTTTGGTGCCTGGCCCGCATCAAGCCCAGATCCCATCCGATCCATCCGATCCATCCGGCTATCGGAGAGGCCTTCTTGCCCTCCATTCCCCGTCCCCGCCACATACCCGCCTGGATTGCTTGCACCCCAGCCGCATGAACACCTTCAACTCCACATTCCACGCCATCCGCTCGGCCATCGCGCAGACGCTCGGGCTGATCTCCAGCAGCGCTTCTGGCTCGGTTCCAAAGCTATCCCAGCGACGAGACGATCAGATTGCCGCGGTCGGATCCCAGAATATCGCAGCGGCCGTGCAAAAGGGCTCCAAGAGCCACTGGGAATATGTCAGCCTGGCCTTTAAATCCATCTGGGAGAGCTACATTGTAAGGTCATCGCAGGGGGTGCCTAATCGCCTTTGCCTATCCAGCCTTAGGCTCAGCGTGGTCTGCTTTCCGACGGCCTCGACTGCCAAGCCGAAAACGCACCCGCGACTAATGCACCGGCTCCTCTGTGCAGAAAGATGCCGAAGCTGAGAGCGACACGCTGTTCCAGCAGCTGTATACACTGCTGGATCTGTCGATATGGTGCTCCGAGCACGGTGGGTTCTATCGAGCATGCTATCACCGCCTCCTGCCAACTGGACGGCACTGGCTCGCTCATATCGGCTTGATTACAGTGCCGGCGGGGCCTGCGTCCTCGGTCCTCGGTCCCAACTCCTGACTCGCCCGGATTTCGATGCCGATCTATCCCTCTCCAGAATACGCCGATGCGGCCCTCTCGCTGAGTCTCCTCGAGGATATCCTCGACTCGGTTACGATCGATGGAGCGGAGCGTCTCCTGGACTACCTTGAAGCCCGACGGGATCGGCTGACGATGGTGCGAGATTTTTGGCTTCCGATATCGTTTGTGCGCTTCGCTTCGGTGCGAGGAACCCGGCGCCGCTTTGGCCCGTGCCAATAACACTTCGGATCCTGGACGGCTCTTTTGTGCACTCATCGATCTCATCTCTCATCCCTCTGCGTCCTATTCTATTGCCTCCCTTTGCTGGACAATGTGTGAATGCAATCTCCGATCAACGGGATTTATTCGTGCCTGCTTCTCAAACCGGATCGTCGCTGTATGCGCTGGATGGCTCATCGTGCACGATATACCCTTCGCGGTGTATCACGGTGCATTGTGCATGGTTTATCATGATGCATTGTGCATGGGCATGGGCATGCACTATCGCTCTCTCGCGGACTCACCGTTGACCCGTAGGGCATGGAGCCATCAAAAGGCAAAGGACTGACCCTGTTGCGAATGTGCAACGAGTATCTCAAGCGGCTTTCAAAGACCAAGCACACCGTGACTTGCGGGCGGATTTTGATCTTCCTGGCCAACGTCTTTCCACTGACCGAGCGATCAGGTGAGTCATTAAGGAGCCCTCTCGTGTCTTATAGGCGGCAGGGCAGTGCAGAGTGCTTTGCTGGGTCCAGGACGAACGCAGTCCCTGATCATATCTCAACCCACGGTTGGAGCCGATGGACCTGAAACCACACCCTCTCTCACCATGCCTTGCAGCATCAGTTGTCATAGCGACGGCCGACAGCAAAAGTTACTGACTGCGAATGCATCTCCTCCCACGATTCGCTGCTCACAGGTGTCAATCTCAAGGGCGATTTCAATGTCGAGAACTTGACCCATTTTGAAGACCTGACAAGCAGTGGTTTGTCGATGGATGTAGATTCGGATGAAGCCGAGCAAGGTAACGAGCTGCACCACATCCACATCCACATCCACATCCACATCCACATCCACATCCACATCCACATCCACATCCACATCCACATCCACATCCACATCCACATCCACATCCACATCCACATCCACATCCACATCCACATCCACATCCACATCCACATCCACATCCACATCCACATCCACATCCACATCCACATCCACATCCACATCCACATCCACATCCACATCCACATCCACTCATCTCACGACCACGTCACCCTGCACCCTCCTCCTGCAATCCACCGCTTCACCGCAGACAAAAAGATCGACGAGCTCTACAAGACGTTTTGGGGACTGCAAAAGTACTTTTCCAACCCGATACTGCTCATCAATCCCGACAACTTTGCCAAATTCCAGCAAGCAACCGAGATCATCTTTACAGAGTTTGATCGTATCTTGCTCGAGATCGACGGTGTCGGAATGGACTTTCCCGGCTCTCGGGCCGACTCGAGCCAAGGCAAGCGCAAACGCGACGCCGAGCGAGCAAGCTCCGATCGCCAGGAGCACTTCTTTCCAAAGTTCCTCACCAGCCGGAACCTGTTTCAACTCGAGGTATGGCGGTCGCTACTACTACGCCATGGCTTGCAACATACATGCCGTATTCATCCCGCTAGAGCAATCGCGATCGCCATCTCCGACTGCCGCTCACTGACTCTGTCGTGACACCGGCTCTGCATCCACAACAGCTCAAGGACCCGCTGCTGAGACGGCAGATCCTCACGCAGTACACCATCGTGCTGCAGTATCTGACGCAGCAGACACAGAAGGAGAAAGAAAGGCTCCAGACCTACTTTGCCGAAAACCCAAAGGCGCAGCCAAACAAGCCCTTGCTGGGCCAGACGATCTCTTCCTTTGCCGGCGCCGCTGCGAGCACCTCCGGGGCGACAGCTGGCATCACAGAGGAGCAGGAGCGCTGGATCAACGACATTCGCTCGCGTGTCGCCAAGATGGTCGAGCGGATTCCGCCGCGTGAACGGTCGTTTGCCAAGTCACTGACGACGCTGGTGTCGCACGAAAAGCACTGGGTATGAGCCAGTCAGTGAGTCGGGAGGATGTCGGCTTGGATATTTCATCGTGGCAGCTTCACCCATACCGTTCCAATCGGCCATTTTTTCGGCGCCATTGCTGATATACGCTCGGCAACGTTGTCTGAGCAGATCAAATGGAAGAACGAGTCCTGCTTGTCGTTTGAGAAGGAGGCTTCCAAGGTCGAAGACGGTCTCCCGAAGCGGAAGCTGGAGGTATGTGTCCTGCCCGCCCGCCCGCCACATTGGCTGCTGCAGAATGACCCGATGCCTGATCAAGACAAAGCGGCAACAATCGCCAGTAACGATCCTCTGCAAATCCGGTACGGCGGCGCTAGGTCTCGTTGGCCACTCAGAAGGACAATATCGGCAATGCCAGACTCAACCGCATGTGGGCGATGGGTCGCGAGATGCAGCACACAATTCAGGACAAGAACCAGAGGTTTGTTTGTTTATCGTCTGGGTGATTGTGTCCGGGGTCCTGTTGGGAGGAGGATATCGAAAGAGATGTTCCGAGAATCGCTCTCCAGATCGAATCGAATCGAATCGAAATCAATCACATCATGTCAGAGTCCCCTCCCCGCCCACGGTGCGCTTTTCGCGCTTCTCGCACAGCCCATTTGCTGACCTTGACAATCCCTGCTCCTCGCTCGATCCCCCCCCCTACCAACCAAAATCGCGACAGAGCCATTGTTCCTTCGCTGGACCAGTTTTTTTACAGCGGCAGCGGCGAACTTGGAATCGATGAGCAGCTCGACGAGAATGGAGAGATTTCGGAGGACTACAAGAGCGAACCCCAATACTGGTGCCATAACAGCACGGTGAGCTCCTCCTCCGCCACCTCCACTTCCTCCGCCACCTCCACTACCTCTACCTCCTCCACCTCCTCCACTACCTCCATCGCCACCATTTGCTCTCGCACACGCTTGCACTCAATACTGTTCGTGATAGCCGTGACTGTTCCTGTCAAATCTGGGATACCAGCGACGTACTGACGAGCCTTGGATGTGATTTCGAATTGACTGCGCTGCTGGCTGTGATATCCAGGGATACAACTGGCGAGCATACCGTCTGGCACTGCGGCACCACGTCCACCTCTTCTCGTCGCTGCTGCCCAAGGACATTTCTTCGCCCAGCTATGAGGCACCCGACCGGGCTCTCAATGCGCGGCACCTGTGCCTTTCGTGGCGTCGCGATAAGCAGGACCTGAGAGCAGGTACGTTGAGCTGTAGGAGGAGGGCTTGGCAGCAGCGTTCGCCACAGCGCCGTAGAAACAGCGGCGTTCGCGGTGGCAGGATCGATATCGCAACGAGCCTGACGAAGCGGGGGCGGGCTGTATCCCTCGACCGTTGGTGTTTATTGTCTCATAGCTCTGGAGGAGCCGAAGGAAAGCCAAGGAACAGAGGACGACGCAAACCCAGAGGACAACAAGGACGATGTCGAAGGAGATATCGAAGGTGATCGTGAAGGCAGCGCCTCCCAACTTTCGAACGAGTCAATCCAAGACACACAGGAGATCCGCGACGACGATGAGGATCGCGCCCGTGTCGGTGACGACGAGGATGTCGACAGCCGGATCCGCAGCCCAGATGACCGAGCCGATGACATTGAAATGTACGATGGCGCCGCAGTCGATCGAGCCAGGAATGACGAGATGGAACCCTCTTCGCTGGACGAGTCGATCGCAGATATGGGTCAGGATGACCGCTCCGAGCGAGGATCGTCGGACGAGGCCATGAGCCTCCAGGAGTTTCCTGAATCGACGCAGGAGACAGAGCAGACCTTTGACAGCAGCGTCGACGACCGCAGCGACGATGCGAGACGCGACTATGATGATGACGATGGCGTGGGTCAGGACGATGCAAGCTCGACTGGGACAAAGGTAGGCGCGAGTGGGGCGAGGGGTGGAGGGGAAGTGCGGTGCTTGGACGTTTGAATGCTTGGACGGCTGTTTCTGTCGCTGCCCTGACTCATGTCGGGTCCAGCAGTATCCCGTCCGTGGTGTCGCGATGAGGTTTCATGCTTGTCTTCGTCTCACCCATGGTTCTGTCTCTTGGGGGTGCATCCACAGCGTTCCGAGCGTATGTCGAGCGACGCACTCCCCGAAGCCAAGAAGCAGCGATCGTCGTAGCAAAGTCGCTGCTCCGAGCATCAGAACATGATCGCTCCCTGGATGTTGACGCAGCTGTATCAATAAATATATATGCAGCTCACACGATGCGATGCGGTACCTGCAGCGGGGTCTGCTCTGTGGACGCTGGAGCCAAAGCACCTTTCTGCCCCCGCCGGCATTCATGGTTCGCCTGGCTCCAAGCATGGATGTCACATGATCTTGACCCAGCAGACCCATCGCTGTTTTCTCTCTGCTCTCCGGCCCGCTCTCTCGCCTCCGCTCCAGTCGCTTTATCACAGACCCAACGGCAAAGCGGCGACGGCGGTCAGTATCCTCCGCGCATCCAGCCCAGGAGTGATCTGCTACCGGCAGACGATACCAACGGCCAAATGAGCGGCCCAGATGCAAACGCCCGTCGGTTCCATCCCTACAACGATCGCTCAGGCGATCGATCTGGCTTGACCTCTCAGCCGAGGCCACCCAGAGCGCCCGGTTCTCAGCAACAACAGTACGACAAACGCCATGCTCCAGGCAACCCAGCCCGATCATCGTACCCTTCGGCTCCATCGCAGCACGACGACCCGTCCCATGCTCGCCCCAGGAGCCACCCAGACCAGCGCTACAGCTCCAACGACCTGCATACCGAAGCCAATCAGTCGCAAACATTGCCGCCCAGTCGCCGAGACTGGGATCGAGATCGAGATCGAGACCGAAACCGAAACCAAAGCCAAAGTCAAAGCCAATACCGAGACCGAGATCGAGAGTCTCGTCCGGATGAACGATATCGCCCGAGGCAGGAGCGCCCTGCAGATCGCAGCCGGCCCGACATCGGTGAGGATCGACGTCCATCACCCTTGTACTCTTCGTCGTCTTCGTCGACGTCGCATTCGGCGCATGGACAATACTCGAGGAACCCGAACCTGCCGATGTCTCCGAGCCGCTCCAGCCAACACTTTCAACCAGGCCGCCCGGTCACGACCAGTCCTGTCAACATGGGTCGTGCGGGCTTGCGGCCGGACAGCACCCACCCAGCTGCGTTTCATGGACGATCCATGCCTCGTGGTGACTCTCGCAATCAGCCAGGGGCTTCGCCAGCGCCGTTGAACACCAGAGGCCCGACCATGAGTCATAGCCCGGTACGGATCGGCTTCGATTACTCGACTCAACCTAGAAGACATTTGCCCTGCACTTACTGCGGGCTCCCGATCGGCGTCCCGGCTGTCCTCCAAGACCCGCGCGACTCCAAGGTGGTCCAGTTTGGCGAGCAGTACAACTCGTATTTCCGAGTCGTCCACCAGAGCGAGCCGGCGGCGCACCACCGATGCTCGGAGCTGGCGATGGAGTGGTTCAAGATGCTGGCGTTCATCAGCCCGACGACGCTCAACCAGCTGACGGCATTCATCGACTATCACGGAAGCGAACACAGCTTCCAGTACGACACGGTGTTGTGCTCAAAGATTGTGTTCAGCAAGGAAATGCAATGGTACGGCCGGCCTCTGGACGACTTTGTGCGGTCGATTGGGATGATCAAGAGGCCTGAGGGGCTGATGCGGACGTTGAAGGCCAACTGGGCAAACAAAAACGCCCGAAAGCCGGACGATCCGATCTACTTTCGGCCAGAGTCCAACGGGAAGATCGACACCCTGCTCGTGGACAGCGATATTGGGATCATGCTCCGGATCCTATCGCATATGCCGATGAAGGAGCTACTGAACTATCGACTGGTATCGAGGTCGAGCAATTACTTTGTGCGGTATCTGTCGCAGCCGATCTGGAGGGGTTGGATCGGATTCCACGGACTGATGCCATGCGGGTCGGACCACCAAGGAGATAGGGGCAGCGGGGGTTGGCCGAACGGGCGGAACGAGCAGCGACACCAGCATCAGCTGCACGGAAATCGGGCGCCAGGAGGTAGCCAACGCCCGATGACGATCTCGGAACTTGGCCAGGCCATCCGCAACGAGCGATTGGATCTGTTTGAGTACCTGAGACAGTCGTGGGGCAACGAGTCGATGCGTAATCGCATGAGAGTCCGGGATGTGGTGCGACAGTTTGAGAACTTGTATACGTGGAATAAAGAGCAGCTGGCTTGAAGAAGATGAATGCAGTGGGGGAGATGTGGTCGGAACACGGAGTGGGAAGGTGTGGTGGATTGTTTGACGAAGCAGTGCCGTTGGTGGCGTGTCCGAGCGAGCAGGCCTTGAGGCGGACGACAGCAGATACTTGTTGGGAATGCTTCTTGGGTGGTTTGGGAGGGAGTTTTGTCAAACGAGGGGCACGTTCCCACGCAGCCAGCGCCATCGGAAGAGCCGGAAAGGCGTGAGTCACCGAATGACTGTCGGTTGTGGCGAGCGACGACTGTGACCAGATCGAAGGGAAACCCGCCCCGGCCGCCACCAAACGACGCCAGAGAGCCGCTTGAAAGGAAAGAAAGCGGTTGGAAATACGGGTGTGATGGCAAAGGCGTGTGCGTCCGATAGTCGTGGATGGAGAAGATGGGTGTGGTGTGCTTGCGGAATCCAGGGTCAAGAGCAGCAGCCGGCGATCCAGGCGGGTCGACACGAGGCAGCTCCGGCGACCGTCTGTTCTGGTCCAACACCCACCACCACCCACCACCCACCACCCACCACCCACCACCGACAGCAAGGGCGGTATCGACCGAGATGCAGCGGTGCCACGATCAGAAGCACATTGCGCTCTGCTGCGACCCCGGCCAGCCGAGAACAGCAATCCGCAGAACATTGCTTTCGCGACGCAGGGGTGCCGCGCACATGATGCCCAGGAGGGTCAAGCCGGATCCCCCCTTGCAGCGGCGGACGGACATTGGGCGGCGGGAACAAGCGCGGCTGTATCCAACACAGCGACACGTTCGCGGGCCGGCACGCGCGGCGGTTGGTGCTGCGCCGACAGTCCGTGCGCTCCAGCGTTGCACAGCGCCTCGACACGCGTCTGGTGCTGCAAACAAGCGACACGGCGCGCCAGCACCGGGAGCCCGCGTCTGCGGCCGCTCCTTGTTGGCGCGTGCATTTGCCCGAAATCGCCGCATGTGTTGCTGTGGTGGGCCTGTGTCGCTTGGGGGGGTTGTGTTGCCAACACACAGACAACACAGTCCACTACAGCCACTACAGACAGCACAGACAGCACAGACAACACAGTCCACAGACAAGGCAACAGTACAGCTGTCCCCTCCCGCGCCGCAGCCGCACCCCTTGCTGGGTGTGCACCGACCCACTGTCCTGGCAGCGGCGCGGATTGGTTTACCGCAACTCCATGGCGCCGTTCGTCACTCGCTGCGCTGTCCTTTGGCTGCGTTGTCCTTCGGCTGCGTTGTCCTGCGTTCCCCCAACGCAGTTCTTCTGTCCCGGCACTGGCCGCTCTTCTGCCCACTGTTCTGTTACTTGTTCTCTTCGGCTCTGCACGCGCTGCTTCGGCTTTCCCCGGCTGTCTGTTGGCCACCACAATCGTCCCTGGCGGCTGAGTCTCGGCGATATCCCGGCTGCCCTTCTGTCTTTTGCACCCATCTCCTGCCTTCCGGTGCCTTTCTATCGCTCGTCTGTCTGTTCGCTCGTCTGCCTGTTCGCTCGCTGCTTCCAGCGCCTGTGTCTCCTGTCGCTGTGCTGGCTCGTTGCCCGGACCCAGGTCTCTCCATCAGTATCGACTCCTTTGGTCTGCTGTCGCTATCTGCGGCCGTTGACGGCGCTTTCCGAACAACAGTGGCACCTTTACCTCGCAAACGGAGCCGCAGCCGCAACCGCAACCACCGTCTTGGTATCCGTTTCGTCTCTCTCTCTCGATTCCATCCCGATTCCATCCCGATTGTAGACCGATTCCATCCCGATTGTAGACCGATTGCAGACTGGGGGCTGTTCACATCGCTTCTGCCACCGGCCTCCCCCAACGTCTCCACCGCCGCCCTTTTCCCTCCCCGTTCCCCTGCTTGCCCTGCTTGCCCTGCATCTCGATCCGTCCCCATCCATATCTCCTGGCCAACACTCCCACTCGCACCCACGCCGTCCCTGCCTCCTTCCATAGCCTCTCCATCGGCCTCTCCGCATGCAGTCCGATCCTGCTGATCGCAACACCAAGGGCCTGCTGGTGGTCCCGCCCATCGGCCACTCCCGCCAGCCCTCCTCCGTCAGCCCCAGCACCTCGGTGACGCTCACTCCCCTCGACGGCTCTGTACACGGCTCCTCGGCCTCGACGGCCCTGCTCATCAACAACTCGGGCACTCCCGAGCCTTCGGCCTCGCACCGGCGCACTTGCTCGTCAGGGCCCTCTCGGCTATCGCAGCAACTTGTGTCTGCGACGTCGTCACCGTCGCCGTCACATCCGCTGCAACACTCGGAATCGCCACGGCTTCAGTCTGCATCCGACCCACTCGATACACCCGCCCAGCAGACCGAGCATCACCAGCCACAGCCAGCCGATGTCGCAGCGACAGCAGCTCTCGCAGACGACCCCAATCCCGATCCACCCCGTCTGACCACGCTCCGGAGTCGCTGGACCGAGCTGAAGCGCATCTGGCGGCGCTGCAACCGCATCCAGCTGTCCATGTCCTTCGAGCCGGTCGAGTGCGGTCTGCTGCTGCTCTGGTACATCATGCATCTGATCACCACACCCATGTTCATCTTCTGGCTCTTCAACCAAGCCCGCGGCGATCCCGACCACTCCATGATGTTCGGCTTCTCGCAGCACGATCACATCTTTGCTCCAGGTCCACCGCCTCCCAGTCCAACCCCGCCTCCGCTCGGCGGCCCTCAGCCCCCAAACAGCCCGAACCCGATCCAGTCCTCGTGTCTCAGCAACCACATGAATCTGCTCCTGAGCCTCACCATCCTCACAGCCTTGGATCTTCCTCGCCTGCCACTGTTGGCCTTTGTCTACACCCGGCGGTCCTGGAGACGCTCGACTCCCCTGAAGGTCTTCTGGGTCGTCAACGCCTTGCTGTGGCTTGCGCTCTTTGCAATCTCTGCGACCTGGTGGCTCTCGGATCTTGCCTGCCTCAGCACCCCGCTCACTGCCCAGGCAAACACCTCGCTCGTGCTCATGATCGTCACCTCCAGCCTCGACATTGTCTGCTTCATCGTCTGGCTCCGGAGCTTCTACAAGCATTACAAGGAGTATATGCACCGCCGCCAAGAGCGGGCCCATGCAGCGCATGCCCACGGAGCCATGGGCATCCGCCTCGTCGAGCGCGGCTTCTCCGAGTACCAGCTCGACACCCTGCCTCAGATTGTCTTTGACTCGTACCTGATCAAGCAGCTGACCATATCTTCGATCCGGACAACGCCACGCTCGGCCATGATCGAGAGCGAGCTGGATGCCGAAGTCGACTCGGACCACGAGCACCTTCCCGAGCCGAGCTCTCACCGGCTGTTCCACCGCCGTTCCAACGCAGACATCGACGACCGGACGCCCTCCAGCGCCGCAACGCTGACGTGCGATCTCACCTTGTTGGATTCCGGCACTGGCCCGCGAACAACATCCTCTGGCCATCCGCGAACAGGGCTCTTCCAGAACCAACGGCCCGAGGAGATTCCGATGAAGCATACCTCCAGTCAATCGACCACCGATAGCAGGTTCCATTGCGGGACCGAGACGTGCCCAGACCACATCCCTGCCGAGCGCTCGACCTCGCTTCAGTCGCAATTCGATCTGCGCGTACCGCCGCCCGCCGCCCGCCGTGAATCTCGTCACGATATCCTGGGCGAACCTTCGACTCCCTCTGCGGGCGATCCACGGACGCAGAAATTGCGACTGGACTCGGCCGGCATCACAGCGCGTGCCGAGTCGGGCCATCGCCTCGACCATCTTGGATCTGACTTCCACTGCGCCATTTGTCTGACCGACTACCAGATCAACGAGATCCTCCATGAGCTTCCGTGCTGTCACCGGTTCCATGCCGAGTGCATCCGGTACTGGCTCTCTGAGAACGGCGCCCACCACAACACATGTCCTCTCTGCAAGTGCGTTCTTGTCTGGGGATGAGGTGCCTTTGCCCCAGGCGTTTTCCCTGGCTGCCCAGGCCAGAGTCTTCTACCTCGACCAACGGCCCCTTCCTTCTTGTAGACTGCTACAATAGCTCCCCCCCCCCAGCATCAATCGACACTGACGACACTTTGCTGGAAAGTGCATTCCTAGAAGGTCGCCGATCGCGCTTCGATAGCACAACATAGGCTGCATCGATCGAGCCTCTATCGGAAGCGCCAGTATGACACCTGGAAAACAAGCTGCCAGCAACGATAGACGGATTCAATCGCTTGTTTCAGTGGGCACCGGTGGTCGACAGCGACTGCTCTGACTGAGCCAAGCGAGATATAGCAAGCAAAAATAGCAATCCTTTCTGCCGCAATATGACCCCGGCATAGTCTCCTGATGCCTTTGCTCTCATCCTCGCCTTCTTTCCCTGCAAATGCTCTTTCCCCCCCCCTTGACCAACTCTGTTTTTACTTCTTCTGACCGCTCCATCCCCATCTCCATCCTTCTCCTGGCCCACCTCACCCACACTTCCCGCCCAGTACCATATAAAATGAACGCGCTTCCGGAACTTCGTTCGGCTTCCCCCCAAAAAAACTGCCCGTATTCCAACATGCAATCCCAGTGAGACTCCTCTCATCAGACGGCTGATGCCAGCGGGACAATATCGCTATCGAGAGCCATGCTGCGATGCGCTGCGTTGTGGTTTGTGCTGGAGTGGAGCTGCTGAACCCGCCAGCCCACACGCATGAAACGAGTGGAAGGGCGGCACGGCTCGCGAGCCGCGTTGGCTTCCATCTTTTGCTTCATCAGCATTCTCTGTCCAGCACTGCCACCAGCACATCTCCTTTGCGACCAAGCAACCGGCATTCCAAGTCGCAAATATCTGGCTGTCCCCACTACGATCCTCAAGTCCACCGAAATTTGCTTGTATCTCGATCCGCTGCCGAAATCCTTATCCGCTTTCCTCCAAAGCCTTTCGCCAGCAGCCAGCAGAGCTTCCTATCACCCTGTCTCTTCCTTGCACATCTGCGTGGCACTGGACCGACGCTTGCGATGGAAAATGAAATGGTGACCCGTCTCCGGAGCTTCCTTCAGCGACAAGTCCGGGTTGTCATCACGGACGGACGGCGATTCGTGGGTTGCTTCGTGTGCATCGACAAGGCCAAGAACATCATCCTGAGAGGAGCCCAGGAGTTCAAAAATGGCACGTCGTGGCTTTGGCTGCTCAGACCCTATTATGCTCTGCACTGCCCTGGCTTGCACTGCCCTGGCCTGGCTTGCACTGGCTTGCCGGGCGTTGCTCCACATCCTTGCATCTCTGTTTGCTGCTCTGTTCTTGGCTCGGACTGATGCCACACCAGCCTTTTTGAATCACCTTCCTACCCCACTCTTCGCCGCATACGAAAGCACGATGTATCGGATCTCGACGTAGACCTAACTCGATTGCATCTCCCACAGATGATATCCGATACGTGGGACTCATCATGATCCCGGGCAAGCATGTTGTAAAGGTACGGCTGCTTTTCCTGCCACGACACCGCCGCGGGGGACACATCTCTGGGCTGGGGCAGGAATCGAGCTATGGAATCGAGCCGAAGTTGGCTGAATCGAAGCGAAGAGCCAACACGGCACTGATCGGCTTTGTGTCCTCTCTTGGCAGATCGAGCTGAGGCACGAGCCTCCGAAAGATGAAGCCTTTCAGGAGGACCTGCTGGAATACATATGAAGCTTGGCGCCGATCCTCTCCAGGGCACCGCTTCGGCCGCCTCAGCTTGTGCCGCCGTTGCTGCCGTTGCTGCCGTTGCTGGCCGGTCGATCAGCGGTATTGGCAGCCCAGAGCCAAATCCAACAACCCGGGAGGGCTGGACGCGGCAACCCTGGCGCCGAAAGCCCTCGCTGCCCGCGGCCAACCCTAACTTTTTTTTTCATTTTCGGGCTCGCTATGGCCAAACACATACTCTTTTCTCCACCCTTTTTTTCACATCGGGCCCGATCAAGCGCGAGGCAAGAACCGCAGCATCCTGGATCTCCACATCGTCGTCGGCCGTTTGCGAAACAGGATCTCCGATACGCCTCGATCCCTTCTCCACATACACTCACATACGGACAGACATCAAATCCTGTTCAATTTCTTCTTTGTGTGTCTGTTTGTTCATTCGTTCGCTCATTCTTCCATTCGTTCGTTCATTCTTCCATTCGCTAGCCAGTAAGCTTGTTCGTTCCATCCGGTCTCTGGCCACACACGTCTTCCACAACACACCCCCGATCGTCGTCACCATGCGCCCTATCGAGCGATATCGCAAAGCCGTCACCCTGCGGCCCCCCAAGATCCAGGAGGCCACCCCATGTGCCATCGAGCTCTCGACCCTGTTCAATTGCTGGCGAGCAACCGAGGTCGACTCGCCAAAGTGTGCGGCCTCAGCCAAGGCCCTGATCCAGTGCATGATGAAACCCGTGAGTAGGCACTGGAATCGCCCTGGGCCTTGCGAGTGAGGATAGCGAGACCACAGAGCAGCAGAGCAACAAAGCAACAGGACAGCGGAGGCTGAAGGAAACGATCGTGCTCAAGATCGTCCTCGATCACGATGGGATGTGTGAATCGGCAGACCCGCTGGTCCGCAGATCTCGCCCTCGCCCTCGTTGCGCTGCGCTGCGTCGAATACCATCGCTCATACGCCTCCTCTCGCGATCCTTCTACTTTCCTCCCTGCACCAACCCACTCCATCCATCGAATGGTTTCTGCGTCAATCCCTCAATCCGTCGACGATCACGATCCTCGAACACCTACGGCCTCCCTCAACTTCCCCTCACGGCCATCGCATTTGCCGGGATACAGACTACCCGCACAGCCCAAGGAGAAAAGATCCACGACCTCAACGCCTGGCTGCTGAAGCTGAGAAGCGGAAAACGATTCTAATACAACACCCATTGCCTCGCCTTCGCCTCCATACCGACTGCCACAGCACAAGCACGCTCGCCGTTCCTCTTTCCATCTGCATCTGCATCTGCATATGCATCCGTAATCCCAGATACACCCCGCGCTTTGGACGATAGGAGCGGATGCATTCCCAGGATCTATAGAAGTGATTCGTGCTGTATGGCACATGACTTGGGAGGAGAGGAGTCGGGAGCAAGTTTTGTCAAGGCAGCAATGGCACTGGAAGCGATGAGGGCGGATGAAGGCGAACCTCCAAAGGCATGCACTGGAATGGATATTGCCGAAGGCAGGACTAGCAGGCTCAGGGCTCCTACAGAGTCTCGGTATCCCATCGACGTACTGCGTCCAGGAGGTTCTCGTAGATCAAAAACATCACCATCGACTGCAGCCCCGTCCATGCCGTCCGGGCCCGGATGCCGCTGAACAGACCCTGCAGGCCGTTTCGCTCGTAGATGCCGAGCAGAGCCGAGAAGACGCCGCGATAGTACGTAGCCTGGACCGCGGGAGCTTCTGGCGCCGTCTTGATGTTGGAGATGAATGACGGCGACGAGATTACCGTGATCGGTTGGGCGGCTGCCCGCTCGCCGCCCTTGAGCAGCGCTATTGACGGCCCCGATGCGGCGTCCGGGTTGATGCGCTGGAACCGTGAGCCGCCTGTGGAGGCCGCCCGCTTGCTCTGTGTCTGCAGATATGTCTTGACAACGTCCAGCGGAGTCGTCAGGGCTCCAGCCAGGGCTCCCGCAGCAGCTCCAGAGACAAGATCGTGGACTATGGTCAAGGCAGTCTCGTCGCCGTCGCACTGGTATTGGACAAAGAATGATTTGATGGACTCTGTGGATGAAGAAGGTTCGAAGCAGGACGCCGTGGGGAGGATGGATGATGGATGGATGGACGGATGATGATGGAAGAGACAATCGACATCACACAGACGACGTTAACGGGAAACGCCCGCTGGCAGCAACAGACCGAATCCAACACACCGTCAACGGCGGTATCGAAAGTGGCTGCAGAATCCGTACCGTAGAATGTGAACTGGATAGCCGTCGTGGGTACGTCTCGGGCAATAGTGGCGCCCCAGCCGCGGTACAGGCCGACGATTCCCCTGGACTCGAGGATCTGGACGGGAGCACAGTCGCAAAGGTATGATTGAGAATTCCACAGTCAGTTGGCCAGGCCGATGGAACCATGCCACTTTGCCGCTCGGCGAGAACCATACCGTCCGGAGAGCGTGCCATGTGCCGCGGTAGTTGTGTAGCGAGACAGAGTGGGGGTTGTTGAAGCTGCCTTGGAGTTGCAGCCGGGTCTTGACCATCTGTCGTCGGCCGGGTTGCCAACACGATGGATCAGCCACGAAGCAAGTGAAATCAGCGCCCAGTCCCGTTCATGCCAAGATCATAAAACAAGGGGAGGGTTGCATTCCATGCCGTCCGCCCTCCCCCGACAGCCCCATCATGATCGAGTTCCAATCCAGGCACTCACCTCCATAGGAACATAGAATGCACTCGCGATGGTGTCGGCCGTTGCACTGGCAATAAAGAAGCTTGCTACTGGGTTGACGCCGTCCGCCAGGAGTCTGCGCTTGATCGACTCGTAGAAGCCAAAGTAGGCTGCGGTCGAGAGCACCGACCCGGCGGCGGCAGCACCAAGCCCCGAAAACAAACTCTTTGGCCCTTCTTCCTGGATGATGGTTCGAAATGACTGGATGAGGCCAGAGTACTTGGTGCCGTTGCTGGTCATTTGCCCTTGCTGCAGGGCCGAACGAGAGAGAGGACACGTCGGTGAGCTTTTGATGCATGGGCGAGTTCCGATGCGCCCAGGAGATCCAGGGTGCCGATGCCTGCTCTTTCGCCACAAGATACTCTGTCTGTGCCAATGGTAATGGCCGGAGCCAGTTGACGCAATAGACGATACACACCATGCGGGTCTTGACTGTATCCAAGCTGGCATTGATCGATCGGGGAGGGGGCAGCGGAATAGAGCGGAGTCGAGCGGGATCGGTTGAGATATTGCCCACGGGCTTGGTCTCGGCCGCCGTCCAGTGCAAGCTGCGCTCTGCTCGACATATTAGCATGACGCAGCCGCCTCACCTGTGCATCAGCGAATCCGATATACCGGCCGCCACGGCGCCGCAGACGATGGCCTGTGGGATATGTCACGTCCATGCAGGAAGGATGGCGCAGAAGCGGTAAGGAATCGGCGGTTGGCGGCAGCGTGGTGAGAGGACGACATCGACCCTGTCGAGTGCCGACCAGGAAGACACTGCTGGGGCCGTCATAGCCGGTGCTAGCAAGGGAGCAGAGCAAGTCCAGGCAACCCAAGACAGGTCTTGGCAACGCACGACAAACAGCCGAAAGCCAGGCCAGGTGCTGGCCAGCATCGGTCGGCCACAGTCCGTGCGATTAACCAGCCGCACGACAGCACAAAGCAAGCCACAGAAGACAGCATTGTGCAGTGTAAACGACGCTGTTGCTCGACGGGACGGCGCCAAGAGAAGCGAAACGGCGAGAAGCAAGTCCGGGATGGCGACATTACATATGGCAGCGGAGCCTGGTATGGCGGCGCATGAGGCCGAGGCTCTTCCAGTACCGACTGGATCGGGATGGTGCTGGACGACATGGCTTGCCGAGGTTTGAAGGCGGAAGCGTCGAGGGAATGGGAGATGCCGGCTTGGCTTGGTTTGGCTTGCTGATTTGGCGTGCCGATGAGACCAGGGGCAGCAGGAGCGATCCAGCGAGAGCAGGCAACCGATGGAGGTGGCGAGCAAGGGCCGAGAAAGGACAGGGACGACCGGGGCGGCGGCTTGAGATGCAGACGGCGACTGGATGCCCAACCGTATGGACCGACGACGCAGCAGCGTGGAGACGACGGATAATGGCAGCGACGGCGACAGCGATGAAGGCAACCCGGACGATCTGGCGATGGATATGGGCTGTGGCGGGTTCGTGGCCGATTCGCGGCCGATTCGTGGCCGATTCGCGGCCGATTCGTGGGCGGTGCGGCCACGTATGGCCGCTTTGTGGGCGACACGTGAGTGCGCCGGGAGCGGCCGCGAATCGCATGCCGCTGCGCATGCTGCGCATACCTGGTCGGGTGGCGATTGGCCGGGAGACTGCTGCGCGCATCATGAAACCCAAACCACGGCCGACGACCTGAATCATGAACACCCACGCCCTTGCCGCCCGCCGAAGCGGCTCGATGGCGCCTCAAGCGAGCGCTATCTCAAGACGAGCGCTGCGATAGTAGCTTGAGCGATCACTCTGCCGCTGATGCTCCGGCCGTGGGTCAGCAACTCTATTCAGCTTCGATTCGGGGCTTCTGACGTGTCGACATGGATTATTCCCATTCCCTATCGTGCGCAGAGTGCCGCATGCCATCGGCTCAATACGATGCGAGCCTCGCCTGCCAGTGTTGCTGCACCTTCTCGATGATCGGTCCAGCCGCGCTCAGAATGCTGAGTGCGGCACGGCCAGAGTTGGTCCATGTGGTTCTCACAGTCCGGCGGCACCCGACCATGGGTGGAATGGGGGGGTGGGCGAGGCTGTACGGGTCTTGTTCGCCAATTGTCCGCTGACAGAGACCCTTTTCCCTTTCGGAGGAAGGCGCAATGCGCCATGCGATGCTGTTCATGGACCACACAGACAGGGGTGCCTTCTCGTGATCCGCCAGACCCGTCCTTCTCACCAGCCCAGTCATGCGCTGCGCTCCGGCTCGGATCCCTGCATGCTCTCTGTCTGTCGTTTGTCATTCGAGATTACCCGCTGTCGATGCGGTCCATTCTGTCCTAGTTGAGCCGCAGCCTGACGTATGATTTCCTCCAGTCGCCTCCACATTCGTCCCATTCCAGAATCGACATTGTGTAAATTGACGGCCCAGAAACAAACAACTCCCCAAAGCGGCACCATCTCCACTTGGGGCATGATCCGTCTCCACTCCGTTGCACTCCCGCATGACCAACTGGATCCACCCCGCATCCTGCGTGCCGCATGGGGTTCCGAGGGCCATAAATACCGATGCAGTTCCCAGCCTCCTTCGACCAGCACCACATCCGCCGAGCTCGACCAGCCGCCTCTTGGAGCAACACCCGCCTCTCCACTACTCTCACCAACCCTTCTCCAGCCATGCTCTCACTCAAGTCCTCTGTTGTCCTGCTCCTTGCCCTCGCCGGAGCTGCCTCGGCTGCTCCCAAGCGCAAGAACACCGTCCCCAACAAGCCCGTCGTTGCTCCCACCAAGCCTGCCATTCGCCAGAAGGGTATCCACTACAAGGACGGCATCTTCCCTGCCCCCAAGGTCGAGGAGATTGCCGCTGCCTCGTCCAACGGCCTGACCTACTACGGCGGCCCGGTCATCGCCAACATCGACGTCCACCCTATCTACTACGGCGGCAACGTCAACTACCAGAGCCAGATGGATACCTTCTACAGCGCTATCGTTGGTTCTCCCTACATCAGCTGGCTCTCCGAGTACAACACCCCCACCCAGAACATCGGCACCGGTACCTTCTCGGGCTCGATCACCCAGAACTCCGGCCTCAGCACCTCCACCAGCGATGATTCCATCCAGGTATGCTCTGCTTGTGTGTCTGTTCCAGCGACCTCGCACACTGTCACTAACTGGCTTGCATATACCTCTGTTCATTGCAGACCTGGCTCCGCGGCCTTGTCAAGAGCGGCACCCTCAAGCCCACTGCCAACACCTACTACCCCATCCACTTTGCCCCTGGATACACCATCACCATGGGCGGCGATGCCTCTTGCTCCACTTTCTGCGCCTACCACAGCACCATCGATGTCTCCGACATCAGCTCGACCAAGTACCTCTACTACGGCATCATGCCCGACCAGGGTGGTTCCTGCGCTGGCGGCTGTGGCAGCGATCCCTCGGCCCTCAACAACCTCCAGTCCGTCTCGTCCCACGAGCTCGTCGAGGCTCTGACTGATGCTGCTGTCGGTGTCGCTACTGGCAGCACCGTCGCTGCACCCATTGCCTGGTACAACTCGGCCAACGGCGAGATCGGTGATCTCTGCAATGCCCAGCAGGCCACCGTCTACGGCACCGACGGCAAGACCTACTATGTTCAGAAGCAGTGGTCCAACTCCCACAACGGCTGCTATGCGCCCACCGGTGTCCAGCCCTCCAAGACTACCGGCGGTCCCTCCAAGACCACAACGACCACGACCACCACCACGGCCAAAACTACCACCAAGTCCACCAAGACCAAGACCACAACGACTACCACGACCACCGTTGCTCCCACCCCCACTGGCCTGCCCCACGAAGGCGGTGCTTGCGGTGACGAAGATACCTACGCTTGCGGAGACCAGAACGATATTCTCTACTGTCTGGGAACTTGGTTCCAGCTCGAGGTTTGCTCCAGCGGCACCAGCTGCATTGAGGGCGACTACTATTACTGTGGTTGAGGGAGTCACCATCCTTTCATCCAACATGACTGAGGTTCCTCAGATGTGGGTCTCATATGGTGTGTTTCAGATCAAATTCTATGAGTGATCGTTGCGAGGGGAATATAGTATCACGATTCAGTCTGTCGCTGCTAGCAGCATTGCCGAAATATAGGAAAGGGGAAAGCCTTTATTTGAAATTCGTCGAGTTCATGGGCACGTTGACTCTTCGGTGAGAAATCCAAGAGATTGTTGCAGGCACATTGCGATTGAGAACAGAGCCACACGGCTGTCGGGAACATACTCGCTCGATGCAGGCCGAGTATCTCGGCGATGGCCTTCATGGAGCATCCGCAGCTGTGTTGACGAAGGAGAGCCGGGGTCTGCGACAGATGTTCGCAGTGGCAAATGTAATGCCGATGCTGATCTGGACAATTGGTATCCATGAATGAGGAAAGTGCGGCGCTTTTTGGTGTATTGGAATACACGGAATGGCACATACGGCACAGCCAGCAACTGTCGCTTCATCGGGATCGTGTTTTTGGTGGTGTTAGCGGCGCGATCGCTCAGCTGGGTCGTTGCATGTTCGGTGCTGCAACTGGATAGATCGTGAGTGAAACGCGAGTGTATCTCGGGAATCAGGGCCAAGAGCCAAGAGCCAAGAGACTGTTGATGGCACCTCCGTGACCATGGCCGGCGGACTGGCGATACCAAAAAAGAGCTGTGTCGATGTTCTTGGCGACACCCCAGCCATTGTGGTAGCAGTTGCCGATTGAGTACTCGCCGTATCGGTTACCCTGCTCGCCCGACTTGCGGAACCACTCGGCTGCCTTGGTGTCGTTCTTGGCGACTCCGGATCCAGAGCGGAAGCAGTCTCCAACCATCCATTGTCCGTATGAATTGCCTTGGTCGGCAGACTTGCTGAAACATTCGAATGCCTTCTTAGGGTTTTCCTGTCTGCTCCAGCCGTTGAGGAAGCAGCAGCCAATCCAATATTGGCTGTCGCTGTGGCCTTCGTTGGCAAGCTGCTCAAAGATGCACGCAGCCATCTCTGCGTTCGCTGCCGTTCCGAATCCGTTGATCAAACACACGGCCACGAGGTGCTTGCAGAGCCAGTCTCGCTCCGATCCCAGCTGGCACAGCTCAAAGAACTTGCGGGATTCGAGCGAATCGGATTGGGAGAATACAAAAGCGGCAAGACAGTTGTCTTCCCCAAGCTCGAACTCATCCGATTCGTTGTCACGGATGATCTTGATTCCCTTCTGCTCGTCTCGTTCGGTACCCCGGCCAAGGTAATGCATCCATCCGACCATGTGGGTGGCGATGGTCTTGATGACTGGGTTGGTGGACTGGGTGCTGACTTCCTGCCAATGGTGCACGGCATCGACATTGCTCTGTGGGATGCCATAGTTGATAAACGGGAGCCATCCTCGAAGAAACAAGACATGGAGTGAGCCATCGCCGTTCCCTTGATGGGCAGCCTTGGAATACCACTTGGAGGCTGCGGTACTGTCCTGCTCGACCCCAAGGCCGCTGTCGTAGCATCGACCAAGGCTGATCTGAGCTTGAAGGATACCCCTGTTCGCAAGACTGCAATACAGTTCGACAGCCTTGGTGGAATCTTGGTCGACTCCGTGGCCGTTTTGATAACATTTCGCCAGATGGAACTGGGCCATTGGATGGCTTGAGTTTGCAGCAGTTTCGAGAAGGTCAAAGACTCTCCGACTCTTGGCCTCCACACGGAGCGGCCTCATTCCACCACGATCGATCTCGACTTGGAGAATCCTTGCCAGGAGATATGAGGCAGCGGCATTGTCCCAGCTGGACTGATTCTCAAGCCAGGATCGATCGGCTTCAGCCTGATCCTTGCAGTGAAGCGAGAGGGAGATCTGGTCGCTCGGGGTGAGGACGATTCGGGGTGATCTGTCAGGACGACACAGGCCTGCCTTCCTGCACCAGCTGTGTAAACGAGCCACCTTGGAGCTCAGGAGAGGATGGGCTCGTTTGCACACCCGCAGGAGGGTCTTGATGGTGGCCAGGTCGAGGGCAAGCTGGAAGCACTCGTTGAAGCAGACGATGGTGAAGATGTCTGGGCTGTGGTCGTTGGTGGCCAGTCGAGCCATGTCTGAGGAGATACGGACACTGGCAGCCATGATGCGTCGATGTGGGTATGAGATGCGAGGATGAAAGGCCAAGCCGGCCCAAGCAAAGTGACAAAGTCAAGGAATCGAAATGGTGGCGGAGCCGGGGCACATGATCATGGTGTGCAGGTCAATCACAGAGACCGAGTGTCGAACTGGCTTGGATGTTGTCGCATCGATTGAATTTGGCTCGTTGAGCGGAGGCTGCAAAGACAATAGCCCATAGCCCATATGTAGGCGTAGTATGAGATGGACCAAGCCACAAGAAATAGACCGGATCACTTTGGCGGCCTCTGAGTGAAGACACTGGGCCGCTCTCGGGTCTCCTCCATCATCTCCATTCGCCCTCGCAGAATCCACTTTCCTCTCATCCTCCAAAAGCTTCGCCCCACCCCTTTAGCCGTCCCTCTCCTTCGTCGTCTACATGGCCAGCAGCAGCACTTCTGATACGACCGGGTCAGCCCTCATGTATCCCGACATCTTCACCATCGTCTGCTTCAACGAGTGCTTCCAGCTTGCCCTCGACCTGGCCACCATCAAGACCCTCCTGCGGGTGTGCAAACGAGCCCATCCTCTCCTGAGCTCCAAGGTGGCTCGTTTACACAGCTGGTGCAGGAAGGCAGGCCTGTGTCGTCCTGACAGATCACCCCGAATCGTCCTCACCCCGAGCGACCAGATCTCCCTCTCGCTTCACTGCAAGGATCAGGCTGAAGCCGATCGATCCTGGCTTGAGAATCAGTCCAGCTGGGACAATGCCGCTGCCTCATATCTCCTGGCAAGGATTCTCCAAGTCGAGATCGATCGTGGTGGAATGAGGCCGCTCCGTGTGGAGGCCAAGAGTCGGAGAGTCTTTGACCTTCTCGAAACTGCTGCAAACTCAAGCCATCCAATGGCCCAGTTCCATCTGGCGAAATGTTATCAAAACGGCCACGGAGTCGACCAAGATTCCACCAAGGCTGTCGAACTGTATTGCAGTCTTGCGAACAGGGGTATCCTTCAAGCTCAGATCAGCCTTGGTCGATGCTACGACAGCGGCCTTGGGGTCGAGCAGGACAGTACCGCAGCCTCCAAGTGGTATTCCAAGGCTGCCCATCAAGGGAACGGCGATGGCTCACTCCATGTCTTGTTTCTTCGAGGATGGCTCCCGTTTATCAACTATGGCATCCCACAGAGCAATGTCGATGCCGTGCACCATTGGCAGGAAGTCAGCACCCAGTCCACCAACCCAGTCGTCAAGCCCATCGCCACCCACATGGTCGGATGGATGCATTACCTTGGCCGGGGTACCGAACGAGACGAGCAGAAGGGAATCAAAATCATCCGTGACAACGAATCGGATGAGTTCGAGCTTGGGGAAGACAACTGTCTTGCCGCTTTTGTATTCTCCCAATCCGATTCGCTCGAATCCCGCAAGTTCTTTGAGCTGTGCCAGCTGGGATCGGAGCGAGACTGGCTCTGCAAGCACCTCGTGGCCGTGTGTTTGATCAACGGATTCGGAACGGCAGCGAACGCAGAGATGGCTGCGTGCATCTTTGAGCAGCTTGCCAACGAAGGCCATGGCGACAGCCAGTTCAGGCTGGGGATGTGCTATCGGTATGGCTGGGGCGCACGGAAAAGTTACTCAAGGGCAATTCGGTGGTTCCGCAAGGCAGCCGACCTGGGGAACTCGTATGCACCGTGGATGGCCGGCCAGTGCTATCATTACGGATACGGAGTCACCACGAACTACGAAAAGGCAGCCAAGTGGTACCGCAGGTCCGCCAAGCGGGGCAACCGATATGGACAGTGGCAACTCGGCTACTGTTACAAGGATGGATTTGGCGTCAAGAGCGACATCGACAAGGCAAAATACTGGTACCGCAAGGCAGCCGACCAAGACTTTGATATCCCCGCCATCTCACTCAGAGAGCTTGAAAATGTACGCTAATCTGCAGTCCATGTGCTGCTATCGAACAAACAAGCAAGTGAAGCGTTTCATCCATTGCAAGCGCCCGAATGTCCACATCCAATGAACCTTCAGCGTGACACTCGCGAAGCGGCGATAGCTGAATGGAATTGTGTTTGACGCTCAATACATTCAATTCAGCCAATATAGAACACCGTGCTGCCCATTAAAATCGCTGATCTTGATCAACCGAGAGTGGCATCGAATGGCTCGACAGCGAATGCTCGGCCGGCTATGGCCAGTGATGTTGTCGCACGCCTTGATTCCTGACACTCTCTGGAGAACACTGCGGCTGTTGATCAAGTAGAAATGTATTATCTCAGCCAATCCCACGAGGGAGTTGAGATTTCTTCTGGAAAGAAAAGCGAAAGGACAGAGCATGTTGCGCAAGTGCCAGTGGTTATTCCTCAAGAGCGCATTGGCCGTTTCTGAGCAAGGCACTCGCCAACCGAGAAGCAACGGAACATATGTCACCAAACAACAAATCAAACCCGGCAAAGTGAAATTGAAGGATAGCAAAGAGAGACGAGGACTAGTTCGCTGGCTTTCTCAAGAGCAGCTCAAGGGCACACTCCGTCAAGGCGCTCGTGTCGGGCAAACTGGCTTGCTGGATGCGGTGCGGATTAGCCCCAGACATCGACGACGTAGCGGCCAGCCTCGGCCAGGGCAGCAATGTACTGCTCGGCTCGTTCCTTGCCGCGGCCATCGAAGCGCTCGACAATCTTGACGAAGCTCTCGCGGACGGCCGTGCCCAGAGCAGTGCTGCCGCAGAGGAGGATATGGGCTCCGCGCGAGCTGATGCCGGTCCAGAGCTGCTCGGCCAGATCGGTCTTGTTGACGATCAGCGTCTGGACGTACTCCTTCTGGCCGCCGAAGCGAGAGAAGGCGTACTCGAGGCGGGTCAGCACGCCCGACTCGAGGTGGGCCTGCAGCTCGCTCGAGTAGAGGGCGTCCTGGTCGGGATGGCGGCAGCCAAAGATGAGGGTGGCCTCGCCGAGCTCGACGCCTTTCTGCTTGAGGCCCTTGCGCTCCTCGAGGAAGGACCGCATGGGGGCAAAGCCTGGGAGGAACAGCGGCAGTCAGTGATTTGATCTGGTCGGTGGTGCCGAATCACTCAGGAGGCGCGATTCTCAGTTTGGTCCACAGCCATCCTGCTTGGCAGGGCATGTCAAATCCGACAACCCACAAGCACACCGGACACATCCTCACCCACCCAAGACACCACTACTCTATCCGATCGCTCCATCTGATCACCCCGTCCTCGTTGCGTGTCTCCCAGACAAGTCGTACCAGTGCCGGCGCAGACCAGGACAATGGGAGCCTTGGGATCCTCGGGCAGCTTGAACGCCGAGCCGTGAGGACGAATGTGGCCAAGGAGAGGGCCGCCGACCTCGAGTCCAGCGAGGAAGTTGGAGGACAGGCCCTTGTACACCACAGACTGGCCCTTCAGGTCGTGGTGCTCCTCGTTCAGCACGCCGATGCAGAGCTCGACCGTGGTTGGGGTGATGAGGTTGCTCGATGCGATGCTGTACAGTCTGGGCTTCTGGAGAGGAACATTCTGGAATATTCGCACAGTGGTCAGTGGTCAGTATTGGCAGCCAGCACCAGCCATCGTCGACAGCTATCACCCAGACGTTGCTGTATCTGCTCTGGGCCACTGCTTGGCCACTGCTTTGGATCGCAGTCTGTGCTCAACTCAGTTCAACATGGTTCGTGAGGGACCCACCTCGAGGAACTGGCCAAGAGGGATGCGAAGGCTCTTGAAGCGCTCGATCACGTCGGCGATGGAGGCCTTGGTCTTGGCAATCTGCTCGGTGTAGGCTCGGAGCGAGGCCTCGTCCGTGCCGGCGAGCAGCAGGAGGGCGTTCTTCTCGGGGGGACACTCGGTGCAGCCCGACAGGAACTTGAGGAAGTTGCGAGTCGGGGCAGTTCGAATGTCGACGCCGTTGAAAACGTAGCGAAGGGGGATCTCAGTGTCAAAGATCTGCAGCTCGCGCTTGGCAATCGAGTTGGTGTTGGACAGCTTGACGATCTCGTCGATGCCGTGGCCAGGCCAAGTCCAGACTGGGCAGGATTCTGCGAACATCCTCCTCGGTGTTGCGGGGATACACCTCAAAGTGGTCACCGGCAGTGTACTTGTTGGTTTCGGAGGCGGGAATCTGTATGCAGCGATTGCGCCATTGTCAGTGGTCAGAATCAGACTCACCATCGTTCATCGTGGGGGTGCGTTGGGCCATGGATCACCGTCGTCAACATATCTGCTGCATTGCCTGTTATCCATACTCACCTCCAACACGATCGACCAAGCATCCTTGACGGCGCCGGGTTTGGTAAGCAGGGTCTTGCTCTTGACAATGTATCGGAAGCGGCCCAAGTGGCTGCTGATATTGTTGTCAGAGTTTTGGAAGTTCTGCAGGAACGCATCGGTAGCTTTGCCAGCCCAGGTGACTTCGATGCTGTTGGAGGCGGGCGAGGGGTCGACGACGTTGCTGGCATCTGATCCAGAGATCTTGAAGGTGTAGGCAACGCTGGCCCAGAAGAGGCTGGTCCACTTGAGCGTGTCGGTGTCAAAGTCGCCATCCTGCGCGAGAGACAGAGAATGGGTGCGAGAGCAATCAGGGGTATGTCGCTCGTCAGATGCCCATCGTGGATGACTGTCACGATGCAGCATCTATCGGTGTGCCATCAACAAAGGACTGTCGATACCCGCACAGCCGAGTTGCACCCCATAAGCCAACCACATACCACATCGCCGGCACCGCGCTCCAGGAGAGGAGTGGCGCCAAGGTTGACGAGGGAGGTCTCGACAAAACGAGGAAAGTCCTGGTAGGTCTTCCACTGCTTGTTTCCAACGCCATAGATGGCAAAGATGGTGTCCTTGAGGGAACTCTGTCCCTGGGCAGAAATCCACTTGGCAAACTTTTTGGCATTGTCGGGTGGGTTGCCTGGGAGCACCGGAGGGTCACAGAGCTGTGATTAGCTGTCTCTGGGAGATACCGACAGGATGGGCCGGGGAACGGCGGCTTACCATTGTAGGTCGAGGTCGCGACGATGACAAACTTGAAGCCAAAGAGCTTCTCGTTGGCATAGGTATCGAGAGAAGCGACAGTGGGCTTGAAGCCCAGCTTGACGGCCGAGTCGGCAATGTTGCGGGCGACCTGGGACAGGAGGCAGTCAGACACTCGGCATACGCATATCGTTGTGCCGCAGATCACGGAGCGAGCAAGGGGACAACTTACGTCCTCGCTGGTGCCCATGTTGGTGCCGAACAGCACGAGGACCTCGCCAACATCGAGTCGATCGGCCTCGGATTGGATAACAAAGCTGCGGTTGGAGCTGGCGGGTTTGGCAGTATCCAGATCCAGAGTAACTTTGGGAGAAGGAGCCGGGGCACTGGCAGGAGCAGGGGGCAGGAGCAGGGGCCTTGGTGAGGTCGATAGGGTCCGGGCTCGCTGAGGTGGACGCGAATTCCATGAGGACGAAGGGCCAGCTTGACCTGAAGGACAGGCTCGGCGTCATCGGAAATCGTGAACTTGAAGTTGTGCAGGAGATGGGCAATCACAATTCTGGCTTCGATCAGGGCGAATTGAGAGCCAATGCAGGCACGAGGACTGGAGTGGCAAGAGAGCGAGCATGGCGATGTGGATCAATCAGCAGGTGCGCCATTGAGCCAGTTGCCAACACACCTTGCTCGCCCAGTCAGAGATCTACTCAACCAACCAGTTGCTCTATCGATTAGGCAGCCCAGCCTCAGCAATTCACGTCTTGCATTCCTGCACACCCCTGCACATCCACACAGGCATGGCTAATAGACACACTGAGGTACCAAGGTGGGAGCGGAACTACTGCGAGGTACTTACCCAGTTCCAAAGGCAATGTACGAGTACTGAGGACGCTTGGACTCGTTCTGGGGCAGGAAGTTGTCGGGGTTGAACACCTCGGGATTGGCGCCCCAGACAGCCTGATTGCGGTGGGTGTTGATGGTGTGGAAGAGAATGGAGGTATCCTCTGCACGGATCGGGATAGGGAACCTTGTTAGTCGCAAGGAAAACTTCATTCATGTACAAGCCAGTGAGCCATGGGCGAATGCGATATGGACCTAGTGGTGATCCAGCCACACGAACTTACTCTTGATGAGGTAGGGTCCGACAAATGTATCTCGAGTGCATTGTTTGGTGAAAACTGTTGCAGAGCGCCAAGCTGATCAGTTGCATAATACAATCGTATTACCCGGCAGCATCTTGATTGACGTATCTGTCGCAACCAAAACTGTCTTGCTCATATGATTGCACGAACGATGCAATGTAGGGACGTACGAGGAGCAGAAGAATACACGCGCAGTGTCTCCTTGAGAACGGCAAGGGTGTACTTGAGCTCGCCGACAGACTTCTCGTCAATGTTGCCATTGCCCTTGGCAAACACAGTCTCGATTTCATAGCGGAGCTTTTGCTCAACCTCGGGATGGGTGGCGATCATGTAGATAGTCCAAGCCAGCAGACTGGATGTGGTTTCATGACCTAGTGAGTGAGTGAGTGAGTGAGTGAGTGAGTGAGTGAGTGAGTGAGTGAGTGAGTGAGTGAGAGTGAGTGAGAACTGCTGTGACCTATTCGGCGCCATAGCAGAGATCACGAAAAGCACGTACCGGCAATCATAAAAGTGACGATCTGGAAGGCAATGTTCTCCTCAGATAGCTTGAGACCGGTTTCTGGGTCCTCGGTCTTGAGCATGCGCGAGCACATATCCGAGTACTTGTCGGGATCGGCCTGGTGTTCCTTGATCACCTCGTTGACGGTTGACATGATGAAGGTGACGGCCTCTTGAACCTTCTGTTCCTTGTTGCCACCGGTGAACCAGTCGATTCCATCGGCGATACCCGAGAGCGGGCCGAGTTTGTTCTTGGTCATGGCATACTCAAACAGGAAGACCATGTGCTTAACCTGGGTAAGAGCATCCGTGGCAGGTGAGAGATTCAGGAGTGGTTGGGTTCCAGTCGGTATGCAAGTGATCCCATGGAGGATGCCGGTGCACTCGTTCGAGAATACACAGGTCCAGAATGAACAGGTGGTGACTTACGAAGGGGTGCTGCTCAGCGCTGGAGATGGAGTTGAGCTCGTACGAGAAGCCAAAGAGAGAGACAATGTCCAAGGTAACTGCAGCGGCAGCGGTGGCGTTAGCATTCTGAATGACCATCACCAGCGACCGATATCGCCATCACAGCGGCCTTGCTCCGTCATATGGACACAATTTTCACAAGTCTCGGAGCGATGCACCAGATACGGCGGATGCACGATACGTACCTTTGGACATCCACTCGGAGATATCAAAGGTCTCGTCCTTCTCAAGGAAACGGGTGCGGAAAGCTTCGACCAGCAACTTGGTCTGCTGGTTCATAAGCGGAACCGCGGAACCCAGCGATTTGACAGAGAACGCCGGGAGCAAGATACGATGGGCCATGCCCCAAACCGGGTCGTCGTCATTGGCGGTAAACAAGCCGTTGCCAGTAACTGGCTTGAGATAATGAAGGGGGCCGGCGTTGGTGAACTTGCCAAAGCAATCCTCCTGTTTCATGATCTCCTCGATCAAGTAGGGATCGGAAACCACGACGGCAGGACGAGGACCCAGAGAAACGGGAAAAAAGTGGCCGTATTTCTGTCGGAGGCAAGCAGCATGCGTTGGCGTCATTAGCAAACTCTCGATGCGGCGGCGTCATCGGCATATGATATGATAGATCAGTGCTTCGTGGTCGGACGGGAGCATCGGCACTGGTACCGACAGCCAGCTCGACCAGATCACTGGAACAGGACAAGGCTTTGAATACTGCCGCATGCAGTTTGGTACTGCGACCAAAGAGCAAGAAGCAAATAACTGTCGCCCTCAAGCTAGTCTATGTGATTGCGCCAAGGACCGAGCAGCCTCGGCATACTAACATGGTTCAGATCGATCATGGCCAAAGCGGGGGCCGGAAGCAGGTCCAGCACATTGCCTGAAAAGAAGAGAGGAGATGTGTGGTGTGAGATTGAAGCTTGAGCAGATGGCCGCTAGAATATCAACCAGAAGGTGCGACATGAAGCCGACGAGCAGGCAAGAAGTTTACCAAGGATCGGCTTGGGAGGGGGTCCTGCGAAAATCCGTGAAATGCAAGTTAGTGCTGAGCAAATCCAGACCCACATCCGAGTATCAATCACCATCCAGATCGGCGATCTAGTTCGCACAGGGGCTGAAAGCTGCTGGGAGGGGGTGGCGAGTCATTGCAGCCTTCCCACGACACACGCGTCGGAAGCAGATATGGGCAGAGTTCGGGCAGGACGGAGACAGAATGCGGACAGGAGGCAGAGAGGGTGAGCGATACACACCCGGAGGCAGGGGCAGCTGGTGGCGACCAGGAGATCCGCTGGCAAACCAGAGGTTGCTGGCCTTGAGATCAGAGACCCGGTCGGCTTGGTTGTCGAGTGCAGACTTGAGCAGCAGGCTCGGGTCAACGGGATAGGGCGTCAAGCGCGGGTTTGCGATGCCAAACTCGGTCTCGATGCACTGCAAGAGCGAGGTGAGATCGTGGAAGATGCGTGCGCCAGAGTACCCCAAAGCGGGCTTTTCGCCTTGGGTTTGGGCTTGAGCTTGGGCCTGGTGTGGGAAGGTGGGAGGAGCAACGCCCTCGGAGCCAACGTCGATCAGGATCGACTGGCTCGGGAGGTTGTTGTTGATGATGGCGACATAAACAGGGGAGGCGGACATGGTAGCGAAGAAGCCTGGCTGCCGGATGAACGCAAGACAGATGGGTGGTTTTGCTTGGTAGCTCGAGGTGGGAGCCCGGCCAGGACGATGGACTGCTGCCGCCAAGATGCCGGCCGGAGGCTTTTGTACCTGTGTGCGTCTCGTTGGCGGATCCGGTCGCGTGCATGCCTCCCACCGAAAGGACGCGTCGGCCAGACAAGCCCCCGTCCAGACGCCAGCCGAGGCTTTCCCCCTTTCATCCGGCGCAGGAGTGGCGACCAACCACCCCGGGCGTACAACCACATTTGGCTGAGGTGGCTTGTGTCTTCACAAAGCCACTTGGCGGGGGCAGGTCGCCCCGGCCGCGGACGGGACCAGGGTATCCAGATCGTGGCCCTCTGCGACCAACCAGCTGGTCGCACGCCGGAAGGCTGGCCCTGGTGCCCCTTGGGAGGCGGATACACGCCCGAGGCACAGGCGGGGGCCCGGGCCGGATGTTCGGTAACACCGAAGGCCCGAACAGCCAAATTCTTGTCTGGCCTGGGGACATGCCCTCTGTGGCGGAGGGGGAGGTCCGCGGTCTGGTGCTCATGGCCAGCAACCAACGCGGGCGGCCATCACAGGAACATACAGCCGTGACCTAACCGGCCGTGACCGACAACGCGGCCATCGTGCCGATGGTGGCTGCCGGCCGTGGCTGCTTCGAGCGACTGTGGCTTTCGCAACTCGATATCTACTGCATCGTATCGGCACAATCCAATAGGCGCCCGGCAAGCCCGGGGACACGCGCCGCAACCGGATTGCCAGAGAAGAGCTTGACTGCGGCAGCCGGACCGGGGCTGGGGATGGGCTGGCGTGGTCGTCGCGAGCAGATCACGGCGGGCCCAAAACAGGACACCCAGGACTCTGACTTGCCGCCTCAAAACATTGCGCTCTGGCCACGGCCTTCACTCCGAGGCCGCCAGTGTTGGATCCAGGTTTTCAAAAACTACATGTTCGATTGGATTGGGACAGTAACCCCGTGTCTCCATGAAGATAGTATAGATCGCCCCAGACGTAACCCTGCCCATTATTCCGTGACTGCGACGAACTAGTATTCGGTATTTGTGCGGTCGTCTCGCGCCGGGGCACCTGGGGCTGCTGTTGAACCCTCGGATCCACCTTTTTTGTCGGCCTCCGAGATCAAGCCAGCGGACTTTTCAGCAGTCGTCTCCTTGGACACGGGTTTGGAATTAGTCGCGGACCGTGGCTTGCTGGCGTCAGAGGGATGTCGCTTGAGCCGCCGATCGACTGACTCCCGCCCCTTGCCGGATGTGCTGGTCTCTGTTGGACTGCGACTGAGGCCGCCAGTCGACGGAGCTGGTCCGCCTGTTCGCGAGTGGCTGGCGGCTGGCAGCTTGCCTCGATGCGAGGGCGACGATGCCGCCGGGCTGCGTGAGCGGCTGCCGTCTCTGCTGGTCGGCCGATGGACACTCCGGCTTTCGTGGTGGGTCGTCCGCTCAGGCACTGGAGCCTGCGTCCTGCGATTCAGCCCTGCCAACGGCCCGCAGTCCTGGGGACCTCGATCGCTGTCGGGTGCGACTCGGGCCAAAGGAGCGCTGCTCAGGCTCGGTCCTCTCCAGCTCGGAGCCTCGGTCCTGTTCATGTCCGCGGTCGAAACGTGCCGGCCGATCATCCGAGAAGCTGGCGCGGCTGTGCTCGCGGCGCACCTTCAGTGACTCTTCGCGAGGGCTGTACCGGCCGTCGTCGCCATCCTCGGCCTCGATGGGCGGAATGGACTGTCTCCAGCGAGCGCGGTCGCCGTGCGGAGCATCGCCGTGGTCGTAGACCGACGCAGATCGACCCTTGCCTTGGCCCCGGCGAGCCTCGGAGTCAAACGTTCGATATTCATCGCCATCGTCCTGGAGATCGCGCGACGAGCCGCCCCTTGATCCCTGGGATCGAACGCTGAGCGACTCTCGCCGTCGACCGTCTCGATCACATCCGCCGTCCTCGTCCATCTCTCGATGGCTGCGTCCGGTCGCGGTGGGAGACTCACTCGAGTCGTGGTAGCGTCGGTCGTGGTCCTCGTAGTGGATTTCCGGAGCCGCTCTCAAGTTCGAATCTCGTCGGTCAAGCCGCACCTCAGGCTCATCCAAGCCCCTCGGGCCGGCTCGTTCGGGTCCGCGGCCTGGAGAGTGAGCTCGCTCGGGCCGGCTTCTTGCCACCCGGTCGTAGAGGTCGTCGTCGTAGCCAGCCGATCGAGGATGCGATGCGGGTCCGCCATGTCCCCGACGGTCATGCCCGCCGCCTTTGGCAAGCTGATCCATGCCCATGGACACGTACTTGGAGTAATTCGCGGGCATATCCGAGGCGTATCCGGACAGGACATTGGCGCGAGGCGCCTGGCTGGCATGTGAACCCTGAGTCGGATCAGCGGCTTTGAGACCGGTGTAGATCTTGATGTCCGTCTCGTCATCGTCAACCTCGAGCGGCTTGTTGGCCAGATAGTTCTTGACGTTCTTCATCAAATGCAGATAGTTTTCGCCGCTCATCTCCACTTTGCCGATCAGCTCCTCCAGCTCCCGACGCTTGGACATTTCTTTCTGGTACTTCTCGACGTCGGCAGTGAGTTCTTTCTTATCCTTCTGCAGCCCCACCAACTTGATTTGATTAATTTCGTTGGCATTTCGTAGCTCGGCGACATCATCAATTAACAGGCTATCATGGGAACGGAACATTGAGTTATTCCTCCGATGTGCCTCATTCACCATGTGCTAGTACCATGCATCTACCTCTTGTCCTGGCCAAGCTGGATGAGCTCATGCTCTTGTTCTTGCAACCGGCTATCCAAATCGCGAATGCGTTCTTCGAACGCAGACCGGGCTTCGTTGGCTGTGTTTCGTGCGTGATTAACGATGGCGATCGAATGTGGTCAGATGCTCGGCATCGACAGCCACCCAACCGGTCGAAGCAACAGCCGCTCTTGGGATACAGCAAGTCGCACCCTGCAAACACGCACCTGCAGCCAGAGCAGCCTCAGTCGCTCTCAATTGTTGTCCAACTTCGCTCAGCTTCCGGTCCTTGTTGTCAACAGAGATCTTGGCCATGGACAAATCGTCCCGGATCTTGGCCAGCTCTTCGCGCATAATTTCGACCTCCTTGGCTTGGTCTTGGCGCCGTCGGCCCTTTTCATCCCTTTGTTCGAATTCCTTGTGGGCGTGACGCAAAATGCGTGATGTTCAGAATGTGCGATACTCAGAATGGACGATCCCAGCACTCCCAGTCAATACGATGGATCAACGACAGATCGAGCCAAACGAGCCCACAGCCGTCAGGCCGACACGAGCCCGGTGCGTGCAGAGAGGAAAATGAACCTGATGCGTATCTAACAGGGTTCCTGCAACATCATCGGCAAGCGGTGCGCCGTACTGTCGACGCAAATGTGCTCGAATGACGGTGGCCCCGGGTTCGAGAGACATGTCTCGACGAGTAACGTCCAGGTCATGCCTATCCAGAGTGTCTGTGGAAGAAAGCGAGCACGCTGGTGCTGTAGCCGACAAAAACTGCCCACCTTTCTCAGACGCCGCTGAGTATCATCCAACTCGGCCTTGAGGGTCACATTGACTTTGATGAGCTCGGAGCAGTCTTGCTGAATCTTGAGGCGCATGTGCTCGTCCTGGTTACGCACCGTCTCTATCTGCTTCAACTCGGTCTGGAGATCTATCTTCTCGCGCATCAGCTCGGCGATCCGGACCTTTTGTGACTCAATGTCCCAGGACAGCATGCTAGCGTCCGCATCCTCAAGTTTGGTCTGTGTGCACGCATCAATGTCGATTGCCGTGTATCAGTGTCTGGATCGTGTCTCGGCGGCACGGAGCCAAGGATCGAATTGGTGTTCGATGCAGTCGCCGCAGTCGCCGCCATGGATCACCTGAAGCTGGGTGTTGAGTTTGTGCAGCTCCTCGATTCTAGACTTGAGCGTCTGGTTGATGTGCAGCTGCTCTTCGACCTGAGAGATAGACAAGGTCAGAGAGTGCCTCGGCATTCACTCGCGAGCCACATCTCAACAGCCAATGCCGCTACTCCAGCAGCGAGCAAATGTAGATGTGACGTGGATCGCACCTGGTCCTTCCACTTGTTAGCGTTTGCTTCGGCCTCGAGCGTCAGAGCCTGCATCTCCTGCTTCTCTTTGATCATGCGCTTGTGGGCAGCCTCCATCCGATTGTGGTCAGCCTGGATAATCTCCATCTTTTTCCGGAGCGCAATGACTTCACCGTAGATCTTGTCCTTCTCCGTGATTTGAGTTTCTGTTGATCCATATGGGCGAGAAGCATGTGCGATCAGCCAGAGTTCGTGGCTGCGGCCCAGAGGGGCGGTGCGAATACACTCGTGCTGTACTAAACAAGTACCTCTGGTTTCTCGCATCTGGTCGCGGGCCTCGTCTCTCTCCTTCTCGAGCATGGCCATTGTGACAACCAAGGCTTCGTTTTGCGACCTCAGCATCTCGATCTGGTCTTCAAGTCTCTGATGCGACCCGGAATCGGAGGCGGTGATGAGCGCTGCATCCATCACAAACACACCCGGCATTCGTCGTGTTCTCACCGTAATCTCCTTCTTGTTGGTGTCCTGCAGCTCAATGTATTTGTGCTTGAGAGTTTTGATAGCGTCGTTCAGAGGCATCGTCGTGCCCGTGGGCTCACCGCCCGGTGCAACATCTCCATCTGTAAAAGAAGGCCACGAAGAAATGGGGTTGTCGAGGGCGTGTTGGTGCGGTGGGGTATCGGGTGCTTGCCGCACGCGGCCAAGTAATTCGTGGACACTGCACACATATGAGCGTTATTGGCAATGCCCTCAACAGCGCACGATGCCCAGCAACGATACCGTTCTTGGGAGCTCTCCTGAACGGGGTCGTTCACGCCGCGTCGAGCCGTGGTTTGGGGATGAAGTTGAATTGAATTTGGAGGCACACGAGGACGCAAATATTTCGGAGAGAGCGCATCAGTCAAGGAAAATGCTTTGGAACATTGAGCTGAATCCCCGAAAGCTGTCCAGGGCAATATCACTTGAGCATCTGGTGCGGGTACCGCATCGAATAGCGGTGCGAACCAGGGACAACACCGGCCCAGCAAGCATTACTGGCGCAGAGGAAGAGGGCCCATGCATCAAGATCCCACGCCCTGCCGTGACAGCATTCGCTAAAACCAGTGCACAGCTCTGCCGGACGATGAGTTACAGATATCGGGTCTCGAGCTCAAGTAGATAGATTTGCTGCTGCAGGTTGCGGATGTATTCGTCCTCCACATGCTTGCTGCCCGCATCCGGCCCACGAGCACCTGAATGCGGCTTTGCTGTCGGCGACCTCGCCATTTGGAGCGACGGCCGTTGGTTTTTGCCTGGCGAGTCAGCATCACAGCGACAAGAGCAGCGGGCGGGGGCCACGTTAGCGAGTCTCTCATAGCGACTCTGTGGTAACTAGTCGTCGCGACAGAACCCGCCGAGATAACGATGCCACCCAAGACATAGAAAGATTGACGCAATGCTGGCTGAGGGGGAGTGCTGAGTATGATGCTGGATACGACACTGTGCGATGCTGGATGCAATGCTGGATGCGATGGCCGGATACTATTCACGCATGGGTGCCAAACGCACCCGCTGGAAATCCGTTCCCGAGGGGCTGCCGAGACTGGAACGATGGCAGAATGTGATGCGACATGGCTCGGAGGAAGGTGGAGAGGATGAGTTCCGGCACAGCACGTTTTTCACCGAGACCCGATCGCTGACTATCGGCACCAGCGGCGGACTGCGGGAGGGGGTGGGAACTTGCGTTCTGTCCTCGCTCGGAGACCAAGAGCACATCCCTCCCAATCACGATGGTTGGTCTTCCCGAGCAAGGCTCCGTCCCGTGGATGCCAGAGTGGCATCAGCTTGAGAGAAACTCGCTGCATGGGATGCTGCAGATGCTGCAGATGCTGCAGATGCTGCGCGGGCTGCTGCCTCCTCATCGGCCATCGGCCATCGGCCATCGGCGCCCTTCTGGCCCGATGCTTGATCTCCCAGCAGCCGCTGCGATCACCGTCCAAGGAGGGTTCGAGAAGCATCCTTGGCTCTTGGGCCGTCGCTTACGTCAGCATGTCAGCTCTTTGCAATGCAAGCGCCCTCGCGCACCCAACGCTGTCCCAAACCCGGCAGCCATCTGCTGACTGAATCGAGCCGCCGAATCGACTCTTTGCCGTAATCGCACCGCCTCGCCGACTGCATCTGCTCCCGCCTCTGGAACCAACCAGCATAGCATAACATAGCATAGCACCCGCCGCGATGACCACCAACTGGAAGAATGTCAACAACTGGTACGTGCGAGCGAGCCTGTCTGTCTGCACACCATCGGGCGAGATCATCCGCGCTCGAGACCCCGGATATCGAGCAAACCCCGGCCGCCATCCCCGCATCGATCGATGTGGCTCTTCCTCGCTGCAGCACGCGGGGGCATGTCAGCAACTTGAGTCTGAGCGATTTCGACGGAGAAGCAGCCACCATGCTGCCGCAGCAGCGATGATACTCACGTCAGATCGGTGTGTGGTGTCGAATGGCCGTTTGCAGGCACTGGGTCGAAAAGAACTGCATGAATTGGGTCAAGGAGCACATCCCCAAGAAGCTTAAGGGTCTTTCGTCCGAGCAGGGCGGTATCAAGGTGCATGTGACCGATGTCAGCAACATCGCTGGCGATGCTGATCTGAACCAGCGGAAGGGCAAGATCTTTGCCATCTACGACATCTCGCTCCATGTCCATTGGTCTGGTAAGATTCACCATGGGTATCGACGGTGACATCTGCACCGGTGGGCTGGGAGGCCTGACTCACAGGCTATTCTGTCGATCTACCGGATACGTGGGAGCTGTCGATGGTGTCGCCCCAAGTCCAAGTGGCTGGCTTCAACTTGGAGGTGTGCGCTGCTTGTTAACTCGACCGCATTGCAGGCGAGAGCGCCGATGGCAGCAAGGCCCAGGGCAAGATCGTGATCCCCGAGGTCTGCTACGATACCGATGCCGATGACATCACGGTAAGTTTCGGCGAGGCAGGGCTGGTTGGCCACTATCGCTTCTTGACAGCGCTCTTGGCCATGCCCTTCTCCTCTGCCCGGATATCCTCGCCGATCCACTCGCTGACCTGCCGGCACCCGGCGCATGCCACAGTTCGATGTCTCTGTCGAGGCCGAGAGCCCGAAAACCAGGGAAATCAAAGAAGTTGTGCGAAAGCACCTCACCAAGGTAATTGGCAAGGCTCTGGTCGAGCTTGGCCCTGACATGATCAACGGTAAGCTCCCTGCCCGTCCGATGAGCGCCGATCCCGAGGCCATGGATCTCTGTCGATGCTGCAGCGATACAGCACTTTGCTGCCCCGACCCGCTTGCTCATCTGGACACCGCTCGGGCAGATCACAAGGACGATGTCAAGATTGCCGACCACCAGATGACTGGCCACCCTGTCTTGGAGCAATACAAGCCCAAGCCCCCTGTCGAAACCGCCAAGGATCCGCTGCAGAACAGCGACAACACTCATGTCCTCGGCTCGCTCGTCACCCTCAACATGAATATTGAGTTTGTTGCCTCGGCCCGCGATCTCTACGACTGCATCGTGGATGCGGGCAAGGCCTCGCTCTGGACGCGGTCAAAGGCCGTGGTCTCGCAACAGCCCGGCAGCGACTTTTCTTTCTTTGACGGCAACATCACCGGCACTATAACCGAGCTGGTACTTGGAGCGGGGGCTTTGTCGGGGGGGGGTGCACTCGTCTTGCGCTGGGAATAATGCGACTGTCGCCTGGATGAAATGTTGCCTGGATGTAGTGTCTGCCAAGGCGCATACATAGCTGATCATGGCCGCTCTGCATTGTCCCGGTTGGGGCTTTCAATTAGGTCGAAGGCAAGAAGATTGTCCAGAAGTGGCGTCTCAAGACCTGGCCATCGGGTGAGTGGTTAGATATGCCGTCCATGGCGACGATTCAAGACTTGCGTCTGTCTGGCTTGCCTGCATGAGGTGTTGTAGCTTGGATTCTGTTGTGGCCTCGCCGGCGATCACCTGTGGTTGTGGCGGCTGTTGCTGTTGCTGTTGTTGCTGCTGCTGCCGATGCTGCTGCCGATGCTGCTGCTGATGCTGCTGCCGATGTCGGTGCTGACCCTGCTGCAATCGCCAGGCCACCACTCCACTGTCACCATGGACTTTGTCGAGTCCACTGACTCCACCAACCTCAAGATCACCCACGCCGACGTCCCCGTTGGCCAGAAGGAGCAGACCGAGCGAAACTGGACCAACTACTACTTCAACCCGATCAAGGCCACGTTCGGGTAAGCCGCTGAGCCGCAGGCACAGGGGAGGGCGGGCTTGCGCAGGGCAGGATGGCTGCGTGACCCGACTTGCTGGGGCGAAAGGCCGTTGAAGAGTTGGAATGCCGAGTCCGCTGCTGACATATGTGCATCCCATGCCGGACATGCGACCAGATACGGCGCCTTGTTGTAAGCAGTCGAGCACAGCCTGTACGCATGGTGCATCGCCCATCCAATTGCTCAATACAGCAGGATTCTCCACACCAGCGGTCCCCACGGTGGCAGACGCCCTCGCAATCGTGAGCAGGCCGCTGGTCGGTATGGGCTTGCTGTTAAGGTTCTTGGCGCCTGGCCCACCACCAGACAGCCAGCGGAGGCAACAAGACCGAGGGCAGGTGGAGTCGGGAGATTGGCCGCCTCCAGGAACCCATGCTGGTCCCTGCCCTCCCATGCTGGTCCCTGCCGACCCATGGCATAGCACGCGGGCTCAGCCGAAGCGGGCCTTTTTGTCGATATAAATGTTCGCTGCGATCGCCGGCAGCCCACCCAGCCAGCACCGATCCATCCGAACAGCACCGATCCAGCCCCGCACTGCCCACCGATCAGCATCGATCAGACACCACCATCCAGTCCCCTTGTCGTCCCGCCACTCGTCGAGATCCGAATCACCATCATGGGCAAGCTGGGTATCGCCGCAAGCCAGGTCAGGCTCTTCGTCACCGACATTGACGGAACCCTCCTCAGCTCCGACCACAAGCTCTCGGAGCGCAACATCAGGGTGATCCGGAGCTTCATCAAGAACCATCCCGACGTTCCCCTGATCCTGGCCACCGGCAAGAGCTTCCCCGCCAGCCTCGAGATCTGCCAGGCCATTCCAGAGCTCCTCGGCACAGGCATCTTTGTGCAGTGCAACGGCGGCTATGTCCTGACCACCCGGGCCGATGCTCACAGCACGCCGCTCGCCCGTCCTCTCGTTGGGAATGTCCCGTCGTCACTTGCATCCCTGAGGGTCCTCCATCAGACGATGGTGCCGCCGCTGGAGGCCATGTACTTCCTCCATCACGCCTATGTCAACAGAGTCTCGCCGGTCATCTACTCGGGCTCGGATCTGTTTTCCTTCCAGGCTCCGGCCGAGACCCATCCCAACCACGAGTCGCTGCTGGGCATCACGGTGCGCTACCACGAGCCCGCGGTGCTGAAGCTGGGCTATGATGATCTGATCGAAAGGGTCTTGACCGGAGACATTGTCGTCAACAAGATCGTCTATGTGGCCACCGTGGAGACGCTCTCCGGTATTGTCGCCGCCCTCGAGGCCATCGGCGAGACGGCCGTGCCAGAGCCGATCCAGCGCAACCCCCGTTACCGACTGCATCTGTCACGGTATGTGGCAGCGGGCCATCCGGAATCCGGCCCCATCCGGCTGTCGCCCCTGCAGCCCGTCCAGCTCGTCCAGACCACATCTGAGACGATCGAGATCATCCCGCGCGGCTCGTCCAAGGGCCGCGCCCTCGAGATTATCTGCGGCAAGGATCACCTCGACATCCCGCTGGACTCTGTCGTGGCCATGGGCGATGCCATGAACGACGTCGAGATGTTCAAGACCGTGGGCTTTGGCATTGCGGTTCAGAACGCCTCCGAGCCGGTCAAGGCCGCAGCGGCCCTCGTCTGTGAGTGGTCCAACGACCAGGACGCTGTGGCGAGCTGCATCGAGGACATATTCGGACCACATTCCACTTAGCGGCATACATATAGCCCAGCTCGTTCAGAACGAAACGGGAGCGCCCCTGTACATTCCTTCGCAACAATCACGGCCTGTTGTTGGTTTAGGGAGCACCTTATTGATATATAAAATGGACTCGACTATCTGAACGGCTCCGTGGTTTCTCAATATCGAGAGAGTCAGGTCGAACAAGTCGCTCGCTGTGTGTTCTGGATTGAGGGTATCTGGCGATAGTGGGGAATGAGAGTCCTCAAAGTACTTGACAAAGATGAGCCTCCGTGGGCTTGGTGGGTATCCACTCCCTTGCTTGCGCAAGGCATTCTCGAAGGCAACCACAATGCCAGTTTCCTTGGATACAGCATTTGGTCATAGCGGGCGATAGATGGGCGTATATTCAGGACCCAGACAACAATGACAGCCCTGATTCAAAACAGGGCGATCGGTTTCGTTTTAGTGAACTGTAAACAAAGGAAGGATAGTGGTGGCCAGTAGGGAGAACAACGGTGGCATAGAAAGCACAGAAGGGGGAGGGAGTTCAAGGCAGGACATATCCAGCGGTTGCTAAGGACAGCAGAGGGTCGGTTGGGCTGAGGGCCAATCGCTCTCTGACTGCTGCGACAAGACATGGGAATCGCACGAATTGTTGGTCATTTACCCACGCGCTCGGGCGCTATCCATAGAGATGAACGACAACTTGTCAGGGAGAAGGCGGGTCGATCGACGAACGAATGAGCGAATGAACGAACGAACGAATGAACGAACGAACGAACTAGGTAAACATGGAGCACTGGAGAAGGGAGCACTGTTTGGTGGATGCTGACCGGATTGTGAGTTTGTTTTGTTGGTTGGCTGTCACGACGACTGCACCAACCCACTAAGCAAACCAAGGGAAGGCCGTGCTGAAATGGGAGCTGAAACGGGGGCTGGGGGAGGGAATAGGAATGTCTTGGGTCTTGGGCAGATTGATGGCACCAAGTTCCACAGGATCCAGGGAAGGCGGATGGCTCAGGACCGCCCATGGCTTTACCAAAGTCTATCGCACAAGTCCATCGACCGACCGAGAGTCCTCGGCAAAGCTGACTCCAGACTGCGACCGCGACGAAGCCGACATGACGGGCGACATGACGCTTGGCGACGACGTTGATTCGGAAAAGGACGTTGCGAACGAGGCGGAGCGGGCGGTGGTGGGAGCACCAGGCCGGTTGGATGGCGAGGAGAGCTTTGGCGACTTGGACGAGATGATGTACTCGTTGTTGATGAAGTGATGGGGCTTGTTTGGAGCCACATCGAGCCCTCGCTGCCGCCGAGCAGAGCGGCGCATCCGGATCGATTCTTCCCGCCGTATGTTCCTGTCACGACCATACCGGCGAGTGAGCAGGAAGCAGCCCAGGGCACCAGCGACAATGAAGACCGCCGAGCCGGTGATAATGGCAATCAGAACTGTGCTGCTCATGCCGGACGGAGACGTGCCCGAGAGCCTTGGCAGCGCAGGCTGTCCGTCCGTTGAAGAGTCGGTGTAGGGGCCGCAGATGTTATGGGCGTTGGCGTGGAGGCTGCAAGCAGACAAGCCTGGATACTGGCACTGGAGGTTGTATGCACAGGAACTGCCCTCGGGGCTGAGGGGCAGGCACATCCTCGACGATGAATCGCAGTAGTACGGACCGGGGTTCTCGACCGAGGTGTTGTCCGGGATGGGTGACGAATAGAACTGGGAGCCGTTGCAGTTGGAGTAGGCGGCGAGCTCGATCATGTCGACATTGGAGATGCCCTCGATCTGGGACTGCAAGCTCGAGTTTGAGGGCACCGGGCAGAGCGAGCACGAGGCGCCGGCGCCGAGAAAGCCATTGGGGCCTTGGATGACGACGAACGCTTGGGAGCCGCTGGACCCGGCTTGGGAGTTTACGTCGGGAGCGAGATACGGCCCTTGGGCGAGCCGGACATCGTTGGTGAGGATGCAGCCGGCAAAGTGGGTTGGCAGACAGAAGAGCCCGGAAAGGTCCAGAAAGCAGGCCTGACCGGACGGACAGAAGGGAGAGTAGCCCAGGTTCGGATCGAACGAAGCTGTGAGATCGCATGGTGAATACGACTCCAGAGGGACCTGCAAGGTCAGGTCCTGCGGTGCGTTGGTGGAATTCGACATGGGCGGCGGCGGCTGGATCAGGAACTTGGACTGGGGGGTATGGGGCTGATCGGCAACAACAGGGGGAGCGAGGAGCAGACACGGGAAGCAGGGTCGGTCGAGATCAGCGCGAAAGAGGGGTATGGAAAAGAATGGAAAAGAATGGAATAGAATGGAATAGATTCACAAGCTCGCTGCGAGCAAGAGAGCCCCAGGCAGGGAGGTTTCGACGAAGGCGAGCGAAAGCAGCCGGGCAAACGGGACGAAGGCCAGAGAAACAGGCGGAGGCGATCGAACAGGGCTGGATCGCTCCCTTGGCAAGGGGCGCCATTGTGCGATGCCGCACAGGGACAGGCTCTGCGGCCGGTGGAGCGGCTGGGCGGCTTGGTCTGGATGTTGTGCGCGCAAGGCCGGCGCGGGCGCAAGGGACGACGAACGCGGGAGGACGCGAAGGATGCGAAGGATGCGAAGGATGTGCTGCGGGGGCATCGACGGATGTGCCAAAGCCGGCCGCGGCGATGAAACGCTGGCTGTTGCGCACAAGGCGGGCTGCTGGCCGTGGACCGGGCCGACGACGGTATCGCTGTCCATCACAACATTGTCCATCGCATCATTGTCCATCGCAACATTGTCCATCCATCCACCGTTGTCCGTCATGCTCAATCGTACGCACTCCTGGCGTATGGGCGATTGTCGAGACGCCCGCATCGGCAGACCGGCTATTCCCGGCTCTCTCTTGGTTGAGCAGGACATGCACATAGTGTTCGTATCGGGCTGCCGCTTGGATAGCACATACGCCTTTCCATGCCTCGAAAGCGTCGCCCGTCGATCCGCAATTGCCACTGTCGCGCTGAAGTCTCTGCGTCAACCGAGTCCAGAACATGATCCCCGGAGACACACGAATCCGCAGCCACCAGGCCAGCCAGCGTGCTCAAAGTCATGGTTGTGCGGCCCGCTCTGGACCATTCAGGGTGGCCAGATGGTCTTGCAAGGGCTGTATTCCAAAGCGGCCTAGTTCAAAGGGCGCAGACTCGACCAAACATCGGGACAGCATCGGTCGAAGCGGCGGCTGAAGCGTCGGTTGAAGCATAGCTCGAAGCATTGGTTGAAGTGGCGGTCACCTTTTCTTGAATCCAAACTTTTTCCGCTCATAGAACAGATCTGTTTTGCTGCTGCCCAGGTTCACAATCTTTGGACATCCGTCACGCTGCGAGGAGTCCATTGGGCCGATGCGGTGGAGGTGAGGCAATGTAAATGCATTGCGGGGAAGGAAACGCAGTGGATAAGCGATCGTCCAGCACGTCGTAGAGGGGGCGCTGTCCGCTATCCACTGATCCGCGCCAGGGCCCGGCTGCTCGGTGGTGCACTTACATCCTTTTCCATGATAACACACTCTTTGCAGTAGTAGGCATCCGACACTCCTGGGCCTCCGCAGGTTACGCAGCGTCCTTGATACGAGCCGTAGTTGCATTCGTCACAGATCCGCACAAGATCGGCCGGCCGGACGTACGAGTCGCAGATGACACACTTGCCGTCGCATTTTTCACACAGTCGCCCGATAGCTGCAACAGAAAGGACGCCGCCCAACAGAGAAGCCGAAAGAGATTGTTTCGTTTCAGTCGAGAGATCAAGGCGATCGGAGTGATAGATCAGCAGCCGACGCTACCAACGAAGCGAAAACGCAGCCGAACGGCTGCTCAGCGCCACAGTGCATCGTACCGATTCCGGGCTGCTTCCTGCAAAAGATCAGATCGGGGTGGTGGCGAGCCATGGCGACAGGATATGCTGATGTCGGATCCTTGGGTGTTTGCTTGGTGGATCGGCAGGGAAGCGCCGTCGCTGGGCCTTGGAAACGGCGATCGCACATTGCCCCGCCTGCTCACGTGAAGAGCGATCCACGTGGCCCTGGCGTGATGAGGCAAGCAGTCACGGGTTGCCCTTGCACTCGGTGCCTGTTTCGAGCCCCGCGTTGGTCCTGGCAACCCGGTTTCTTCTGCAAGCCAAGCAGATCTGCAGCGCTCGGGCAATGGGGTATGCAAGTGTGCCATCGACAGGGCTCGGCTCTGGCCGAAGGAGACGGCTGCTTGGGAGACCCTTGGCACCAACGTCGCCCTCTTTGGCAGCCGGCTACAGGTTGTTCCAAGTACGGGATTCTTTATTCATGGTAGTATTTCAAATGGTTTCATAGAATTGCGAAGCTATCGCAAGAGGCGCTGCGCTCAGCAACCGTTGCAGTTGTTGCTGATGCAAGTGTTGCAGTTGGCAACGACAGAGGGAGGAGACATGGCGCCCTGCCAATTGCAAATGTTGTAGCAGTAGCCACGGCAGGACTGGGCCGAGCCACCAACACACTGGGCAGGAGGAGGGGAGACTGGAGACGGGGCCGGAGCCGCGGAGGTGGCAGGAGGAGGAGGGGATCCGCTGCAACCGTTGCAGTTGTTGCTGATACAAGCATTGCAGTTGGCAACGACAGAGGGAGGGGATGTGGCGCCCTGCCAGTTGCAAATGTTGTAGCAATATCCATTGCAAGCCTGGGCCGAGCCACCAACACACTGGGCAGGAGGAGGGGAGACTGGAGACGGGGCCGGAGCCGCGGAGGTGGCGGGAGGAGGAGGAGAACCACCGCAAGTACCACAGTTGTTGCTGATGCAAGCGTTGCAGTTAGCCACCACGTATGGAGGAGAGGTGGCGCCCTGCCAGTTGCAAATGTTGTAGCAATATCCATTGCAAGCCTGGGTGGAGCCGCCAACACATGCGGCGTTCTATGTGGGAGGGTGAGGAAGGATTGATTCATTGGCATCAGTGGTCAGGCCAAGTACAACCCGATTGCTGTCGCCGGCCGGCTCTGGACAGCGAAATGCTCAGACCCCAAGCACACAGGATCGACAATAGCCATGGCTATCGCTTGTATGCGCAGATGAATCTGCGCCAGCTCCACCGCGATCCGATCACCCACCGCGAAGGAGGCCACAGAAAGGGCGCAGAGCACAGCAGCGACGGTCTTCATGATTGATTCGGCGGAAGTCGGGTTTGAGCCTGCGAGGGAGTTCTGGGACGAGGCCAGGAGAGACGGACGGGCGAGCCTGGCTCTAAATACGAGGCGTGAGAAGGGTCGCTGCCGATGATCAGCAGGACCGGACTATGGGGTCGCGTGCTCGCGGATCATCCACCACGAACAAGGAGCCTTGATGGCGTATCCGAGAAGAAAACCAATCGCTTGATGGAAGCTGTGGGCTCCAATTTGGGGCGTCGAGGGACACGCAAATTTGGTCAGGCTCTGGGCAAAGTACGAGATAGCTCAGCGAGTGTTCGTCGGCAGCGATTGGCTTGTGGGGAACATGGGCCCGCTGATATGCGGACCCATCTCGTGGAATTTTGCCTGAATGTGTGGGGGGCGGAGCTGAAATGGGGCGGAGATAAAAAATCAAGTTCACGGCCACCTTGGGCCACCAATGCGACATCATCTTTGATTTCGCAGCATCGAGGAACGGCCAGAGGACCCACGAGCTCCCCCCCCCTCGATGGCTGGCGATCGTGCCAAGAAGCGCGGTGCCCCAACCCCGCTCGACACTGCGATAGGACCGATTGGCCGCCGATTTCGCACAGATGTTGGATACATTCGAGACCTCGCGGCAAGCCCGCCTTGCCACATCATTTCTATGGCATGTGCGGTCATTTGTATTACATCGTTCGTCGGCCAAGGATTGGATAGCAATGGGGGGAGCGACATCCAGCTGGACCACAGACAGTATTTGGCAGTCAAATGCGTGCCGATGCATGGCTATCGCTGCGTGACTCATAGCTCAAACTTGGGCTCGAGCGAGCAAGCGCTGGAAACAGCAGTGGGACGGGGTGGAGCAGAGCGTATCATGTCAGTATATCGGCTTGTGCAGTGTCAGGTATGTGGCAAGTACGGGTTACCAACGATCGATTATCTTACCTGGGCCCACTTGACGACAGGCTGCTCGGGCCACCAGAAAGGAGGCACGCAGGGCAGGAATGTTTGCCAGTTAGGGTCGCTTCCGTGACTACGGTCCAGCCAGAACCAAACCGAACCACGTCGCAGAGTCATCCAGATCCCCCAACAATTGGCAACCGTCCTTCACACGGAACTGCCCGATCCGCCTTCGCGCCAACCTGACCCGCTCCCCGCATCGAATCCCATACCATGTCGATCATCTTGCCGTCCAGGACAAAGGCGCCGATTCCCTTTTGCAGATGCTCGTTGTATCCCTCCATGATTTTGGTCGCTCGCTCGATTTCTGCGCCAAGCCGGCCGAGCAATCACAGGATTAGCAGGCGCAATGGCGATTCGGAAAACTTCTTGAAGCAGGTGCCCTACCTTTCTCCGTGGGCGAAAAGATCTTGTGGATGGTCTCCACCTGGGCAGGATGGATGGCCTGCTTGCCAGTGAATCCAAACTCTCGCCCTTCCTGGCATTCTTCAGTCTAGATGATCGATTGCAGACGAGTCAGCAGATCAATTCGCGACCCTCGACAATCAGCTCGCGCATCTCTGAGCCGATCGCACACAATCGGTTCACTTTGCATCCCTATGAGACCCAGTAAGCTGCTGGGATACCGGCGACACTCACGAGAATGTTTTCGCTCTTGTAGTCCTGGCACACAATGTCGATCGATTGCAGCCCAAAGGCACAGGCGGCGGTGACGACGGCTTGACGAGCATAGAGCATCTCCTTGCGCGAGGGGGTGCGCAGGAGGCCGGTGTCGGCGCAGTAATCTTCCGAGGCAACTGGACACATGTTTCATGTGAGCTCGCGATCTTGGATCGGTATGGGCGAACACCCACAGGCCACCCACAGGCCACATCACCACCCGGAAGAGATGGTGGTGCTGAGAATCGCCTTATCTCGGGGGCTTGGCCGTGCAGCTTGTCGGATTGATACGCCTTCGATAGACCGTATATCAGCCACAAACGGACACCCCATCCACAACGAGGTACTTACAGATAATGCCATCGATTCGAGGATCGGCAGTCGCGATTCTGTGTGTAGGGCAACAATTCGGTCGTTGTCAGACATGGGCGTTCGCCCACCGATCTAGCGTCCATACCCGCTTGCACAGCTTGCTTGTCTTTCGGTGGTCTGCTCTGCATATCATTTGCTCTGTCGCCCTGAGGCCTGCCCATGTGCCTGCAATCCCGTATTGCTCAACCTTGGTCGTATGTCTGCAGCAGGCACTTACTCCTTGACATTGATGACGCCGAGGGCGCTCTCGACACAGGGCAGCAGTCGAATGGAAGCGCGGCTGGAGAGGGGATCGAACCTCGCATGAGTCTCATGCGGAGGCAAGCCCATCTCAACACCACCTCGAGAATGCAGTCAGTCGTCTTCCCCTCCTTCTTTAGCCATCGACTCCCACGCTCTGACTCGTACTTGGACTCGGGAGCCACGCTGTCAATCATTCTCGAGATGAACTCGACGTCCCGAGCTGACTGAACCTTGGGGATCACCAGGGCTTGCAAGTTTTTCGATCGGAGCTGTCCAGGCAAAGGCAACAGACAATGTCCAAGCGAGTGAGACACCCGTCCTACAGGACGTGAATCGGATTTTTCGCCAACTCGGCTTGGCTCAGCCACACTCACACCACTGCGGCGTCGTCTAGCTTGAATTGGCCATGCCAGTGATGCAGCGGCAGCAAGCAACCCACCACAACGTTCAAATCGTCAATCTCCAGACCAGATCCAACGGCATTGATGCGCACAGCCTTCTCTGCGCGTCCGACGTCAAAGGTCTGAAAAGAAGAGCCTGTTAGCATAACGCCCTATGCAAAGCCCGAGGAGCCCCATGAGCACGCAGTCTCCGGGTGATATTGCCGCCGGCTGGTCGGATGATGAGGCCGGATCGCTCACCTCAAGAGCCTGGAAGTGAACAGCGTTGGAGGATTTGCGAAAACCCAGCGCAGATGCCAGCAAGCAACGATGAATGATGTCAGATACAGCAAAGTGGGAGGCGAGTGCGTCGCAAAGTTGCAGAGGAGTTGATCAACAGCAACCAAAGTCGCTGATCGATTCCTCCGCCTTGGCCTGCATGGGAACATGCTTCCCACGCGTTCTTCATGCACCACCGTTTGTCCATGGCCAAGAGACTCACATTGAACACTTGCTGGCGAGCAGCACCCTACAAGGACGACAGCGGATCAGACAAAGGACACGCAACCCGGAGAGTGCATGCGGACGGGAGCGAGCAGGCCATCCGCAGCGCAACGGGGTGCCGATATGGCTGGACAAAGCGGGCTACCTTGCGGTTGACAGCGACGCCATCCTCGAGATCGTAGACGAGACAGTCGGCCTTCAGCTTGAGCGAGCTATTGAGCTTGCGCTCCTCGCTGCCTGGTAATGCGGCGGCGGCGGCATGTCGATGAGGGCAAGACACGAAGCAGGTGCGAGTTGGTTGTGGGTAGGTTGTGGGCGAGCGGTGGCCAGCCCAATGTTCATCGGACTTTGTATATGCATGTAGTGAAGCCAGATGGTTGAACCGTCGCTGGAGGCAGTGATAGCCCTCAACCCCTCCTCTCGCCTCATCCGATATGTGCCCTGCGGCTCGATCTGCATCCAAAATGTATATGCTCACCGGGGACTGCCGATGGCGGGTGATGCCACGGAGGCGGAAAAGGAGAGGACCGATCGTCAGATTTCCGAGACATGAACGCGGGTTTGATGCCGATCGAGCCGAGAGATCGATACAAGTCATTGGCACGCAGGGAGCCTGCCGACACGGGGATGCAGCTCCATCGAGCATTCATTCAGTCGCCCTAAACATCGACAGCAACAGCACCACAAGTCGATTTGCGCCACATGTCGGCCGTCGTATCCACAGCAGCGGGGGCGTAGGAAGGAGATGAGCTCGTACTGTAGAACAGAGTGCGTCTCGGTCGCTCTTGCTTGTTAGCGGTCTTGGGGCTTTCCAGGGCCGATGCCGAAGACGTAAAAGCTCGGAGGGCTTGGGCTGGGGCAACGACACGCAGCGAGCATCGGACGACGGACGAGACGGAGGCGAGTTTGGGAAACATTTGCGGTGAGGATGAGCTGGGAGAGATCGCAGCGACGGCGACGGACCAGCACGAAAGACGGGGGGCGAGATGGGTGGCGCCGGACAAGTCGAAGAAGAAGCGGCGGCCTGGACGATCGACGAAGAGCACCCTTGGGCTGGGGGATGCAGGAAGAAAGCAAGGCCGGCGTGGTCCCGTGGCCTGGCTGATCCGGCTCCGAGTCATCGCGCGCAATGACGGAGACAGCGCGGCGACATGGAGCAAGCGAGCCACCATGGAGGAAGCCGACGGGGGCTTCAGCAAGTGCAAATGCACCGAGTATTTCAACATGTGCAAATGCACTGAGTATTTCAACAAGTGCAACCCACCAATCTCGGTCGTATATTGTTGTCAGATCAGCCCGGGCCAGAACGGCACAGCGGCATGCGCTCCACATCCCCTCTCCCTCGGCTTAGATGGCCATCGGCCGCTTGGCGACCTTCATGACGCTCTGCAGGAACCGGTCGACCTCGGCGACATAGCAGGTAAACTCGGGGTAGGTCTCCTTGGGCCCGTACGGATCCACAAACCACTGCGGATCCACGACCTCGCCCCGGAGCTGGGCCATGGAGATAAAGTCGGAGAGAAGCATGAACCCGTATCGCTTGAGCTGCTGCACCCACGGGCCCTCCTGCTGGGCAGGCTTGCGATGGGCGTCCTGGGTGAGGGTGTAGAGGTATCTGGGCGGACGGAGCCCTCGGTGCGCGGTGTCGGTCTGGATAAAGGCCGTCAGCGGGGCAAACATCTCCGAGAATGGGATGATAAAGTTGTTGTCCGGCCGCAGGTCTTCGCCATAGCTCACAAAGATGGTCTGGGAGGCATAGTTGTACTGGAAGATCTGGAAGACGACAATGCGCCAGTCGCGCTGGGGTTTGGCGCCGCCCTGCGAGGTCGGCAGCTTGATGCGGCTCGGACCTGCGTGCTGCGAGGAGCCGTCCTCGAGAGTAAAGTTCTCCTTGTTGGGTGCGCCGTTACGCTTGGACTTTTTCGGCTGCGTGGTCGAGCAGGTGCCTAGCAGCATGTACCGGATGCCCTCGACCAGGGGCTTTGTCGGATCCAGGCTGTCGCGCAGCTCCGTGGTGATGACATTGAGCCGCTTGTGCAGGTCCGCAAAGGTCTTGTAGCATGGCGAGTACTCCAGGATCGGAGGCGCCGCAAGCCGCGAGATGGCGCCGTTGGTCATCACCGACAAGACCTCGTCCACAAACTCTTCCATCTTGTCGTTTGCGATGCCGCACTCGGCGCTCAGCGGCAGCGAGAACATGCGATAGTCGACCACAGGCACGTCGCCTGTCCGCAAGTGCTGTAGCTTGCATGTACGTCTGCCATCGGCAAACAGCTCCGTGGGTCTCCACTTGCCTGTGCGCCATTTGCCTCCGGCTCCGCAGTCGGTGCAGATGCGGTACTTTGTCGAGCACGACGTGCAGATGACTTCGGTGTCGGTGATGACGTCTCGATAGGACTGCCCGAGACCAGTGTTGGGAGAGACCGAGAGTTTACGGCCGGACCGGCCGAGCTTGCGCGGATGGAGCTGGGCCGACTCCAGAACCTCGACCTTTCCGGCGCCCACGTCTCGCTTGCAGACATGGCACTCGAGCTCAAAGTAGCCGTGGCTCTCTCGGCTGTATCCCGAGTCAGAGGCCCGCAGATGATCTTCGCAGGACAGGCACAGAATCTCGAGGCGGCACGATCCGGAGTGGCTTTCGAGGCCGACAATGTCGTGGATGTACATAGTGGCGAACATCCGGCTGCACAGCCGGCATACGCCGTCGAACTCGGCCACGGCCTTTTTGCTCCGCTTGGACGAGTCCGGGGTGACGACGGTCGACGACGAGGTCTCGGGCGACAGGCCGGCCGACTCGGAGAAGAGACTCAGACTGGTGTACGGCGGCGGGTTGGATCTTGAGGGCAGCGGGGTTGTCGTTGTCGGCAGGCCGGCCCAGCTTTTGGATGGCTGGGAAATGGCCGAAGCCGGAGCTGCCCCGATAAAGTTGGGCGCTGGTTGAGACTGCTGGAGCGATTGAGGCGGCAGGGGATGGGATGGAGCGACCATAGAGGCAGAGGCAGACAGCGGCTGGGCGACCAGCTGGCTGTTGGTGTACGGCATCTGAGAGTAGTTGCTCGTGGATGACGACGGAGGCACAAAGAGAGAGGCCATGGGCGGCCGGGGATCCATTGGGACATAGGCATGAGGGGCCAGATCCAGGGGCGGTAGAAACGGGTTCCCCACGGGGGCTGCACCAGGACTCGGTATATACGAGCCCGGCTGAGACGGCGGCAGGGACGGGTTGCGCAGACCCGGACTCGACAGATTCGATAGATTCGACAGACTCGACAGACTCGACAGACCCGACATATTCGGTACGCCGGACAGATTCGGTAGCCGTTCGGGATAAGACGGGGCGCCTGGCCGGGGCTGCGCCGAGACCAGCAAGTTGGATCCGTGGACAAGCGACGTTTCTCCCAAGGCATTCATGGGAGCAGCGACTCCGGCAAAGACCGAGTTGGCAAAGGACGACAGCGGTTGGGTTGAGCCGTCGAAATGCGCAAGCGCTGGATTGGTGCCAAGCATGCCTTCTCGGGTGCCGTCCCAACGAGAGTCGAGTTTATCCGGGGCGAAGGACGCTGCCGACAGAGACGGCTGCGAGGCCGAGAGACGAGACTGGTCGGCCAGGAACTTTTCCTTCTGGATGTAGTAGCTGAGATGCTGCTCCTTGGCCCGCAGCTCGCGGGTGATGCGTTCCTGGGCCTCCTTGAGATACTCAATCTCGACCTGCAGCTTGGCAATCATATCCGAGGACGAAACATCCGAGTCCGAGTTGGACGCAGAGCGTGCCGGGACCAGCGATCTCAGGTCCTCGAAGTGCGATTCCATCTCGGCGGCGAACTATACGGCGGTGCGGGCAGGACTGGGACGGAAGTAGGGGATGCGGCCGGTACAGCGGGACGGTCGACAGACGGCCGAATCGGATGCAGTGGCGGCGAATGGCAAATCGCCGAGTCGACAGAGAGCGGGATCGGCGGTGGATGGTTTTGTGGCGGCAGAGAGGGAGCCCAGTGGCGAGTGAAGGACTCGGTCGGTGCGAATGGCGCAGGACGGTAGCCGAAGAGGTTGAGCTGCAGCAAGATGCAGGTCCAAACGGATCTGAAGAGAGGCAGGAGCGGCGGCCGACAGAGAGGTGCGGCGGATTCCTCGGGTCAGAAAAGAAGGTTCGCCCAGCCGGCTACCTGATTGGACACGCAGGCAGGAAGGCAGGAAAGCAGGCAGCTGCTTTGGTGAGCGAGGGTGGATTGATGAGCGAGGGTGGATTGATGGGTGAGGGTGGATTGATGGGTGAGGGTGAATTGATGGGTGAGGGATTCCGGTCCAGGCACACGGCGAAACAGGGCAGGCGAGACACGACTGGTGATAGGGGACAGTGGGGAGGAGCACTCAAAGTTGTACCTGCGGTGGAAGGTGGAAAATACAGACAACGTGGCCCGGCAAGCAGTGCCTGGAGGAGACTGCGAGAGGGGTGGGGAGCAGCGAGCGGGGGGGTGATTCTGGTGCGTCTGCAGAACAGGCCAGCAGCGGGTAAGAGAAGCAAGCCCGGTCGGGAGGGGGTGAGCGAAAAGGCAAGAGCAGAAAGACAGGGCGACCACCCTGACGCCGGCTCATCCATTGCATCCAGAGGATCGCCACGGGCGTGAGCCGATTAGACGGCAATCCAATAAAAAACGGGACACCCGGGTTTTGACCATTGATCGAATATTTTGTTACCCAAAACCATCGCGCGCTGGCCATGACCATTCGCCACACATCCGACTTTCGCACCGCCGCATTGCGATGCTACGCCCTCATCCATAGCCTGCGTAAGGTCGCCTCCATATTCAGTGTATCCAAGAGCACCATCCATCGATGGCACCGAGGATGCAAACTGGATGACCCATCCCGGGTCCCAGCTCGCAGATCCACTTTCTTCGAGCAGGCATGTCCAGTCATTCGCACCCTGATTGAACAGGACCCGTTCCAGACTGGTCCTGTGTTGCGATGCAAGCTCGAGTCCATCCTCCAGAGGAAAGTATCACTCTCACTCTGCCACACTGCCATCCACCGAGCAGGTCTCTCACACAAGAGGGCAACACACCTCTACAAGTCCAAGCGACTGGATGAGCGAGTGGCACAGTTCAGGGACCAGGTCCGCTCCATCGACCCACGACGATTCGTTTTTGTCGATGAGACAGGGATCAGGAAATCCATTTTCCCTCTCTACGGATACTCACCGAAGGGTGCTCCGCTTCGCCAGCGCAATCACATGAAACACAAGTCTGTCTCGGCTGCATTTGCCATCAACCACTCTGGTGTGCTGCATCGCATGTACATCCCCACATCATTCAAGACACACTCGATGGTCGAGTTCTTTGAGCGAGCGACCTTCCCAGACGACTCTGTGATTGTGATGGACAATGTCAGCATGCACAAGACAATGCCTGTCCTGGACTGCATCGAGCGCCGAGGATGGTCAGTGATCTTCACCCCACCTGCCTCGCCCGACTTCAATCCCATCGAGAACTTCTTTGGGGTTGAGTTCCTCCAATTTGGGGTTGAGCTCCCCAATCACGCCGCCATTTTGACGCTCAAATCCCTGGCTTGAACCTCTCGGCGATTTTTGAACAGGTCGCTTCCCCAACCAGCCCGCGCAGACGGGTTCCTGCTCTCGGGTATAAATGCCACACCTTCGTCCTGCTGCTTTCTTCCCTCATCTCGCCTTGATCTGATCATCGCGCTATTGTACGATAAAGAGAAGTCTCTGCTCTGACCAGTACCACTGGCAGGCATCCAGCATCCTCTGCCCCCATGCCTCCGAAGCGTAAGGGCACCGGTGATGGCCAGCCTCAGCCACCCAGGCCCAAGAAAGCCAAGTCACAGTCGGAGCCTGTCTCTGTTCGTATTCTGACCCCACGCATGCTTGGTCGTCTGTTGCTCCGTCGCTCACCACCACTGCTTCTGCAGATCCAATGGATGTCGATCCCACCGAGCCTGGTCCATCTACTTCCTCGAGTACCGGCAAGCGATGTCGCCAGTGCGATGGCACCGACCACGAGCGAAGCAACACTAGCAAATGTCCCAAATACCGGCCCCTCAAGAGTTCTGTCGTCCCTCTCGTGGATGGAAGGTCATCGGCCCCTCAGTTCAGCTGCTTCAAGCAGACGATGGATGGCTGTTGTCTCAATCCCGCTCTCCGCGACAAGATCCAGGCCACCGCCGAGGCCATGACCCAGATCCAGTTCGAGGCATCCAGGCTGCTCAACCTGCACATCCTCCGGTGCATCGAGCAGGATCTTCCCGTCCCCGTCATCTCCAAGTCCACCCCTGCTTTCGTTCGCCAGTGCTTCACGATTGTCGAGGCCGATGCCCTCTCCCCGACCGGGGATATCGAGCAGTACAACGAGCATCTGGTCGCTTCCTTTCGCGACTATCAGACCACTCGGCACGCAGACCTGCCTCCGGCCCCTCGTCTGCCTGATGGTGCTCACAGTCAACTTCTCACCCTGGCTGTCAATGCCTATGCTACCAACTGCACCACCCACCTCGACCTGGCCTACTGGCGACTCCTTCGCCGCTTCTGCGCTGCCGTCTTCCCAGCCAACAAGCATAAGCACGAAGCCATCGAGGCCTGTCTCGAGCTCTTCGAGAAACCGGACTCGACTCCACCCAAGGCCGATCTCGAGTTCCTCTATCCAGACTTTGGCCACATCCTGGACGAGTTTCGGTACAGCAGCGACCAGGACCGCTTCCGGGCCCTCCATCGCCTCTCACACCATGTGGGAATCCTCGCCCGGGACAAGATGGTCGACAATGTCCACAAGTGGATCGACTGTGACATGCCCGCCCTCCGAGTCACCGAGCTGCAGCGCCAGGCCAAGCTGGACAGCCTCACTACCCAAGGCATTCCCTCCGACGACAAGAGGTTCACCAAGGCCAAGTCTGAGCTCGGCACCACCAAGTCCAAGATCAACAAGCTGGCCGCCAGGATCAAGTGGGCACTCAAGCAGCTCGCCGTCGACGCTCCTCCGGCCGTGTGCACGATAGTTCCTCTATGCACTGCCACGGCCAAGTATGTCAAGATTGACACGGTCACTCTCTGGCAACTCCTTGACACCGAACATCGTCTTGACCTCACCTGGGACAAGCTCAAGGAAGAAGGTGAGGACGGTGTCAACAACCAGGATCGTCTCTGGCGCAGCTGCTTCAAGCTGCGTAGTTCCCTCTTCCGTGACCGGGATATCAATCACAAGCTGTTCAACTACGAGATCAGCACCGATGGCATTGGATGCACCATCGGTCTCGTCAAGTTTGTGCGTCGAACCGATCGCACCGAGACCATCGAGCCTCCTCCGACTGCCGAGCAGCGTATCCAGGCCCACATCGGCGACCCAGACCCCAACCGCACCACTTGGATTGGCATCGATCCTGGAGTCGGCTCCATCTTCACGGCGGTCATCCAAGCACCGGGCCACCAAGACGAGGTGGTCTCGTTCTCCAATGGCCACTACCAGCACATGTGTGGCCATACGTCCAACACCAAGTGGCACAATATCATGAAGTATCGACTCAGCATCGAGACCTGGATGTCGACCACCCCCTCGCCCAAGGTGTCGTCCTCGGAAGCCTTCAAGGTCCATCTCACCCATGTCCTGCGACCGGAGCTGCGAGTGCAGCTCGACTTCCACCTTGGCAAGAAGGCTCGTCACCATCGCTTCACTGGCCACAAGAGACGCCAAGTGGCCGTCGACAGGATGTGCAAGGCCGTCCTGAAGCACGCCCCGATACGGACCGATGTGGTGATCGCCTTTGGCAATGCGTCATGGCGACAAGGCAAGGGCTATGCATCCAGCCCTCGGAGGCAGCGGTTTGCTCGGTACTTTGAGCAATTCGAGCACCACCGACGCCGTCCCAATCACCATCATGGAAGCGTCAAGGTGGCCTCGACGAACGAGTTCAACACCTCGCAAGTGTGCTCCAAGTGCCTGGAGCCAGTTCGGTTGGAAGGACTCGATGCGCCCAGTGTTGCGAATTCCCACTTTGTCAGGAGCTGCAAGAATCCCAGCTGCCGGACAGTGTGGAATCGCGACGTCAATGCGGCGCGCAACATGATCACAGTATGCAGGTCGATTGTGGAGATCGGAGAGCGACCGGCGGTCTTCACTCGGAGGCTGCCAAAGTGATCTGTTTTATTTCTTATGGCTTTGCTTGACGCAAGCACATCACATACTACGTGTTCATGGAAACGGCTATATTTTCTGAATAAAGTGTAGACGGCAGAGATCGAGGCACAACTCGGGCGTCGCACAGCCATCAGCAAGCATCGCTTGTGCACGCCTTGCCGGGCTGCATCTGCCGGCTTGGCCTGCTGCTGTTGCATCTGGGGCTGGACTGGGCGAGGGAGATGGGGACGACGGACCATGGAGGGATGGGGTGGTGCAAGTATCGCAGCGATGCAGATGCTGTAAGCGATGCGGCTGCTTGCAGGCGATGTGGGCGATGTGGGCGATGTGGGCGATGTGGGCGATGTGGGCGATGCAAGCGTCGCAGGTGGGGGCGGTTTGTGGACGATGCGATCGGATGCAGCCAGTACACCGTGCTGAGAAACAGTGGGACAGGCTATTGCGTTCACAAGCACGCCGATGCTATCGTGCACCCGGCCAAGAAGACCAAGTGCATCAAATCGCCTTCCTGGGCGTCCGTCCATGGAGTCTCCGATGCTCATCGCCCAATCTGCGGTGGATGTGGCTGGCTGGCCGGGCCTTGTTGAGGGGTCTCCACTGCGACCCACTGGGAGGGTTGATGTGGGGAGAGGGCTTGCGGTGTATTGGCAGAGACGGGCGACATTCGCATGGCGTGCGAGCAGCACCGGCATTCCTCCCCGGCTGCGATGGATCATCCCGAGGACCGGCATCGTCATGCCCGCAGCCCATGCGATTCATGCCCGCAGCCCATGCATCCAATTCCGTCCTCGCCAGAACCACGGCGCCGGGCGGTGGCCCTTCGCGTCTTGTCCCTCGTTCCCCCACGGCGTTTGGCGCTCCCATGCCGTGGCGCAGTGGGCCACATTCGAACCACGGGTCGGACCGGACCGGAGCGCATCGCCACAACTTTTGCACCAACCGCCGGCGCGCCGCCCGCGTCGATAGCCATGGTCGATAGTCTTGGTCGATAGTCTTGGTCGATAGTCATGGTCGATAGTCATGGTCGATTGACTTGGCTGTTAACCTTTCCTTGATCATGCTCCTTGGCCAGCCATCGCTTGCTTTTGTCCACCGTCGGTTCACCCACCCACCCGTCGCCCGCCGTGCTGGCCAACACAAAGCCCGGTTCTCCTCACCAGCCACCCACGAGTATTGCCGACTTTCCCACCCCACTTGCCGCTGTGGCACCCCTGTCCTGGGCTGTCCTGGCCCATCCTGCTCTCCCCACCAATTGCATCTGCGCGTCGGTCCATTCTGGCCATCGCTCGCCATCGCTCGCCTCACCCGCAGCCCGCCAGCTCCCATCCCCACGGTTTGTTGGCCGCCGCTCCTTCACTTCCATAAATCCCCTTTGACCCCCCCCCGTCGCTCAAACCTCGTCGCCCTCCCCCGGCTTGCCGCTCCCCGCTCAGCTTCCCTCACAGGCCCCTCCCCAGATCACAACAAGATGAGCCCCCTGCTGGCCATGGGCGCCTTCGCTAGAGCAGCGCACATCACCGTCAAGTCCCCCACGGCTCGTCTCGGCAACCGCATGTTTGCTTCGAGCACAGACGCCACCACCCATGTCGGTCGGCCGCTGGCCAAGAAAACCACTTGGGAGCTGTGGCGATCGCTGCTGGTACGAGCCGAGACCACTCAGAGACATGGCGGATGGGATCCTGACGCAGGAATGGGAACAGACTTTGGGCAACGGCTGCTCCAAGCCATGGCAGTGCCCGCCAGTTGCTCGAGAATCGCTTTGGTCTGGCCTGCCGAGCACACTATTCTGACTCACCCGGCTCTCCAGGTCTTCAGGGTCTGCACCATCCAGCCGGTCGTCAAGCACGCCGACCGCATCATCGCGGCCTTCGACAGCATCGGGCTGTCGTCGCTCTCTAACCTAGTCATCAAGTACACCTTCTACAATCAGTTCTGCGCCGGCGAGACCCCCAAGGAGATCAAGTCGCTCATCGACAGCTACCAAGCCAACGGCATTCGCACCCTGCTCGAATATGCCTACGAGTCCGATATCGAGAGCCAAAAGTCGGGCGGCATGTCTCCAGGCAGCAGCTCTGTTGTCAAGGCCCTTGCCGATACGATCGACTATGCTGCCCTCGGCAAGGACAGCTTCACGGCTATCAAGATCACGGCCCTGCTCGATCCGCAGGTTCTGGAGCGCATCAGCAACGTCTGCAACCGCATCCAGGCTTCGTTCTTTGCCTCTGTGGATCTGGAGCGCACCCCGAGCTTGTCTGCAGCACATTCCAAGAGTGACCTCGTCCGAGTTCTCTCGTCGTTGCTGGACATCCCAGCACAGGAAGCCGCTGTCCTTGCTGATACGCTGTTCCCAAAGGTGAGCCCCTCCTGAAGCCGGAGTATATCGGTGCATGGCGTGTGTGGGCAATCAAGGCGGAAATGACCATACAACATGCGGACACCGCCGTATCAGCATTCAATCACCGCTAGATGAGGTCCTCTGCCTCGCTCACCCAGCATGCCGCTTGCCTTCTCCAGAGCTCGACTGTCGACTGGGTAGACTTCAGCTCCGTCGTTACCCCCAGTAACCCCGTTCTCAGAGGGCATCTGTCAAAGTTGGCCATCAAGGATGAAACCTTGGCCTCTGCCGCTGACCTGGATGCCCTGGACAGGACCCTTGAGCACACCAAAGCGCTCTGTACCCGGTCCAAGCAACTCGGTGTTTGGATGGCCGTTGACGCAGAATTCTACTACTGCCAGCCCGCTATTGACCATATCTCGCGGGAGCTCGAGCGCATCTTCAACAAACCCAGCCAGCCGGGCGACTTGCCCCTTGTCCACAACACCCTGCAGTGCTACCGCAAGGATGCCCTGTGGAGACTCAGCGTGGAGTCTGAGCGGGTAAGTACGTCGCTGCTTGCCCTGCATGGGTCCAGGCGGATGGTATTGGCTTTGTGCAAGAGCGTCCGAGCTGACATCTGCGATCGTCTGTCTTGATCGACTGCGGACTCTTGATTCTCCTCGCTTCTTCAGGCTCGGCGACTTGGATATGCTCTAGGCATCAAGGCTGTTCGGGGTAAGACACATTATCGCACCGTGAGTCCGCTGCGGCATCATCCACTTCCTGGACTGATAGGCGAATCTGTTGTCCTGGGACATGGCACCCAGGCGCCTATGTCGTTCACGAACGAGCCAGGGCCAAGACCCTGGGTACTCCCGACCCCGTTTGGCCGACCATCGAGGGCACCCACTGGTCCTACAACACCATCATACAGCTGATGCTCGAAAAGATCGCCAGCGGCACCAACGCTGGGTTGGTGATTGCCGGGCACAACGAGGAGTCTGTTCGGAGAGCTCGCGAGAAAATGGCCGAGCTCGGCATCGAGAACGATTCACCTCGAGTCAGGTTTGGCCAGCTCCAAGGTAAGAGGGGCCCCACTTTGCTCTACGTCAGTGATACTGCCCCCATGCACTTTGCTCTTCGCCAGTGATACTGCTCCGTGCACAGACATCCTCATTCTTTGGCGACCCTTTCGTTGCTCTGTTGTTTGATGCTCTCCAGGAATGATGGACCACCTCACCCTCTCCTTGGCCAACGATCGCTACCGAGCCATGAAAGCCACCTGCCAGGGCCCGGTCAACGTCTGCATCCCGTACCTGATTCGCCGGGCGCAGGAAAACTCCTCGGCCCTCGCTGGTGCTGGGCGAGAGCTGCATGTCATCTGGAGCGAGCTCAAGGCCCGCCGGCTATTCTTCTAGCGATATTGCGGATGTTTGAATCGCGGCGGAGTGAATGTGTGGCAGACCGGCGGGTGGGAAGGCCAAGATGCTGTCCATGCTCTTGTCCTGCCTGTCTCTGCGCTATGTGTTATGTGCTATGTGCTGTGTGTTGTGTACTGCCCATACCCGATCCCTGGGAAGCACCAGCGTCTCATCCTTCACCAAACGACCGCCTCAGGCTTCCATTCAGTAGATCCAGAAAGAAACGGGACAGTCGTAGGCTCCAGTGGGCAAGCCGTACGACTATTTCCCGTCCTGGTTGGCAATCTCTTTGTTTTCGTTGGCTTGGTCTTGAATATACATGGTCGATCTCCTGTGTCGATGTGGGAGTATGGTACATTCACTCGATGTGGGGTGGTGTCTTTTGCTTGCGGGAGCCATCTGAGAGAGAAAGCGTCCTTGATTCAGATCCAGAAACACATCACTGAATGGTCATGGCCAGCGTGCAATTTGTTGGGGCGATAACATACCCGCTCAACGACCAAAATCCGTTTTTTATTGGATTGGCTGTATTCTGCGCATTCAATCATGAGCGGGGCTGGTTTGTTCATGACCGAGAAGGGCGAACAAACGCACTTGGCTGCCAACAACATGCCGCCGCCGTGTCACAGCCGCCGCCTCAAGCCACAGGCAAGCCTTGGCCTCCCTCGCCATCACCTTCGTCCGCCATCACCTTCGTCCGCCATCACCTTCGTCCGCCATCATCTTCGTCCACCATCATCTTCGCCCAACCGTCTCGCGCCCGGCCCCAATGTCGTCCCTGCCGCTCTACAAAGTCATCGTTGCTGCCGACAGCTCGAGCCCCTCCCAGCAGGCCATCATGCACGGGGTGGAGCTGTGCCAGCGGGTTGCCCCGAACCCATGTCGTCTGATCATCATCCATGTCACCGCCCTCAACCCACGGAGCAGTCTGCCGTACATGTATGCGATTTTGACCTGCAATCGGGCCCGCATGGCTGCGCCCCCATGCCATCTGTCGGTTTATGATCCTGCGCCGTCGCTTTGCAAGTCGATTGATCATCCACGACACCATCCGCCGTTGCATGTCCGCTCATCCTCTGGCCGATGCGTCCTGCTCGTCCGTTGGCATTGGACCCAACTCATTCGCAGCGACAATATGGAAAAGTCCTTCAATTACGAGATCAAAGTGAGCGAGAAGCAGGAGATCCAGCTCTGCAAGGATTTTATCGAGCGAAGCGTGGCCGACAAGGTACAGTCCCGGAGCTGAGGACAAACGACATTACGCTGTTGTGAGCAACGAGGCAACCGCGCCCGCCGGCCCGTCATGATGGTGGTGCTCAGTCCGGGAGATGCGCTTGTCTGGGCTCCGAAGACTCTCTATCGACAGACCCATAACATCCACACCCAACTCTGGCTGCCCGTTCTATGCAGGTGCCATACGACTTTGTCCAAATCGAAGGCGAGGGCGACGTCGGCCCCCTGATCGAAGAGGTACGAGCAGCCCAGCCATCGATGTACAGGGGCTTGAGCAGCGGCTGCAGTGCTGCACCGACCAAAGAGCAATGCCTGTGCTGAAACGGGCGTCCTCTCCTATCCCTATCCCGATTCCCGTTGCCTCGATCTGCGGCAGTTTGTCAAGGAATCACACCCGGATACCAACATGCTGGTGCTCGGAACACGGAATCTGGGAACTGTCCAAAGGTGGGTTCCAATCTGGCCGGACGGCGAAAGCTCATAGACTCCTCGGCAGCTCCAGAGCCAAGTGTCAGCGGCGCTTGGAACGCCACAAGCATCCCGCGCTGCCTCTATCGCCTGCTTTCTCCTGCGCTCTAACTTATCCCCTCGGTTAACCGCTATGCCTCGTCGTCGACCCGGTCGCCGCAGCAGATGGGCGCTGGGGTCCGTCAGCGACTACTGTCTCCACCACGTAACATGCCCTGTGCTGATTGTCAAAGATACCGCGGCCCAATAAAACCGAGTAGTGCCTGCCTGGCAGCAGCAGCCACAGCGTCTCTGGATCCGCATCCGCATCTGCATCCGCATCTGCATCTGCATCTGCATCTGCATCTGGATCGGCATCTGGAACTGCATCTGGAACTGCATCTGGATCTGGAGTTGAGGAATATATGCAAAAGCGTCAGCAGCTTGCCCTTACCGTCTGCACTCAGCCAGACAACACACCGTCGACACGACAGGCGAGATCAGAGTCAAGGTTATGGTATCCTCAGATGCAGCGAGGGTCTCTCGCCACTAGGAGAGGTAAAGCGATTTGACAAAGCATCATTTCGAGTGCATCGGGGGGGGGAAAGCGCGGGAGGTCTGTGGATAGGGATACTTACCGATTACGGATCCGCGGGCAATCACGGAGCGACATGCCGGTGGCCAAGAACGAGGCTGCGACGGCCAGCCATGTCATCGCACCGCAGACTGCATTTGAGCAGACGCAGATGAGAGCAGACGCAGATGAGAGCAGACGCAGGTCAGAGGCAGGTTAGAGCAGACGCAGGTGAGAGGCAGGTCAGAGGCATCTCTGGTTCGGCGACATCAGCAAGACCGGCGACACAGAGAAAAAACGCCACGTGAGGCGCAGGCGCGGCGCGCAGCAGCGCCGCTGATTGGTCTGGCGGTGGTCGTCTCGTCGCCTGCCCGACACGGCTGTCTTTGCGCTTGCCTCTGCAGCCGCCTTTCGATCAGCAGCCCCAATCTCCATGTCTGAAGGCAAGAAAAGCACCCTCTTCGTCTCGGGAGTCAGTCTCCGCACCCGAGCCAAGGATCTCGCCTATGAGTTTGAGCGGTACGTCGCTGCTGCAAGCCTTTGTGCATTGTGTTCGTGCTGTCGCCGCAACTGCCTGGTGCTGCCGCTTGCGTTGATGGCTGGGTGCTAGATCACAAGCTGACACCTGCCTGCTGCTCTCCACTCAAATGCTGCCCAACTCTGCGTCACAACACACACTTGGCTGCTCCGCTTGGCCGATCTATGCCACCGGCTTCGCATCCAATGCTCCTCCGCGCCCAATCGACCCTGCAACCGACGCTATTCAGCTATGGGCGGCTCGTGAGATGCGACATCCCTGCTCCCCGACATGGATCGAGATCACCGTACGCACCGCGCATCCCTGCATCTTTGTGACTCCGTGTCTGCGACCACCACGCACAGCTGCTCGATCGCTGCCTATTCTGGCCTTGGGATCGCCGGCACTCATGCTGGCTTTGTCGTCCTCCTTTGCATTCGGTAACAGCGCTACCTACGCCTTTGTCGAGTTTGAAGACCGCCGAGATGCAGAAGACGCATACTATGAGATGCAAGGTAGGCGTTTCGATGGATTCACCTTGGATATTCAGGTGCGTATCTCCTCTTCATCGCATGGCAGGGAGCGCGGACGGCTGCTATCCAGAGCGGGTTCGGACGCAGATCGCCCGGACACATGGCGGGCCGTTTCGGAGCGGGGGAATCCCCTTGGCAGCCTGGATCGCTCAGGCAGCCACTCTATCAAGGATCGAAGCATACTTGCGACCGGGTCCCCCCCCTGCCTGTAGTGAAGCGATCGGCGCAACACGACTGGAAAGTCACCGCCCAACCCCTCCCACAGCCCGGTGCCCGCTGCTCACCGAGCCTGCCTTTCTCTCTACCTCTCTACCTCTCTCTATCGATCGTGCATAGTGGGCAAAAAGCGCACCCAGCAGAACCTGGCGATACGATGATCGCCGTGACTCGGACAGACCTCGAAGCCGCGATAGTGGACGGGACCGAGATCGCGAGCGGGACAGAGAGCCGGATCGAGACGGACGCGACAACCGGGACGATCGGGACGACCGAGACCGGGATAGAGACCGACGCCGCTCTCGATCGCCCCGCCGAGGCAGCGACCGGGATGATGCCGATCGCTCGTCTAAGCGCGGCGACCGAGATCCTGATTCTAAGGATGGTGGTGAGCGCGATCGAGAGGATCAGCAAGACGCTCGCGATGGCAAGGGATCGCCCAGCAGAGACGCGGAGGGTAGACAGGCCTCGGCTAGCCCCGTGAAACGAGATACTAACGGCTATTCGAGCCCTGGAGTGCTCTCACCAAGGCTGGAGGAAGAGGGCAACATGTCCCCACGACAGTGGTGAGGGACCGGACGCACAGCCGCCACAATATGAACGGGGCCATGCCCCTGCCTTTTCTCTCACTCTCACTCTCACTCACTTTCACGCCGCTGACCCGCCGGTTCCGCCGAGTCTGGTGAGCAGTGAGAGCAGATGGATAGTGCCTCTGCACCGCCGTTTCTTCCCTCCGTGGCGGTGCAGCAACGTTTGTTGCTGTTGTTGTTGCTCGGGCACTGCGCTCATGTCATGCATCCAACCATTGCCAAAGCCCTTGACGTCCCACCGCCTATTCTTCAATGCTATGGACAGCGAACGCTCCTTTGGGTTCGTCCCCAAGCTTGCTTGCTCTCCCGCTCATGCTTTGCCTTTTCCGCCCCGCGCCTTCTTTTTTCTTCTTGATCTTGGCTGTGTTTGACCTTGCCATGCCACGCCATGTTGCTTTTCCTCTTTTGCGTCCGTCCTGGGCCTCTTCCTTGGTGTGCCGTGCGTCCGCCTCAGCTCCGAACCTTGCCGATCTCTTGTGCCTCTCGCCCTCTTCCGCAGCTCGGCATCCACCAATACATCGTGTGTTTGATTGTCTGTGCTGCTGGCCAAATGCGCGGTGCTGTCGATCGAGCCGCGGCCAGCGGCTGCTTGCCTGAGAATTGCCTGGCCCTGGCAACGCTCGCAAAGTACACTGTATTCAGAAAAAAACGGGACAATATAGCCGTTTCCATGAACGTGTAGTATGTGATGGCATGCGTCAAGCAAAGCCACAAGAAATAAAACAGATCACTTTGGCAGCCTCCGAGTGAAGACCGCCGGTCGCTCTCCGATCTCCACAATCGACCTGCATACTGTGATCATGTTGCGCGCCGCATTGACGTCGCGATTCCACACTGTCCGGCAGCTGGGATTCTTGCAGCTCCTGACAAAGTGGGAATTCGCAACACTGGGCGCATCGAGTCCTTCCAACCGAACTGGCTCCAGGCACTTGGAGCACACCTGCGAGGTGTTGAACTCGTTCGTCGAGACTACCTTGACGCTTCCATGATGGTGATTGGGACGGCGTCGGTGGTGCTCGAATTGCTCAAAGTACCGAGCAAACCGCTGCCTCCGAGGGCTGGATGCATAGCCCTTGCCTTGCCGCCATGATGCATTGCCAAAGGCGATCACCACATCGGTCCGTATCGGGGCGTGCTTCAGGACGGCCTTGCACATCCTGTCGACGGCCACTTGGCGCCTCTTGTGGCCAGTGAAGCGATGGTGACGGGCCTTCTTGCCAAGGTGGAAGTCGAGCTGCACTCGTAGCTCCGGTCGCAGGACATGGGTGAGATGGACCTTGAAGGCTTCCGAGGACGACACCTTGGGCGAGGGAGTGGTCGACATCCAGGTCTCGATATCGAGTCGATACTTCATGATATTGTGCCACTCAGTATTGGACTTGTGGCCACACATGTGCTGATAGTGACCATTGGAGAACGAGACCACCTCGTCTTGGTGGCCCGGTGCTTGGATGACCGCCGTGAAGATGGAGCCGACTCCAGGATCGATGCCAATCCAAGTGGTGCGATCGGGGTCTGGGTCGCCGATGTGGGCCTGGATACGCTGCTCGGCAGTCGGAGGAGGCTCGATGGTCTCGGTGCGATCGGTTCGACGCAGAAACTTGACGAGGCCGATGGTGCATCCAATGCCATCGGTGCTGATCTCGTAGTTGAACAGCTTCTTGTCCACGTCCCGTTCTTGGAAGAGGGAACTACACAGCTTGAAGCAGCTGCGCCAGAGACGATCCTGGTTGTTGATGCCGTCCTCACCTTCTTCCTTGAGCTTGTCCCTGGTGAGGCCAAGGCGTTTCTTTGGACCAAGGAGTTGCCAGAGAGTGACCGTGTCAATCTTGACATACTTGGCCCTTGCAGTGCATAGAGGAACCATCGTGCACACGGCCGGAGGAGTGTCAAGAGTGAGCTGCTTGAGTGCCCAGTTGAGTCTGGCGGCCAGCTTGTTGATCTTGGACTTGGTGGTGCCGAGCTCAGACTTGGCCGTGGTGAACCTCTTGTCGTCGGAGGGAATACCTTGGGCAGTGAGCTCGTCCAGCTTGGCCTGGCGCTGTAGCTCGGTGACTCGGAGGGCGGGCATGTCACAGTCGATCCACTTGTGGACATTGTCGACCATCTTGTCTCGGGCGAGGATTCCCACATGGTGTGAGAGGCGATGGAGGGCCCGGAAGCGGTCCTGGTCGCTGCTGTACCGAAACTCGTCCAGGATGTGGCCAAAGTCTGGATAGAGGAACTCGAGATCGGCCTTGGGTGGAGTCGAGTCCGGTTTCTCGAAGAGCTCGAGACAGGCCTCGATGGCTTCGTGCTTATGCTTGTTGGCTGGGAAGACGGCAGCGCAGAAGCGGCGAAGGAGTCGCCAGTAGGCCAGGTCGAGGTGGGTGGTGCAGTTGGTAGCATAGGCATTGACAGCCAGGGTGAGAAGCTGACTGTGAGCACCATCAGGCAGACGAGGGGCCGGAGGCAGGTCTGCATGTCGAGTGGTCTGATAGTCGCGAAAGGAAGCGACCAGATGCTCGTTGTACTGCTCGATGTCCCCGGTCGGGGAGAGGGCACCGTCCTGGACGATCCTAAAGCACTGGCGGATGAATGCAGGGGTGGCCCTGGAGATGACGGGGACGGGAAGATCCTGCTCGATGCACCGGAGGATGTGCAGGTTGAGCAGCCTGGATGCCTCGAACTGGATCTGGGTCATGGCCTCGACGGTGGCCTGGATCTTGTCGCGGAGAGCGGGATTGAGACAACAGCCATCCATCGTCTGCTTGAAGCAGCTGAACTGAGGGGCGGATGACCTTCCATCCACGAGTGGGACGACAGAACTCTTGAGGGGCCGGTATTTGGGACATTTGCTAGTGTTGCTTCGCTCGTGATCGGTGCCATCGCACTGGCGACATCGCTTGCCGGTACTCGAGGAAGTAGATGGACCAGGCTCGGTGGGATCGACATCCATTGGATCTGCAGAAGCAGTGGTGGTGAGCGACGGAGCAACAGACGACCAAGCATGCGTGGGGTCAGAATACGAACAGAGACAGGCTCCGACTGTGACTTGGCTTTCTTGGGCCTGGGTGGCTGAGGCTGGCCATCACCGGCACCCTTACGCTTCGGAGGCATGGGGGCAGAGGATGCTGGATGCCTGCCAGTGGTACTGGTCAGAGCAGAGACTTCTCTTTATCGTACAATAGCGCGATGATCAGATCAAGGCGAGATGAGGGAAGAAAGCAGCAGGACGAAGGTGTGGCATTTATACCCGAGAGCAGGAACCCGTCTTTGCGGGCTGGTTGGGGAAGCGACCTGTTCAAAAATCGCCGAGAGGTTCAAGCCAGGGATTTGAGCGTCAAAATGGCGGCGTGATTGGGGAGCTCAACCCCAAATTGGAGGAACTCAACCCCAAAGAAGTTCTCGATGGGATTGAAGTCGGGCGAGGCAGGTGGGGTGAAGATCACTGACCATCCTCGGCGCTCGATGCAGTCCAGGACAGCCCTTGTCTTGTGCATGCTGACATTGTCCATCACAATCACAGAGTCGTCTGAGAAGCACCCTTCGGCGAGTATCCGTAAAGAGGGAAAATGGATCTCCTGATCCCTGTCTCATCGACAGAAACGAATCGTCGTGGGTCGATGGAGCGGACCTGGTCCCTGAACTGTGCCACTCGCTCATCCAGTCGCTTGGACTTGTAGAGGTGTGTTGCCCTCTTGTGAGACAGACCTGCTCGCTGGATGGCAGTGTGGCAGAGTGAGAGCGACACTTTCCTCTGGAGGATGGACTCGAGCTTGCACCGCAGCACAGGACCAGTCTGGAACGGGTCCTGTTCAATCAGGGTGCGAATGACTGGACATGCCTGCTCGAAGAAAGTGGATCTGCGAGCTGGGACCCGGGATGGGTCATCCAGCTTGCATCCTCGGTGCCATCGATGGATGGTGCTCTTGGATACACTGAATATGGAGGCGACCTTACGCAGGCTATGGATGAGGGCGTAGCATCGCAATGCGGCGGTGCGAAAGTCGGATGTGTGGCGAATGGTCATGGCCAGCGCGCGATGGTTTTGGGTAACAAAATATTCGATCAATGGTCAAAACCCGGGTGTCCCGTTTTTTATTGGATTGCCTGTAAAAGGACACAGGACCCGAATCCCACCCGCCATGGAACTGGCGTTTCCCACCGGTCTCCACGTGACGTCCCGCGTTCAAGCTCCGCCCTCCCGGCACGACTCCCGAGGCCAACCTGACTCACCCCTGCTCGATCAGCGCGGGCGGGTCTCGGCCTCCTCTGGCCCCATCGACCTATCGATACCTGATCTGCCGCCATGCTGTGCGTTCAGACACGGCTTTCCCTGTCTCGCCCGGCCCAACGGGCCCATGTCTCCTGGATCCGCTGCTCGCTCTTTCATTCGGCTCTGCCCCGACTGCACCAACGCGATCCACCGCCCCAGCAGCCGATCCGCATCCGCCAACGCACCCGGAGAGGCGGGTCGACTCACTGGACGACACTGGAGTCGCCAGTGCCATCCCGCACCACCGATCCAGCCGGTCCAGCCGGTCCAGGCACTGTCCGCGATGCATCGCGTTGGGTAATCGTCGACCATGTCGAGTCGTTCGAGACGCTTGCCCAGCAGCCCGCTGCAGCCTCGGCCTCGGCCCCGACCCCGATCTCCAACCCAATGCTGACGCGGCTCTTCAAGCTGCCGGGGTTCGGCCCGGTCTGGGACAAGCTGTCGGTTATCTTCCTGCCCCGGGCCTATACCCACACTACATATCCTGAATATCTGCCATACACATTCTGGCAGTTGGTGCACAACGTCTCCGGCACGGTCACCGGCACCCTCTCGACCCAAGCGTTGCTCCACGCCCTGGGCATGGGCGCTGCCGCATCGTATGGACTCGCTGCGACGACCAACTGGATCATCAAGGACGGATTTGGCATGCTCGGCGGTGTGCTCTATGCCGGTTTGATCGGCAATCGCTTCGACTCTCATCCCAAGCGATACCGCTTCCTCAGCGCCATCGCCATTCAAGCCGCAACTTTTGCCGAACTGCTGACCCCGCTGTTCCCGCAGTTTTTCCTGCCGATGGCGTCGTTCTCAAACGTTGGCAAGAACATTGGCTGGCTCGCCGCAAGCGCAACCAAGGCTTCGATGCACAAGGGCTTTGGCAAGGAGGACAACCTCGGCGACATTACGGCAAAGTGCGGGGTGCAATCCACCGCAGCGGGGCTCATCGGCACAGGCGTGGGCGTCGGCTTGAGCTGGACGTTGGGCACGGAGCCAATGACGTTGATGCTGGCCTTTGTTCCGCTCTCGGCTCTGAACATCTGGTCGACCATCAAGTCCAACCAATGGGTCATCACGCGGACCCTCAACGTCGAACGCGGAGAGCTCTTCATGTCCGAGGTCTTTGTCGCCGGCGACTTGCCCAAGAGCGTCTCCCCTGATGCAACCGGTGACCGAGTCGACCATGCGCTCAGTCTCGCAGTCGTCGGTCTCGATCCCGCATTCGTCCCGTCTCCAGAGTCGATATCCTCCAAGGAGCACTTTATGGACTCGTATGCGAGCTGCTTTGTGGCTCCTTTGTTGATCGAGCCACCGATGGCGCCCTATGTCGAGTCGTTTGGTCCAGCCGAGTCTGCATTCATCTTTGGAACGAGCTGGGCCAAGGCAGACGAAAAACGTGGAGATGCACGGCTCCCCCAATCTCAGCCAAAGTACCGAACCATGATTGTGCCCGGCCCGATCGATCCAGCCAAGGATGCGGCCACGCCTGGTGTCGCCCTCTGGTTTTTGGAAGACGCCACCGGTGCCGACACAATCAAGGGCTTCTTCCATGCTTGTATAATCCGCAAGATGCTCGAGGGTGTTCCGCGGTCGTCGTGGGAGACAGCAGCAGCATCTGGATCGCTTGAGGAACTGAGGATGGGCATCATCACGCGCGCCCATGAGGTCCTCGAGAGTCGGTTCGACGATATTCGGGACGCCATGAAGCAGAAGGGCTGGGTCATTGAAAAGAGCCACCTTGCGGACGTCAACAGCCGTATTTGCATTGATTAGGGTCGTGAGCAGCTTTGCCGACGACAGACAACGAGGATCAAAATGGTTAAATGGCACCGTCAGTGCATCCTTGAGATCAGCAATGATCCTCCTATCGTCCAACTTGAACGCTAAGGGCATCCTTACAAGGTTAAATAGATGTACGAGAATTGCATTTCCTCGACTGCGTCTGCTCAATCTATGATATTGTGATCTCCGAAAACGTCGCATTAAGTAAATGTGATAGAACGACTGAATAACAAATCTAATGTTACCTGAGCTGTGGACCAATACGGACGATTGCAGTATCAGGATGCAGATGTTGATATCGTGGCATATGGCCATTCAGAATGACGTATGAGCGATGGTAGGAGTCTTCGTGTGGTTGGGTTGCACTCGGCTCCGGCCGCCACCAGAGATCCCCAGTTCCCGTCCAGGGAGTTGAATCATTTAGCACACTCACGGTGCCAATGCCAGTCGATCATCGCCAAAGGAGATCGGTTGGTTGGGTTCAATATTGCGCGCGAACCAATCCACATCACCCATTTGAAGATACCCTGAGATGGCCGAGGAACCAATGGCAAAACGGCAAAAATCTCGACATCAGCGCACCATCCAATCGCTGTGGATGCGGATGGGGTCCAGACCCGACGAAATGCGACACTGCAGGACCAGCTTGACCAATGATGCCATCCATCGATGGCGTGCCCGGTGGAGAACGATCAAGGCCACTCACTGTGAGAGTACTTTATTTGTAAATAGCAGAACACATAGAGTAACCAGGACTGGATCTGAGCGAATGGGAAATACACAGGATCGAATAACTCTAACAGAGCCGAAGGAACGATATAGAATTGAAGAGAACCGAGTAACATCAAAGAGAGCAAAGCACTATCAAATAGAACCGAGTAACATCAAAGAACCAAGTAGAACGGCATGTCACTGTTCCGCACCGGCATTAACAAACCAACACTGCTGAGAGTCCCTGAAGCAATCGAGCCTCAGCAGCTGGATCGACATTGGCACGAGTCCTTGGTGGTGTATCGAATGGATGTCGAATGGATGTCGAATGGATGTCGAATGGATGCCGAATGGCAAGTCACCGGTCTGCAATAGATCCTCGTCCGAGACTGACATGCATTGAACTGATATGCATCGGCACGAACTGACATGCATTGGCATGCATCGACAACGATGTCCACTGCGACAGCTCCATGCGACACATCAAGTGGCTCGCCCCTCACTTGGCAGCCATTGCTCCTCACGAGCACTTCTTCAGGTGGTTGAGCGGGACATAGGCTCGCTGCCCGGTCTCGCTCTCGGCCAGGGCCCAGCCGTCAGGCAGCTCCTGGAGCACAACGACTCGCTGTCCAACGGCAATGTCGAGCTCGTCGGGCTGCTCGGCCGGTCGAGCCTGGATGACCTCGCGGAAGTCGAGCTTGGGGATGGTTGGGATGGCTGAAACGACGGCCGGCGACGACGCACTCGAGCTGAGGGTCGAGAGCCGGCCGGGTGCTGGAGACGCAGCCAGGGCCGGGGACGCAGCCAGGGCCGGGGACGCAGCCAGGGCCGGGGACGCAGCCAGGGCCGGGGACGAGGCCACACTCTCGTACGAAGGAGGGTGGATCGAGTCGACTTTGGAGCTGGGGGAAGTGACGGCGCTGGCTGTTGTGTCTGAGCGAGGTGCAGGGGTCGACGACTGCGTGGCGGCATCAAAGTTCCCGAATGCCTCACGGTACTTTTCACTGGCCGAGAATGCTTCAGGGCGATCGGGCTGCGAGCGGCTCGCAATTTTGAGCTGGTCGGGCTGCGGGTGGTCTGCACGATCGGGTCGGTCGACAACGACAACAGGAGGCACCTCTCTGTTGGCCAGTGCCTCTCTGTTGGCCAGTGCCTCTCGGTTGATCTGAGCCTCTCGGTTGATCTGAGCCTCTCGGTTGATCTGGGCCTCTCGGTTGATCTGGGCCGCGAGACTCTTGTTCTGGGCTCGGATGCATGCGACAAACACTCCAACAAGGACTATTCCTCCGCCGACAGCGCCGGCAGCGATGATGATCGAGTTGGGGACCGAGCTGTTGGCCGAGCCGTTGGTCGAGCTTGTTGACGAGCCCGAAGTGGCCGAGGTTGGTGCAAGCGGAAAGCCGCCGTTGGTGGTGACGGCACCTCGGCCGACTCCGACGGTGGTGGCAGGGAGGAAGGCATTGCCCGTGGTCTGGATCTGCGGCGCCTGTGGGTGAATGGGTGAATGGGTGAGTTGAGTGAGTTGGGTGAGTGTGGATGCCGAAGATGGTAATCACAATTGCCGAAGCCAGGGGCTCATGTACAAGTGCGGCCTGTGAGTGAGAGCCAGTGTGAAGCGGCACATGGCGTTGGGTGCAATCACACTCGACTAGGTACAGTTGCACCCGACATGGGACTGGTTGCAGCCGCACTCGACATGGGACTGACCGTGACGATGCTTTGGTGGCTGGTGGTCACAACAGAAGGAGGAGCGCCGCCGGTTTGAGGGTTCTTGGCGTCCGAGGTGGTGGAGGGGGGCTTGGGGATGGTGGTAGTAGTAGTAGTGGTGGTGGTGGTAGTGGTGGTGGTGGTGGTGATGGAGGTGACCACCTCGACGACTTGAGCTCCATCAGTGTTGCATATGGAAATACTACCACCAGGGCAAAGGCCAACATAATAGCTTCCTGGCTGGATGCCCAAAGGGACTGTGACAACTACTGACTCCTGGATCCGAGGACCATCCAATATTGGATCCGTGAGCGAATATCGGCCGTTGGATGAACCAGATACAGACTTGGTGATCGTTGAACGACGACAGTATGTTAGAATGGTATCGACGACACCCTGCGTTCATCACATCTCGCAGCAACAATTCATGGGAAGAGATGGGATGGGATGGTAAACGAGAATAGCTATAGCTTGACACTCACCCACAAATCGATTGCAAAGATTGCGTCTGCCACAACAACAGTGCCATTGGGACCTGAAGGCAGCGGAGGCGGATTTGAGCTTGCGGTTACAGTGTAGCTGTTACCGATAACCCAAGGGCTCTGAGTGGTTGTCAACAAGGGTTGGCAGTGGTTTCAGCGTTGATTCAGCCAGGTGTCGATCCAGCAGCGAGGCGTCTCAGCCCAGAGCAAGAGCACAGTCGAAGAGATCATACCGTGGTGGAGTACTGAATCACTTGGGAAGTGCAGCGTCGAATGAACAAGCTGCCGACGAGCAGCAGGAGCAGCGGGTGCATCATCGCCTTCCCCAGCATCGCGCTCAGAGCTGACGGAGGCAGAGAGGGATTCGTCCAGACCAAGCGACGAGCCAGACAGAAAAGCTCGAGCAGGTCAAGGGGGGGGGCGAGGGCGACACAATCGAACGAACCACCGCAACAGACCAGTCCATGAATTGGTGGATCACCGCTTTGTTCATCAGGCCAAATGGAGACATTTGAAACAGGGACACGCACAGGATCGCGGCTCACCGCGCTTGAAGGCAGCGAGGCAAGGGGCGATATGGAACGCCCTCGAATATGCTCTGTGTCAATCGTCCCGAGCCACGCAGCCAGCGCTGTTTCCTCAGTGGAAATGCAAGGGTGGTCAGAATCCCAACGGTGTCCGTTGCATGCAGCCAGTTCAGAACGAAACGAGACACTCGCGTCCTTAAGCGTCCCTGGTGGACAGGACACGGGACTGCACTTCTGTCCTGGTTGGCTATCACCTTGTTTTCGTTGTCCGGGAAGGATCGTCTTGACTATACTTGGTCAGTTCCCGCTGGCAATGATCCGCCGACAGATTTACGGAGTTGCAGGCCCGCATGAGAAAAATTGAAGTTATTGGAGATGGGCCAAGGGCACAGACCGTCAACGTTTAGGCGAGGCGCACCACGCAAGTGAATATCCATAGGTCCGATTCAGTCAACCGAATAGCTTCCGTTTGCTCATCTCTGATCGATTTACCATTATTGAACTGAACACCATAGAGCTCCTCAGCATCTGGCAGAAAATTTTCAGGGTTACTTGGGGTGGCTGGGGGGGGGGTAACTCCCAGTCGTCGATTATCACCGTCTCTGAACTCTTCTTGGAACTGTTTTTACGGAGTGGCCCAATATCTAGTCCTGACATCACAATGCACCAGTGGGGCATCTATTACATTCTAGAAACATGGGAGGGGCTTCGTCCTATATGTTGCTATTGTCGGCACCATTCAAATGGTGACAGGGGGTCGTGGTTTAACATACGAGTGAGAAACAGCAGCATAAGCCAGCGCCGCTATATTATGGATATTCAAGAATGAGCCTCAGTGCAACGGTCCAGGCGGTGATTTGATATCCGAATCAGCACGATGGACGGGTGGAAGAATCGGCGCCTGGAGAGAAGATTCAAAAATTGCTCCATCAAGGAGCCCATCTCTGGCTCCAAACTTTGAGCAGATCAGCCCGACGCATCACGAACCTATCGAATTTGTTTCTGGCAAAGAATGAGGACCAGATGCCCTCGAAGTGGAGCCGGGCGTGGAACTAGTCAGCTTCGACGCTTCGACTCTTCGAGGGGTGTACGGGATGAAGCGCAACGGCTGAGGTACGCAATAGGCGGATGGTCAGAGCCATCGAACGAAGGATTTGGCTGATATGGGACATTGGGATCCTCATTACGACCACCCTGCTGATGATGCTGGTGAGGACCGGGTCCTTTGCGATAATTGTCATGGCTTGGCATACCTCGATAGCCTCTTGGGGCATATGCGGAAGGACTTGGACACACCAGCGAGAACGGGGGGAAGCTGGCCGAGGGGAGAGTCGCGAGGGAGGGAGAGAAACAAGAGGCGAGACAGGCCACCGAGCCCAGTGGCTAACCACACGTTGGCTGGGCCTTGTTGACCCTTGCGAGCTTGGGGATCACCCATCACAGGTCGACATTGGAACCGCCTTCGATACGAGAGCAGTCCAAGCAGCATGGCCGTCCTGGATACGGCGGTTCTGTCGGCGCTTGCGACTGGGGGGGGGCGGGCAGCATCGGGTCCCTCGAGTCCGGGAACAGGGAACCTGGGGAACATGGAGCGGGGAGCAGGGCATGTGTCCGATGGACATGGTCAGAGCATTTCCGCATGCCCTGCACTCTCACACCAGCAAGCCACCACCAACCTCACCACCCACGGACCCCGATCCTCCTCGTCCCCAGTTACATCATATTGTATCTCCCACCACATGCATAAAGAGATGAGCGATAGGACAGGTAACGATGAGCAACTGGTGAGGGCGTGAAACGTGGTCGTTCCTCGCATCAGGGCGCATGATCCATCATGGAGCGGGCCGGGGCGGATGAGATAGTGAGCCGGACATGTGGTTTGGGCTTAGGAGATGTGGGGGAAGGGCTGCTGACAATGCCGCTGTCCCCTTCTCCCGGTTGAGAGGGCCAGGTGACGATGGTGCCAGGGAACCCGAGTTGCTCTCGATGACGAAAGCACGATTTGGTTGTTGTTTGGGGGAAGAGAGGGGTCATGAATGCTCGGCTCGGTGATGGCATGGCGCTTGGTTGATTTGACCGGCTGACCAAACCCACCTTCCCCCAAAACCAAATCACGGTCTCCCACCAGCCCACGATGTCGCCCGCATGTTGGGTTCCCTCCCTCCCCCCTCCTTCTGCTTCTCGCCTTGCCTTTCCCTGGGCCAGCCCTTCGACTGCAAGAGCGAGAGCATCATGTCAAAACAAAACACCTCGTCTTTGTTCCTTGATCATTACTGAGAGCGAGCGAGAGAAGGGGACAACAACGTCGAGTCACGGAATGTGAGGGAGAGCCGGGGAGGGATGAGTTGGGAAAGGGAACTGAAGGAGGAAGGCGAGGCACTGCTAACGAGAATTTGGCAATCTATACTGATGGACGGAATCACTAGTATCATTCGCTTCCCTGCAAGCAAGGAAGAGTTGGGAGGGGATATTTGGGGAGAGGAGAAGAGGAGGGAGATGGACGGGAGGTCGAGACGGTGGTGGAGGAGGGAGTACTATCCAGAGCACTGATGGGGAGGAGGATGTTCCTTTTATCGACCAGTCTTCTAAGCAACAGAAACTCCAAAGGAGGCTTCGCCAGAGCGTTTCCCACAATTCCGGAGGGACTTGCCAGTGAGGAAACTCCTTGCTGTCGAGCCGAGCTGGCTGTTGGGTTGGTTTCGTTGCTGCTGTCATTGTTGCTGTCATTGTTGTTGTTGGTGGTGGTTCCGCTTTGTTGGGGGATTCGATGAGCCGCACCGGCCGCCAGTCGGACTAAAAGTCTGTCCGGACAAGCAAGTGCGCCCCAGGGTCAAACGGGCTCGGCCCCGATTTGCAAACGAAGGGAAAAAGAGCGTAGGAAAAAGAACCGAGAGAAAACGCTGGAGAAGATTGAAAGAGTAGAGAGAGGGAGAAAGAGAGAGCAAGAGGGAGAAAGAGAGAGAGAGAGAGGAAGAGCATACAGCAAGACACACTCCAAAGAGCAGGGAGGCGCGGACCGTGCGATGGACTTCCAGAACCAAAGCGAAAGGTGAGCATTAAGTGGAGAAGGATACGAAAGAGAAGAAAGGTAGCTCGCAAGAGAGAGATAAATACGGGAGAAAAGGACAGACACGAGTCATAAAGAAATAATGGGAAAAAAAAAAAGCAATAACAAACAAACGGAAAGAGTCAGAAAAGTGCGAGACACATCGGGGGGGAGAGGGGAAAGGGTATAGGATCAAAGTTTGGTTCCAAAATTGGTTTCTTGTTTCGGGGAGCCCATCCCAAGGATGATTCAAAAAAGAAAGGAAGAGAAACGAAGGCATCCATCCACAATACCCAGGTGTGGCAGGCACAATTCAGAATAAATAACTGAGGGGTCGACAACGAGCGAGCGCGAGCGAGAGCGAAAACGGGAGAAAATAGAGCGAGGGAGAGGGAGAAATAATAATAATAATAAAGGAGGGTTGAAGTGCTCGCGCCCACTACGCACGCAACTGGCCGGTGGTAGCAAACCGGCTGTAAGATAGAAGAGGAGGAGGAGGGAAGAAAACGCCGACGGAAGGGAGAGAAAGTGCGTCTCTGCCCCCTTCCCGCCCGCCCCTCCTCTGTGGGGCCGAGCACAAGGATGAGCTCGAAAGAGTGGCAGCGCTAAATACAAGAGGAGGAGAGACAGGGTAGGGAGCAGAGGAGCAAAGGCAGACCCATCCTTAGAGGGACCGGGCGACAGGCTCAGTGAATCTTCATCCTTCGGGTGTCGCACATATGCGCATTTTTGGCCAGGGACGAGTCGATGGTGATGACATCGTGGACAAGTGTGCTCAGGCGCTTCGAGAGAGTAGCCGACGAAGGGACCGGCGTTGACGAGATCATGCACGGCGTGGAGGCCAGCGACGAAGACGCGCTGCAGTCCGATAGACACGGTTGCAGCGCCAGGCGGATCGTGGCCGAGTCGGGTTTGAAGTCGGCGGCGATGGCGGCGGCGTCGATCGGGTGATTCCGAGCGTATGGCTCGGTGCCGGGAAATTTGGACTGGACTGCGAGCGTGCGTGGGGTGACGGGCACCGAGTCGGAGCGAGATTCGGGGCCATGCAGAGTGTACTGCGATACGGAGCGGGTGAGGCGCTCGTTCTGCAGTCCGGAGCAAGTCCGCGGGGCACTCTCGGGGCGGGGCAGCGAAGGCGACTGCATGGAACATGGCGAGCCCGGGAGCAGCGTCTGTGCCAGCGATTCGGTCGAGGACTTGCTTGGACACTCGGCGAGGGGCTTGACAGAACCCGACTGGTCCGTAGTCTCGGTCTGCAGAGCCTTGGCCGGAGCCGGGATTGTCGGTGGCGCTGATGGAGGCAGCTCCGGCAGAGACAGATCGTCGCAGACCGACTCGATCTTGGAATGTGCGGTAGCCTCGGCCACAATGTAGCAGGGCGACTCAACCACAAGGGGAGCGCAGCTGTCGACGAGGTTATTCAGTTCGTCGATGTTGATGTGCAGGTCGTAGTCCTGGAGGCAACGAAGCACAAGTTGAGTGGAGGTGAGCCACGATGCTGAGGGAGGGGGGGGTTTAGACCACCCCGACCTGTCAAAGCAGGGCCTCACCCGCTGCGGACAAGTGACGGTACTGCCATCCCCGACGGCAGCCAGGACGCACTCAAGATGCACCCGGACGTACCAGCAGTCGGAGCATCTGTCGCTCCATGAGATTGACGTCGCCAAGGAGGAACATGCCCGAGAACTCGGCCCAGTGCTTGTTCTTGAACGAATTATCGCACAGATACTTGGAGGCCAGCAGCAGGGCGGCGAGGAAGATGCGGTGGGCGGCCGAGTAGCGGCCGGAGCAGTCGCTCGGGAGCTTCTCGCGCATGCGCCTCATGTAGACGATGCTGCCGAGGAAGGTGGTGTACTGGACGTTGGAGCGCCGGGCCATCTGGACGATAAAGTCAAAGAGGGAAGGGATGCGGAGCGACCCCGAGTCGGGATTGCTGCACGAGATGATCTTGGAGGCCATGTGGTAGACGCTCTCTGTGTGGGTGCACGATGGAGGAATGGCGGTTGGACGAGAGAGAGGCAGAATCGGGGCGGGAGGCAGGGCGGATGGGGAGGGGATGAGATGAGATGCGATGCGGTGGCAGACACGATAGAGTCGGCGTGATTAGAGCAGGCGGTAGAGTGAACAGGTCAGCACGGTGGTGCGTGTGCGTGTGTCCGCGTCGGGCGGTGGCCACATGCGGAAACATGGTGGCAAGGCCGGGCATGGCAAATGCGGGTGATCGGATTCGGGGGGGGGTACAACGGCATCCCCCTCGGAATCATGAGCAGGCAGGCAGAGCAGGAGGCGGCGACGGGGTTGTCCGGAAGGAGACGAGACGAGAGGAGAGGAGAGGCAGCCAAGCGGGAGTGCGATTTGTGTGTGGGTGTGGATGGAATGGGATGGAGTGGAGTGGAGTGGAATGGGATGAAGGAAAGACACTGTGCATGGGAGGAGTATGCCATGCGTGGAGGATGTGTCGGACTGATGCAAGCCAAGGAAACCGAGGAGTGGTGTCGGCGGATGTGCTTCAATCCGAATTGACAGGCAAGTCAAGCAAACGCAAGAACAGAAGAGGTTTGATCGGACTTACCAATCATGCTCCGATTGATGGTGGGCGGGAAGTCTTGTGAAGTAGTCTCCATGCTGGGCAAAGCGGGCGGCTGGGCTTGCAGGAAAGGAGCAGGGAGGGAGAGCGAGGGAATGGCGAGTTGCGGCGCAAGGACTTGGGTCCGCAATAAATAATTAGGATGCGGATGTGCGTGGGAAATCTATGTATGGCAAGGGAGGCCCGTTTTTAAATAGATCGGGCCAGGTCTGCGCGCGGATGATCGACGGCGGTGGAGGGATCGATGGCGCAAGCCGAAGGGTGAGAGGGCAACGGAGGGACGTATGATCGTCGAGCAGAGGAGGCGGTCGAGAGCAGGTGATGCGGCTGGTGGCGCAAAAAAAACGAGGGCCGTGGCAGAGGAGCAGGCCGGATGAGCTTGTGCTGCGGAAGCACCGGGGCTGTCGAGAGGGCAAAGGGAAATACAAGTACAGAGGCGGAAGAATGAAGGAGAGTTTGCCTTCTTGCAAGAGCGAATGGAATTTGCGTTGGTGGCCCCAGGAGTTGGTTTACTCGGGCCGCTGCAGCATAACGATCGAGGAGGCGGGATGCAACGTGGGAGGGGGGGAAGGGTGTGTGAGAGTCGAGGAGGTTATGTGTGACTGGGGGTCGGGGCAGGTCTTCCCGAGACAAATATGTGGTGGAGATAAGGTCGGCTGACAAGCAGGGCGGGAGGCGGGTGTTGGAACAGCCGGGGAAGCGGGGCAGCGGAGGGGGGTTGTGTGTGGGGGAGCAGGAGGAGCAGGCTCAGAGATGGCAGCCGGAGGGCGTCAGGTTTGCTGCAGGGTGCAAGAGACGGGAGAAAATCGGAGGAGGGTCAGCAACGGCCTGGGCAGCGGTGAATGATCATTGCAGCGAGCGATGGCGTCCATGGCCGCTGGGGAGGGAGGAGGAGTGCTGCACGAGGGATGGGTTGCCGCCATCGGGCCGTATCGGGGGGTCGCTTTGGCGCGTGGGTGGCCAGCGGCCGAGCGACAACAGCGGGTGATGGGAAAGGCATGTGTATGGGGTGTGGGTCGGGAGGGGGTATGGAGTGGGAGGGAGTGTGGGCCGAGGGCCGAAAGGACGCAGGTGGCGACGGGCGATTGACATAAGCGCGAGGGTGTGCAGACAGAAGCACGAGGATGTGCAAAAGCAGAATGATACGGGGATAGCGAAGACGGCGCGATGGAATTCAAGTGTGTCGAGAGGGGTCTAATTGGGGAGGGCTGGCCAAGACATTGGCTGCGAGTGTGGAATCTGCAGCCGTCTATCAAGCCATCTATCACGCCATATATCGAGTCGTCTATCAAGGCGTCTATCGAGTCGTCTATCAAGGCATGTATCGAGCCATGGCAGCGATGCACGTCGTGGAAAGAGGGCAGCGACGACGAGCACCAAGCGACGGCAGGAGTAGTCCTGTCGACAGCAAGAGTACTAGTGGGATGTAGCTCTACTCACCGATCGGCCACGGGCAGCCCTGGAAGAGTGGGTGCGATGAGGGGGACCAAACTACTTTTGGCTGGTGCGTGGTGTGCAAGAAAAAGAAACACGGCTCGCAGGCGATTTGGGCGGTGCTTTGGTCAAAAGTGCTCCAGGCCAGGGGGTGATTGGCAGATGCGGCTGTATCGGGTGGGTGAGCGAGCGGGAGCCAGACAGGAGGGCGGCAGATCGGGCTGGGGAAGACAGCGATCCGGCAGGAGCACAAGCGAGGAGCGACACCCGAGGGTGATATCGAGAATCAAGGCCTGGCGAGCCGACGGATGGGTCGATGGGCGGGTCGCTGAACAGGCCGGCGGATAGGTCGATGGAGCATCCCTTTTTGACCAACGCTTTTGAGCGAAAAGGGCGTTGCCCAAGAACGAGAAGCAGCAGGCGGCGAGAGCGCCGCGAGGCGGGAGGGCGCACACAGACTGCGGCGGCTGCAGCTCGGCGCGGCGAGCGAGAGCCGCGGGCGAGCAGCGAGAAGGGCCAGCAAGCGCCGATGCGAATAAGGGCGGCGGCGTGCACCGCGGCCAGCCAGCAAGCGGTTGCCCGAGAGCACATGAGCACAGCGCCGCGCCCGGTTGATGTCCGCCTGCGCGGCCTGTCCTTGTGGGGGGGGGCAGGCGGGAGTGTCCCAGTGTGTCTGCAATTGTCCTAGTGTGTCCTAGTGTGTCTGCAGTTGTCCTAGTGTGTCCTATTGTGTCTTGGTCTTTCTGCAGTTCTCTGTGGGAATGGGAACTCCCAACCATGTGTCGATCGGTGCGACGATCTTGTGCGAGCGAGTGCGACGGCCAGTCTTCTGGCCACTGCAACAGCACTGTATCGTCGATATCTCGTGCAATCCATCCCTCCTGTGCTCCGTATCGCACATGGTCTGGGCCGCGTGGCTGTCCTTTTGGCTGTCCTGTTGGTCGCCCTCTTGGCCATCCTCTTCGACGCTCGGCGATGGCCTCTCGATGCATCCGTCCATCTTCCAGACGCTGTCTCGGACGCCGCCGTGCAAACAGGCTGGGATGCATGGGAATGCCCGCTCCCGCCGGGATTCTTGCCCAGACACCTCCCAATGTTCCGACCTGAACACCCTGGCACATGCTCGCTGGCCCCGCCACGCGCGCGTCGGGCTTGTCCGTCGGCGGGGTGCCATGTCGCACGGCTCTTGTTGGCGCCGGGGGCACAGCGGCGGCCACAGTTTCTGTGGACCGAGTCTCATGCGGGAATCGACACTCTCCGGCATCCGCCACCAGCATCAGCGTCCGCATGGGACACCACCACGACATTAACATTAACGCATCAACACCACGGCATTAACACCACGGCATTAACATCAAAGCACCAACACCGCCCGCACCCGTCCATCCCAGCGCATCCAGCAACACGCACTTCGCTCCCAACAAGGCACGCGTCCTGGTCATGTTGCCTGCCCAGGCGCTCCCGGTCTGTCCCTATCGGCCTTGCTGCCGCCTCACCAACCCCCCGTGTCCTTTGCTTGCCCCGTTGTGCCACCGCGGTCATCGCCGGTCATGCTCTGCTGTTGCCTTTGCCTTTGCCCTCCAGCCCGGGGCCTTGTCCTTCGGTGTGCTTGCAGAGGCACCTCTTGATCTCGCTATCTCGCCGGTCAGCTGGCGCCCAGAGCTTCTTGCTCGGCCGTCATGTCTCCACCAGCCCCAGCGTCTTTCGGCTTTGGTCCATCCCGCCTCGCTGCATGGTCTCCGCGCTGCCAATGCTCCCGGGCCCACCAGCCTCCGCCTTCGCCCTCTCCCACGGGATCCTCTTTGTCCTGGTGTTTGTGCATGCTGGCTGGAGGGGTGAGAGAGCGAGGGTCGCCACCCATCTCCGGACAATCCCCTATCGCTCCATCGGCCGTCTGCAGTCGCCTCCAGGCCGCTATTGCCCTGCCGTCCAGAGCGACCGCACATTCGGTTCTGGACATGTGCGGCCAGCGCCAACAATCGCCGTTGAACCCCCCCCTATCTGTCCACACGACCGTTGGACCCTGCTCGTTCGTACCAACGCCTCTCGTCCCTTGCACCCCGTCTGTCCATCCCTGGTCGTCTCGGCTAATCTGCGATTCTGCGGTTCTGCGATTCGTCTGCGGGCAAGTCGGCCGCTCGCCTGTTTGAACGTTTGCTTCTGCTTGGCGTCGCATCCATGTCCAGCCAGCCCTCGGCCGTGTCCAGCCAGCTCTTGTCGTCCAGGGTAACTCTTGTCTGGTTGGACGAGTCCCTCTGTTCCCAGAGAGATGCAGTCTCTGAGCCTCCCTGCACGCCTCCAATTCGTCTCCCTGACATCCCTCTCGCCAGCAATACCCTCTCGCCAGCAATATCCTCTCGCCCGGCGCTGGCTCCACCGGCTGCATCCCGTTGACTCGGTGCCGCCGGGCTCCAATGTCCATCATGTGAGCCGCAGCGGGCTTCTCGGAGTCTGCGGTTGCGTCCTGCCTTTTGCCGCCCCGCATGGAGACTGTCCCGAGGCGAACAGATCCCGCCCTGCTGTCCCCCGCCGCCTCGTTGGCTCCATTCTGGTGCATCCCTTTGCCCCTCCCTCTCACGCCCGCCCATGCTTTGTGTCCATTCCCTCGTTGCCTCTGCTCCGTGGCATCGACACAGCCCCGTCGTGCGCCCTGTGGCAGTCGCCGTCATGCGGCTGTCGTCTTTCTCTGTATCCGAGCACCTTCCCACACCTTACTTTTTTTTCTCTTTTTCCTCTTCGCAACGTGGCTTGGCCCAGAATCAGGCCCTGGCTTGCCAGAAACGCGGAGCCGAATGCCACGAGGTCCCGGCCATCATTTGGTCTTTGATGATGCTCGGTCGTGCTCGATGTTTAGGCGGCATGGTGGGTCCTGGGCTCCAGTGCACGGCCGGGGCTGGGGAAGCCAAAAGCGGCCACGGAGCATAGCCCCGGGGCAGTCAGATGCCCATGCGTCTCCTTTCCTCTCCCATTCGCACCCACACCCACACCCACATGTCTCCCTCCTCTTCTCTTCGCTGGGCATGCAGCGGTCCTCGCGTCCTTGCCAGAGGGCGAGACTGCCAAGTGCGTCATGCATGGCGGTGTCAACCTCGACGAATGCAGCAGCACGCTCAACCTGTGACCGAGTCCAGAATTGGCTTTGAATTGGCTTTGAATTGGAGCATGATTCAGCTTCCAACTCCGATTCAACCTCAGAGTTCGAAGTTGCGCTGGACACAGTGACTTTGGCTCAGCACCGCGAAAGAGACAACCTTGCATCGGGGCTCTGGAAACAAGCCACCTCCAAGACCATACCGTCCCCGCCATCGGCGGTGCGAATACTTCTCTGATATGTTATGTATAATATCTGCGAGTGAGGGAAGTCATATTTGTATTTTTCCCATTCATTCGTTCATTCATTCATTCATTTGTGGACAAAGTAAACTGTAGGCGACGTTAAAGCCTGAAGGAGCAAGCCAAGTTGCTTCGAAATGAGGGAGGGGAGGATAGGACATCAAAATAATAGCAAGAACAATGTGCGAGGCCCGAGATTCGGGGCCGGGGTTGAAAAGGGAGGTGGAGGGACGAGGAAAGGGCGGTCGGGAATGGTATCATGCCTGGGACAGTGACAAAAATCGACGGACAAGAAAGTGTGGGCTGAGTCGAATGGAGAGGAAGGGGGGGAGTAGACTAAACTAAGCTGAACTGAGCTGAGCCAAGCCGAGTGGAGAAAGGTGGAGAGTGGGGATATATGCAAGAGCGATTTTCCAAATAAATTATGTAAGGGTTTCCATAGCTCAAGGCCCGTGAATGGAATAGAGGAGGAGAGGAGATTGTGATTCCAAAACAAAGTGGGGGGGTGGAGTGAAGATGTGAAGAGAGAGAGAGAGAGAGAGAGAGAGAGAGGCGTGGGAACTGTGGGAACGGGGTGGATGTGCGTTCCTCCAACACAAGCGACGAAAAATCATGGGGAATGAGCCAATATGCTCACCACAAACGACGAGGAATAATTGGCGAGTCCAATCAGGCTGGCAGCAAAGATGGACAAAGGAGGGAGGGGGCAGGGGAATGGTATCGATTTGAGAATCAAGCCAAATGGCAAAGGAGGAGAGCTTGGAGGAGGGGAGGAGGACGTGCAAACTCTGACCAAAAAGACAGACGGACGCAGGTGAGATGCAACGGGGCTGAACCGGTCGGTGTGGTGGAGCCCCACAGCCAAGGAGGCTTGCCAGATGAATAAGTGTCCTGAGACAGAATAGTGGGGCGGGCGAGCAAACTGGCCAATGGAGAAACGGGTGGGCCGAGCACCGACTTGAGCCCGGCCAAGCCTGGGCAGGGCAGAGTAAAGCATGACAAGACAGGGCAGACCCGGCTTCGATCAACCAGGCTGAGCAACAATGGCACTCTCAGTGCTCGTGGAAAAAAGTGGAGAGCCAGCCCAAGATTGGGTGCTTTGCGCATGCATGAGGCGAAGGTGGGCCGCGACGGCGGAGATTGTTGTTGCTGCCGTTTCCATGCCCGCTGGTGTTGCCGTTTCTGTTGGTGCTGCCGTTGTTGCCGTTGCAGTCGGCATTGGCGTTGCCGCTCGATCCAGAGTGGAATTGATGGTGGAAGTGGTGGAGGTGGCTGTTTGGGTGGCGGAACAGGTCCTGCGGGCCGCAGTCGCAGATCGGATGGAGTGGATGAGCCAGGTGTGGGCTTGGGACGAGCGTTGCCTTGGTCGCCGCCGTCACTGCTGCTGCTGCTGTTGCTGTCGCTCCTGCTGCTGCTCCTTTCTCGCTTGGAGGAGGGGTGACTAGCGCCGGGGCCGAGATTGTCGACACCAGTCCCGATGCCGCCACGGTCTTGGCTCGGACCGCGGCGCTGGTCTTGACTCGGAGGGCGGCCGACTTGGCCGAGGAAGGCGGTGGGCTGAGGGCCGACTCGCTGGCGCTGCGGCACATCGAACGTCGGCGCGAGAGCGATCGTCGTCCCGGGCGGGCTCCAGACAGGGTGTTGCCGAGGGGCGGAGCCGGGGGGCCTTGCAGCATCGCCAGGGCTCGTCGGTCCGACGACGACAGCGAGAGCCGGCGCGGCGACGAGCTGCGGGCGCCCGAGGAGAGCTTGAGGATGCAATCCTCCGAGAGACGCTCGACGGACTTGTTGGCCTCGAGGTCGTCCTGGAAGCACTCGACTGAGCAGTACAACTCGTCCTGCGCAAAAGGAAGAAAAAGGAAGCGTTAGCATCCTGCATAAGCACCTCAAAAGCAGGGGAGGGAGGAGGATATCGCTCTACCTTGGGCGCTCCCCTGTTGACGGGCCCTGTCACTCCCCTCCCTGTCACCCGAACCAAAACAAACCCAAAGCCCTGTGATGCAAAGTCTTACCTCGGCCGTGCGCTTGCCACAGCGACACCAGTCCAAGTTGAAGGCCATGCATTCCGTATCTGCGCTCATTTTCTTGTGCAAAACTTGTCCAGCTGCTGCAGGAAGTAGGGAGAGGTGGGTGCGTGTGGAGAGGGGCGAAAGGGTGGGCCAGTGGATTGGATCGCCCTCTTGACCAAGAGGTGTAGGTGCTGGAAATCAAGTGCAGGGGTATAAAACTTTGAGAGCCGAGGGGAGCGGGAGACAGGAGACAGAGGAGATCAAGGCGAAGGCCAGATGGAAAGAAACAGGTGACAGAGCAGGGCCAAGGCGGGCCGAGGCGAAGGGAATGGTCGACGTCAGCGACAGCTGCTGGGAACTACGCAGTCGACCCAAGACCGAGGCTGCGGACACTCCCGCAGGATGGACAAAAGTATGGGAAAGAAGGGTGAGGAGAGAAAAACGGCCCGGGTCCAGACGGGCTCGGGTTCTCCAGAACAGAGTCCGGCAGTGTCGACAGGGGACCGCTCGACGAACGAGGGTGCGATGACCAACGAAAGGAAGAGCGGGTCCAGAGCCAAAAACAACAACAACAACAAGCAACGTCCAGCAGCTGCTCCGGGCACCTCGCCTTTGGTTTCCAGCCTACACGAGGAGCGTCCAGAAGGGATCTTCCTTTGTCCGGGGTGGCCTTTGGCAGGAGCGTCGTAGCCCAGACCGCAACAGCAGGAGGACGGAGCAGGAGCCGAGGGAGCGAGGCTGCGGTGGAGCTGGGAGGGCAGAGATGTTGAGATGGAAGACGGGAGATGCGAGAGAGACCCGGCCCGGTGCCAAGGCAGATAAGGCCTCGCTGGCTGGCTGGCTGGCTGGCTGACCCGTCTGTTGGCCGAAAAAAATGTGCTCGATCGGCCTGAGCAAACGAGCCTCCATTCCTTTCCTTTTTTTTCTCTCGCCGGGACACTGCCTGGGCGCCGGCAGCACGGAATGGGTATGTGCTCGGGCTCGTCCACGGCGTGCGGCTCGAAATCGAGGCCGGGAGCAAAGGACGCACACCGCAGTCCAAGTGCTGCTTGGGAAGCAGTTCAGCACCCCCGCGGAATCGGGAAAATGTAAGAGTGGCCCTCCCCCGGCCATGGGACGCGCGTTCCCAGGTCGGGACCGACACCGAGGGCGCAGAGCCGCAGCGGGTCCAGCAGCCAGCACAGTCGCTGTGCTCGCTGTCAAAATGCTGGTGCATCTGACGTGTTGTCGGGCTGCTGTCTCCCGTCTCGGTGGATGTGTCGTCGTCGTCGTCGTCGTCGTTGGGGGCATTGTCTCCCGCCGACATGTCGACCCTGATATCAGCCTGATATCAACCTGCTTGCTCCCAAGATTGAATCGCAAGTCGCCAGCGAGGCCGTCCAGACCCGGCCATGCAGCAACGTGCTGCTCCCGAGTGCCGCAGAAAGGCCTTTCTCCTGCTTTCCTCGCCGGCAACGTGAGCACCGATCCGACCTTTGTTTCCGAGGCAGGAAGCCGCCTGCTTTGGAGGAGCCAGGTGTCAGAGTTGGTCCTTGTCCTGGCTTGCTTGCTTGCCTCGTCCATCCCGTTCTTGCAAGGACAGCGCCGCCGGCTGCCAGGGCCGAGTCGTGTGGGAAGCCGACCGAGGGGTCGCTCGGTGCTGCTCCACCACGATGGTCTGTGCCTTCGCCCGATGCTGGCCGTCTTGACGGGAGAGCTGCTCCCCCCAGGCGGCGGCGGGTCGATTCCTGGGTATGTCTGCTGGAGAGGCCCCCGCTTCAACAGCCCGTCCGCTGTACATGTCCTGCAGCAGCCCGTCCAGAAGACCAAGGTTGCTGTGCTGGACTGCTGATTCGGAAAGCACGACTGTCGCCGGGGCGGGGAGGCGTCTTGAGCTGCACCTTGACAGTGTCCCTCGGGTTGTGCGCCGCCGTTTCAGCAATCGCCTTCGGCAGCGCAAGCTTCCGGCTTAGCGTCTTGCCGATACCAAGGCCACCGTCATAAGACGCCGCTGCCAGGCGGATGATCCGCAGGACCCCGTCCATCGTGGCAGCAGCACAATCCCATGCCCGAAACTCAACAGTCGATCCGGCTTGGTGCGCTTATCGGCTTTGGGGCGGCGGCACCAGAGAGCACGCCCGGTGCAGCAATCCCCCCAGATCGGCAGAGATCTGGCTGTCCTGGCAGCGACTGTTGCGAGATGACCACCGTCCCTTCGTGTGCTTGACCATCGACAGTCGGCTTGGCTGCGGTGCGCTGTTCCTCCTGCGGCGGCTATCGTTCGTGTCCTCGCAGCTATCGGCATGCCGCTGCAACGCCGTCCTGAGCCAAGCCATACCAAGCCATACCAAGCCATACCAAGCCGAGCCAAGCCAAGCCATTCTCCCACCGAGACTTGTTCGATGTGACGACTCCTTGGTGACAACAGCGCTTGCCTGATATGCTGCCTGTATTTGTGCCCTGACAAATACCACAAAGGAGCGCTCCAAAACCAAGACCGGCAGTGCTCCCGCAGTTGCTCGCTCTCCCTCTTCCCGCCCTTATCTTCTCGCTCGTTTTTGTCTTCATATCGAAAGAGTTGCATTTCTCGGCCGGGGGGGGGAGCCGAAAGGTGGGAGGTTTGAACTGCTTCGGCATCGGTCCATGACCGCGCATCGAATAGGCCTTGAATCTCGCCTTTGTCTCGCTCGCTCTCTCTTTTCTTTTCTTAATGGGTCGATACAAAGTCCTGAAGGCGAATCAAAGTCGATCCGGCAAGAGCAGCACCGGGTCAGCAAGAGCAGCATCGAGTCAGCCTACAGGGGGTTCAGGCAGATCCAAGAATGCGACGCCTCGCGACACTGCCGGGTCGCTCTTGTCCTGGAGGAGTGGGGCCCACTTACATGCTGTGCCTTCTTGGCAGCACCCTTAAAGTCAGCAACTTCCTTCCAGCAGTCCAACGCCCGCGCAGTGTTGTTTCGGTAGCAGTCGATCACAGCGTTTTGCAGCTGCTGGTATTCAGCATTGACGTGCTGCTCGGGCACACTGATGAGGGCAAAAACGGAGAACCAACAGAGTCGCCCGTTAGACATCGAGGCACTGGGACCATGTGGGTTGCAAGCACCTGGATAGATCGCGGTCCGTTTTTGGATCCCAAATGTCGTCTTGCCATTATGCCATCGCCACTATGTCACGGCAGAGGCGGCGGCCTTGTTGGTTTCCAATCAACATGAGCCGTAGGTTGTCGATGTTCTTGGGGATGGACTGCCTCTTCAAGCTCCAGAGACAACATTCGCGACGACTGGGGACATGGAGATGAAACCCAGGATGCAGTGCCGCATTCTTCGACAGCGGCATTCTTCGACGGCGGCATGACTCTGATCCATGTCGCTGTGAAGTCCTCTTGCTCGATCATGTTGGACGTTTCGGATGGCTCCGCGACACCAACCCACAGCCACGGCCACAAAAAGCCCACCTCCATCGCTGCGATGCATCTGTCCTCGTCGCCGCACAGATGCGAAAGAAATCGCCGCCATCAAGGCGCCGTGAGGACGAAGCAATGGATTACCGTTTCTGGCGACGCAAAAGGTCTTCCGCTTCCCGTCGGACCTGGTCCGCGGATCGTTCTTCGAAAAAGAGTCGTTGCTGCTTCTCCTTCTCGATCGCTCGCTGCACTCGCTCATGGACGACGTCATCGACATCGTGGTTGTGGGCAGGCTTGGGCGAGGGTGCGGCCTGTGGATTGCAGCCGTTGGTTATTGGAAGGGTGAGCATTGTCGTATTGGCCGCGCGGGTGTCGATGGGTCGGAAGCGGGAGGGTGGGCCATTGAAAAACAAGTCGTATCATAGGGGCTGGTTAGTGCTGGTTGCGCTTTGCTATCCAGTTTGCGCTAAACGGACCAGAGTGGCCTGTTATCGTCCTGGATGGCTGCGGTCGTGCATTCCCCGGCAAGCCGACGGTGCAAGCGTGGCTGGTCCTACGTTTGGGTTCTGGATCTGGTCCAGTCGGAACAGCAGGTTGGGAGAGAACTGGCAGAGAGCAAAGGGTCGGCATCAGTCATGGGCAACTTGGGACAATCCTCTCCATCATGCTGGTCTAACATCGCATGCGCTGCGGGGGTAGGCGATAGACACCGATCCGTATGCAAGCTGGCACAAGACCCGCCCCCAGCGACGATCAAGTTGCATGTTGATGCCTGAGGCATCAAGAAGTACGAGCTCCCTCAATGATCCCCCTTGGCCGTCCTGACGGTGATGTGGCCAACCATCTGGCAGCCACACCACATCCAGAGTCGGATATCTGCCCAGTCGCCTCGCTGACTGCGTGGCATACCGTGATAGGAATATCGGGCTCGTTGTAGAGCACAACAGGATCGGCAGGCTTGGTGTGAGCGTTGCCCATGGTGCTGGTTTATCGAGTTGGATCAAGGGGGGGGGAGTAGACGAAGACCGGGGTTTGGCTGGTTCAAAGCCGATTGATGGCGCAACCGGTGAAGAGCGAGTCGAAATGGACGATGGGGGGAGGGCAGGGTTTGTGGATCTGCTGCAGCCTTTTCCAGTGTTGCGCGATAGGGCCTCCGGAGCCAGGTCGACACGGGCAGTGAGAGATGCAGAGCGGTCCTGTCGAAATGGCCTTGCGCATCCAGCGATCAAAAGCACCCCGAGCGAATCGGCCCTGGCGACAATCGAAAATTTGCGTTTGCGGCTCGGCTCGGTTCGGCAGGACTGCTTACGTAACCAGGGTCGACTGGGGGTTGGATGGTGGCACCACCACAAAAAAACGGCGACGATGCGGTCTTGCTGATGCGGTCTTGCTGATGCGGTCTTGCTGATCTGCACCACGGCCACCACCAAGGCGATCCAGTGGACAGGCAATCTAGTTCGTAAGGCAAGATGCAGCCACAGAAGGGCCATAACAAGCGCCCGTTCGGCGGCACTTCGGGCCACATGTCCAAGATGCGAAAGAAAGGTTGGGGTCGTCGATCAAAGGCAGTTCCCTGGAGCAGTCTCGGACGATGCATCGGCTCTAGCGACAGGCGGCATGGACTCACTTGCGAGCCAGCACACAAGCGAGATACAGACGAACCACATCGCAAAAGCGAGCCGGCGATCGCCCAGTCACTGCAGTTGACTGACCCCAACGATCAATCGTTGTCTGCATAGCCAAACAGGAGATCCAGGTTGAAGGTCCTCGAGACTCGGGTAAGTCGTCTGCTTCCGCTCGAGCCGCCGTGGCCCTGTGCTCAACAGCCCATCGATCGAATGCGGCCTGAACGTCGCGCTGCTCGCCGGGAATCGCCGTGCCGCCCTCACTATCTACATCTCACGCTCGTCAATCTGTCGACGCGATGCTGCAGCACTGGGATCAGCTCCAAGAAGCATCAATGTCGAGGAGTTTGCCAAGGTGCGGCTGCGATGGAGATACGTTCGCCACTGTGTTTTGAGGCCGAGCAGACCTGTTCTGGATGATGCGCTCTGCCACACGGCGCCGATCGCTCCAGACGACTTTGATCGACTTAGCTCCAACGCGATGACTTAGGCCCGATCGTACGAGCTGAATGCGCTGGAGGTTGCCCTCAAGAATGCCACGTAGGTGTCTGTGGATCTCTGGATGTATCGAGTGGCAAGCTGACCCGAAGTGCGATTACCAGGGACCCCGGCGGCCGGGCTCGATCTTTCCATCCTGGTCTGGACTAACACTGCGACACTGTGTCATGTCCGGGCTTCATATCCACCATCAGCCAGTTTACGGGTGCCCAGCGAGTCTGGCAGACGGTACCCCGACACATGCGTCGTCGAGCCGCCAGCCACAACCTTAAGCGCCTTCCCCAGCGACTGCGTCAGCGTGCGCTCGAGCAGGTATGTCGACGTGTTGCTCTGGAAAGGCACAGCATGCACCCATACAATCGAGACGATCTCTCAGGTCTGACCGTTCTCCAACTCGTCGCGAACATACTGCGTCTCCAACTCGATCACCGGCCTTGACATGACACAAGATCGCAAATGATACCGGCAACCCACAAAAGGCAGAAAAGCCGCCGTCTCGTCGAAAGATCAGGCGATGCAAGACTGTGTTCGATGACTACTTGCGCCGACGAGGTTAGAGGCACCGAGCTCTTTCGAGGGAGTTGGGTCTGAGCAACGCCGACACAGCAGGACGCCGGCTCGACCTGCCTGCTGTGAGCTCTGTCGGTCGCCTGCCGCGCAAATCGGGTGCTGATACCACTGGTCCATTTGGTCGCCCGCTTACTTGCCTGTCCACTTATTCGCACGTACATTTATGCACAGTCAACAAGGGCTGGCTCGAGACGCACATCTGGCATGCCAAGCGAATGCGTATGGTGAATCTCTGGGGATACAAACTTGTGCGTATATACCGTGTGTTGCTGGCGAACGTCTGACTGTCGCCCAGGACAGGGCTACAGACTTGATCTGGATCTGGACCAACCAGCCTACTGACGTCAGTCCCTGCTTTACAATAGGCGCACCACCCCAACGACAAGAGCTTTCGCTCGGCGTATCGTGCCGGAAAATACCAGTGCATTGCCCACGACGCCTCGTACTTCCAGCCCATCGAAGTGATTGGCCTTCAAGAACATATCGTCTCGGTCTTCAAACACATTGCCGATCCTACTGCTCCATCGATAGCAAGCGCACGATATGTGGATGGCACAAATCAGGGCGCTACGACGATCTATGGATCCGACCGCTTTCCGCTTGGGGCCATCGCTCCGGTCACCTTTTTCTGGAGGCAAGAGCCGGACGAGCCGACTTTGGACCCCCAGGCTCACAAGCGAGCGCTTTGGGTCTGGGTGCATCCGGCTGCCTACAGCGATGTGCATGCCGAGCTCACCAAGGCGGCCAAACAGTCCAAACTGGCATCAGGTGCGGCATACTGGCCCTGAGTCACATGTAACAGCACATGTTGCTTGACAATGGCCAGACTTCGTCGATTGACTCTGTGGCCTTTGCCGGTGCATCGCCAAACCCGTCGCACAGACGTGGAAATCAAGGCCCTCAAGTCCGAGCTGGTTCGCTTTGAGCTGACAGGACCGCGATCACACGCCATCCTGAGTGAGGTTCTGAAGGTCTGCGAGGAAAGCTACGACAAGCATGGCGGTGTACACACCAACCCGGCAGCTCGCAAGGTAATGCGATATCCTGGCTGGAACATGCATCTGTGATTTTGCTATGCCGGAAATTGATCCAAGATGCCCGCTTGTTGCCAATCCGTCTTTCCCTCCACAACCGATCTCATCTGGCTGGGGACAAAAACAGACCTGGGCTGCGCTCAAGAATCTGCGAACGCCGTCGTCGCTTGCCCCGGGAGTGATTTTGTCGCTGACAATACACGATCCACGATTGAGGTTTGTTTCCTGGATTAGATATCGGGCAGAAAGGTTTCAGCCGTCCGACATGCTCTCGCCGAGAAAACATATCTCAGCACGCCAATTCGATGAGTCAGCATAACCGCATACTCATGCTATCGTATAATGTCAGCTTTCCGCCCCGGATGAGCCCACGCGCCAAATCGATAACTCCCGAGGAGCAGCTGGCCATCAACGCACTTCTAGTGTCGTGGCCATCGGGGGCAGCTGTTTCAGATATCTGGTGCCCCAAGAAACGGGACTGCCTTGACGCTCGACCCCGGGATGGTGTCTTGGATGCCAGGCGCGCCAAGGTAACCTTCCATGACCTCTGTTGGAGCAGTCGCCAATGTCATGGAATAGTCGAGCTTCGTCTATTTCTCTATCTGGCCACGTCCAGCCGACTCGCTAACCAGCTACCGCTCCTCCTGTGTGAGCAACAGGCGCTGATCCCTGGCACCAAGTTGATACCACAGCCAAACGACTGCCGCATCCCAATTCTTCTCGTTCAAAGGGACTGCTTCAGTCGCGATGCCGTTGCGGCGTCGGACAGCGAGTCTCGCGAGTTCACTGCTGGATGGGACTTGATTGCGCCCAAAGGCTGGGGCATGGATCTGTGGCGCCAACTGATCTATGCCGGTGCCCGCATTGGAGGTGAGCCACGTCCTGCAGATGGAATCACGCTGGCTTTCGTTCTATTCTCTGGACCGGAGTCGATATGCAGCAACCTGTGCTCTTCCACAAGACTCGCTCGCCCAGGTCCAAACCATTGATCCTGTATCTGTCTATCTCTCGGTTGCGTTCCTCATTTTGTTGGTCCCTGCAGGCTTGCGTGAGCGCCGCGCCCAGCACTTTGAATCCGGTGTTCCCTGCTTCCCATACGATTACCCAGAAACGCTTGCGTATCGCCACTACGCTGCAACCCGACGTTCAGAACTTCAAGCGGCACACAAGCGCCGACCCAAATCGAAGCGGCCAAACTACGATAAACTTGGGTCGGACTCTCCGTTCGAGGCGCCATTCTGGAAACTGGGCTCGGCACAGACAGGAGACAGCTCGAAGGGTATTGAGATAGTCAATTCCGGCTCTGCCCCCGCGCAGGCCATGGACACAGAGCCGTCGTGGCCAGCTCCTGCCGTCTTCGCCAGCGCGCGGGCGCTCGGATTGGTCCGCCGGCTGCTTGCCTCGGATGATTTCCCGCGTACCTCAGCAGAGTTCCGGCACTCGCTCCAAGCCTGGTTGGCCAAAAAGGGCTGCGGACCCATCCGGCAAGAACTGGAATCGAGCGACGTGGTGGCGAATGCCCTGGTGCGCGTCAGAATCGAGCTACTTGCCCGTGGTGTGGTCGGAGAGTTTGGCGCCATATACGATGCATCGCAGGAAGACTATCGGCGCTGGGTGGACCGTCGTGATCAAGACGACTTGCGAGCAAACTTGGCGGATGTCGAGGTAAGAATAGTCAGAGCCCGCCAGCAGCCAAGTGAAGTGCCTGGAGGTGACGTGTGCGAACCGACAACTGGCTGGAAAGCTGAAACACCAACTGCGAACTTGAACACCCTAGCTTCCTCACCAAGCTCGTGCCATCGGATATCTCACAAATGGATCGTACTCGCTCTCGACTGGCCGAGGGCTTGCTATCGGCTGCTGCTCGCTCGGGGCACTTCACCAAATGCTTCAGCGGGCACGAAGGTACGTGGCGAGTCGAGCCGCTGTCAATGCACAACGTGCCTCTCGTGACGAAGCGTCAGCCAACCCATTGTCGTCCTCCAGCATTTGGCATATATTACATTACCCATGTCGCTGACAGTGCAGCTGCCGATCCGCCATCCACTCTTTCATAACTCACAGCGAGAAGCGCACTCCAGAGACCTTCGTTCTTGTCCGAGGTGTCACGGGAAAAGTCTACCGACCCGCCAAGCTGACAATAATCGCATGAGCCTGGCCTGGCGAGCGAGCTGATTGGCCCGGCCGTCCCGCTGCCCGCTCCGGCAGCAGCCACCCCTGGCATCAAGTCGGGGCAAGATCCACTTGTGCGTGCCTGGTGTATTTGCGAACATCGACTCTTTTACCACACGGAAGCCATCCACGAAGCGCAATGTCGTTGCGGTGCGATTCAGGAGAGATGCGCCCCCTGGCGATGGGTCTTGGGGCCGTTTTCGGGCGAGCAGCGCAAGGCATCGCATGGATCGCGCACCAGAACCTTGGTCTTCGTGATGATACTATAGCAGAATGCAAAATTATCTTGTTTACACGATTCTACTTTGGCGCATGGAATCCCCCCATGTTCTTGTCAAGGCCAGGGAAGCTGCTCAGCTCGCGTGTCCTTCTACCAAAGAACGCGCTACTATCGGAATCGATTGTTGTCATCATCACAAACCTCTTCTGGTCGCGGTTGGCGTCCTCAAGCACCGCCAGGTTTTTATATGTGAACTCCTGGAACTGCGTGTCGAAGCTCGTGGAGCTGCCAGTTCGCCGCGAGAGTCCGGACTCGGTAGCCGACTGTGCCTCGGTCGTCTCGCGAGAGCTGTGGCCCTTGGCGTTGTGATGGGTCGCTATCAAATCCTCCTTGGCCGTCAGGGGATCTTTGTAGTAGCGTGCAGTCGAGTTCTTGCGCTGGGGCGGCTCTGCGCCCGAGTCCCGTATTTGATCCAGGTCGAATCGACATCGCGGGTTTGAGATCTCGTCGCCTTCTTCGGCGACACACTCTGGCTGTTCCTTTTGCCCAGCGTCGCTGGTCGGTCCGTAAGACATGGACAGCTTTTGGATATCAGGACGTGTGTTGCGTGCTGGAAGCAAAGGCAAATCGTCGAGAGAATGAGCCATCGCTCAAAGCAACGCCACACCATGCAGAGGAGCAGCAACACATGTGTGCAACACAGATGAGCAACACAGATGAGCAGCATCCGTTGGTTGGCCAACCCTCTGCAGCGCCCGCAGCCACAGCATTCCTCGTACCGGCAAAGTAGCTGGTGTCGCATAGATCCAGTGGCTTGGGAATGAATGGCGCAGGCTGATCGCGGAGGCTATCCCAGTCAACCTCTCGGAAGAACGGATGCGATCGTATCTTTGGCGCACAAAGACGCCGCTTTGCATCGGACATTAGGAGCTCCATGACAAAGCTCTGAGCGATGTCGGATAGCAGGCATATCCCCTCCTCGTCTGTTGCCCACTCGACATCTGCGGGAGAGGGCATGGTTTTGTTGGTGATGACGCCATAAAACCGACACACCGCCAAAGCAATCGCGATGTGGATGCAGAGCCAGGATATGCGGAAATCGACCTGCATCTCCAATGACAGCTCAGAGGACTTCCCCCTCCCTATCTATATCTCATGGCCATGACGCACCATATCAGCAATCGGCGATGTCCTTGCTACATGATGGCTGCCGGACAGGACTGTGTACCCACCTTGTGTCAGGATGTTTTTGAAAATGACCTCGGGAGACTCGCCGGTGAAGGGCGGGAATCCGTTCAGAAACTCATAGACGCATATTCCAAAAGCCCACCAGTCCACTGCTGGGCCGTGATCGATTCCCAGCAAGAGCTCCGGTGCAAGATAGTCTGGCGTCCCCAGTATTGGCTTGCTGGAGTTGAACCGCTTGCGGGTCAAATTGGCTCGGCGGATGGTCGATGTGGCCGGCTGAGCATGGTGTGCACTGCCCTCGGGGGCGTCGAGCGGAATGTCTTTGATGACTTCCATGGTATTGCGGCGATTGATGGCAATCTGTGTCGCTTTCCGTGAAATGGTAATGCTTGAAAGTTGTTGCTGGTTGAATGCATGAGTCGCGAGCCGCAAATCGAGCCAGAATCAATGCAGTGGATTAAAGATAGCGTCAGCGTACATACTTTGATGGATGGATGCGAGGCGATACAGGTCCATTCACTTTGGGGGGCCAAACTTCCATAACATCCGAGGTGTCTGCACCGGGCGTTGGCGCTCCGGGTTCTCAGCCACAGCACAGATGTGCACTTGGATGGCGGGGACTTGTCCATGGCCGAATACTCACGCTCAAGATGTTTTCTGAAGCTCCGTCGATCTCTCCAGGAACTGATATTCGCGAGAGGCCAAAGTCCTGAGGAGCAGGATGCCGCCAACATACCCGTCGGTATCGAACAAGGATGGGCGTCAGATTGCTGCATAGACGAACATACTCTGCCAATCCCTCTCCTGGTATCGAGCACGCTCGCTGGAGCAACAGAGTCTCACCGTGAGCTTGATATGCCCCTCAGAGTTGAGCAACATATCTGCGGAGGTGGAAGAATAGGCGGTGGCTCAATGCTGAGAAGTGCCCTCAAGCGCAGGCCATGATACAGAGACAGAGCGTATCGTGCTGGCTCGACTTACTATCTGGCTTCAGATCCCTATGTTGATAAAGATATTTGCACAGTCAAGCCACAGATCACATCGGTAACGAGCGTGCAGTAGTCCCCTGCAGTGTTCATATGATCTACCCGCATACCTGTGCGTGATACCGTTGTTGTGCAGATACTCGAGTGCCAGGGCCACTTCGGCGGCATACACCCGAGTCATGTCCTCATCAAAGGACCCGAATGCCTGCAGCAGCGTACTCAGGTCGCCTGAGGCGATCAGTTCGCAAAGCGGAGAAGGTCAGTTGGAGACGACGAAGTCCCCTACAGAGTAGCTACGATGTGACCGTGGGGGCAGCTGTGCTGGATGTTTCAGCGACACCGGCATTGTTGACCAGATTCGGTGGTGGCGCAGAAGGTCGCCCATGGGACCCACGGCAGCGCTTACCGCCGATGAGATACTCCATCACAAGATAGAGATACTCTTTGCTCTGGAACGCATAGTACAACTTCACCACAAACGGATTGCGGCTTAAAGCAAGGACTTTGCGCTCGGCAAGGACCTGCGAGACCATGTTTTTGCGGATCATGTCGTCTTTCTTCAAGATCTTGATGGCATACAGATCCTTGGTGACCATCTTTCGGGCAAGGTAAACTTTCCTACTCGCCAAACAGCAGCATGCTTAGTGTCTCTGAGGACGTGAGCGGCACGAGAGATCCACGAAATGCATGTAACGATGCAGACAGCTTTCGGACATCCCGATGGGTCCTACCCAAAGGCGCCTCGGCTGATGGGCTTGATGATCTCAAAGTCATTGATTGAGGGGATATTTTGCTTCTTCTTGTCGTACTGTCGAGGGTGTCGGCAGCAAAATGCGCAATATGAGACCGGTGCTCAAACGAGGCACTGACTGACGCAGTTGTAGGCGATGCAATCGACATTGTTTGCTTACAGACTCGGCTTGGGCTGAGGGCTGCCCTCTCTTCCCGCTGGGCACGTTCCTGAGCAAACCCTGGAACAGCGAAAGAAAGTGCTTGCCGCCGGTGGACTCTGTGTGATGTCAAGACAGACATAGACAGCGAGATTGTCCCAAACAGATAAGCGTTGCGAAAGATACTCGTCGCTATCCACCCAATGGTATTGCGTCCCTCACCTGGCTGTCTCTGGGCAAGCGACGCAGGGCTTCGGAGATCCCGGTTCGAAGTTTGCCCACTCATGTTTTCGGCATCATCCGACTTGCGTGTCGTGGATATCTGTCCGACCCCAACACCCCTCTGCGCAGCATATGATTTGAACTCGGAAAGCAGCCCTGACTTTTCTTGTACCTGAGTGTCAACGCCCTTGGATCAGCTTTCCATGTATATGCACAGAACGACAACCAAATGGAGTGTGCATCGGCTTGGCTGCTGCAAATACTTGGTTTTGCGTACCTGTCGACACAACTTGGACCCAAGATGGTATACAGCCGAATTCTGGCCACCAAGGCGGAGTGCTTCATCTGTGTATCGCCGGAATTTGAGCTCGTACTTGGTGCACTTGACGATAGAGCGCTTTCCCTCGTCCTCCGAGATCAAAAGAACCCTGCATGGTGCCAAGGCAGTTCCGAACGATCATCAGTCACGCAAAACATGATACAGCAACCTGGGTCTTCCTTCTTTTCATCAGCGACACGGATACACTATGCTAACCGTACTTTTTACACGACTCTTCCATTGCCTCGACGAGCTTGTTCATGATCTGCCAGTCCATCCAGTCGTCAAAGTCCTGGAAGTGCGAATCGATTCCGATATTAGTACACTTGACTCGCCAGTCGGTCCGAAACCACGGCAGAGTCCGGGCAAGCAAGGTTTATGTGCAAACTGATCAAAAGGCCGTTCGGTGCAATTTGCTACCATCCAAGGCTATGCGGCGAGACTTGACGCGGCGTGACAATGCACTGTCATCTCCCACTTTCCTCGACTAATATCGTTTTTTTGCATTCCTCCAGATTGGATCCGAGCTTTTTCAACTTCAGGTTGCAGTTGAAGATCTTGATGTGCATCTCCTGTTCGAGTGCGCAGTACTTGGAGTGCTCTTCGATCAGCCGAGCATCGATCATCTCTTCGCATATTCGACAATGCATTGTCTTGATAGCTTCTGCTACTGCTGCAGGGGTGGCGGTAGAGGCACCAGAGTCCGGGGAGCACTGTCTGGGTTTAGACGGGGAAGGGCTGTATGTGGAGACTGATGAAGTCCTATCCTCGGGCTGGAACAAGCTTGAGGTATCTCGGGTCGTGCCAACACTTCGCGATATTGTTCCTGGAGCCGACGGGGTAAGTTCCGAAGGGGTATAGACTGGTGTGCTCGAACTTGTCTGAGCTTGCGTCGTCTCTGATGAGGATCTAGTGGGGAGACTTGTGTTGGAAATATTGCCGAGATCACGCTTGCTCGAGAACGTTTGCTTGATGAATTTGAGCAACATTGATCCAAGAGGCTTCGGAGCCTGTGGATGAATCTTTTGGAAACCAAGACATCTCAACACTCAACACTCAACACTCAATACTCAACACTCAACACTCAATACTCAATACTCAACACTCGGCAAGAACCAGCTCGCAACATGAGTGCCGTATCCGCCAGTACCAACCTTCGACGAATCCGCAGATTCCTGAGCCGGACTATCGGTTGCTGGTTGCGCTTGGATGATGTTTGGTTCCGAGCGAATTGGCTTTGATGCACCCTTTCCTTTGAGCTTGAAGAGGAGCTTGAGCTGAGAGCCGTCCGATTCCTGCTCCTTGGGTCTTCCCCATGAGAGCACCGAGGCCCGCGGCGATTCAAAGTCGTGCTTGGTTCTCGACAAATGCGAGACAGCCCTTGGTCTGGGGGGCGACTGATCGTCCGAAAGAGCCTCGCCAGTTTCATCAAAGTCGCGATCCTTCATATCTGCATGGGTCGACTTGGCGTGGCCAACCTCCCATTCGTCGCGGATATCATGGCTGTACACAGGGATGTCGGACTCGCTGCGGGAGTGGACAATTTCGCTTGTTGCGGCGTGCTTCTCCCTCGGCAAGCTGCCGGAGATATCGCGATGTTGGCTTGCCACCTGGGCTGGGGCACCTCCATCAGTTTGGCGATGTGCCAAAGACATGGCAAGCGTGGACTGGTGGAGTAAGCTGTTTTTTCGGTGTCCATCCGGTGTGCCACCTTCCGATCCGTTCGTGAGAGAGTCGTTGCTGAGCTGTGGATTGAGTTCGTAGGCCTGCATCCGCTTGGACACACTCACTGGCGGTGAAAGCAGGCTGAACCGACTCTGTTCGATGACCAAAGAGTGTTGATTCTAAGGTCGTTCGACAGCAGAATATCATAATTTCGTGAGTGTCTGATCCTTTTGAGCGCTCCTTGACTCTGGAAAACTACAGAGATACGATTCCGCCCTCAGGGCCGAGGACCTGGTTCGATGAGTTTATGAATAACTCACCAGACTCTCCGCAATCCGAACGACAGGAGCGAGCAGAAAAAGAAGCTTTGTGATCTGATCATTGACATCTGCATTCGAGACTGAAGTTGCTCGGAGTTCCTCGCGTATTTCCTCGAGTCGCTTCATAAGATAGCTGGCCAGGGGCGTGCTCATGAACTCGCTAGCAGGCATGAACAGAAAATATCGTGCGATGGACTCGACTTGGTTGAGCAGATCGTCGTACACCGAAACTGCAGGGAAGTCGGAGCAAGAGGGAGAAGATGCATCCATGTGTGAGCTCCAGTTAGACCCTATACTGAGGTCCATGCCCATGGGCCCTATTGGCATGCTGGGTGACCACCAACGACGCTTTTTGTCATCCCAAATACGCCTCTTAACCCAGTCCAACTCAGTATACGAAGCTACTGAATCTCTAAAGTGCAATAGAACTTCCCAAAACCCGGACATTCCATATCCAAACCTCCCCCCACTTTGCACATCGGCTCATCGTCAACTGTACCAACGAGCGATGGCGGCCAGCTCATTGCGTGGACCAATCGAGATCGAAAGTACTTTGAAAGACCAGCCTGTCGCGGCGGACTGACTGGTTCCTCGATGGCAGCACTCAGGATCGTGGTGCCATAGATCAGCCGTATTCCGACATCGGCTCGGATCTTGGCCTTGACCATCTCTGTCTCGAGGTACTTTTGAACATCGCGGTTGAAAGCGACGGCGCAGTCTTCGTCCACAATCCGGAATGTACTGCCAGATTCAATGTCACCGGGCAGACGCAGCGGACTGCCCTGCGGCGGAGACTCGTCGTCCTGCAAGCGGCTCGCATCATCATGAGCGGGCTGGGGACTCTGAGGCGGCAGGGGGTCATCTTGCATTCCACCCCACAGATGATGGAACGATGTTTCTTCGTCCATTCCCATACCGATGCTACTTTCCATGTGTCCCCTACTTGGAGACGATATCTTGGAACTGGCAATACTCGGACTTGTGATGTGGAATATCGCACCGCTGCCATGCGCGTTCTCCTCCGCCAGCTGTGCCGTGACTGTCTCAAACATGGGCGAGATCGACTCGGTGCGCTTGGGCGATCTCGTTGGCTCGCTTTTCAGCTCCTCAAACTGAACTTGGCCATTTTGCTCGTCCTCTGGGTCTTCAAGGTCAACACTGTGCCCGGGACCGCTGAAATGGCGTTCTTGGTTGGAATATGATCGCTTCAGGACGCTGTCAAACCCCCCTGACCCATGTCGTCGGTTGCGAAATAGGTAGAGCCACTGCTGCCCGCGAAACAGCACATTCCGGTAGTATGAGGGCTGGCGGTGGTGGCTTGAAAGCGTCCGCGATGCACTAGTGTGCGAGCCAGAGATCGGAGTTGTGCTTCGGATCGTGGATCTTGGGGACCGGTTCATGCTGGCATAGTGAGATCCGCCAGGCACAATGCCTCCGAGATATCGCGATGTAAGCGTGGGGACATCTCTGGGAGGAGTTTCATAGCATGCGCTTGTGACGCTTCCAGTCGAAGGCAGTGGCATCGAGGCGAGGGTTGGAGCAGAGGTTTGCATAGCCGTCGCCGTGAGCTTTGGTGAACTACCAGACAGAGCAAATGATCGTTTGTCGAAGAATCCGGTCCCAGGCTTCAAACTCAAGACCGAGGCGGGACTGCTCCCGTCCGTCGACATTACATTGGTCCGGTAAGCAAGGCTTGGCTGTGGCAGAGCCAGTTGTTGCGACAGCTGCTGTTGTGGGAACGGCTGCTGTGGGAACTGCTGCTGTGAGGACTGCGATATCAGGTGTTGCTGCTGTTGCTGTTGTGGTTGCTGTTGTGGTTGCTGTTGTGGTTGCTGTTGCTGTTGCTGTTGCTGTTGCTGTTGCTGTTGCTGTTGCTGTTGCTGTTGCTGTTGCTGTTGCTCAACAGGCAGTGAGATCGACTGTTGTTGAGATTGCGTCTGCAGTTGAGATGTCGGCAGTGACGGCGACAGAGGCTGCTGTAGCTCGCTCTTTTTGGGCTCGAGCGTCGCTCGGTAGGCGAGGTGAGCCAACGACTGCTTCATTTTTTCGATCTTGCTGCTTTCGGCCAGGGTTGGCCCCGACCCAGCAGTGCTTCTCTTCGAGCCCAGCGAGCCGCGGTTGTCTGCCTGGATATCGCTTGCAACCGAGTTTCGGTTCCGGTTGGCTGACTTCTCGCCCGAGAGCATCAGTAAGTTGGCGAGGCTGGTACTTTTCCTCTTCGAGAGCTTTCTGGGGATATGTGACCCCGCCGGATCCAACTCTGCCCCGCCTGTGTTTCGGCGAGGCCGAGGCCGGGTGCTGCGATGGCCACCGAGTGTGGCAGACGAGGATGGCTCGGCAGTAGAGTGGACAAAGAGCGAGCTCATCAGCATCGGGGCTGCAAGTGACCCAGACCCAGGCAACTTCCGGGAGGCGCTGGCCTCACCGGTTCCTTCGGAGCTCATTGCCAAATGGTCCTGCGGGCAACGTGAGGGTACTGTGGCGGGCTGCAGACGGCTGTTGGGACCAAGTCCGATAAAAGCAACAGCGGAGTGGGTGAGGAGCTGAATCTACCAGCTCTGCGTTGGCAAATTGAAGTGAGCGGCAAAGACCCAAACGTGCGCCGATCGTGCAGCGAGTCGGCGGCAGAAGGATATGGCCGCCAATCACACACAAACTGCAGGGGCGGCCATCTCCAACGGCGATGCGATCGCCACTGCGCCGGACCAAGAAGAACAGTCTGTGCGCAACAGGTTGCTCGGCTCTGAAGCCGCCCGCCCTCTGGATCCGGTCCTTGGGTTCACAGCACATCCATCGGCGCGAGCATCCAGATGATTGAAAGATCCGAGCAGCCCCTCGCACTCCCCGCGACCACCAAGACCGATCAAGAGCATTCGGGAAGCGCACCAAACACAGCAGCTACAAATCATCGCAAGCGATCGGCCAGGTCGGTTTGTGAGAACGCGTGGCAAATGTAGAGTATCGGCCCGCTCTGTATTGTCAAAAGCGCATGCATCTGCAGCCTAAGCCACGATCCGGCCCACAAGCCAAGGCCGGAGACCCAATAGGCGACAGCACAAGACAGCCAATGTGTCTGAGGCTGACCGTTGGGAGACTTTGAGCAATTGCCGGCTTACGGCGTCTCGACGCGACGATGGTTAGGATATGAGCCAAGGATCTTCACATCCAAGCAAAAGTTCTTTAGCTCCGACACGGCTTCTCTGACGTTTGTGTTATCCACATGGCCCTCCATTTCAATAAAGAAGATATAGTGCCTGTCCGATACAATTGGCAGAGTACCGAGTCAGATCAGCTGCAGACCGAGAGTTGGGTCTGCTTCGGGCTGGTGGCGGACGGCGCTATTCCAAGATCCGTCCTCGCGGCAGCTTTGCAGACCCACTACTACAAAGGCGAGTCGACATCACAAGCCCATCCCGATTCACTAAACATGGCTGATCGCAATTTCCACGATCCAGCTCGCACCCAGCTCGCATCCAAGCGGTTCACGGAGCTTTGATCGCGCCGGTGGTCTCGAACGGCCAGGAGGACAATGCTTACCACAGACGCTGACGAGATGGGCGAGAGTCGATTTTGGTCAGGTTGATGTTTTTGTTCTTGATAACGTTCAGGGCATCACAGAGGGCGCCAGGCTGGCGGTGGTCGACCGTAAAGTACATAAGGGTACGGTCGTCTTTGGTTGGGCTCTCTGATTTGTCGCCGATGATGAAGAAGCGGGTTGTGTTGTCTGCGGAGACACAGCTTGGGTGAGCGGACAGGGTCGAAGGCGGCCAAATCCATGATGCCAATCGACTCGAGGATCTCTATGCACGCACAGGTAGTTGCTGAGGAGCACCAACACTGCAATCTAAAGGATGTGGAAGGAAGCAGCTGCGACGCATTCACACATGAGACCGAAGGAGGGGCAGATCAACGAATGCGGCGACTCACTCTTCAGGTCCTCGATGTTTTTCTCGATAATGTCGACGCCATAAAGCTCGGAGCAGACACGGCTGCAGATGGCCGCAGCGTTCTTCTCTTTGGCAGCCATCTCGGCAGCAAGACCAGTCGACGCAACAGTGATCCGCTCGGCATGGGGGGCATTTTCTTTGAGCCACCGCTGACACTGGCCGAAAGCCTGGGAGTTCCAACCGGAAAAGATGAGTTTCAGGCAAGCAGCTTGCAGCCCTAGGCTGTCGATGCAATCGCTTCGGGTAACGCACCTCGGGATGGCTGTAGATGCGCTTGACATGTTCCAGAGGCGTATTGCCGAGGAGACAGTGATGAATAGATAGGTAGTCCTCGGCACGCACTTGGACATTGTTGATGATAAAGCTGTCCAGCGTCTGGGTCACACTCCCGAAGGTCGAGTTCTCAAAGGGCACCACCCCGTACGTGGCGGCGCCGGAGTCAACAGCCGCAAAGACATCGGCAATGGTGGTCTGCTCGGAGTATCCAACCGAGTCGCCGAACCGCTCATAGGCCACTTGGTGAGTAAAGGTGCCTTTAGGGCCAAGAAAAGCGATGGTCACATCCTTCTGCAGCGAGATGGATGCCGACATGATCTCGCGATAGATGGCGTGGACGGCATCGTCAGACAGAGGACCATGGTTCAGCGATTTGATCTGGCGAGTTGGGCGATCGAAAAAACGGCAGAGGAGCGAGCTCAGCAAGTGCGTCTGGTCACGGTCTCGGTTATGGTGGCAGCCGGCGGCCCGAGTGCAGTACCAGCCCCAAGCAAGTGATACAGCATCGTAAAAGACGGCAGATCCCACAAACCGAGAGAACGACATGGACAGGACAGCTCTGCGGATGTCCCCACTGTTGCGCGCCAATCGGTGCCAGGACGTTGCGCTTTGGGCATAACCCACCTTTTGGTAGACCTCAACTTCTCGGGCGGGGATGTGAACGTGGGTCTTCTGCTCGTCCCTACACAACAGACCACCATTGGTGAAGGGTTAAATACAATCTGGCCGGGCGGTATCGCAAACGGCACGGCACACTCGACGCAGGCTTGGACGATCGGTGAGAAGGTCCCATGCAGAACGCCGAGGAGGGTGGCGCCGTATCCAGAGAGGGTGTGCTGGAAGAGCCGTACTCGGACAAACCCTTGCGTTTCATCTCGGCTCGTTTGGCCATGCCGATGCCGATCGAGATGTTGGCCCGCTCGTTGAGCAGGTTGACCAGGCTCTGGTCCACAGCATCGATCTTGAGCCTCAGTCCAGTCAGATCCTGGGCGGGCGGCTCGGCCACGGATGCAGATCCGTCAACGGTGGGGTTCATGGCAGGCTCGGCGGGCAGGGGTGCTGTTGCTCGTTGTCGTGAAGATCTGGCGGCGGCAAAGGACGAAAGCGGGGACATTTGAGGTCGGCTGCAGGGTATCATCAGCCGATATTATGTAGATCACGTGGGCATTCAGCGGGTCACTTTGCTTGGATCGGGGCTGTCGCTGAGCTTCGTCCATCGTCAACCGCGATCAACAGGGTGTCCAAGGAGACTGGCATCGTGGCTGCCTTTGGGAACGCCTCGTGGAAGTAGGAGGAAGGGATACCATCGAGTCCACGAAGACTCAGATTTGCGAGATGGTTTGAGCGACTCCGCCGCCACCAGAGATCCCCAGTTCCCGTCCAGGGAGTTGAATCATTTAGCACACTCACGGTGCCAATGCCAGTCGATCATCGCCAAAGGAGATCGGTTGGTTGGGTTCAATATTGCGCGCGAACCAATCCACATCACCCATTTGAAGATACCCTGAGATGGCCGAGGAACCAATGGCAAAACGGCAAAAATCTCGACATCAGCGCACCATCCAATCGCTGTGGATGCGGATGGGGTCCAGACCCGACGAAATGCGACACTGCAGGACCAGCTTGACCAATGATGCCATCCATCGATGGCGTGCCCGGTGGAGAACGATCAAGGCCACTCACTGTGAGAGTACTTTATTTGTAAATAGCAGAACACATAGAGCAACCAGGACTGGATCTGAGCGAATGGGAAATACACAGGATCGAATAACTCTAACAGAGCCGAAGGAACGATATAGAATTGAAGAGAACCGAGTAACATCAAAGAGAGCAAAGCACTATCAAATAGAACCGAGTAACATCAAAGAACCAAGTAGAACGGCATGTCACTGTTCCGCACCGGCATTAACAAACCAACACTGCTGAGAGTCCCTGAAGCAATCGAGCCTCAGCAGCTGGATCGACATTGGCACGAGTCCTTGGTGGTGTATCGAATGGATGTCGAATGGATGTCGAATGGATGTCGAATGGATGTCGAATGGATGCCGAATGGCAGGTCACCGGTCTGCAATAGATCCTCGTCCGAGACTGACATGCATTGAACTGATATGCATCGGCACGAACTGACATGCATTGGCATGCATCGACAACGATGTCCACTGCGACAGCTCCATGCGACACATCAAGTGGCTCGCCCCTCACTTGGCAGCCATTGCTCCTCACGAGCACTTCTTCAGGTGGTTGAGCGGGACATAGGCTCGCTGCCCGGTCTCGCTCTCGGCCAGGGCCCAGCCGTCAGGCAGCTCCTGGAGCACAACGACTCGCTGTCCAACGGCAATGTCGAGCTCGTCGGGCTGCTCGGCCGGTCGAGCCTGGATGACCTCGCGGAAGTCGAGCTTGGGGATGGTTGGGATGGCTGAAACGACGGCCGGCGACGACGCACTCGAGCTGAGGGTCGAGAGCCGGCCGGGTGCTGGAGACGCAGCCAGGGCCGGGGACGCAGCCAGGGCCGGGGACGCAGCCAGGGCCGGGGACGCAGCCAGGGCCGGGGACGAGGCCACACTCTCGTACGAAGGAGGGTGGATCGAGTCGACTTTGGAGCTGGGGGAAGTGACGGCGCTGGCTGTTGTGTCTGAGCGAGGTGCAGGGGTCGACGACTGCGTGGCGGCATCAAAGTTCCCGAATGCCTCACGGTACTTTTCACTGGCCGAGAATGCTTCAGGGCGATCGGGCTGCGAGCGGCTCGCAATTTTGAGCTGGTCGGGCTGCGGGTGGTCTGCACGATCGGGTCGGTCGACAACGACAACAGGAGGCACCTCTCTGTTGGCCAGTGCCTCTCTGTTGGCCAGTGCCTCTCGGTTGATCTGAGCCTCTCGGTTGATCTGAGCCTCTCGGTTGATCTGGGCCTCTCGGTTGATCTGGGCCGCGAGACTCTTGTTCTGGGCTCGGATGCATGCGACAAACACTCCAACAAGGACTATTCCTCCGCCGACAGCGCCGGCAGCGATGATGATCGAGTTGGGGACCGAGCTGTTGGCCGAGCCGTCGGTCGAGCTTGTTGACGAGCCCGAAGTGGCCGAGGTTGGTGCAAGCGGAAAGCCGCCGTTGGTGGTGACGGCACCTCGGCCGACTCCGACGGTGGTGGCAGGGAGGAAGGCATTGCCCGTGGTCTGGATCTGCGGCGCCTGTGGGTGAATGGGTGAATGGGTGAATGGGTGAGTTGAGTGAGTTGGGTGAGTGTGGATGCCGAAGATGGTAATCACAATTGCCGAAGCCAGGGGCTCATGTACAAGTGCGGCCTGTGAGTGAGAGCCAGTGTGAAGCGGCACATGGCGTTGGGTGCAATCACACTCGACTAGTTGCAGTTGCACTCGACATGGGACTGGTTGCAGCCGCACTCGACATGGGACTGACCGTGACGATGCTTTGGTGGCTGGTGGTCACAACAGAAGGAGGAGCGCCGCCGGTTTGAGGGTTCTTGGCGTCCGAGGTGGTGGAGGGGGGCTTGGGGATGGTGGTAGTAGTAGTAGTGGTGGTGGTGGTAGTAGTAGTGGTGGTGGTGATGGAGGTGACCACATTGATCAAAAATGCCCCATCAGTCGAACATACTACGGGACTTCCCTCACATTCCCCAACATAATAGCTTCCTGGCTGGATGCCCAAGGGGACCATGATTGGAACTGGGCCATTGAAAGGTGAATGGGTTGGCGTAGTCGGCACCAGAGTGTAGATCACATTCGACCCGGACGCGGGCTGGACAGGTTGTGAGATCGAACAATATTTAGGCGCGAACGGTGATACACTGCGCTCTCTCGACAACAGTTCATGGGAAGAGATGTGATAGGATGGCAAGCGAGAGGAGCCTGTTACTCGAGACTTACCCACATATCAATTGTTACCATCACCGGAATATTCAAACCACCAGTCCTAACATTTGTTGGGAATAGCCTCGGTACGTTCACGATCACATTGTAATTATTACCGATAACCCATGTGTTCTAAGTCGTTATCAACAGGGGTTGGCAGTGGTTTCAGCGTTGATTCAGCCAGGTGTCGATCCAGCAGCGAGGCGTCTCAGCCCAGAGCAAGAGCACAGTCGAAGCGATCATACCGTGGTGGAGGAAAAAGTCACATCGCAAGTGCAGCGTCGAATGAACAAGCTGCCGACGAGCAGCAGGAGCAGCGGGTGCATCATCGCCTTCCCCAGCATCGCGCTCAGAGCTGACGGAGGCAGAGAGGGATTCGTCCAGACCAAGCGACGAGCCAGACAGAAAAGCTTGGATTGACAAAGGGGAGGCAAGGCCGCTTGGATCGAGCCCTCGGGAGTGGACCGACCCATGGATTGGCGAAACACTTCTTGTCCATCAGGCCAAATGGAGACATTTGAAACAGGGACACGCACAGGATCGCGTGGATTGCTGCGCCTGGGCACTCTTTCACGAATCCCCTTGCCATGTACATTCCGTATTTGCGATGTATCAATTGCTTCAAGTCACGCGGCCAGCGAGGTTCCCAAATGGGAAAGCGAAAGTGGAGGTTGTGTATGCGGCGCGATTTTGTCGTGGACAACAATCCATGGCGAGACTGGAGCCGCGATAAGACAACGAGCCAAGACGAATGAGTTGGAGGAGATGAGACCATCCGGAGAGCAGAGCAGGGACAACAGCAATCTGGCAGCAAAATTGCAAAAGTGAGGAAAAAAGGAATCGCTCCTAGGTGGGCTCGAACCACCAACCTTCCGGTTAACAGCCGAAAGCGCTAGCCAATTGCGCCATAGGAGCTGAGCGCCCAACGTGGGGGTCGAACCCACAACCTTGAGATTAAGAGTCTCACGCTCTACCGATTGAGCTAGCCGGGCTGGATGTCTGAGTTATCGGTTGTGACTATCTGACCTCTTCTAGTCCCGGATATCAATTCAGTCGTCCCATTGATCATTCTGCTCCGTCTACAAATCGATAGCTCCCTCTGACAGCAGACGCATCCAACAAACTACCAGCAACATCGTGTCACCCACCCTCGAGGGCTGCTCCCTGCTGCACCCGGTACGGCAACATGCTTGTGAGCGGCTCTCGGCCTCAGCAAATGGCATCGCTTCGACTCTCGTTGGGACCCACTCAATAGATTCGCCCGCCCTGTTGCCCACATTCAGTAATCGTTGGGATTTTCGGATCGTATGAGGGGTTTGCATTTTCTTATTCATTTTTGGTAGCTGGAGCAGTCAATACATTGTAAAAGGCTCTTTGCTCGAATTCCATCCCCTCCCATCCATGGCCGTGGAAATGGGCAGGGAGAGGGACCAAAGGAGATTTTGAATGACAATAACAGACGAAAGAAATGGGGAAAACATTGAATCCAGTTGTTGTGAAGCCAAGTGTAAAGCTAAAGTAGGTATGAAGGTTTACAGATAGATCCACTCCAATTAGAATCAAATGGGTAGGCAGAGAGGGGGGGGTGAAGATGCGAATAAACGATGGGTGATGATGGACAATATACAAGGGTGAGGGCGGTGAGACTGAAGTGATGTTGCAATCGAGCGAATCGAGATCGACTGTGACGTAGCTCGAACAGCAGCAGCAACAGCAACAAAACAACAGCAGCCACGAATGAAAAAATAGCAACAATGAATGAAAATACTTGATCAATGAGAAATCAAAACAGGGGCCGCGAGAGAGCGGAGATTGTGACAAACTTGGGCCGATTGGCTGAACTTGGAGGAAGGTTGCTGGCCGCGCAAGGGCGGTCGGGGCGTGTGGCTATGAGAACGACTTCATAGAATTGGACACAGTGGCAGATCGACGAATCGCTGTAGATCAGTTCACCTGATCCGTTTCTGTTGGGCTTTCCAGCCACGGTTTGAAGTCATCTTTACTCTTGAGGACGTGTCAGCTATTTACGATAGCTTCCTCAAGTGGTTGAGCGGGACATAGGCCCGCTGCCCGGTCTCGCTCTCGGCCAGGGCCCAGCCGTCAGGCAGCTCCTGGAGCACAACGACGCGTTGTCCAACGGCGATACTGAGCTCGTCGGGCTGCTCGGCCGATCGAGCCTGGATGACCTCGCGGAAGTCAAGCCTGGGAAGGCTCGGGATCATCTGGGCCGATCCGGCATAGGAAGGAGCCGAGTTTGAAGAGACAGAGTACACACTCGAGTCGCGTGGAGACGTCGTCAGCATGACACTCTCATACGTGGGCGGCTTCGCCGTGACGACGACTGGGCTTCTGGGATCCGGCTGGCTTCCAAATGAGGTGACCGAGTTGCCGTAGCCGCTGCTGGGTCGCGAATAGTTGCCAGCCGTCTTTGATTCATCCAGGACAAAGAGACCCTGGACCGGAGCCGGGCTGGAGTGATACGAGCCGACAATGCTGTTGCGGCCGTCGGGGGCAAGGGTGAGACCCGAATGGACAAAGTTTCCGAGAGGCTTCTGAGACGATACAGAGCTCACTTGGCTGATTCGGTAGTCCGAGTATCGGGCCTGGGGATCGCGAGAGTCCACCACCACCATCGGAGCCGAGACAGTCTCGGATCGCGGGATGTTGTTATCGAGCTGGTCAACACGCCAGGTAGTGGGCTTGCGGGACCGGGTGCACGAAACCACAACGCCGACAATCACAGCACTTGCGGCAACGATGCCAACGGCGATGATGATGGACGAAGTGGAAGAATTGTCGCTGCCCGAGCTCGTTGCGACTCCAGGCTGCGAGGAAGGAAGCAAGGCCGGTGTGGTACTTGTGGTGGTCGCTATCTCGGCGGTCGAGGTGGGTTGGAAGGCAACGGCGGTCGCCTGAGCAAATATTAGCCATGCGATCGAATGGCGGTATCGTTGGTGAGAAAAATAGAGTGGATGCATTGGGGTGTAGTGCGTTATGCAGGTGTTAGCCATGCGTCTGTACAAGTTGGAAGCAGGACCGAGTGTGCACTGCGAATCACAAATGGTTCGGTGCAACAAGAGCAACAGCTTACCACGGTTGTTGGGTTCTGAGCAGGGGGTGGTGGGACAGGGGCACTGTTTGCTGGAGGAGGAGGAGGAGGAGGCGAGGGAGGAGGGTGCGAAGGGGGAGGAGGCGAAGGGGGAGGAGGCGAGGGAGGGGGAGGCGAGGGAGGAGCAGCTTTGGATGTGGTGGTGGTGTGTGATGTGATGGGAGGTTGCCAGGTTGTGGTGGTAGTTGTTGGTGGGGACCAGGTTGTGGTGGTAGTTGTTGGTGGGGACCAGGCTGTGGTGGTCGTTGGTGGGGACCATGTCGATGGAGGAGGTGGTGCCCCGGTCGTTGGGGGAGGTGGTGCCCCGGTCGTTGGGGGAGGTGGTGCCCCGGTCGTTGGGGGAGGTAGAGGTCCGATCGGCACCACCACAAGCCTTGGATCGAGTTTGGGAGCGGGAACATTGGGTACGGACTCGACAGTGATACGGACACCAGATATGCTGCAAGTGGGTGCGCGGGACAAGGTGTAGCACACACTCAGGGAGTATTCGCCTGCAGGTGTATCAGAGGGCACTGTCGCAGCGATATCCTGGGCCCGGGCGGTGGAGGCTTGGACGATGGACGCCAAAGGATATTTGCCGGACGTGCTGTCGGCGGGCTGCTCGGACGAGTCAACACAAAGGGATTGCGTGGCCAAGCAACGAAGCCAGGCGGATGTTAGGTGGTGGCGCTGTCACCCGAACTCGGGGCATCGGAGACAGGGCGAGCACAAACGAACGAACAAACGAACGAACGAGCGAACGAACAAACGAACGAACGAGCGAACGAACGAGCGATGCACATGTGCTGCACTTACCACAAGAGCAAGGTCGATTTGATACGTTCCCAGCAACTCGGGAGCGGCAGCCGTCGACTCAGTCCAGGTCAGAGCCACCGTGTGTGTGCTGCCGGCGGTCCAGTGATCCTGCGAACGGGCATATGAAAGGAAGCGTGAGCCATGGATAACAGTGTATTGTGCGTCGCAAGGCATCCGACACGATGAGCTCCGATGCACGTCGATGCAATGCCTTCGACAGGGTTGACGCTCACCTCGGTGCCGACGACGGCGAGGACGGGCGAAGGATCCGAGGAGCGCACGCCACCCAGAAGGGCCAGCAGGCCGAGACTGATGTGGAGCCACTGCTTCATCAGACGAACAGAGAGACAACCGTGAACGGAGAGCGAGAGGGAGGTGGTGGGATGGGGTGAGTGGAAGGAAACTGGTGAGAGAGGGAGAGCCGGGAGATCTGTGGTGCCCCAGGTGAATGCGGATGGCAAGCGATGAGATACAGATGAGGGCAGACGGAGACGAGGGATTCCAAAAAACAGCCCGGAGAGGAAGAAGAAAAAAAGGACAAGTAATACCACCGGCGGGATGGCGCAATGCACTGCGCCCTTGGTATCAAAAACGAGCAAAAATGGGTATCAACGCGACAACAATCCATGCCGCTGGCTGAGCAGACCCCCCCTTGCTGCAGCCCACTCGGCCGCTGCCAGCCCGTGCGCCACGAGGAATGGGCGCACCCGGCGGGGGGCAGAAAATGCACTGTGCGACGCAATCCGCCCAATGGCGCGCGAGTGTTTCGCGTCGTGGCTGTGCAGCAGGAGCGTGCCCGCCAATCAGAGGGGCGGCGGCACAAGCGGCTCATCCACACGTGGATTCGTGGCACCAGACGCGCTTCCAAAGAAGGACATGACCATCACGACAAGGACAGCACAGCCGACACTCGGAGGCAGGTGAGGGGGGATGTATTGCAAGACACAGCCTTTGTTTCGCCGATTCAAACAGCAACTTGCCGGTTATGCGTGGAAGAGCCGGCAGCTCTGCAGCTCCTCAAGAGCGTACGCAACATCCTCACCGCTGCGTACACGCCGCAGGTTTTCGCATACCACCTTGGCGAGTGCCGCCGTCGAGGCCCTCTGAACAGCCTCGATCATCGAGTCGTCGTTCTCCCAGGACTTGTTCCAGGCGTGGATCTTGGACAGCCCCGCAGGCGTGCTGTGCGACATGCTGCGTGACGCCTGCTGTGGTGACGCTGGGTCGGCCTCATGCTTCAAGATTCTGCGGACCATATCCTCAAGCTCTTGCGCAAGCTTCTTGGGCTCAAGCTCGACGGTGCCTTGCTGAAACCAGGTCGAGACAATGTCGATGAACGACTGGTGCTGTGTCTTGCGCCGACGGATGCTGCGCAGCAACGAATATGAAAGCGGCCTTTGATGCGTCGCCGGCAGCGCCCGGAAAAGCGCAATCGTCTCATCGGTGCTGCCGTGCCGGATCTTGCCCATCGAGCACAGCAAGTGGTGCAGGACCGATCCGCTCTCGGGGTCAACCGAGGCGACCAGCACTCGGTTGTGGGAAAGGTCTTCCGGGGACGGGTGCGTGGGGCGCGGATCGAGAGGACCGGAACTGAGGGCGATCGAGCCAAAGTCGCCTCGGGACGCAGGGCCTGATTCGACAAGCGTCCGGGACTCGTACGTGCCAGCCTTGCGACCAAGCAGATTGAATAGGAACCACAGCCCTCGAACCTCTCCGGTCCGACCCATGGCGCTGACGATGCTCCTGAACATCTTGGCGGACAGCGGCTTTTGCTGCTCGACATGGTGGTGCAGCTGCTGCCAGATGGCCTCGGAGCCCGCGGCTTGACCGCCTGCCCGAGGGACGCCCACGGCCTGCAGGAGCTGAGTGGTGACCGCGCTTGATGTTTGGTGGGCTCGCAGCTGCCTTAGCCGAGCGATCAGACGAAAGGCATCGGCGATGCGGCCTTGCCGAAGAAACGAGGTCACAACGGCATCGAGAGCACCCCGGGTCGGCCGGTATCCATCTTGCTCGAGACGGTTCATCCACTCCAGGGCAACCGAGGCCTTGGACTGGATCGGTGCAATCTTGTCCAGGGCCTGAAACAGCCCTGTCTGTGCCCGTTCTGACGACAATGTGTTGTTCTTCCATGCCTGGATGGCCTTGTAGCATTCGCTGATATACGACAGGGTGGTGCCATTGGAAAACAGTAATGCAGCGGTGTCGGCGTTGGGGCCCCGCCGATGGCGCCGGACCCCGACCTTGGAGTCCCGTGGTGACGATTCGGCTGGGTAAAGGGCCATGATCCTGGCATATGTTCGTGAGACTGCCTCTTGATCTTGTCGCTGGATATAGAACCCGAGCAAAGTGTTCAGGAGTTTGAGCGATGGCCGCAGACTGGCCTCTTGCAATTGACTCAGGCACGTTTCGACAAAGATGACGTCGTCTGCGGAGCAGTTGCGAACAAGATGGGATGCCATGGCATGCGATGGACGCAGTCCGCTGTCCCGCAGTTGCATCAGCACTGCGTGCATCGGCCCAATCGGTGGGTTGTGAATGTGGTGAATGTGGTAGATGTGGATGTGGATGTGGATGTGGATGTGGATGTGGATGTGGATGTGGATGTGGATGTGGATGTGGATGTGGATGTGGATGTGGATGTGGATGTGGATGTGGATGTGGATGTGGATGTGGATGTGGATGTGGATGTGGATGTGGTGGATGTGGTGGATGTGGTGTACACGACAGCACCGAGCAAACGATCGTGATGCGCATGGGAGACGATTGAATCGGGACAAGGCAGGGCCAAAAGACGAAAGTCAGCCCAGCAAAGGTCTCGCAGCATGGATTCTGCGGGCTTGAGTTGGTTTCGCAAACAACCCGTCCCTCACCCCCACCATCATCTAGCTAACTCGATTCGGACCAATGCGGCGATTGCAGCTGGACTCACCTGCATCGAACCGATCCGAGACCCATAGCTGGTCGTAGCTCTGGACCATCGCAGCGAACGGGAGGCTCGACAGAAGCCTGTGTGTCTGGCCAGCCTCAATCAAGGCCCTTGCATCGTGAACATACTGCTCGAGGATCTTCTCGGCCAGCGAAACTTCCTGGCAGCTCCTGAGGATCCATGCGGTTGCAGCTGGATAGAGTGGCGCCGGTAGCGAGCGGTCGTGGTGCTCGGAGTTTGGATCGAATCGGTCGGCGATCGAGCGATAGAGCGATGAAAAGAGCTGGTGCTTGCGCGGAACGCTGCCCTGGGCCTCGATTCCGTCGGCGGCATCACGGATCAGTTGCAAGAGCTGGGTGTGGCCAGATATATGATCGACCAGAAGCACGGTCGACAAGAGTGACGAATTGAGATTCAATGGGGTTGAGAACAGGCAGAACTCGGTCAGTTTGTAGCTCGCATTTGCGCCGCGCGGCTTCCAGGAACGAATCTCAGTGCCAGAGCCGGTAGCCAAGCCAAGCCCGGGCTCCAGATGGAGCGCGAGAGTGTTGTGGTCGATTCGCATCGGGGTGCTGTCGGCCTCGAGTGCATATCAAGGCCGCATGCGGAGATGCCTCTATGAAGCAGACGTGGCTTAAACGAACCTCACGATGCGGCTGGCGGCCCCTCGACACTGGATCTGATGCGGACGGGCTGGTGCGTTGGCGAGAGGCCTTTGCGAGATAGAGCAGTTCAGCGACGCCCTTCCAGCCCTGGATCCGATTGGCCCGCCTGCGCCTCCGCCCCGCTATCCGGGCAGCGTCCAGAGGCGGGAAGACGTATCGGGGAGTGACACGCGATATGAAGTACGGAAAGTTGTCGAAGGGTTTCGGGTTTTTGTCCCAGGCATTCAGGGCGTAATCGGTGACGGGGACATACATGGTCGAGCTGGTCGTGGTTGCCGGGCGCCGGAGCGCAGGTGCCGAGGGCGGAAGCAGCGGACGGAAGGCTGGTGTGGAGTGCCGTGGCAGGCAGATCGGGCTGGGTCGGATGGACTTCATGGCCGACAAAAGTGCTGTGGGCTGGGATCAGGGCAAAGGCAAACGAAGGCCCGAAGCGGAGGATGCTGCGATGCCGGTGCCGATGGTGGATGCAGATGGTGGATGCCAAGTTCGGCCTGGTGGTGATCTGGTGTGTTGGCTGCGCGAGGTGAAAAAAAGCCTGCGGCTGGAACCGGGGCGGGACTGGCTCGGAGGCGGCTCGATCCGCTTCTGTGGCAGCACGGCCGCACAGAATCGCAGGTTTGCGCGATTCGCACAAGACCCTGGGTGCCGAGGGAACATCCCTGGCAGAGATGCGATCGAGACGACAGGCCGCCTTGGCAGTGGCAGAGATCCGTCGATTCTGGGCCTGCGTCTTGGGGCGCGATCGCACCGGGCACTGCCGTCGAACGCCAAGGGATGCCACAGGAAGCAATTAGCCCCCCCGGACCGCCGAGACGAGGCGACGAAACCCGCATGAGCAATCGCACCCACGGGTGATTTCGATCGTGCTGGCTGCGACGGCGGCGGTGGGTGTGCACAGCATCGCGCGGAACGAGCAAATAGGCAGATTTGGGTTTGGACCAGCATGCCAGGCAGCCAGAGGACACAGGCCCGTGGGAGGACAAGCGCACCATGGGTCGTTTCTGTGGGTTGCGACACGACGGAGGGGTGGCGGGACCAAAGCCGAATCAGGGGGGCGATGAGCCGCGGGCGTTTTTGGGGGGAGGGACGACGGAGAATCTGCCCGTGACGGAGAACCTGCCCGCGATGGCAGGAGCCGAGCTGGGCCGTCTGGGAATGGCCGTGGCCACGGGTGCATGCAAAGGCGCGATGCATCGAGACTGTCGCCATCTCCGAGGTTGGCCCAGAGAGACAGAGCGCCAATGCAGATGGGCTCATGCCAAGGAGAACCAGACGGCGATGTCGGGGGGGGGGCGTGCAAGGCGGATTTGGGTTGACGACGTCAATAGGGATGCAGTGGATCGGTGCGGGGACTGATGCGAAGACCAAGGCGGGAATAGCGCGAGATGGTATTTGGTGCTATTTGGTGCTATTTGACAGAGCTTGGCCGATGCAATGTCGCACCAGAGGACTTGCTTTTGCCGATATGAAAAGCACACGGCCGGGCGCTGGTTTGCCACGCAGACTGGGCGCTTGGACCCGTTGTTGTTGGAGCGACGGGCTGGGGGGGGGCGATACTGTGCGGCCTTTGGCGCCGAGCTTGTCATGCTTGTCATGCTTGTCTTGCTTGTCTTGCTGGCCGAGCTCTCTGGGCTTGCATCGAGCAACAGCGTCAGCCCCGAGGTGGTGGCCAGCGGCGAGACGAAACGTCTTTGTCGCAGGAATTGCTTCCAGTGCTTTCTCCCTGCGGCTGTCCATCGGGAGCCATCGGCTTTGTGGACTGCAGTGCACCCGCTGCTCCTTGCTGGCCGGCTATTCCACGCCCAGCTTGCCCTCGCGTCCCGCCTCGCCCCTTCACGGCAGCAACTGAGTGCTTACGATCTGCTCTGCTTGTTGAGCCGCTTGTCGAGATGTTTGCCCGGCGGGATCGTGCTGCCGAGCCTGGTTGTTCAGGTAGCTGCTGCTGTGCTGCTGCTGTGCTGCTGCTGTTGCTGTTAAACTTGGTTGTTAAACTTGGTTGTTGAGTCCGTCATGGTCGGCATGGCTGCGATCGCACTTGGTCGTCGCTGCGACATCCGGCCGTTCTTCCATCCGCCGTGCTGGCCTCGGCCCCTCCCCCAACAGCAGCCTCCCACCCGCCTGTCTGCCCGCCATGCCACTGCCTCACCCACCACCGCCATTCCCCCGCCTTCCAACCTTGCTCCCGCGCGAGCGGGTGGCTCTGTTCTTGCCTTTCTGCCGGGCAGCTGTCGGCGCCGTACAGTTGGGCAAAGGGGCCTTGCTCGTGGCCACTGCCACCGGACCCCCGAGCGGCCCAACGTGGGTTCAGCGTCCATAACCCGCGCACCGCCCCCTCTTCAAAGAGCGCAAAGGCCCTCTGTTCGGCCGCTGGCCATGCCCTGTGCAAGAGCCCCTCCCGCAGTCCCTCGCCTTCACTTTGTGCACAGTGCACTTCTGCCTTGTTGGCCACCCGTCCTCCTGGGCGTCTTGTTTCGCGCTGTGGGCTCTGCGGCTCAGACTCGTCCTGCGTTCGCCTTGGCCCCGGAAGTATCCGCCCCGTTACTCGGCCTTGGACTTGTGTTCGTCTTGGACCTGTCTTGGATCTGTCTTGGACCTGTGTTGGACTTGCTCTCGCTTTCTTCGTCCTGCCCTGCAATCCATCTTGCACTCAACCTGTATCCGTCTCTGGATCCCGTCCGTATCCATCGTTGGATTCGCCTTTATCCTGGCTTCGACCTATCCTGTCGTGGATTCGTCCTTCTCGTCTCACCATCGCCATCTTCCCCTCCGCGCTCGTCGCCCTCTTCCCGCCCAAGAAAGCCTCTCCTCTCGGCCAGCGACTGCCACTCCACCCCTCCCTCTGTCGGCCGATTGATCGCTTGTCGCCTGCATCCCCCAATTACCACTTGCGTTGGTTCGGCCAACTCACCCTGCAAAGGTAATTCATGTCGACCATCGATGGCGCATCCTGCTCTGTCGCTCTCACCGCTCTTGTGCAAAACTCAAAACTCAAAACTATTTCCGCCTGCTTGGCCGCGGCTCGCTGCCCGCTGCTGGCACCGCCCTCGTCTGGCACCTGTTTGTCTGGCACCCTCTCGCTAACGATGCCTGTCCTGATAATCCTCCTCTCCATCCCCGCCTCCCGATCGCTGCAACGCCTTCCGTCAATCCGCTCGGGCTGTTACCCTGATTTCCACCTGCTGCTCGTACCCATTGCCATTGCCTCCCGATCCTGCAATTGCTCCGCATCGCTCTGCATTGCTCTGCATTGCTCTCGATCCTCGCTCTCGATCCTCGTTCCCGCCACTCGCCGCCTCGATTCGGCCGCCTTGCTTGTCGATCCCGACCATCCACCGCCCCCTCGGTTCGGCCCCCCCCCACCACATTCAATTCCGCCACTCTCATACCTGGCCTCATCCCATCGTCACCACCAACCACAACCCACCACCGGCTCTCATCATCTTGACTCTGATCTCGGCCCCCGTTCGGGTTTGTCCGTCTGTCTGGCTCCCTCGACCGACCGGATCTGCTCCTCCCCCCCCTTCCATTCCGACCCGCCTCCACCTACACTGCCCCCCTCGGTCCCCGGCCCTTGGTCGCCTCAGATCGCACTCCCGTTTCCGTCCGGCCACTTGCCTCGCTTCCCTTCTCCCGCACACCAATCTCACCTCGACTGCCTCCGGCTTTCGTTAGAGCTCCTCTCGCCATCTCTCTCACCATGCAAATCGATGACTCGCTGAGGCCCCATCTGGCCCCGTCAAACGACTGTTTCGCCCTGCCTCCCAGCTCCTTCCAACCGCAGTTCCTCGTGCCAGTTCCGAATTCACAGAAAGATATCGCTGCGGACCTGGGCAAAAGCATCTCCCCGCCGTCGCAAGAGCCCCGGCTAAGCCGCTCGTACGAATCTGCTGCATCCGCTCGCACTCTCTCGTCCTCCGGAACCACGCTCGTCTCGGCACCCTCGGCAAAGTTCGATGCTACCTTCCATATCGCCGACTATGTCACCTACGTTATCCATCGCATCTGGTTCCCGACAAAGCCCGCTGTCGAGCTGCCCGGCAAGCTGGTCCACACCATCCATCGGCTCATCACCATACCCAACGTGCCCGAGGCCTCGCCACACCACATCAACTTCTCGCTGCATCTGCTTACGCGCCTCAAGCAGCTCAAGCCCTCGGCTACCTTCACCGCCAAGCTCTTTCTGATCGCCCTGATCGTCTCGCACAAATTCCTGACCGATCTGACCCTGCGCAACTCGTCATGGGCCAAGCGGGCCAACGTCCATGTCGACGAAATCAACCGCGGCGAGATGGCCTTCCTGGCCGATCTGAATTACAATCTCTTTGGCGAGCCACACTTTTACCAGTCGTGGCTGCTGACCCTCCGCAGCCTCAAGGAAGACTGGATGATCGAGCGGCTCTCGCCCCATCGCCAACTCAGCATTCGAAGCGCCTCCACACCGCTCTTCACCACCCCACCGGCCCCGGTCTCCTCACGGTCCTATCCGCCGCCCATCCCGGTCACCAGCGGCGCTGCATCGTCATCGACAGGCTTCCTGCTGCCTCCGAGTGCCACTCGAGTCATCACAGCGTCGCCGGGCGAGGTGGCCGTCTCCCCCGGGGAAATCGCGGTCTCCCCAGCAGCCATCTCCCCGGGCGAGTCCTCTGCCGCCAACCCATCGCATTCGATGCAGTCAACGCTGTCGGTGCCGTCAATAGCGATTCCAGCAATCCAAGTCACTGTTCCTTTGAATTCCATCAATCCGGATGTCGACATGTCCTTCTACCCGAAACCCGACCTGGCCTTTACAAAGTCCGACTCGGACACGACCCTTCTTCCGCCATCGCCAGCGCGGACGGCGTCCAGCACTACCACCGGCGGTGGGAATTCGGATTTGGCCACCATGATGGATCTGGAGATGGAGGAGCCGACACCCAAGGTTCCGCGGCGGTTCTTTACTGTTCAATAGCCCACTCACGCCCGGCCGCTTCCACACAGCAAACTCGCCTCTCTCTCGCTCCTCCTTCTTTGTCAATCTCACCCTGTTCATTCTCAGACTCAAGCCTCCCGTCCAAGCCTGTACTGTCATTATCATCATCGTCCACCACCACCGCCACCCTCGCCATCGTCATCATCATCATCATCAAAAACAGCAACAAAATATCGACATAGCTCCGCGCCTTCTTGTCTTATCTGCCTCATAGCAACGTCTGTACTTTTGCCTCAGTCTCTCCATCAACCATTGTCCCTTGTCGACGCGTCGCTGGTCGAGCTCCACGAGCTCGATAACCTCCCCCAAGCGGCCTTCTATCTGCGACGTATGCCCCTCGACCTGGGCCCATGGCAAATCCCATCGACAACACTGATTTGGAGACGCCATTTGTACCGACGCTAATGCAATGCAACCCACACAAGAAAACAAAGAAACAAAACAAAACGAGACATCAAGGTTAACCTCCGCACCAAACATACCAAACGATACCACGACCGGGATCAACACCAGCCATTTCAACCTGCAGATGACGCTGGGAATCCGACCCCACCTCCCTTGCTATACACGATGGCGACGACGATTATGATGATGACAACGATAATGACCACGACAATGAGCGAATGAACGCGCATGAAGCGAACGAATGAACGAGAATGTCAGGAACGGAAGAAGAGAGGGTCAGCAGCGCATGGCCTCATCGGCCCTGTGTTTGTTTGCCCAGCCCCATGGCACCCTGCTGTCTCCTCTGCATGATGTCCTCTCCAGCACGCCTTCCTGCCACACTGTCTCGGTCGTCTTTTGTATCTGCTGCCTTGCCTTGCCTTGCCTTGCCTTGCCTTGCCTTGCCTTGCTCTGCCTGTCCTTCTCTCGCCTCCTTGGCTGTATTTGCACATTTGCCGCCGTGTGCATCTGTCTCCCCCCTACTCGACTATCCCTCATCGACGCTTTTGTTATATCTGGATTACTGTATATTGAACCTTGGCTTGTAAAGCGATCTCATTTCTCTCTCGTTTCTTTTTGGCTTTCTTTCCTTCCCAGCTTTTCTTCCTGTTCCTGCTTTTTTTTTGTTTTGTTTTGTTTTGTTTTTGTGCATTTGGTACGCTCTGCCATGGTGACATTGCTTCCCATGCCATTGCTTTCCATGTCATTACTCTCTCACTCTCTCTCGTGATTTCTTGCAGTTTGCTCGTTTGGCCATACTCTAGACGGCCACTTGATATCGCTGTGTTGTTTCTGGATTCCGCACCCTTCTATTTCCTCTCCTCCTCATTTCGCTCCGTGTTCGCTTGCACCGAACGCCTCAAAAACAATATGATAAAGGCCGTTTTTAACAAATGATACAAAAGTGCCGCGTCCAACGCTGGGGGTGGAAGCGAGGAGAGCGGGGTGGGTGGGCCAAACAGCAACAGGCAGCGGCTGTGCCCGTGGGCAATGGATCCCGTTCTCGATGAGCCCTGTCAGCAGCCAGCGCCTCTCCATGTATCCAATCCCCCCTCTCCAGACCCCCGGTCTCCATGCATCTCGCGGCTGCCCTCGGGATCGGTCGTCATGCATCCGCTTCCGACATGGCCAATCCAGCTATTGGACCCCTTCCTCGACAACGCCCGCAGGCAGACGTGGCAGAGGCGAACGGATCGCCCACCAGCAAAGATCCACCCAGCGCCTTGTCTGTTTGCCAGGATACGAAAGGACGGAAGGACGAGGCATCGAGAGAGGAGGAGGGGCTGTGCTCTGCCGATGGGCTCCAGGACCGAGTCTGGCTTGTCCCCCCCCCTTCGGACCCAGCTTTCTTGTCTGCCCTGTGCCTCTTGCAAATGTCTCCATCGGCCTCCCACACATCCCCTTTCTGCCGCCACCAGCCAGAGAAGCGAAACGAAAGGATACAATGCCACACGGCGAAACAATGCGAAGCTGGATGAGCATCGCCGTCTTCTCCCCCCCCCGGCTCATGTCTCCCTCCCTTCGCCCCTGGCTCAGTTTGTTTGTCCTGTCCGTTGGTCCATGGCTGTCTGCTCCCATGACCTGGACCGGGGCGGGGGGGGGGAGCGGCACAGCCTCCGTCCTCTGGCGCAGCCCATGTCGCTCTGACTTTTGCGGCCCTGTCTTGGCCTCGGGGAAGGGGCGGTGCCGTCTGGGCAGGCCAACCGACCAAGACCGGATTGCTTGGATGCGACGGCGGGTCCGGGTGATTGACGGGGCTGGATTGGCATTCTTTTTCTTTTTCTTCGGGCAGGAAATCCTCCCGATCGACCGACGCACTCGATGGGAATGGGAATGGGATCAATAGACGGATGAGTGCGCGGTGTTTTCGAGAACCAAAGTGAGAGTGGAAGAGGCAGGGGGGCACGGGAGGCAAGGGACAATGCGCCTGGTGGGGCGAGGGAGGGCGGATCGAAATCAAGCTCCGTTGGGCTGTCGATGCCAGACGCAGCATTGGCAGGCGTGTTGCCGCGCACGAAGGACTTTTGACCTCGGTGGGGAATGGTGGGCAGGGTTTGCCCAGGCCAACAAGCGATTCTTCCAGCCGGGGAGGTCGTTGTCGCTGGCTTGCTGGCTCGCCGGTTCACTTGCTTGTCGCTTGTTCCTTGCCCTCTGTTTCCACCCTCCCCGCCCTCTCCCCACGACGAGCCAGTGCGGTCGCTCAATCGGTACTTCGTTGCTGTCGTCGTCGTCGCTGCTGTTCGCGGATCTGCTGAAGCGCCTGCACTCCCCTCCCCCATCGGTTTCTCTCCAGAAGGCGGAGCAAAGAGTTTTGCCGTCCTGGCAGTCCACGCGGGTCGTGCGGCCGAGTGGTGCGGGGGAACAGGGCACAAACCGCGCAGACCCGGCCAAGCCACCCAGCGGCATGGCCGCATGACCGCCAGGGCCTGGGGTCTTCCTCAGGCGGTGGCGGTGGGGAAGGGCACGCTCGGCGTCCCTTGGCCACGACAAGCACACCGCCCCCTCGTCTCCCCTCGACATGTCGACACGCTTCGGAGCCGCACCGACTCGAATCAAGCCGTGCTCGTCGGTCTGCTTCCACTGGCATTGTTGTCGCTGGTGGGTGCCCTCGGCCGGGCTGTCCGCTCTCGACCATTCGATTGGCTCCGTGCCAGCCACAAGGTGCCTTCCTGACAGGCACACGGACACAGATTCATTTGTGTGTTCTGTGGCAGCTGGGTGGGGTGTGGCAACACGCGTCACCGCCACGGGAGTGGCACTACTCAGCCACCGTACTGCCACGCACGTGATGTCGTGCACCCTTCATCAAGATCGTTCCGCCGTGTGACTTTGGCCGGCAATATTTGACCTGGCGTGCCTCTGTGTGAGCAGGGGATGCATGGAGTGGGTGGACACGACAGGGGGACCAGCGAGTCGTTACAGATGCAGCCACTGCGGGTCAGGGCAAGGACATACCCGAGATGAGGGAGGGAGACAGGGCCAAGAGCAATATTGCGGATTTCATGGAGTTCGGGTGCCGTCTGATCCACACAACCCACACAACCCAGTCAACCCACACAACCCATCCGTGTGTGAAGGGGCCCCCGTTTCAAAATGAGTTTGCTGTATATTTTCACAGCCAGGGCTGCTGCTACATCAAACAGAAATGAACAAAGGAAAGGGGGGACAAACGTATGTGGTTCGGAACATGGAGAGAGAGAAAAGAAAAATAGAAAAGAAAAAAACAAAGGCAATATACGAAAGTGGATCAAGCAGGCAACAGATCAGATTGGACTGGCCCTGCCTTTTTTTCTTTCGTTTCTTTTGGTTGTCGTGACGATCAATTGCACCGAAGCCAGGGGGACTTTGCTGGGAGGCTGTAATCGTCGCCCCAGCCTTCTCACAGCGATGGTTTACTCGGCCGGGTTGCGCAGGAGAGCCTCGTTGGTCACCTGGAGCTCTTCGATCTCAGGAGCAAGCTCGGCCAGCGCCTCGTGGGCCTCCTGTTGAGCCAAGAACAGCAAACCAGAAGTGAGTATCGCAGTCGGATATGCCAACGCAGCGGCCCGCATCCGTATCGTATCGTCCAGCGGGCCCGATGTGTCCCCACATCCAATATCGACAAGGACACCTTCCGCACACACACCCACACATCCAAAAGCTCATGCGCGCGATATCCGAGGTACTGCACCTTGAAGTAGGCCAGCTGGATCGCAACGAGATCGGTCAGGTTCTTGAGGGGCTCGGTGCTCTCGACCACGAGCTTCATCTTGCCCATGGCATCATCCACGGCAGTCACAAACTCATCCTCGGCCGCCTCCATCTCGACGCGGGCGGGCTCGACCTTCTCGGGCCGGGCAGCCTTCAGCTTGGCACGAGCGGCGTCGTAGTTGAGGCGGACGGCCTTGACGTTGTTGCGGGCTTTCTGTGGTTTATCGCGCCCAGGAAGCCATCACGGGCTGGAGTTAACCGACTGCGCGAATACACATGCAGTCTCAGGGAAGCATGTCGCACCGCTTCCACACTCCAGGGGGCATGCCCGCCTCCCACCACATTCTGGCCTCAGGGCCTCGCACGCAGCATCCTTATCTGTATCCCGCCTCCCCCCCCATCCCAGCAAGCCCCTGCTCATTCGCGAGATTGTCGACTCACCATGGCGTGCGCAATGGTCTGGTTAAGAGTGGTGCTGAAGGGCTGGTAGAACTTTGCGACGGCCTCGTGGTCCTGCTTCAGACGGGCGTTGGCAATCTTGTCGTGGGTGGCAGCAAAGCGCTGGAGAGCGGCACCTACAAGCCCAGATGAATGAATACGATGCTGAACAGTGCGGCCCATGGCCGCTGGGATGCCGTGGGCTTCGATGGATCGACCCTTCCCTCCCGATGGGACATCAATGCTTACCCAGAGGCTCCTGAGTGCCCAGGGAAAGAGCAGCTTGAGTGGCGGCGCGAGAGAAGGCGTGGCTCAAGCCCGACGGAGCTTCTTCACGAGCAGGCTTTGGAGGAGCAATGGTCTCAGCACCGGCAACGCCGACAGCACGGGCTCCAGAGGCGGCGAGTCCGGAGGCGCGATCGCCAGCCTTCGAAGCAAAGCTGCCGAGGGTTTCCGAGAGAGGTGCCTCGTAGTCGTAGTGAGGAAGAGTATAGTTGCGGCCGACGCGGATAAAGTTCTCGTGGAAGGTCTTGATGCGGTCGACTCGCTACCAGGACGGACGACGATATGCCAAACGTAAGAAAGCATGTCACAGTTACAGAGGGGGGGGGCCAGCGCCAAGCCAACTGTCGCCTGAAATAGGCGGGGAGGGGAGGCGATCAAGATCTGCCAGTCAGGCCAAGCTAGTGTGCAGGGCAGAGAAACGCCAAGGAGCCAAGGGTCGCAGCCAAGGGCAAGACCGGTGCTTGCGAAAGGCATCATGCAGAGACTCCGGATGTTCCCGAAGAGAGCCGTGCCGTCGAGCAAGCCAGAGGACTTGATGCAGCTTCAGATCAGGCAGAGCTCTGCCAATAGACTGCCACTGATTCTTGTAGACACAGGCGCCGGCGCTCGGCATCGAGCCAATAATGGCAGAGCCAAGGTCCCCATCGCACCGGTTGCCAAGAAGCCAGCCAGCGAGCCCAGCGATCTTGCCCCGAACCTGTCTGCACACAGCTCCGGGGGGGGGGCTCCAGCCTCTCATCACAGCATCAACAATATGCGGCACAGCGACGGCGTCGGTACATACGTCTTCCAGATCACGGTACTCCTGGGGAAGCTCGGTGACATCGGCGTTGGCGCTTATACGCTCGCGGGCCAGCTGTATGATCCGCATCGTGAGGCAGGCGTGGTCAGTGTGAGATCAGCAGAGATACATCATTCTTCCCTCCAAGAGTGCGTCGTCGTGATGCCCATTCGAGTCCAGGGTACGGCCGCGGGAATGGCATTCAAAAGAGCCCTCTTCAGCGGGTGCATGGAAAGAGGCGCTCTCGCCAAGATCAAGCCGCCGGAGGCAAAGAGGCAAGGACCGAGGATGCTTGGACGGGGAGGAGCCAGCCGCTTGCCCAGTTGACGATCGATGTCCCCTGATGAGCGCCGGCACCAACAACGACAGTATTCCGCTGTCTGTACACTTGGATGGCCACTCAAGCAGGCGCTTGAGCAATCCCAGTCCAAGAACAAGAGCAAGCCGTTTTGGTGTCCTCCCTCCGCTCCACCCCTTTGCACCTGAGCTTGCAGCCCACAAGTTCCAGATGCGACCGCTGACGATTTGCCATGGGACCCATGTGCCCAGATGCATGCTTGAACCAGGATCCAGGGCAAAGGCGCAACGTCGCGAGGCTCAGGATGGTTTACCTGGGAGAGTTGCGTGATGTTCTTGCCGAGGGATGCGCTGAGAGGCTTGAGGCGCTCGGCAAAGCTGGTGGCCAGCGAAGAGATGTTGGCAGAGGTGGAGTTGGGTTGTTCGGCCATGGCGATATTGATCGATTGACGGATGGTTGAGAGAGGCAAGGCAGGCGAGTACGGCGGGGTGTCGCTGAGGAGGGGGGAGCGGCTGCAGACAAATGAGGCTGGAGATGGATGGAGAGAAAGACGAAACGTCGCTTGGCCCCGGCCAACACCACGGTCTTCTCCCCTGGCCAAGATGGGCGGGCCTCGCTGGGCCTCTCGCGCGGCGCTCGCTCCTCGCTGGCCGGGCGATGGGGACACCGCCAAGACACATGTGCATCGCCTCGGCAGCGACTGCATTCATGCCAATGGGCCTTGGCTGCTCGACGGCCGATGCATCGCCTGCCGTAGACACCGCCCACGACTCGCGGCAACCGATTCGTTCGCTCAATCGTCCGGAACTCCAGATGCCGCAACCACAACCGCATCCAACGCATCCAACGCATCCAACGCATCTGCTGGCCCGCACCCTGCCAAGCATCGATTCTCCTGCACAGCTTCGATGTTCGACGCACCCAGAGAGCCTCTGTCGAGACGTGTATCTACAGGGCTGTGTGACGACATTGGCTCCCAACACACTTCCAGCATGCTTCCAATTAGTGTCGGCGCTGTCGATATCGCGCGCGTCGACATGTCGCCTTCCGTCCTGATGGGATGGGCGATCGGTCCTGATGGGCGATCGGTCCTGATGGGCAAGCCACCAACGACGTCCTCCTCAGGGCTGGTTCGGAGACACTGAGTCGGCCCATCGCCCGACGTCCTCATCCAAGTCAAAGCTCTGTGCTTCGAGAGTCGATAGCGAAATGACCACCACATCGCCGTCGGTTGCTGGGCCGCCTCGACCTGGAACCTTGGGCCCGGAATCTTTCTCCGCGTTGACGGGTGCGCCAGCATCGTGAGGTTCAGCACTCGAGCGGGCAGGTTGGTCTCGGGAGTCGCCGCCTTCGCTTTGGCCACGGCCACTTCGTCGGGGTGTGCCGGCCGAGTCCCACCGTTTGTTTTGGCCGCTGCTGTTGGCCCGACCCACGCCCGATCGGCCACCCCCGTTCTTTGATCTTCGGTCGCTGCCATCCTGTTCCTGTCTGGATATCCGATGGCGGGGCGGCCGCAGACTTAGCAGGAACCCATCACAACAGCGAGGTGCATCCCACAGCGACCCTCCAGGACGGGAGTCACAAACATTCCCGTTCCAAGGAACAAATCGTTTCTCGCCCTCCCCGATGTTGACTGCCTGCCTACCTCGAGCGCTGGTGGTGCTCCTCGCGGAGCTTCCTGGCTTGGGCTTCCTTTTCGCGCTGCCGGTGCTGATCTTGCCTCTCTTGCTGGACTCGGACCGCTTCCGATTTCTGCCAAGCGATCTCGTCCTCTTCTACCTCCTGAGATTCCAGACATACACCGGTCGCCATAGTCACCACACAGTCGCTGATTTAGTCACAGAGGTCCTGCTGCAGGATCACACTCGCGCGAACAATGCGACCAGATGCTGCCACATGGTGCTAGAAGAACTGTTTTGCAACCAAAGTCGCTCTCAGGGAGCAGAATCATACCTTTTGCTTGCGCAGGATCTCGGCGTTTTTCTTCTTCATCTCCTCCATTTTCTTCTCCAGTTCCTCGGGCGTTAGGCGCTAGAAAGGCGGCCGTGGCAAAGGCAATGTCAGTAAGCACAATGTCTGCTCGGCGCACAGACAGCCCATCTTCTCGGGTGGATCGCCTTGACACTTGGGTGAGACCGGGACTACTCAGGTGACGGCCATGTCCAGAGACAGTATTTGCACAAGAAGCTGTAACACACCTTCTTGTCGGCGCCACCGCTCAAAATGCGAGATGGGTTGACATAGGGCGCGGTTCCCAGAGGCTTTGCCTGCACAGCACATGTGGGGAAGCAATCGATTGGTCGCCCAAATCAGTATCCATGAGACCAACTAGCATAAAATAGCCAGCCATCGCCGTGTCTCGGGCTGACCCCCGAAATACGTCTGCTGCGATCGGCTGCGTCAATGTCGCCCACGGCATTCAAGCCAGTCGTCATCATGGTCATCATGGTCATCATCAAAGCACCACGCATTCAAGAACAGACCGCCATACCGGAGTCTGAGATCGGTGCTCGTTGCGGCGGTGGACGGGCTCGTTTTCGGCCGCGCTGGGCTGGCTAGCGGCCGCTTCCAAGGGCTCCTGTGACTGCTTGGGTTGGGGATGGCCACCGCCTCGGCCTCGACTTCCATACCGCTTGGGGGACCCGCGCGAGTGGCTCTTGTTTCTCTGCACTCGGACGTCAGAGGCCTCGTCTCCCTTTGCAATGTCGATGTCGATGCCGACGATGTCATTGTTAGCTGGGGCGCAGCGTCAGTTGGGAAGCGAGCATGCGAGCAAGCGTCGGCAATGACACCCAGCACATCGAGACCATGACCAAATGCCTGGAATCCAGGCAGCGACGACTGGCCATGGGTGCATCCATGAGCAAAACCACCGTCGTCCAAAAGCATACGACGGCTGGATCCTCGATGTTCTCGGGGGAGCTCGAACAGGCCTCGTTGAACAGAGTCGGAGGCCAGCCTCACCTCCTTGTCGGCATCGTTAGCCGTGTCGGTGCTATCGACGGGTTCGTTGCTGACTGAGGCGGCACTGTGGGGTTTTCCGCCGCTAGTTGGGCGCTGGCGATCCTTTCGCTGGTTTCGATGCCCTCGCTTGGTCGGGCTTTGGATCGTGCCGATCTTTGCGCCGTCGTGTGAGGTGAGATCAGCAGAGCCGTCTGGGTTGAGAGGAGGTGCTGGCGGTTGATCCTCGCTAGGTTGCTGCGACTCTTCCCTCTCGGCTTGCCGGGATGCAGTGGGGGCATGGGCCAAGCCTTCCTCGCCGGCGCTGGGCGAGGATTCGGCGTGGTGTGGCCCGCGGCTCAGGGTGATATCTCTGTCCTCCAAGTCCGGCTCGGCCTCGTCGTCGGCATCTTCCTGGTTGCTAAAGACCTCGTTCGCGTCGACAAAGAGCTCGTCTGATCCCTGGGGCTCGAGCTTGGCCATTGTGTCGGCCGGCTTTTCGTTTGGCTCAACATCGAAAGGCTGGCTGGCCGGTGCGGTCTGGTCCGCCGGGAGCTCGGACATTGTGGGCAGAAAGACGGAGCGGGGGAAGCGGAGAGATGAGGGAGATTGCGTGGGAGTTTGGGATGGTTTGGATCGGGTGTTGCTCGTTTAGTTTCGGGGCAGTGGAGAGAGTTGGGTGGTTGGATGAGTCGAAGCAAGTTGGCAGCGATCTGGGGGGAAGACAGCCGGCTGTGAAGGACGAGCGAGGCCTTGAGTTGCTGATGGGCTGCGGGCGCGGGGCGACCGGAACCTTGGGCTGCGGCTCATGCGTGCCGATGCCGGGCCGCCATCTGTGGACGCAGCACTCTGGAGCCGGGATGCTACTGCTACTGCTGCATATCGAAGGGCACTGGCCCTCAGCTCCACTTACTCCCCCCCCCCCAAATCGGCACTTCGGGCATTTCGATCGACTTCCACCATCAATGTGTGGTACTGGCCCGTCCTCAATCGCGAACACGCCAATCCACTTCCCATGCAACAAACACGAGTATTCTCAGATCCAGCCCACCACAGATGCGCTGCCGGTCTTCACGGCGACACTGGAAAGCCATGTTGCGCGACGAACTTGTCATTGGAGCGGATACAATCTCTGAGATCGGCGTCGCTCTCCAGGAGTGACTGCTCCAAGTCACAGACGATCGCTCAGCGGTCTGTTCAACACAGCAATGCGACACTCGCGAGCAATGCAGCTGGACGAGACAAATCCGAAACGCATGCGGAAGCGACAGTATGACATGCGTCAGTCCAGTGCCAGCTCCAAAGCCACCATTCGTACAGCCAGCACTCTCAGGCCGAAGGAGACTGCAACTCACCGGCAGCGACCGATATGGCTCCTCCGGCAACAGCGGCGGCACTCGTCGGACTCGCACTTTTGCTCAGCGATTCATAAGGCACATTCAGCTCCACTCGGTTGGGGAGCTGTGTCGGAGGACTCGAATGGATCGTGACTGTCGGACACTGGTATGTCAGCTTGACGAACGTTTGAGTTGAGCAGTTCCGGCATCCCGCATCGACGCACACGAGCTGATTGATCTGGTCCGAAAACATCGAGTCCGCTGTCGTGAGACCGTACAGCCCATCAAAGATCTTGGTGCAGGTTGGATAGACCGGGCGTCTGGAGATGGCATATGGGTCGAAGCAATGCGCCGCGTCGATGCTGGTGGTCCAGTAGGAGAAGGTTTTCGTCGAAAATGGTGGCGACCATAGGCTGGCGGCAGATCCACAGAAGCAGACAGGGGATGAAAGCGCCAGGTCAGTGAGCATGGGAAAACAGCATGAGGCAGGAAGCAGGAAGCAGGAAGCAGGAAGCGCGAAGCAGGAAGCAGGAAGCAACTGCGTTCGGCTCACTCAATATCCGTGTAGTTTTTGCTGCTGTAGACCCCGGTGAAGAAGCTGGGTGTGCAGGGATCGGTGTTGAGAGTCGAGAACTGGGCGACGACGGTGCAGTTGGCTCGACAGGTCGGGTCGCTGTAGCAGTTGTGGGCCACGATGGTGTTGTTCTCGGGAACCACGGCAAAGTAGACAAAGCCAGGCAGGGTCACATTGAACTCATAGCTCGGAATGCACCGGTTGGTGGCCAGGAGGTTGTCCCCGAGCATGCCTGCTGCCTCGGAATCCAGAGCCTGGGCCGGGTTGAGGCAGTTCGGGGCAATCAGCTGCCAGGGGGCTTGGTGGACGAGCCACTGGAGGTTTGTGGGATCGATTGGGACGGGAGCGATGCTGGCGGTCATGGAGTCGGTTGGGACGGGGCGAAGGGGCGAATAGTGGTGGGGAAATGGGCAGAGTCTCCCAGTTTGCTGACGGAGGAAGAGCACCGATGCAAACGGACTCGCTGGTGGGAGATGCGATGCTGGTGCAGGGGGTTCGTTGATGGCAACCAGGGCGACAACATGCACATGGCGCATGGGTTTGTGACCGCCAGACATACACACGTGGACTGGTTGTGTTACGCGTGTGGCGCGTGTGGCGCTGCTGCTCTTACTACCGAGAGCACAGCGAGAGCGGACCGGGAGCACGGCGAGAGCACAGAGACTGCGTGGCTCTGACTTGCGCGGGATCAGCGAGACGATGCCAGCCACCGCACAGCCACATGCATAGCCACCGCACAGCCACGTGCGCAGCCATCACAGCCCTGTATCGCCAAACGCGTCTCCACTCCGCGTTGGTGCGAGGGTGCCGTGTCCTTCTGCGCACACACAGAATGTTCCGATATTGTTGCATCCTGTGCCGCGCTCTCGCCACATGACCCAGAACGACGAGGCTGCGTCTTGTGCTTTTATGGAGCTCATCAACAACTTTGTCTCACGGTCTGATCTCAACCTGAAGCAATGGAATCTCTTGTTTGTCTTTGTCGATGTATTCGCTCTTGAAAGCGGAGCCGGTCAGTTTATGCAAGCCCCGTCCAGGTTCCAACTCGACTTCAGCAAAACCAATGTGCTGGTCAACATGGAAGGATTCGACAGCACCGGAAAGTATTCACTTGTGCGGTCCACCAACTCTTGGGCCTCCAGTCTCTTTTCCAGAACCGCGCCCCATCCAAACGGTAACTCCCTCACCCAGAAAGCCATGGCAAGCGACTACAACTCCACCATCTTGGACCACATTCTACTTGGACAGTCACTTCGCGCCATCGAGCTGACCCCCATAGACCCTCGCTCTGTCCACAGCACCATGGGTCGATTTTCCACCTACATCCAACCGGGTGTCCTCCAGCATCTCGGCGACAACGTGGCGGCTTTTGCAAACCAAGTCCTCCTTGGATCCAGCCTCGATTCCGCCCACTTCTTCTGCCACACCTACCAACTCATACGGCACTGCGACTTCGATTGTGATACCGGGACAGTATTATGCCTCGTTCTTTGGTTGGTTCATGGTCACCACATCCTTCTCCACCATCGGTATCGCCACAGCTGCATCCGCGGGGTGCTCCGTTGTCATCATTGCTCTCGTTGGATCGATCTTCAAGCGTCGGATCAAGATCGGTACTCGCACCATCCAGCGTGTCCTCAAGGATCTGCTCATTGGCTTGGCTTGGCTGGTTACCAAATCAGTTGCTGCATTAGCTGTTGTCTCGATCGTGACACTCATTTCTGCCTCGACTTTGCCATGGAATTCACCATTCCGATTCGCGTACTACTTGGTGTTCCAAGGTCTTTCGGCCGTCGTCCCTTGGGCTGCGATGAATGCGGTATTATTCCATTATGAGATGAAGCGATCCCACCATGATGGCCAAGACACCCGCCCCGACTTGCTTGTGTCGTTACTCAAGCCAGTACCTCCATCCTACGAGGATATCGAACTCGCCGATAGGGAGCACCCCGAGCAGCTCCCGATGTATGAAGTCCCGGTAGCGCCGCCCGGCAATCTCGCTGCGACCAACACACATGCCTCGAACAGTGTCCCCGACTCTGCCTCGTCCGAGTCGCATTCCAATGCCGATCTGGTGTACTTTGCCGAGCCTCCTGCCAACTCGGCTCTGTCGACTGCTGGAACATCCGAGTCCGTCGATGCCGATGCTGCTGTGGGTTCTTCTGCCAGAGCCACCAACACCGTGCCGGCTGCCTCCATCGGCCATCCCGCATTCTCGAACGATCCTCCTGCTAGACCCCGCTTTGTCTATGGATACGCCAACTTTATCGATCTTGCGGTCCTCGCCATCTTCCACACACTCATGTGCATCGTCTCAGTGTTCATCTTCCCGGACATTGCCCTATTCGGGGTTTGGTTTCGATCGTTGGAGGATGCGACTCCGAATACAATTGGACGAGTGACATCGATGGTGATTGACTCGTGCGCATCGATTGTGTTCGGACTGTGATTGCGCTGTTGGTCGCATTGGGTGAAATGTCTGAGCATCAGGCATTGGAAGTTTCATCAGCAGAGCCGATAAAACATTCGCCAGCGACACACAGGATTATGTAGCAATGAGGGATGGTGGCCCCGATTCGATCACAAAGTAGTCGTGCGGCCAGAGCACTGCCGTCCGTGAGGTCGTGCGTGCACATTCCCATAACAACTCGTATGTCCGAGAAGCACAGAAATTGCATTCATCGTTGGGCCTGTCATTCGAACTTGCTGCAAGCGACACAACACTGCAGCCTGGCCGGGACCCAGAATCCTTGTTTGATCAATCAAGACATTCGACCGATGACGAGATGCTCTCACCCGGTGCCACCAATCCGACTGCATCGGCATACCGCCAGTGCATCCCACCTTCCATCTTCCATTGACATTTTGGCACGGCGGCGACGGATCTATCCCGCTTCCCTCTCTGTCACCAAATCCAAATCTCCCCGTTCGCCTCCAGCTTTCCGCTATCGGCTCCGTCACATTCGCACGAGGAATCCGAGGATACCATCCACACCAATCGCACACAGGTTCGAGAACATGCAAAGGTCTGCTCTGCTCTGCATCGGTGGAAGGCTTGCATTCTCACCAGCACTACTCCCGGCTCAACCGCCACAGAGCTCGACATCTGGCATGAACGCCACCGCCATCGACGATGCTGCCACCCTGGCTGTCTTGAACCGAACCGACACTGACTCGGGCTTTCCGAGTTTCTGCGCTCTCCTCATTATCATCATTTTGGACCGGTGGATGATCCACACGAAAGACTTTCGCAGTCTCGTCACCTTGATGGTGTACTGCGACTGCCTGGCCGAAATACTCGTCTGGATCGCTCCGATGTGGGCTTCGGCATCGCTCTGCCAGACGACATGGCTCTACTGGGCCAGCGACATGATATTCTCGTTCAAGGTGACATTTGGCTATCCAGCGGCGTTGCCAGGTCGAGCTTGGCCATTCGATGCGGGTCGTTTCCGCTGTTGCCATATACTGAATCTCGCGACTCGACCCCATTTCATGCGACAGGACATGTTCAAGTTTGGCTTTATAGCCTGGCGAGCGACGCTGATTTCGTGTCCGCGGATGCGACATGCACGCATTGTCCAGATAACTTTCGCAGCCGCGGGGCTGTCGCTGCTGCTCTATCATGCATACATCTGGACGTCCTACAATCTATCGGGTGCGTAGGCTGCGTGCCGGCCATGCTTTGTTCGACGGCCGTTCGTTGGATGAACCGGGTGGCATCAACGAAAGCGACACTGCTGCTCAGGTTGACTCGGGTTGGCTTGGGCTGTGTTCGAAGCTGATATCCCACCCGACACAGGCGACTGTTCCGGCCATGCAAGCGCCAGCGGCTCGGCTATTGCACTGATACTGCTCTACGGCTACTGGTTCCTGGTTGAGGCGGCAGCGGCAGCGGCGATGATCTACACGCTGAGAAGGGCAGCCACGCTCGAGTCGAGGGCCAAGATCTCGGCCGAGGAAAACTTTGCGGCCAAGGTGATGCGGAAGGAAGCCTGGCGCATCTGCTGGTCGACGGTGCTGGGCTCGGTCGTCTGCGGATGTGCAGTGGCCGAGTTTGTCAACCACCGAAAGTACCTCTATCTCAAGGGGTCTGTCTTTACGATCTGTAAGTGTATCGGCAGCCTCGTCGGGTGTGTCCATCGGAGTGGACTATGCGACGAAGCTTGTGTACAGGCCAGGAGCGGCTCTCTGGATCGCTAACGATCCCTTGTGTCCTCACTCTGGGATCGCACCAAGCCCAATTCATGCTGGTTCTCACGCTCATCAACCAAAACGAGGGAGCGAGCGGAGGATTGAACAGGAACGAGACTTTGAAATGCCCAAGCATGGTTTCCAGAGGCAGAGCGACGAGCGAAGGATATGCCTGAGTCTGTGATTTCGGGAATGCTGATCGAGCAGAGACGATGAGCCTGTCGAGCGCCGGATGTGCAAGAACAAGTGGTATTGGTCCGAGCCGAGTGTCATTGTGCCTTGGACTCAGTCGTCCATCGAGCAAGGCGATGTTTGCTGGCACCGAGAACGGCCGGGTGTCCAAGTCCGCTCTCCAAGTGATGTTGGTCGGTCGAGACGATCGTTGCGGCTGGCGGTGCGGATCTCGTCCGTGCAGCCAAGTGGCGATCTCTGGCATCCAGTCCGGATAGCGCAGGGCACCGATCCGCCCAGTCGATCCACCCAGCCAATCTGCCCAGCCGATCCACCCAGTCGATCTGCCCAACCCACCGAGCTCCTCGACAAGCGAGCGAGCAAGCGAATCTTCCAGTGCCCATGCAGACTGCCTCGGAGATTGCATCCGAGATCGTCCCGATCGGTGGGACAGCAGTTGCCGTCGCAAACATCAACGTGGCGGCCCTGGCCGATCCAACAGCGCCGGTATCCTGTCGCAACATCCGCTGTCGTCGCCCTGGTCGATTTGAAATCCTCCTTGCGCCCCACAGCCCAGCCGCGCGAGGGGTATTTCAACCCCTGATGCCTGCTCCCTCGTTCCGTCTGCCAGCATATCCTGCCACCGGCTCCATCCGAACCAGCATCCCCAGCACTGCACCGCCATGTCTGTCCTCCAGCGTCGTCTTGGCCGCAACGGCCCCTTGGTGTCTGCCCTCGGACTCGGATGCATGGGCATGTGAGTTGCATGTTCTGCTGGCTCCTCTGCCCCAATCCACTCCAGTCCCCGTCGTTGCCGTGGCCGTCTGCCCAGGCAGCTGCAATCCTCGCACGATGGATGTCCCCGCAGGATAGCCATCGCCATAGCAGGGCCATCCTGGAGTGGGCCGAGCGATGACCTCGTCGACATCACGCGCTCGCTTCTTGCCGACACTAACCATCTGATCTGCAGGAGCGACTTTTATGGTGCCCGCAACGATGAGGAGTCCATCGCCGTCCTCAACCGGGCTATCGATCTCGGCGCCACCTTCTGGGACACGGCCGATATGTACGTAGACTGTTGCGCCGATGTTGCCCGGCGACCGAAGCATCGCTGCGTCGATGCTGACCTGTTCCCTCCGCT